TTCGCGTCTAAGTGACATTTAATCGTTTTTCGGGCCGGCCAACAGCCTCGATATTCTATTCTTTTTATTGTTTAAATTAGAATAGGGCTGGGCGCAAGTAGTTCCTTATTATCCAATAGATCTAAGCATGTTTGGTACGTATTTTAAATGGATGTAAAAATGTTTGCATTTACTATGGTGGAGGTCAGTGTACTGTGCAAGTGGATAAGTTAGGTAGGTGTATATTGTATATCGTGGGATAGTTGCAGAATCAGATATTCAACATCGTAATATTTCCGTACCTAATAGATATATCTATATGGATATGTATGTTGGAATATCATGTTATGTATTAGGATATTAAAATATTGCACAGCAGTATCACAACATCATCCTCTATGTAGTAAGCTACTACTCACTCTGAATTCATACCGACATTTTGGTCAGCCTCAGAGCCCGAACAAATTCGCATGGGACAACCCATATGCAATTGCCTTACATAAGGTGTTCAGGTAATTCTCATCATGTCTGCATTCATTAAGTATTAAGTACTAGGTACCTTGTACTCCCGGTGCTCTCGTTACATGGTTGGCGCCTACAGCGGCGGGCTAGAAATTTATTGATGTCAGTATTACGGTGTGTGCGGCAAACGCTCCGTACATTGCACCTGTAATATTAAAAGCCATTAGTACGGGGGTGTCCGCTTAATACATTACACGGTGGGCTCTCAACTTCGATTCGGTCGGTAAGGGCTGTAAGGGTCCAGAAGAGGGTCAGACTCGAGCCTGGGTTTACTGTAACAAGTAGCTACAGTAATAAATTAAAATCCTTCGTCAGTCAGTTGCTCTGAAACGCCGTCCGTTGATTCGTCAATTGTTAACTTATGAGTTTCCCCTTTGCTTCGTAGGCAATCGGCTCTAATCCTTTTCTCGATCCGCCAATGTCCTCTTGCATACAAATCTATGTGCACACTGTATGTAGGTACCGAACGTCTTGGGTGGTTTCACATCCCACTATGAGCTATAACGTCAGATGAATTTCAATAATTCGTATAGTTATTCGGACTTTTCAGTTGTCGCTGATGATGATCGCCCGGGGAATACAAGGCTATCAACCTGTTAGCCAGCAGTGAGGCCGACGATATAATACCTAAACTGAAACGGAGTCTTACGAGGCCCTATAACCCATCCCACCATTCACATGGCGGGGTGAAGTTATCTCGATTATCATCATGCTCCCACCCGTTGAATTACCCTTGTTGACGAACGCCAACGCAGAATAGCTCATAGTTTTAGGTAGGCTATTACTGAGGCATGCGTAAACCAAGAACGGGACGGCCCTTCTGGAAGCTATCCCGTCTATCATCATCTTGTTCCAAGACCGAGAGACTTGCATGTATATGACCCCAAGAGCCATGGCAATCTGGGCTTATCGTAGCTGGAGTTACCAAAATGATTAGTCTTATTATTACCATTCTCCGTCTGAAAGCGCCCTGAATAAGTTCCTTATGCGCCTCCCGTCGTTGGTCAGCAAAATTGGGCTTAACTACTGTCGCATCGCCGCGCTTCCGGGTCTGCAAAGTGCTTCGATGGAAATCCAATATTCACTGACCCAAAACACTTGGCAGCCAAGCTTATAGATACTTATGATCTGTAAATCGGTATGTATTACTCCTCTTGCAAGCCTTTCAAGAAAAGTACGCGGTCGAGGGATTGAAAAGTTCATGAGGACGTGAAATCTTTGCAAATTGGCTTAGTATGAGGCGATCGATCTCCCCGCCAATATATAGATTTATTTGCTATTCCTTCAGGATCTCTCCCATCGTATAAGTCGTTTTGGCTGACGTTCCTCGAGTTTCGCCCGCACCGGTTCAACACAACTACCTGCCTGCCCAATATCAATGATCTCAACCATTTTGCGACTATGATCTACGGCATCGAGGATTTACTGCCTATGTATAGCCATTTCGCCAAGCGCCATTCGTAAACGCGTACGTATACAGAAACATTTGATCGGCTTTTTAGAAACAATTTCAATACGGCGTCGCCAAGAGCCAAGGACGAAAGCCAAGGGCTAGGTGTTTGTTGTAAGCACCTCGCGGCTGTAGTTAACTCCCATAAAACGCCGACGAGATGCAATTATTATTTTTCTAGGTACCGCCCGATGTTAAAGGTACATGCCTTATGCCCTAAGTTAGGATGCTTCGGAAGGTCCCGCGATTCCCGAATACAATGACCGACTTACACCACAGTTCAACCCGCATGTACACAGGCTCATGTGCCAAGAAAAGAGATGCGCAGCTGTGATTCAGATCCTAAAATAATATGCATAGGTAAGCTGCGTAGCAGTAGGGAATACCCTTCCAAACTATATACAGTTAGTCGCAAGAAAAAAAAAAGACACAAACCGAGCTTCGGTAGAGAACATAGTCAACTGTTACTGCGCTTAGCTCGCGGCGACGTAACAAGAAACGTCTGTGGAATAGCTCGGGCCTTGGGTATTCTAATCCAGTTCTGGTTTAGAATAAACCGTCTAGTCACCGTAACGCCCACCCCTTTCGTGCCGACATAGGAATAAGAAAAGGCAACGTAGGAGGCTGGCTACTAGATGCTGCATGGCTAACTTCCAAGTTGTTACCTTAGCTTATTAGTGAAAATAATGAAATTCACTTGCATAATAGGACCACAAAACATTATTTGCGATGGACTAGGTTAGCTCATCTCACTCCGTGCGTCTGCAACGGAACGCTTTCTCTTCCATCGCGGCATGGTACCCCGGTCATTTGAGCCTGTAGGTGATCCCGCCCTTGGCGGACTTTTCCTGCTAGCTGTCCCCCCCAGTCTATTATTCCCTACCTGTCCCTCCTCATGAATCGAAGCTAAGAAAGTAGGGGAGGTAGACAAGGTATGTAGGCTGAGAAGCGCAGCTCGCGACTGGCTGGTTCCGAGCGTGGGTTGGAATATTCCTCCCAACACCGATGTAATGCCCAGAGATGGTTCTTGGTATGGCTTGCTTGGGGTGGGAGAGATCTACTAAATGTACATACTAATGTAAGTACATCCAAGTCGCAAGCCGCAACCGCGGATATGTTGTACATAGGCTTAAGTTCACTTTTCTCCTGCGCACGCACTCACACACACTTGCACACACACGCACACATCCATTACATTACGCAGTAATCAAGACTTTCGTTTGCGTGCCCACCTTTTTTTCCTTCGCCCTTTTCCTACTTGAGTATTACCGTGCTTCATCGTCTGGATTCTAGAGGCCTTTCCAGGCCAAACCAAACCAGGCGGGTAGTTTTTCTAACACCCCAGCCAATCCACTGGCTCCGTCATTGTTAGCCATGCCTGGAGCGCCATTAGCCCGTGATGACATCCATCAACAAGTATATTCCCGGCTAGGTTTGCTGTAGAAGGACTAAGTACCTCTTCGCTTTGGGCTTCTACTTTCATCCTCTCTTTAGAAAGGCTCTCTCTCGTTTCCTGTCTCTCACACTCCCACCTGGTAGTGATAAGCCAGCCCACCTTACCTACCTCTCTCTACCAACTCATCTCGGATTCAACTCTTTAAACCTCCCACGTTCCCCCTTCCCGTGCCGACTGATTCCGTCAGTCTCGTCTACTCTTACCTATTCTCCAAACTCAACCGCCGCACGGCGTCTAGCACTTACATATACGCACGTACACACGCACGCACACTTTTTTATACACCACCACTACTACATACTACGCACTACACCCACCACCAAAGTATACAGTATACCTAGGAGAACTTAGCTCTCGTGTCGAGCTTCGACTAAGACCTGACTTTGACCAGTCCGGTTTTAACTTGACTCCTGACAAGTAGGTACCTTGGGCCAAAGACGGTTTCTGTCAAAAAACGACTTACACCAAACTCAGTTATCCATTTCCGATAGTCCCCATCTAAGGCTGGGTTTTTTCCCGGTCAGACTCTATTAGCCGCATAGCACCGCCGAGAAAGTCTTGCGCTGCACTGTGCAGTCCACTTAGCCAACCCTTGGTGCTGGTGCCGACGGATGATCACCGCGCGCTGGCTGCAAACCACACAATTCCTATTGAAACTCAATTGACCTATTTTTTTTGCGGCTCCTTGACGGGGCACAAAAAAAACCAAGAGGGCAGAAGAGACTTCTCAAACCACAATCGCCTCAACTAAAAAAAGAATTTTCCAAGCGAAACGAAATCTCCACTCTCAAGTTCGATCATTCTGTCTTCTTTCATAGACTCAAGGTCGTTCGTTCTCTTTCTTCTTATTTTTATCTATTTTTTCTTCTATCGCGAAAGCGGTCTACTCTCCGGTCCAGTCTCGGTCCTAGTTCATTATTACGGACTTTCTGTCTACCTACCTGCCTGTCTGTCTATTACACGACTCCTACGTTTGGCGACATCCGTCATTTGAGCGAAAAAAAAAAAGCTACCTAGCTACTTACGTTGCCCTGTTCGCCGTTTTACCAAGTCCCAGCCCACTTACATATTTACATACGTACATACATATACATAACATCATACCCTTGGAGATGCGTGCATAAGGATTTTGCTACGTACCTACTACCTACCTACCTACCAGTTCCCCATCGCAGCCAATTCTTCCCTGGTTCGCTGCAACGCAACCTACTAAGCTTATTAGCTACCAATTCGTTACATACTCGGGCCTTTGTTTGCCCCCTGACGCCCACGTTTCCAGCGCAGCCTCGATCACCGAACACCAACCGCTTCATCTGGCCGCACGCTCACTCGGTTCGTTCGCTCGAACTTGCTTTCTGCGTTTGCTCCCGAACCTTTTCTCTCACCTCCTTCGTTTTCGATCGTTATTGAATAGAATCGCACAATGTTAATAGACGGCGAGAAATGGGCCTGCGAAGCTTGTGTAAGAGGGCATCGAGTTAGCAATTGTCAACATGCGGGTAAGTTACCATCGTTGTCGCAATTCTACACTATTCTCTATTAGTGGTTACTTTTTCCAATTGGTACCAATATCTCCCTCTCCAACCCGTTACCACCGCGGGGGAGACCGGATAAGAAAAAAAAAGTGTTCAGGGGAAAAATGAATGAAGTTCAGCTTTGGAGATTTGCATCATTATTTCTATTATTTGATCTACTTACTCCAAATCTACCTACATCTACATCTACATTATCTACTTTTGGACAATTATTATTTTATTCTTATTGGAGGACATCTTCACTTACACATATTTGTGCAAACTACATCTAGATCGACCACTTCAGCATATCAACAAAAAGGGACGACCTGTGTCGCAATGCCAGCATTGCCGCGCGATGCGCAAGTCGCGGTCGTCCCATGTCAAATGCGACTGCGGCGAGAAGACGCACAAATGCGCCCATCTAAAGCAGACGGTTGAGGGCCATAAGGGTGAGCGGCACATATTCCCAAATTCCAAGAATACCAAAAGACGCTCGAAAGATTGTCACCCACTCCCCCGTACTCTACGTTGTAAGAAAGGACCTAAATAAGTCTGACCTGAGTTTGTTCGTCGGTCCAGACAGTTGTTGTTGCAATCACGGCGGGCGATGCACATGTTCGCACAAAAAAGAGCCCTCGCTCGATACGGTTCCGGAGTCGGATTCCGATGCGGACAACAGTAGCCAACAGGCGGCCAAGCCCAAGGCCGTAACCCGCCGACGGCGCACGAACACCGCCCACTCCGAACCCATCCTAAGCTTCGACGAGAACGGCCACCACAAACCGACTCAACGTCACACCAAGGCCTCCCAGAAGAGTGGCCCCTATACGATAAGTCGTGGCTCTGCCATGCATCGCACCGGTAGCGCGAGTAGCTTAGGTACCAAATCCGTCGACCGCTCTTCCCGAACGACCGACTCCTCGTCTCCCGACCGAATGTTATCGAAGTCCGTCGAGGCTTCACCTTCTATTGACGGTAACAGTAACTCTACGTTTCAGCAGCTCAACGGCCGGCTGCCCCCGTTGGATCTCTCCAACATCCAGTACCCCGAGTACTCCTCGTCGTTTGACCTATTCAGCGCCGGCGTTTCGGACTACGAGCCACCCATGTTCAGCGCGGGCCTCAGCGCGACCTCGGTGGACTGGGCGCAATACGACGGGCTGGACCTGAAGAGCGGTGACAACCTGACGCCATCCAGCTTTGACCAGGCCCAATCATCCTCGTATATGGGGCTCGATTACATTGGTGGTTCCGGGGGTTCCACCGAACCCACGTTAACATCCAACTCGGGCGACGTGTCCGAGACGGAGGACCTCGCATCCGCGCTCGGCGACTCGCAGTTTGACAATTTCCCTCGAGGGTACTTTGGGGGCCTATCGTCAAGCAGCATATTAGCCCACAACGGAAATAACAGCACCGATCTAAGCGCGCTCGACTTCGACCAGTTCAAAACGACAGCCGCTGCGAGCAAGCTGTTATCGACGCAGTCGTCATTCGATGAGAGTCCGGTATTCCCATTAGTCGATGACGACTCTTACTGGGGCATCAACAATTTCACCGACGGCATCACGCACTCTCCGGATCCCGTGGCTTCCGGCCTGTGGGATACCGCGTAGACGATTGAATACGCTGTTATGCACCACTTTGCGAACGAAGGTAGGGAGAAAGAAATGCGCCTGAAGGTAAATGTACAAGCAAACCAAACCAATGGCAGCTTTCCTCCCTTAACGATTCGAAATCCCAGCGTTCTGTTTTTCATCATTTTATTTGCGCTGCGCTGCATCATCCTTAAAATCAAATTCATGATACCACGCGCTTTATGACATTATTTATATCTGCTGTTAAAACCATCGTATACCCCCTTAGGGAGATTTAGTTTTTTTTTCTGCTCTGATTTTTATATCTGTTCATCTGATTTAGTTGTGCTTTCATGTTTTTTTTTTCTCATTTGATCATGGCCTTCATATCATTTATCATCATCAAACGGACAAAGGCGCGGATTTGCGAAAATCATCATTGTTAAAGGGGGAAGGAGGGAAAGACTTGGGCATTCTGTCTTGGGTGGGTGGCAGAGTTATGACACTACCGCGGTTCTTCGGAAGGCGTTCTTTTTTTTTCTTCTCTGGGATATTTTGATCTCGGTGTGAATTTCTGTGGTTTCTGCTTTTTTTTTTCTCATACGGGGGCGGCTCGAGCGGCTCGCGCGCTCGCATATTATGAAAACCTCTTTTTTTCCACCAGTCGTACATATTACCTCCAACAGCATATGTTTACCCTTTACCCCAAAATTCTTCTAGACCTCAGACCCTCAACGGGCTGTGAGAAAGTGAAGCGGTCTGTTTCATCAAGAGAGCACAAAATCAAAACCCACGCAGAAAAAGCAACAGCACAAAACTATACATTGTTCCTGCACATAGATTAGAAGTAGAGAAAGAGAGCCTGGAAAGGCGTTGGTACCATCGGTTAGACAAGGCAGAAAAATTTAGGGAAATGAGAGGAGAGGAGGAAGGGGGAAAAACAGACGAATCGGAGTCGCTCGCTGCGGGATAATCTCACGATTTCTTCTTTTTTCGTTCTCTTTTTTTCTCGATTTCTTGCCTGGTACGGTATATACTTGCCTGTTTCGGTATATTTATTCCCAGATATAGCCAGCCTACAGCTGTTATAACATACAAACTGTTACTATGCCATCGCCGGAACACTTTCCCATGCGTCGATCAGCTGACAAGCTTGCGACTTAATCGGGGAACATGCATATAATATGCATGTATTCCAGCACCCCCTAGTAATTGAAGCTAGCCGCCGCGGTGAAGAGGCTCCGTACATAATAAGAATTGGGGGTTACCCCCAAAGGTCAGTGTACTGTCAAGTCAAGGGGGCGGGTCCCCTCCCCCCAAGTCCAAGCCAAGGGGTGGTGACAAATCCATGTCTGCAGTAGTGGTAGCAGTAGTAGTGGCAGCAACAGCAACAGTACTACGCGCAGCTCGCGGTAAGTTTAAGCAGACAGATTTGATGGTCCACACTCGCGCGTCTCGTGGACCTAAAAAGAAATTTCCGTTCCTGCAGCCGATGTCGCGAGAATGCCGATGGCGCGAATGAAGCGGGTCGCATCCGAATTAGGGCGGGATTTTCGTATTTTCAGCGGTCATATTTATCTATAAAAGAAAGGTTGGATCCTCTCAACAACGACGTTGCCGGCCGCTAGGATACATAGAGAGAGGGAGCGACACACGCCAAACAGATGATGATGTAAACCCGGCGCCCGATCGGTGGTTGTAAATGGTAGGTCCCTCTTGACTGGGGGTCCAGTCAGCCGGGGGCTTTTGCCCCTCAAGGCGTCTCGTCCCCTTGAATTCATATTTTTATCCCCGAGTCGGTGAGAAAAGACACGTAGGATAGGGGCCGGCGGGAGAGTGGGATGGATATGACGGCTTCCAAGAACGAACCAAGAAAAATTTATGAAAAACCCGCCGAGAAGGATGGGGGGAGGAATAACAGATATTTATGTACGTACGTATGAATGGAGAGAGAAAAAGAGAAATATTAAAATCATCTCCAACTCCTGACTGATCAGAAAAGTCTCAATTGTGACGACATGATGGTACCATCCTGATGCGTGCAAAGTCGAATGATGGGAGGGACTTGGCTTGGCATTGATTCACTCTCAAATTCACTCAGCGCGTTGCCGTTTGCCGTTGGAGAGAGATCGGCAGACACTGAAACCATCTTTAGGCAAATAGAAGGATAAGCCATTTACTGGTCCTACATAATAGCATCAGATACTATTAGAAAACAACCGACACTACCTACTATAAAACTGAGTGCTACTCTCTCCATCATAATACTAGATACTATACATATTTTCGCTATGCTCGTAATATCTTTCGATTCATTTTATTTGTTCGAATCTCACGTTTGAACCACCAAATTCTGTAGCTAATATCCTAGTTTGTTGCCGTGGACGATTCGGAGGTTTTTTTTTTTTTTTTAATAAGAAAGCCCCGTATGGTTCTGTTACGCCAATCATTGAGAAGCTAATAGCAAAATCTCTCCACCTCACTGCTGCTCTAGTTAATTCCAAGTATATTACATACCTATGTCATATATGTAGTTTGCTTCGTCTACCCGTAGATCTCGCGTTCCACAACAGTATGGCATGTGGACGAATTGCTGCCAGCACTCCCTCTCTTGTCGGGCACTTCGGCACGGCAGGATCGGGATCATTTCTCACGCCAAATATTTCAACCTACAAAATAGCTGCATAAGTTTCCCACCAGAAAAAAAAAATCCATACACTTGTCGCATCCTTCAATAACTTCCCCGCACGTTTCCGTATAATTCACGGGATGGGGGTTAATTTGGACAGTTCCGGGTTTTCCTCTGGGGATTTCCGAACAAGAGTGCGTTTTCCGAGTCGCAACTTGAATGACCCCTAAATTTTGAGACTAAGTCCACCACGGCATAAGCTAAGTATTATTTCCTACGAAGACTTATATCCGTCAAACAACAGAACAAGCATATTCGGGTAATTTCTGAACAACTCAATCTGATCCCATAATCCTGCTATTCAAGTACTGGTCATAATTTGAGTTCTCGTTACTTGCCCTTTTGGGTATTTGGTAAAATATGATTGGTGGAGTCAATATGCAGGCATCTATTTAGGTACCGAAGTAACTTTCCCCGTACCTTCAGAGTTTACATATGTGACATGAAGAGAGCTGTACGTTGAGCATCGATCGTGTTAGTTATTGTTCAAGAGGATTAATATTGAAGCAGTTAGAAGATACTACTGCATAGCAACAAATATGCCTGTCTCGTCCTTTCCTTTTTCCTTTTTATAGAATAAGGGCTTATATCGGGTTAGAGTCACAGCAATATACCAAAGGTTACTTTCAAGAGGATTTTATTGATTTTTCTATGGGCCACTATTCCTTAGAGGCGACTCGAAAGAGCCATCCATAATTAGGTTCTCATGCAATTTTCCGCGAGGGTTGATGTCCTCCATGCAGTGCAAACAGAATAGGAAAGTGGCTCCATTAAAGATGACGAGCTCACAGCAAGTGTGCATTTCTCGCCTCACTCACCCTAACCTCCCATAGGAGGCACATGGTGGCGATGGTTGATGGTGAGAGCACTACGGCGTGTAGTAGCGAACCATCGATTTCGCGGCGGATAAGTTATGAATTGCTTATCCGTAAGGCACACCAGGCAAAGAGCTACATGGTAGATGTGGCACCCAATGATCGTAGCAATAGCAACGAAAATTGTAATGTTAACTACTAACCGCTTGATAGAGTTGTTGTGAGAGCCGATGAAACTCTCTATAGTTCTCTAGGGTCATTCCTAAATTTCCCGACGGTGGCATGCAATCATTCGGATAGGCGTGTGGGCTAGCGGGGTCTGAGTGGAGAGGCAAGTTATCTACCAAAGGTTAGAATGACAAAATCTTGACACGATCGATCGGCAAACTGACTTACAATCCAATATCGGAACGCCATACTATCGCGTTGTCGATGCATGAACCTCCGCCAAAACATTCAGGTAACCACCGCGAGTCAGCCTTCGAGGATCAAACCCGAGATCATTGTAATTATCGCTTGTTCTAAGCGTTGCAGGGTCTGAGCTCCCCGACTTAGAAATGTTGATCTCTGTAGCCGTAGCTAAGTCAGCGAGATGTTGCAGACTCTGGTTTGCAGCCGCTTGAGCAGTAGATGGGCGTATATGCTCTGAGATGCAGTCCCTTATAACGGAGTCCCACGTTGACGGCGCCACGTTCGATTCGAAAAGTTGTCTGAGCAAATTAGTAGCCTCGTCGCGCGTCTTCTCGATCTTAGCTAGTTCTACTAGCGAGAGCGTCGTGAGGCAGAAAAAATGGTGATTTAAGGGGCTGAGAAGCTGCGTCTTGGTGAACAGAATATTCGCTATCTCCTTACATGGCCATAAGACGTCGGTAGATTTCGCGTTAGTTTGGAAAAGATATGCGAGCATTCTGCAATGCCAATAGACCATATGCAGGATGGGATGAGATTCCGGGCTAATACCCTGCGGGAGAACTTCCCGGAAAAGCTCAATAGAAAGGTTGAAGAGGGAGCTAAGGATAGGTGCAGCCCCTGAATCTGGCGAGAGAACCTTGGGGGAAATCAAGCAAACCGGTGCAAAGTGGCCTAGGATGTTTGACAACCCTACACGTAATACTGTCAGTAGCATATTCTATGCAGATTCGTTACCATTACTTACGAGCCAGGTGGTAGACATTGTCGCCTAACACTAGATTAAGGCTAGGCATAATGACTACGCTGTCGTTGGGGATGAATAATGGATTTGCCGTCGAGATCGCGTTCCACCGATCCAACATAACTAAGGACCACCAGACTCGGATTGCGATGTTCTCATTCGAATCAGGTTCTAGTTGTGCGTCAACGGCCATCTCTACACTTGAGACGTGAAGCCTCATCGAGTAGGCTAGGCCTACAGCGCGTCCCAGCATGGACGCTTTAGATGGTCCACCGTGTTCACCCTTGAGCGATGCCGGGCCGTAGTTATCGGTCCCGATGGCTGTTAGGATTAACGTTTGGAGATGCACAAGATTCATAACCATCGTACGCGGGGTTGTATCAGATTCCCATTCCGTTATCATTCGCGTAGCCGAACCAATGTCCACGTTGGTGTAAAGGCCGGGGATTGATACGAAGGACTGCATGGTGCCATAGAGCGCCTCGATGAAGGCGTCTCGAAGAAGGGATGGACACTGCGATAGTTGGCCTTCAACACGAGCCTTGCTTTCGGCCAGAAGGGGGAAGGAAGTATGAACAACGTTGAGATAGCCGCTGAAGGCATCATCATTCAACTCGCGAATTTGCCCGTTTTGATTGAGATCAAGTGGTTCAGGCTCCGCAGCAGCGGGTGGTTGGGGTGTCGAAACTGCGTCGGGCTTTGACAGCGGCTGAGGTGCCAATCCATTAACAGGGTACGGCGCTCGATATGCTCCAGTTCCAGTGGGAGTCTGGTAGGGTTGAATAGGTCGCGGTTCGGAACTCCATGTTGCCTGACGCGAACTTGTCGGCGTGGTAAATTCCCCACCAGATATGCTAGAGTAAGGTCTTTTCCTACCATTTTCTTCTGGTTGCCCGGGTGAGCCAAACATATCGGCGGATTCTCTCCTAGCGCCATTCAGGAGCTCATTCAAATCCACATTACCGCCTTCGCTCGCTAGCTTGCCTTCAATACTGTTGATTCTATCCGCTAGCTCTTTGATATAACCCTTACTTGGACCGCGCTTCTGGGGGATCCTACTAAAAAGACAGCGGATTGAGGATCGGCGACAATTGGAACATGGTTCATCGCCATTCTCGGACACTGCGTCACACTTAACTTTCTTCCTCCGACACTCATCACATGCGCGTGACACCTTAGATCGCTTTCTTGGAGGAATATTATCTGGCATAGCCGAAGCTTGAGCCGCGAAGTGTTGCGCCAATTGTTCCACCGCACTTGGTGATTGGAAATGGGGTTGATGTTGATGCTGTTGTTGTGGGTGAGATTGCTGAGGCGCTAGATGTAACGGATGGTCTTGCTGATGTTGTTCTGCTAAGTAGTGGTGCTGCGGTTGTTGGTCGTGATGAAGGGGTTGTTCATGATGAGCAATAGGTATTTCACGAGAGTCAACAGGGTGGTCACTATGAGCCAAATGTTCATGCGCATGGTGCTGTTCTTCGGGCAGTTCGGAGGGTAATTCAGACAATTCATGGGAGTGGTGCTGTTGTTCGTGTTGTTCGTGAATATGGTTGCTAGGTTCCGAGGCTTGACCCGGTTGCAGCTGATCATGCTGTTCGTGCTGTTGCTGCTGCTCATGCGGTGGTGGCGGCGGGGGCGACTGGGGAACTTGTTGAAGTTGAGACTCGTTGGCTTCGGACTGGGCCATCGCATTTCGAAGGTTAGATTCTTCGACACTCTCGATAGGTGCGCTAGGCATGCCTTGACTAAGGTCTTGACTCAGCTGAGCAGCAAGCTGTAATTCTTCAGCGCTTGTGATAGATGGGTGAGTATTTCGTAGGTGAGGTGAGGTCGGTTCAGCGTGTTCGATATGTTCCTGTTCTTGCATCTGTGTCTGTTCCTGTGGTTGGTCTAGAGGTGAGTTGTTATATACGGGCGCGCTGCCATCTTGACCATCTATAGTGCCCGACTGATGTTGTTCTTGTGTATTAATAGCGTTATCCCGCTCTTCAGGCCTTCTGCTTTCGAGGGCGGGATCTATTTCCGCCATAATGGCTTGTCGCTCTACCTCGAGACGCGTCGAGTGCTACGAAATAGACAAGCTTGTAATGGACCAATATGGCACCTCACAAAACCAAATTATTATCGCGTCGGGAAATGAATAAATGCGACTGCGCTTCAATAGCAGTTTTGCAAATTTTCTCTTTTGGGGAAGGTTGTTATGATGCACTCGCGACTGGTGCAATGACGGCGATATATATTGATTCGTCACCTGTGATTAGACAAAAAATTATTAGAATTACATAGCGACAGCGGCAACAGTAACAAGAAAAACAGAAGTGAAAATTATTGCGCTTCACAGGTTCAACGAAGAACCATTGAAGTGTATGTAAACCATTGACATATAGATGCCGCGCAAATGCGCGACAAACAAGGTAACTCCATCTCAAACAATGCGACCGGGAAGTTGTGAATGGAAAAAAAAAATAAAACGATTATGTTGGATGAGCCTAGACGTACCTTGCGACGATTTTCCCAATAATATGGGGATGGAAAATAGATGAACGAGTTCCGGATTTGCCCAGGAACGGAGGAGGAAGAACCTGAACAGCCGATGTGCCTTCTTTTTTAACCCAGGTCAGGATTTTCCTGGTCCCTTTTTTTTTTCGCGATTCAGATCGATCCTAAATTCTCGGAGACGGGAAAAAGTTTCGTGTTTGAAAGGATCAAATCAGGTGTGGCGGCGTGTGTGGAAGAAGGGAGTTGGAAAAAGAATTTTGCGGGGAGTGCGGAACAAGAGCAAAAGAAAGCGGGCTCTCCGATAAATTTCTCTTGCTGTTGCTGTCTGTGCTCTGCGTTTGTAAGTACCCAAGTATCTTCCCAAGCCAGCAAAGTTTAATGTTGTTTCTTTCCCTCAGTTCATTTTCTCATGGGAAACAGGTGATAAGTACCATGTACCTATTGGTTGTATGCATTTGGTACATAATTTTCATTACTTTGTGTTAGGTAACCAAGTAAGAACCCCACTTGTGCGACGAACAGGAAATGACTAAGTTTGCGCCTAGTAATTGATAGTTGGTATCTGCATAAGCTCGGCCTGTAAATACTTGGTATAATGTCGACATCCGGATAAAATAAAATAAAAAAAACAATAACCTTTTCGCTTTTCTCTTACAGAAAGAAAAGGAAAATCAAAACCAAATGACAATCGAATGCAAATATCAAACGTCCTTGATTACATATAAATCTTAAAAGATCGTCTGGCATAACTTGTCATATTATATATATTGCCATCATGTGAAAATACTTATGAATTATTATAAAATGATTGGGGCGCGGGTACCTACATGTGAGAATGCCTTGCGACGTCAGCCATCGGGAACGACACGCCTCTACGAACCAATCTACACGTGCATACATCTGACTAACCCATATGCAGGTTAACTTAGACAGATTGATTATGTACACCCATGTACTTTGAACATGATCCCCTTCGGATCACATAATCAGTCAGGTAAGGATAACGGGTCGGAGTATCCAAAATCCCAATCGTTGAATCGACTCGGTTCCCGCATCCCAACGGAAGTGCCATACAAGTCGGACAGACATCTCATACTCTCGGATTAATAATTCGGTTTCCCTTCATCTTTTAGGTATAGTAAGGACATGAATATTAAGCCGACCAATACACCTATTCTCTCTACCTGGGGGCCGAATTCTCGTTCTAATAGGTCGACCTTCCCTCTTCGCTCGTCAAGGCTTCTCCTTTGGGTATATATCCAACTTCTATAGAGCCCATCCTCGGGTTTAACTGACTCTGCCACACGGATCTACTTCGTTCCGGTCGTATATACGCTTCCCCCAAGACCACGGAGTCGGTTCGATTCAAGGAAGTGAAGCTCGAAATGGCCTTACTTATTCCCGTTTTGATCTCTAGTGTCAGATCATAGCCTTCAAACGCGTATCACCATGACGACTACCATTTCCATTAACAGCAAGTGCGTACGGTTTAGTCTGGAATAACTTACTTGCGCCTCCTAGGTTATCATGAGCCCTGCTCGTCTAGACACTGCCGTCGACCCTTAGCTTCAAACCGGACTTCCCTTCACTTTGGTAACCCAACAAATCTGTTCGGACCCGTACATAACTGCGTTCCTGTTTGCGGGGAAATGCAGATGGATGGCACCATGTTCCTATTACATCGAGATAAGAGATATCTTGACTTCTCTTTTGGTCGATGGAGGAGAACCAAGACCGCTGAGCCACGCAACGCTCGTCACCATTGTGACGATGGAGTCAATAATCATGAAACGCTAGATTGAGGCCGCCAGGGGGACGGATTATCAATCAGGGGTTATTACCGTCGAGCACGTCGTCATCTTGACGTTCGTCTAGCCTCTTGCTCCAAAATCCCTTCCCGTAACTCACAAGTATCTCCTCACCCTTTCCGATTCCTACGGCAGCCTTCTTCCCAGCGTTTTTGCCAGCAGGTAGGACAAACACACCCATACATCTCTCACCGCGTCTTAGATCCCAGCATTCTCTGAATTCACTATTTGGGCGGCCCTTGACGCCCCTATAGTCATTCACAAACCGAGCTTCGTTGCCCATCTTTTCGGCATCGACCGCCAATGCCCCGTCACGGTCCAACCAGAGGTCATAGTCTGACTTCTCATGGACTAGACTGTGTGGCGGTAAAGAGGAGTGCACCATGCCATAGTATGGCAAGATGAAGGAACCCGGCGGTAATTGTCTTGCGGCGAATAGACCGGACTGCCCGTTTGCAGGATGTGATGGATCGTTTATAGGTACGATTCTCACCAGAGCCGAAGGTCCTCGCGGAAAGTCACGGGGTATCTCTGCGATAGGAGCAGCGGGCCGAGTACTAACAACTTCATGTTGTGATTTCGCAACGTGAGGTGTGTAAGAAGGTTGGGAGAGGTAGGGAATCGTTATCGGCCAATTCCTCGGTGTTGCTTCTTTCCCCATTTTGGATTAAGACGCAATGGCGGCTACTAAAGTAATAAGCCTTTGAGAGAGCGGACTCGGATTGAATCAAGTGGTGGAATCGGAGCTACGCAGTGGGCAGAGGGGTCGTTGTTTCCAATTCGAATTTTCTAATTTCGATCCGGTAACGGGCCGAACCGGTTCCACTCGCCTCCACATATGCCGAATGCCTGCGTCTACAATCGGTACGTATAACGGCAAATGCATACGTAAGTCATAGTCTAGTCATATGGTTTTTTTATAAGGGTTCCTAACATTCTCCTTGGTTAGAATAGACAGGCATGATTTTATGCGTAAGGTGCTTGTATGTATTTGTTACACCAACACTACTATGCTTTTGATTTCGGCGCCGAACATATCTGAGTACTACCTCTAGCGCCAACAGTTCTATTAGTTAGATCAAGAGAAAAGTCGATGACTATAATGTTATTGAGTTGGAGTTAACCTTTCGTAAACAATGGAACAAGTCGGAGCCAATTTACCACCAAACGTGGAATCGCGAGAGGTTTCGATGAAGAAAAAAGAAAGCAGAAGTTCCCGCATTGCACTGCATAAAGTTATCGCTACTTGCGGTACCTGCGAGAATGAGTGTAACGTCGGCCAAATGTCTGGATTAACGAATGGTATACCGGTACAATAGGGCTACTACCCTCGACCAAGTTATTAAGAATGCACTTATTACTACTGAAGTGAAATGGTAGAAATAAACAATATTCAGGATCATTAGGAACTTTATTTATATACATCAATAGAGAACACGATGATTAATCTAAAAAGAGGAGAATCAAGCCACCTCGCAATCTGTCTTAGATATTGGTTGGTCCTGTTGGCCTAGTTACGAAAGGGATATGTGTCTGTCTCCTCGTGGATTAAAAGCAAAGTGAGACAGGCAACATGCGCACGTATGGATGGAGAAATTGATTCTGTCTGGTTTCTATACCCAAGTATATACATCTACACCAAATTCATCATAGCGAGCGTCTAACCCAATTGGGCCAAGCCAGTATACTTACGGTAATTACCCAAATAGGCAGCTATCTGCCTAGTTGATTAGCGTGCTATTTTTTGAGGAATGATGTCAATGATATCCGTAGTTTAGGAGCGAACGCTCCCTCTGCCGCACGCTAGCATCGAAAGTTTATAAGCGAGAAATCTGAATCGTTTTCTTGGCTCACTTTAAATTTGTAACCATGATCCAAACCTTACCATGAAGTCGGTACCATTTGAATTGTGTGATGCGACACACACCAGCACACCTAGATCTGACTGACGATCTGATGATACTTCTCCTTTCCTACTTCCTTGCCGCCACATGCTAGGTATGCTAAATAAAGGCATTGTATTGTCAATCATCACACCGATGGGTGCCTGAATCGATTTGTCCTATGCAGATGATCTCCGGTTCTGTTGTATGCATGTACATATGCCCATCCATTATATCTCAGGCATGCATGGATGTACCTACATATGTACATCTTCAGATGACCCACATAGGTCGATCAAGCGATCTCCATCCGGTACTTTCCACCTTCTACTCCTCTTTAAACTAAGGTTGTACCTTTCTAAGGCAAGTGGCGACCAGTATAGGGCTTTTCTCCTCGTCCTAGCGTGTTGGTTTAGCTATCTCCCAGTCTCCTAAACCCCCCAAACCCCACTATAGGTTGGACTGGCATTCTTTGATTTCCCGATTTTCCAATCCTCGATACTTCACTTTCCCATTCTCTATATACTCGATTTCTATCACCTATACCTCCTATTTGCTCGCTATCTGTTTTGTGCTGTCGGCCACGATAGCAGGTTTTACCTGCGTTGAGCTCTCCTTTTCCTCATCTTGACTGACTCTTCTGTCTTTCCTATCTTTATGTGCCTTATCTCTTTTGCTTTACCCTGACTATACTTAACAAAGCACTGTTACTCATCAATATTGGGAGGTTTTTGTTCTAGTTGGATAGGAATCACACATGGGAACTCTAGCGTTTTCAGTTTAAGTGATATACCCCGAGAAGGTCAAGGTCGCAATCAACCGCGCTCGACTTTTAGGTCGTCCCTGGTGACCTTGCGATAGTATGGGGTCGAGCCAAAACCCACCCACTGCTGACCATACTGTTAAAATCCCTTCTCGCGATGGAACTCAGCTTGGTAGTCACACAGAGGCCTCCCAGCCGTCGTACGAACCCGATAGTCATTCGGATCAGCAAGATGAGCCTACCCCTATCGGCGATACCCCCGCGGTGAAATCCGAATTCGTACCAACTCCTGCTAAGGGACACCCTATGGCTATAAACACCGATGTCCCGTCCGTCCGGCCCTCGAATAATCCTCTATCCTACAGTGCGGGACCGGATATTCAGCGTGATCGTGGCGCGAGTGCTAGTAGTGTTGCAGACCCGTCAGACAGAGTCTTCCCTATCCGGTCCGTCATCTCTGTAGACGACTCACAACCAACTTCAGCAATATTAGCACGAAATCCAGGAGAACAAGGTTATATAACTCGCCAAGAGACAACTTGGGATGGCCGGCGACGCCCGAGCATTCCTCGTACTTCTACCGAAGCAACCATCGGACTTCAACGAACCGAATCCTCTCATGAACCTACCACGTCATCTCTGGAATCACCGAAGGAAAGAGACGCGACGAGTAGACCAAAGAGAAAAGAGACACTTTCGAGTTACAAAGGAAGCCCGCCATCCAAGTTAGAACGGGTTACTTCCGGTGGACCCCTATCTCTCTTCAATTCCGCGGCTTCGGATGCTTCTGATAAGACAAAGGAAAGCACGTCAATGCGTACAGGAGAGAGCAGCCACCTTGAAGATTCTTCTGGGCACGAATCACCTGGTGAACTTAGTGATACGTTGATGACAGTTCGCTTTCGTCACGTGGTGACTGATGAGGGGTATGCCGTCATTACGGGCCGAGACGGAAACCTGCAGCGATGCGAGGATGAGCCGATCCATGCGCCCGGTGCTGTACAGGGGTTTGGCCTCCTTATCGCTTTGAAGGAGGAAACTGATGGCCGACTATCTGTCCGAATTGCTAGTGAAAATTCGAAGAAAATTATTGGCTTCTCACCCCAAGAATTATTTCGACTTGAAAGCTTCACCGAGATTTTCTCTGAAGAGCAGGCAGACAATCTCCTTGACCACATAGATTTCATTCGGGATGAGGAGGCCGATCCCGCTTCGAATGGCCCCGACGTATTCAGTATATCTGTGCGGCCACACCAAAAGAAGTCCATCAAGCTTTGGTGCGCCATTCATATTAACAATAGCCACACCGATTTGATTATTTGCGAGTTTGAATTAGAGGACGATCAGGAGAATCCTCTTCGTCCACCTGGCGAGCTGACTCCGGACGAGCCAGAAGATACACTGTGCCAAAATCCAACAACGGAAGAACTACATGAAAGCACTGAAATTAGCAGCAGGCCCCTCAGGATTCTGAGAAGTGCGCGCCAAAGGCGCGGTGAGGCCGGTGCTATGCAAGTTTTTGACATAATGTCTCAAGTTCAAGACCAATTAGCATCCGCGCCGAACCTAGAGAAGTTTCTCAAAATATTGGTGGGTATCGTCAAGGAACTCACCGGATTCCATCGGGTTATGATCTACCAATTTGATGCAGCTTTCAATGGAAAGGTCGTGACAGAGCTAGTTGACCCTGCAAAGACCCGCGACCTTTATTACGGCCTGCACTTCCCGGCCTCCGATATCCCAAAACAAGCACGCGACTTGTACAAGCTCAATAAGGTCCGGCTGCTTTATGATCGAGAACTAGAATCTGCGAGGCTCGTTTGTCGGTCGGCCGAAGATTTGGAATTGCCACTCGATCTCAGCCATGCCTATCTTCGTGCTATGTCTCCCATCCACCTTAAGTACCTCGCCAATATGGCAGTGAGGTCCTCTATGTCCATATCAATTAACGCCTTCAATGAGCTATGGGGACTTATTGCGTGCCATAGCTATGGCGGCCAGGGAATGCGAGTCCCATTTCCGATTCGGAAGTTATGTCGACTGGTGGGAGATACAGCATCGCGCAATATCGAGCGACTCTCGTATGCGTCGCGACTACAAGCAAGAAAACTCATCAACACCATGCCGACTGACCAGAACCCTTCAGGTTATATAACGGCCTCATCTGATGACCTCATCAAACTATTTGACGCGGATTGTGGTATGCTGTGTATCCGGGGCGAGACCAAAATACTAGGGAAGATCGGGCAAACCCAAGAAGCTCTAGCTATGCTAGAGTTTTTGCGCTTGAGAAATTTTACTTCTGTTTTAACCTCGCAAGATATCCGGGAGGATTTTCCGGAACTCCGGTATCCCCCAGGTTTTTCTATTATCGCCGGCTTGTTATACGTTCCGCTAAGTGTAGGTGGCCACGACTTCATTGTCTTTTTCAGAAGGGGCCAGATTCGCGAGGTAAAATGGGCCGGTAATCCTTATGAGAAAGTTGTTAAGGAAGGCACTGCAAGTTTCCTAGAGCCGCGATCGAGCTTCAAGGCATGGCATGAAGTCGTCATAGGAAAATGCAGAGAATGGTCAGAAGAGCAGGTAGAGACTGCTGCGGTATTATGCCTAGTCTATGGTGCGTATTTAGACCGTTTCACTCTTTTCCTTTCCCTTATTTATTCAAGACGTTCAAATTCACACTAACTACTACAGGTAAATTTATCGAGGTCTGGAGGCAGAAGGAGGCTGCATTGCAAAGCAGTCGACTTACTCGACTATTGTTAGCGAATTCGGCCCACGAAGTCCGCACACCACTGAATGCCATTATCAATTGCCTGGAGATTGCCATGGAAGGCCCGCTTGACCAAGAAACTCGAGAGAACCTAGCAAGGTCTCACTCTGCGTCGAAGTCCCTTATTTATGTTATCAATGACCTCCTTGATCTTACGAATATGGAAGAGGGCCAAGAACTTATCAAAGATGAGATTCTGGACTTGCCGGCTTGTATCCAGGAAGCAACTGAACCTTTCAAGGTAGATGCTAAACGAAAGTCTTTGTCGTACGAAGTAATCGAGCATCCTGGTCTTCCTCGTTTCGTGCACGGCGATTTCCGCAGGGTTCGACAGGCGGTTGCGAATATGACGGCAAATGCGATACAACATACCAATCAAGGCTCGATAAAGGTTGAATCGTTTGTCACAGAAGTTTTGGAAAACCGTGTCAAGGTTGAAATCGTCGTTCAAGATACGGGTTGTGGTATGAGTAACGAAAAGCTGGATAACCTCTTTCGAGACCTGGAACAAGTGAGCGTAGATGATGATTCCACGGCTATCGAGGACATAGAAAAACCCGACAAGGGATCGACGTTAGGGCTGGGTCTTGCCGTCGTGGCAAGGATTGTGCGAAACATGAATGGTCAATTGCGACTAAAATCTGAAGAAGGGAAAGGATCTAGATTCGTCATCCAAATCCCATTCGAATTGCCGTCAAACGATTCTCTTGAGAAGGTCGGCGGCAGCGGCAGTGTTTTCGGTAATTCCAGGGCAATTTCGAGTATCGCTTCCGTTACTAAATCTCTTCCGTCGACGGACGCAAGCGAGGTTATGCTTGTCGATCGGGGTCACTCAAACACGATCAGTCCACCAAAGCGGGCGAATATCGAAAGACGGAGCTTCGATGAGGCTACCAGTATCAACAGCATGAAAAGTGCAGCCAGCAACAGTGGGCAGAGCAACAAGAGCGACGCGGATCGCCTGATTGACGCAATACAGACGCCCTTGTCTATAGGTGGGCCCGATGAGAAGATTGCTAGCGCAAAGCGTCTGAATTCTCGGGAACGACCAGAAAATTTCCATGGTAGTACCACCTCCTTAACGGGCTCTGGTTCGATCCGTTCGCCAATAATTGACGAACCAACGTCTACTTTTCACCGAACAACCGTCAGTCCGACTAAACTTCCTGGCCAATATCACATTATGGATTCGAAAACATCTATTAAACCAGTCAAGGTACCTGACGAATATTTCGATCGACCAGTAGCGCCACCAAATGGTCAAGGATCCAGGGTGTTATTCGAAATCAACGGAGAGGATAAATCTAACGAGGGGCAAACAGACCAACAAAAACCCGATAAGCTACGCGTGCTCGTAGCCGAGGATGACCCAATCAACATGAAGATATTAAAAAAGCGTCTCGAAAAAGCAGGACACGAAGTTTATCATGCCGTCAATGGGGACCATTGCGCTTCTGTATATAGGGAACGGCCAGCTGATTTTGATGTGGTCCTCATGGATATGCAGGTGAGTTATTATCTAATATGTGCCTGGAGGATATGACTGACTCTGAATACTAGATGCCTATCGTCGATGGTCTTGCTAGCACTAAGATGATACGAGAGTTTGAAAAATCAGATAAATGCCCGGAGCTTTCTACTCTAGCGGCGGCTTATAGGAGGACTCCGATATTCGCAGTGTCGGCTTCTCTTGTGGAACGAGAGAGACCGATCTATGTCGAGGCTGGGTTTGATGGCTGGATCTTGAAGCCGATTGATTTCAAACGACTTAACGTTTTGCTCGATGGAATTACCAATAAAGATATTCGAACTGAATGCCTTTATGTTCTGGGAAAATGGGAACGAGGTGGATGGTTCGCCCTCGAGTCTGAACATAAAGGGGGTTCGTCCTAGGAAGACGTCACGCCCAGAAGCTATACGGACGTGATGGCAGTATGCCGGAAAGAGCCATCATCATATTTCTCCCCGCAACCTTAGGGGAAATGAGTATAGAATTGGATAACGAATATTCGCATTGTCGAATGCCTACATCAAATTAAAGAGACGGACGTGTAAGAGTTATACATGGAACGATTGGACCGTATTTTGAAGCTCTCGTTACGTTGGATATTACCTATATAATGCATGCTACGAATGACGAAACGAACGTTTGGGTTCTAGCACAAGGTGGCCTGGTTTTTAAGCAAGACTATTCGTTTCAAGGGGCCCTGGACAGGTTTATCTGGTTATTTTGAGTTGTCTTTTACATTCGCGTTGCTATAGGAGAGTTCCGGGAGAGCGGGTTTCTTTCGGCTTCTCAGGCGCAGGGGAAAAGGATAAGGGGGTACACCATGAAAAGTAAACGCATTGCATGGAGTTCTGGAGATAGGGTTTATACACACATTGGGTACGTCACCTGGGTATATATACGTGGGATCGGGAGGCATTGGTCTTGAAGGCGTGGCTAGCATTGTATACGAATGAAAGAATATCCCTTCAAGGGTGTTGGCGCTCTCCGGATTGGATACCCCTATAAATCCTTATACCCTACAAAGACGACATTAAAATCTAGACATAACGAAGATTTTAACCATGATACGTTCACTAACAAATCGTCTATTGGACAAAGTTGATTCATTTGTTCCATTATTCTCATGACTACCTTTTTGGAGTGCTCCTTCATCTATCTATGAATCAATCCCTTCTAGCTATTTACGTCATACCCATTTGACTTCATCACATGCGTCTCATCTGTCTTCCTCCTCATATTTGATCCCCATAATCCCTTGTATCCTTCCAAGAGGATTTTAAAGTAACCCAAAACATATATGTGTTGTGGAGATGTGAAAACATTTCGTGCCCTCTTTCCGGTATGAACCTCATTACATGAATGCTTGCGCCTGTTTGATCCCCAAAATGCCGTTTCTTTCTATGTTATACATGTCGATCGTGAAAAATATGCCGTAATATGTGCAAGATAAATGTTAATAATATCGTGGAAGCCAAAGCTGTAAATTGGCCATCACATCAGACCCCTCGACAATTGGAGGTTTTTAAAATGGTAGTAGGGGTCGGCAACCCCGCTTTTCCCGGATATGCCTGTATGCCCAATGGCAGGCAAAACGAAAAGCGTTCTGCGCGACATACTTGCGCGCTATTAAATGGGTATAGTAGCTACCGACGAGAGCTTTCCCGAAGAATAAGAAACCCGATTTTTTAGGGGGAAAGAACAAGTGGTTATCTCCCCGGCGTCGGGCGCTCTTTAGTCTTATTCATCGTCTGCTAAACTGGATCCGGTCCCACTTTCTTCGGAGACGGTGCCTTGCGATCGGGCTAAGTGGACTAGCCGGTAGATACCGAAGGCGATAAGAGCTAGGACGATGAATAGGACGATGATGATGATCGCGATAACGTCGTTTTCTTTGACCATTTTTGCGGTTTATGTAGAGTTTCGGAGTAATTGAGTAGATGGTGGTATGCGAGGAATGTGAGTGGAATTCTGTAGGGTCTTGGTTAGTTTCCGACAGAGACAAGTGAGGGTTCGATGAGACAAACTGACAGTTGGAATTCCAATCCTCGTTTTTGCAATAGGAATCAAGTTTTAATAATGCGCTGTTAAAGAACAGCTGCGACGATGATAATCGGTTGTACTCCGGTTCTTGGACTGTTGGAAGAATTTCGAATCCAACTGGTCATGCGTGGGTGGGTTGTACTGGTATTATTCAAAATGAGATTTGAAAGTATTAGAAATCCAAATCACAATGTCAAGTAGGAAGTAACTCTAGCAAGAGATCAGAAGAGAGACATGACCGAATTGGAATGAGCTGTCGAGGAAGGAAAAGGTACAAATAGTACTGGTTGCCCCGCCATTTTGGTCGTGTAAATAGCGAGGCTGGTCTAAAAATGCGCAAGGCGGGTGCTAACTGGCCCTGACAGGGGTAGCTAAAAGCAGGGTAGGTACCCCTACTAGGTGGTTGGCAGGAGTTGTTTTACAGGGGTCTTAATGGGCTACGCGGTCCAAGCTTCTAACTGTTAGCGCAATCCCCAACCCCCTCTCCGGAAAATAGGCACTATCTGCACTATCTGCGCCTATAATTTTCCATGTTAATCGCGTGTTCGTACGCGCTCATACCAAGATTTGTGTGCGATCTTTGTAACGTGGAAAGACGTAATTCGAGGTTGACTATGGTCCTGTTAATTTATAAGGTAAGGGTTTTTTGGGGGGTTTTTTTTTTTCTCTTCTAATGTCAAAATCCGACATGTCGAAAAAGTAGGTAAAAGGACAACCACATTAGGACTCACTGTTAGCATCGTTAGTATATAGACATATTATCCATTGGTACAATTTTGTGAAAAATCATTGCTGCTAAAAATCAAATTCCATCGAGGCCCTCAGCATATGACCGAAGTTATCCATTCTCAGATCCTCTGCTGAGAAGGTGCCTTATGCAACGGTTATATCCGTCTCATCCCCTTTTTCTTTTGTGCTCATTGTCCTTAATTCTGGCCACAACTCCCGCCAGAGAAACAAATAATCCTAATCGACACAAACCCCAAACCTTTGCGCGTAGTAACCTCAATTATTCATGTGGCCCAGCAAAAAGCTCATTTATCTGCTTTCCTGCTTGCTTCATCTGCTAGGATTTGTCAACTCCCGTGTTTATCATGTGGATACTTCCAAACTATTCCTCCTTCGCGCCACTATCGGTTGACGCCATGACGATCTTAACGTGTCGCTCATAAAATTGAAGCATCTAGAATAACGTGTTAGCTGAAACATAAAATGAACAACCCAAAACTGTCGACGGACCTTTTGTGGACATCTTTGGTAGACAACCTTGGTGTCATGTTGGGTTTTTTGTCCATTCTTCCACGTGAGGTATACGATTAGCCTGCCCGAGGTCTCGTCGTGACAAGCGTCGATAGAGTCCACCTCATCCTCCCAAGAACCAACCGGAGGCTTCCAGCCTCGTCCAGTAGTCGGGGGTGTCGCTGAATCGGGATGACTGCCGTTGCGGCGCCTCTTCGCACCATTCGTCGGTGTGCTTGCGGCAGGCCGACCGCGCTTCTTCGTCTTCAAGGCTGATTTTGAGTCTCCCAATATCTTTTCGCGTCCACCCACACTCGCAAGATACTCTTCAAGGACGTCACTAGCGTTTTCCCTGTAGAGAATTGTTATTAGGTGACAAGAAAACACGGATTGTAAGATTATCGCACCTACTTGAGATTCTCATCTTCTTCCCACGTTTGGTCTGACTTCTTGTCGTAACCTTCCCATTTTACCTTGAACTTCAATTGCCCCTATATTACTGGTCGGTAAGCCGTTACGAAGGAATATCTGGGCGTTACTTACGTTGGAATCGACGGAATGGGAGATGATCTTCTCGACGATAAACCTATATGCTAGTTAGTACTAATCCCTTGGTGATGTTCGTATTCCGTCCATTTACATGGACGAGGTACGCACTCATCCTCCTCCAAATCTTCTGCTTGGTCTTCGTCTTCGTCTTCTCCATTTACGCCGTCGCCATTCTCAACATCTTCTTCGGCAGTATCTTTTACGTCGTTGGCATTGTCAACTTTCGGGGCGGTTGAGGATCTCTTGACACGCGTCGTAGGTAAAGGGACGGTGACGTCGCCGACGTCAGACGCTTCATCGTCGCTGATAGCTATCGGCAAAACAATTAGTCTCAACTCCTATATGATAGTATGAAAGCGCTTTTTATGAATGTAGAGGGGTTTTGCGGGGCGAAACACGGAAAGGTGGATGTGAGGTCGCGCGCGCAATGAAATCTACTTTTGCGAAAAAATGGGTGATAATAATGGAAGACGTACCAGGGGGCATTTCGAGAATAACTGAAGATTGAATCCCTTGCTAGCGCAATTGAATCGTTCAGTTTGAATTGATGCAATATTGAAATTGCTGAAAATTGGAGAAAATAAAGTAGTTTGGATGATGAATTTCGCAGTAGAAGAATCGCGAATGATTCTTGCGACAAATCAGATTAGACTAGCGAAGTTCTAGTATAAGGTAATCAGTCGCGGAGAAGGAGCTACTTTTTGGTCTAAGCTTCCGAGGCTTGGATCAATCAGTCGCTCTTGTCCTAACAGCTGTTCGCAGCTGACGAGTTTTGCTTTTAGTTTACGGAGTATACCTAGGTACGCACATGTACGTATAGGGAGGTAGCACCGTCCTCTAGGAAGCCACAATTTGATTGATCTGCCCCTGACCCGCTAACCCCGGTCTGGTCTATTCCTTTTCTCCCCGTACGAAAGATCCCGGTCAAAAAAAAAGAAGCTTCATATCTTCATTCTTGCATGTACCTATCATCTACCTCGGAAAGTATTCCTTCCTTCTAATATTATACAGTATGGATTCTACAGTATTTATGGCGCAATACCATCGGACTTTACTCGTAAATACTTTAAATACACTGAAAAGAGAAGAAGTGAAGGAACATTGAAGAAAGTGATGAAACATTCAACAAACTTAACATAACAAACGAATAAAATAATGTTTCATATCGTCTGTGATGAAATAGCCAGTCCTGCATCTTGGAAATTCAGCCCCAAGCCGCCCTATGTACAGAAATAGTTTAGCTTAGTTAGACCGGTGGACGCTAGCGTAGGTAGACACTACGTACTTACATGTACTATGCATGGATAATACGGCAGAAACGATTGGAGTTTGTGTACTTGTAGTCTTGTACAGTACATAACTAGCGCGAAAAGTAGATTCTAAGTTAGCCCCTGACCCCCCTGAACGGAAAATCCCCCCCAGAAAAAAAGGTTCAAAACATTCGTTCACTTTTCTCCAAGAAACAAATACACTACTACTACCACTACCAATACCTTACTACTTACATATAACATACAACGTACGTTCAAGCTCCAACATAGGAGAGAAATAAAAATATTATGTCAATTCTCTCCCATCGCATCAACCAACCCTCCACCTAACATAATAAATGCCGGAGATATTACAGGATCTTTAGCTGACACATTAGGACATTCTCTTTTTCTCAGGACTCTCAGGAGCTTCCTTCCTGGATGAGATCCGAATGGGGGATGCTCCTTCGGGGCAACTGCTGATGTTATATACAGTATCTCTCTTTTTTATTTTCTCCCGAAAGCCTTCGTTCTATTCTACTTCCTAAAACCACACCCATACTCAAATCGATCCTCGCATCATTCATTCGTTAATTCAACCAAAACAAATAATACCAATTCTTTCGTTGATTTTCCTCTCGGTCCGAATCCAACCCGAACTCACCTAGCCATGTCCGAAGGAGCCAGCACCTCCGCTGCCGCCGCCGCCGACTCCCCTGGTGGTACTAAGGGGAGTGCAGCAAAGGATAGGAGTTGTCCTTATTGCGGTCAAGCATTTACATCTTCGTCATTGGGGAGACATTTAGATTTGTATATTAAGGAGAAGAACCCCAAGGCTCCAGATGGCGTTCACGATGTCGATGCTATTCGGAAGATGCGGGGGAGCATCACCCGTAGGCAGCCAAGAGGTTCCCTTGCTCGGCGAGACGCTTCTACTCCCGGTACTCCGACAACATCAAGAAGAAGTCCTGCTCTTGACTCTGGTGTGAAACAACCTTCCATACCAAAGGAAGGTCAATACGTCGTGGATAATCAGATACCAAAGTACCCATTCCAATTTAGTTGGCAGGCTACCGGCGTGATCAATGATATTCCAGAACCGAACGGAGATACGAGAAGTAACCCAGACGATGGTAATGGCCAGGACTCGAGACGACTTCCTATGCAACGTGCACCGAGTAGAACCGCACAAAAGTCTCAGTTGGATGCAAGGCAGAAGCTCTCCGATGCTATGGACACGGCTCGAGCCGCTGAATTGGCGCTAAGAGAACTGCTCAGTTCATGGCGAGCAGCCAAGTAAGGATAATCTTCCGACCAGACCGCTTATGTTCCATTTGCTAACTGCTTGCGTTACTTAGACAGCAAATAAACATGGACTCTCTACCATTCGACTTCGACCCCCTCTCTCTCGACTTCCCGGCCCTCACGCTTCAGTGTCTTCAAGCACCTCCTACGTTATTCTCTTCCACGCCGCATCCGACATCAACCTCTTGGTCTCTACAACCGCCTGCCCAGAAGCAGTTCGAGGCACTTAAAGTCTACTTCCAAGAAGAGTTCCGAAAATGGAGGCAGGCTTGTGCCTTGACGACTACTGCGTCCCACGAAGACCTCACATTTCCACCGTCGGGCGTATTCCAACCACGTGATGTGCGTGAAGACGTCAAAAGGGCGGAAGAAACGGCAGTGGCGTTGGAATCACAGGTCAACGAACATCTACAATCCGCGTATCACGTATGGGAACTACTTCCTCCGCAAAGAAAAACTGAACTCTGGGGTTTGGAGCTAGCGAGAAGTGTGGGACGAAGACAGAAAGAAGTACACAAGTTGAAGGAGGCACAATTTTCACTCAAGCAGGAGAACGCGAACCTCAAGACTCAGATCGATCAACTCAATCGTCTACAGCAGCCGAGAGAATTTAGGATAGTCCCACCAGCGACGATCCCCATCGAGCAGTCGGTGGTCTCGTATTTCTTAGATATGGCTTCCGGCAAAAACACTGGAATTGGATTCAATATTGAGGATCGCCATGTGGACCTTGATGCTATAGTCTCCCGTTCTATCGATCGGTGGAAGACAGTCATCGTATCGGCAAAGGGTCCTGGTATGGCCGGGCAAAGACCCCTAGACCAAGCAACGCCAACCTCGACTACCACACCGCCCGGTACTGTACTTACAACTCCATCACAAGCCCGTCAACAGCCCCAACAGCCGCAGCAAAGACCCATTCCTGTAGCGCCTACCGCGCAAGTAATCGAACCCCAACCAACAACAGCGACAACTACGACAACCGCATCTAGTGCATCCGGCGCCAATGATGATAATAGTGACCAAGACGCCGATGCTGAAATGGAAGATGACGATAATTTCACGCCTATTACGCCTGCTATCCCCAAGCCGCCAACGACGCAACCGCATCAACAACAGCTGGAGATAATGCGGACTAGAAATCGCGATCAGCGAGCACAGAACACCAACGACTCGCGGTTTGCTGTTAACGGCGCGATGGCTACTCGGGGTATTGATGTGCGGCAAACGATGCAGAACATGAACGTCAATACTGCTGTACAGGGACGTATGCACAATCAACACGGTCATGCTATGATGAATAATGGTGATTTCGGAATTGTTCAAGGCGTTAGCGGCAGCGAGCCGATGTATATGGATGGATAGAAACTCATAGTTCGGTTCAGGCGTTCAAAAAGAAAGAAACAGAAATACTATATAAGGTAACTCGCGCGCGATGATATAAAGATCTTGCTTGCCTTCTAGGGCAGGAATCGCTTTTCGGAAACAGAATTTATATCTACCTACCATACCTATCCTAAGCTTCTGGCATTATTTATCTACCTACCTCGGATACTTACGCATGGTGGTATAGTGAGCATATGAGATTGCTTTATATTCCGCTTTTACGTGTTAATAGATATGGTTTGACGTGCAGCTTTTTGTGCTAATATGTAGTGGATTTGCTTGTGATTCGTGGTGTAGATTGGGTGAAATAGGCTCTTCGGATTCATATACTACTGATATTCACAGGATTCAACGGGATATTTGGAATGTTCGCTATATACTACATGCCTTCGATCAACGTACAGTAGACTATACCTACCTCCAATCCAGACCGAGATATCAATGTATCTTGCGATACTCATTCCCGCAATCTCCAAGCTTATCAAAAAGCGCACTGACTTTCTCCCCGCCCGGCCCAAGTGCTACCGCGTTGATATTTTGCATATCATCGTTGTCGAGCGAGAAACCGAACACTCGCAGATTATCCTCGATATGATCTGAAACGCCGAGTCGAGTTCCTACAATCACGGCGCCGACGGTGGGTTGTTGGAGAACCCAGCGCGTGGCTATGTTCGAGATGCTGACTTTGTGTTTGTCGGCGATGGGAAAGAGGCAGGAGAGGAGGGATTGGAAGGTGGTCCAGGTCCCCCAAGTTTGGATCATGTCGAAGTACTAGGAAGATTAGAGAACGAGGAAAATGAGAGGGGTAAGTGGCTTTCTCACCTTACGCTGCGAGGGCGTCAATTGGTGCGATTCGAGGTACACAGCAGGGGCGGGCTGGTGAAGCCATCGCTCGGACAAGAATCCTCCGCACTGTGGCAGCACGCAAGATGTTAACACACCAACCTACCTACAGAACAGACCACAAACAAGTAACAGGATTTCTTACAAACGAGCCATAAGTTAGTAACTTCAACCCGTACTTCTCACACACACTAACCATCTTCCGCAGCGGCCGCGCATCGACGAGAGAAAACTGGATAGATTGGTTGCGAGCTTAGCTAAGCGAGACACGGTATGTAGGTAGGTAGGGATCCCCCTTATACGTGCATATACGACGCAACATACATGTACATACCTGCACCTGATTCGACACGATGCCGACCGCGCCCGTCTTGGCGATGAGGTACTCGCACGACTCCGCCACGTGCTCGGCGTCGAAGTTGCACAGGCCGATTGAGGATACTAACTCCGGATGTGATTTGCTGATGCGGAGGAGCTCAGTGAGGATGGGGAGGTATTCTTTGTCTTCGTACTGGTTTTTCGTGAGATTTATTAAGGGGGTGGAAAGGGGGAAGAGGAGGGGGGTTACATACGTTCTGCCAGTGGAATTGTAATAGCTCGACTCGACCGCCTAGTCGGCGGCATCGCTCGCGGACTGCGTCGAGAACAAAGGATGGTGGTATTGGGGTTGGGACGGGTGAGAATATGCACTGAAGTAACCGCAGTTAACAGCTGTCTTCTACGTGGTCCATTTCACGATCTCATATTCAGAGTAAACGAGTAAACATACCCATTTAGTTGCAGCATACACCTTATCCCGAATTTCAGGGGTAAGCCTATTCCTAAAATCGCCGTAGATAAGTTCCGCGTCACCCTAAGCAGTGAATCCATTAGAGATAAAAAATATATGGGAGTTCTCTAATTGCTTACATAGTGATCCGCCATATCGGCCGCTGTCATGCCAAAAGATACCGCTTGGGCCAATGCTGTCTCTTGCTCTCGAGCGCCCCCGGAACCCCACGATGGTGAAGACACCTGCCATAAGCCATTGAACAATCTGGGCATTTCAAAGGGTCCGAGAGAGAAAGTCCCCACTACATGCCCTCCGGCAGCTCGTGTAGGTATAGCGATGGTAGCTTGTTTAGCGTTGTTAAATGCCGAGGCATCACGCGCGAATAGGATATCCATTACATCGCAAACCTGCCGTCTAGAGCGCGTGAAGGGGAATGTTAAAGGAGGTTGGGCGGATTCGCAGTACCACTCACAGACCTTAAAGATGCCGAGGAGACTGTTTAGGGAACTTAACAGTTTCGGGCTCGGTTCCGGTCGCGATTCTTTGAGCGCTTGTACCGCTTGAATGACGTCCCCGTCGAATTTCGCCAGCACCGCTGTTAATTTGCTATTTTCGGTCCACTAGAGTATATGAGATGAGCTATCATCGCTATAAAGAGGGTATCGATATAAGAATCGAGTAAACCAACCCTGGCGTTCGCCTGCGGGATAGCTTGTATGAAGTGCTCTAGGCTATAGCAATTAGATATAGTATCTTCATATCGACATCACTAGGGGTATGATATATCTCACTAAGGGAGTGATTCCTTGGCTAATTTGCACGAGAATATGCATCTCGTCTGAGCAAGGTATTCCAAGCATGCGGGAGCAACAATATCATGCCCGGGGAACAACTCTTCCGGAGTAGTAAATGACGGCGGGTTCTCGAAGAACTTGGCACGGACATGTTTGACGAAAGGTTGCTGAGTAACGGAGCCCTGGGAGACGAGGAGGCGAAGAGCTGATCTTAGAGTAGCCGGTGGTACTACATCCCTTTCTTGTTAGAATATAGAACACCGACATGATACCGTACATTGCAAGGTCATATCGACGACAAACAATTTAATATCAGACAGTCGTCCATCATATTCCTTTAAACTGTAAGCGTGGATCTAAATGACGGGTTGGAATTGGACGACATACACGTGGCCCGCCATAGCTAATACTTTATGCCCTACGTCTACGATAAAGACAATTCGGTTTTGGAATTATGCTTAGTTATACACGATTCGATGAAGTGAAGACGTTGTAAACCGTCCATGATTACCGAAACCATTTCGGGAGGATGCCGAAAGGTGGGTTATGTTGCATTTGCTCCCTTTCTAACCTTCTTACCTGCACTTCCCGGATTTGGCTTACCGCGATGGTGATTAGTAAGTTACAGATGACGATGAAAGGTGTCACAACTATAATATTCTAGTTTTTCGAACCTTTCTGCCGCGCGAAATGCGTGCATAGGACGAAAGGGCAGGAAGGGTGAGGTGGTTGAGAGTTATATCTAGAGCTCATATTTTTACTTGAGATTAATGTCTTTTGAATGGTGGATAATTGATCATTGAGGACCAGATTTTGCTTGTTGCTTGACTAGTGTTACCAATTTTAGCCGCATCGATTGGATGGCATCAGTTATATTGTCGAGCATCGAGTTCCGCTCTGCACCTATTGTTTCAATATGGGTTTCAATGGAAGCTGGAATCGCTATAATCCGGAGGTCTTCAGCCGCGCCTGCCTCTTCTAGGCTGAGCATGGGAGATCTACGAGTGATTGAAAATCATTGTGTGGGATCCTACTATTGCTCGGCCTAACAGGAAGACTTATGAAACGACGAAATAGGGGGAAGAGGGGGAGTGCGCTGAGATTTGCTCGCCGTGAATGTCATGGGGTGATTCTCATTGCGTTAAAATGACTGATGCAAACGAAGTTGGCTGTCAGCATAACCAGCTGTAGGCACACCGCTAACTCGATGAAGTGAGTAGAATCGAGATTATGGAGACAGGGGACGGAACCATCCCCGTCATTATTTATTGGACAGAACGGTGCATCGGTACGTTAAGCAACAAGGCTTCGCTTTGACCTTTGAGGACTTTTTACTTTACGAGAGAGCGAATCGATATAGTCGACTGTTCTACCCGAAGAGGACGAAGGAGGGTATACGCGTAATAGGTAGTTAATCACACATCAAAGATGGCCTGCGCCGCGATTATACGTAGATATCGCGCATTATGATATCGTTGTTGAGTTGTTTTTGGGGGGTATAACAGTGAGGCTGTAGAAAGATCGTGAACCAATTCTCAGATTCACCGATCCTTGCCACGGAGGATATACCGACACCCCGGTACAGGGTCCTTATGCATGAAGACAGGGGACGACGGGACATTTGGAGATCGAAAAGCGGAGAACATCGCCTAACATCGAAATTGGAAAAGGTCCATGCGGAGAAGCTGGCTTAGCTTCGTGGATCCTAGTATAAAGGAGACGGGGACCTTATCTTTTACCTAGGCAATGGGTCTGTTTTCCCCCTCCCTATTCGTCCAAGCCTCTGCGACAAGATAAGGACTGGAGAATGGTCGGTAATATGCACTATGATAATGGAGATATGCCGACTTACCTTCTAAGAAACCAAAACGTCCTTCGCGTCTTTGAGTTCTGTTTGTCGATCCGCCGGTAGTTGAGCTTTCCAAGAAACGCGGGTAGATGAATCTATATATAGACACCACGAAAGACCCGCAATGTGTAGCTCCCGTACATCGAAATCGTCATCCTCCACAACACGAGTTCCGCGAACGCGTACTGGGTGCTGGACCTGCCGGGATCGAAGTGTCAAATGTGATGGTACGCTATAATCCTGAAGAAAAGACACCATTCCTATCTGGTCTTACAATGGGCTAAGATATAGCGGAAATATAGAAGCTAGACCGCGTTGCGGCAAATGCCATAAGGCAAATCTAACGTGCCAGTATGGCATTCGCCTCCAATGGTTAGAGGATTCGGTTGCTCGTGGAATTCGCCATGGTCGCGAGGGGGCATGGCGTCCAAAACATAAAGATGTACCTCCTGAGGTGCGTTTCGAAGAATCGCCCGGCTCGACGAGGTATCGCGCTAGGTTAAAAGGTGTCGCCTATTTCTTGAATACTTTTTCAAGGGATATTGAACTCTACTGGCATTCGCAGGCGTGTAAAGAAATCCTTGATGATATAACCATCTACAAGGAAGCCGAAAACGACGATGAGGATGATTGGATAGAACAGCAATTAGTTGCTCGTGCGCACGTAAAAGAACACTTCGGATTAAACTCGTCTCGATGTTACGACAAGTTTGGCTCGCCCAGGTGGAAACCAACATCTCCAGTTGGGAGTTCCATTGGATTTTCTTGTCGAATGACCCAACTCGATGATTATATACTCAAATATTATAATGCGGTCGTCTGCGCCAGCGCTTCTCTTGTTGACGATCAACGTCATAACCCACTTCGATATCTTATCCTTCCGATGGCTGCGCATTCTAATACTGTCTTCGCTGCCTTGCTCGCTGTGGGCGCGGTGAAAATGGCTTATAACGACCCAAGATACCTTCATAGGGCGCTAGTACATCGTCAACGAGTATTGACAGACCTCAACAAGTTTATACAAGGCTCCCTATCCGATACTTCCAAATGTCTAGAAGCACTTGTCTCGGCCGTCATGCTTTGTTGGTATGATGTAAGTTGCCTTACCGCTATTCTGTTCGTACCCGGCTGATTGACTCTGATTTCCAGATTAGCGACCAATGCAGGGCAACTTGGACAAGCCACATTGTGGGGATCTCCGGACTTCTTGATGCTTGCCAGGGACAAGCTAGCCGTTCCCCTGGCCACGAAACACTACTACAATTTAGCCAGCAATACCTGATGTATCATTTGGTTATGGCCAAAAGTACATTGCATGTTGATGGCGTAATACCGAATTCCAAATCCATCCTATCAAGACTGATAGGCGTCTCCTCATCTCCGACGAGGAATCGTGACGATCGAGATGGCGTGCATGAGCGAGCGCCTCGTAACTCTACGTCCGTAAATGAGGAGCCTGAAGAACGAATAGAGCCCTGTCTCGCAAGTTTCTTCTTGGATAATGAGTTGGACGAGATTGATACTCATCAAGGATTTTCTAATCGCCTGCTTTTATTAATTAATGACATATGCGACCTACGCGATTCCGAATGTTCTGGTAAGGCCGGCGATGCCAATGCGGATACATCGGCATTAGAACGCAGAGTAATACAGATTCAATCTCAACTCGAATGCCTAACACAGGTGCCACCGAAAAGCGTCTTGCAATCCTCAAGGGATCGCAGAGAAGATTACCAAACACAACCTCTACTCAACGAGTTTCATAAGCGCAGGTTGGAATTGATCACAATGACAGCAGAAACAAACAGACTGGCTGCGCTTCTTTTCCTGGACGAAACCTGTGGCACACATTTTCCCCATATAATACCCCGTTGCAGAAAAAGCCGGCCTGATTTCATTCAGAAAGTCCTGTCGCTGATCCAAGATATCTGCGACACTGGACCAATAACGGCAGCCCTTCCTATCTGGCCCGTGTTTGTGGCTGGCTGTATGGCTTCTAGCGATGATATCCGCTTACAAGTATTAGAGATATTTGATAAATTTCAGCGTCAGAAGAAATTTGGTGTGAGTAAACTAATGATAGTTCGTAATAAATATAACTAACATAATTATTTCAGAGTCTTCCGCCAGCGTTAGCAGTCATTCGGATGGTCTGGAACCAGCGGGATCTAGGCTGTGATGAGAACCCTCGGAAGGTGTCTTCTCCTATATCGGTCTCGGATTCTACCGGCACAGGGAATGGTAAGAAGGACAAGGGGGCGCGATACTCTTGGGAACGTGCAATTTCCATGCTAGGAGGGTCGTCATTACTTAGTCTCACGTAAATAATAATAGGAATAAAATTTGATGCCATCACCACATGCATTACCTGCGCCTATAATTAAACTAAATATCGTCTCAGGCCCATAACACTAAGAGACGCATAAGACATGAGCAATTAAACTATCAGTCGAGGCAAGTTTAGGTTGATAGAATAAAGCTCTATATCTTATGTCACGATACGATTTACTTGTGACTCATACAGAAATGATATAAAAGAGTCAACAGAACCTAGCACCTCATTCTCAACCCGTAACCACACAACATCAACATTGAGTCCATACCACATCTACTCAACATATCAGCGACAAGACCCTGTATTTCTCCCACTTCTGGCTTCTAGCTTATATAACTCTGCATCGTCCTACGAATCACAGAATGGTTCCCGATTTCTGGCAATTCTATTTTAACGAGAGCGACAAAACCTATGGTAAGTCGTTCTTTAAATAAATTAATATTGTTTTATTGTTAATCCTTTTAGCCAACCAGTAACCGTACGATTGCATATACGACTTTAAAATCTTATCAAACGGCTTTGCTTGGATGGCATCTGATTGTATTAAATAGTTGGGTGGATTCTAGTTCTGGTTAAGGTGGCTCAGATATCTATTCATAATTCTATCAACTCAGGAATCCTTTTTAGGTCTATATTACCACCACTAACTACCAATCCCAAGTTAAAAGTTGTATCAATTCCTTGTTCCCTTTCTATCATGCCTCTGAAGTCTTCATTGTATAGAGCCACTGCAAGAGGCACCGCAGAACTCGGCTCAATTAAGATCTTCATACGTTGCAACACTAACCCGAGCGCACGGCGAATCTGGTCATCCGTCACAGCGAATACACCAGCAACATGTTTCGGATCGCTTATGACAGACCACGGTATGGCACCAACTGGAGTACGCAACCCGTCCGCGATAGTCAAACTAGATACCTTTTCAATCCGTTTCCCCTCTAACAAGCCCCGGCGACAATCATCAGCGCCATCTTGCGACGGTTCTGACCCAAATACTTTAACGCCCGTGCCCTGACAGCTTAGGGCTACCCCGCTAAGCATTCCCCCGCCCCCGCATGGCGTCATTATAGCATGTAATGCCTCCCCCTCAGGCAGTATTTCAGCGGCCTGGTTCTGTAATTCTAGGCCTAACGTTCCCTGTCCGAGGATAGTGTCTGGGTGATCGTACGGCGGGACGAATACGTTGTGGAAGTTGGTATCGGACATCAATGCATCAACTACTTTTAACCGTTCTTGAGGTGTCGGACCACTGAAATGCACTTCTGCGCCATAAGATCGTGTTGCTGCGATTTTGGCAGGTGTTGAAATAGACGGCATCACAATGTGTGCTGGGAGTCCAAGTTCACCAGCTGCTAAGGCTACGGCTTGTGCGTGGTTTCCGGATGAATGGCTTATTATCCTAACTGGAAGTTCTGACGCTGTGTTTTTACGCGCTTGCTCTTCGGTGAATCGAAGGAGTGCGTTGAATGCACCTCGTGGCTTGAAGGCGCCGATTCTTTGGAAGTTTTCGCATTTGAAGAGTAAACACAATCGCGGTTTGGCTGGCTCTTGGCCCTCCCATTCTGTTCCTTTAAGGGACTCGGGGCTTTGAGGCGTGCTTGCGACGCTGTCGATGTATTTACTGGATAGTACTGGTGTGCGGTGGACGTGTCCGCTGATGCGATGAGCGGCGTCTTGGACGGATGCTCTTGTTAGAGGTGGGCAGGTGTTTATGTCTGCCATGGTGATAGGGGCAGGGGAGAAGTGGAGAAAAGGAATAAGAAAAGAAGAAAAAGTTAAGAGGGAAGAGAAGAGAAGAAGACAGAAAGAGGAGAAAGGGTAGCAAGATCGTGGTGGTATCAGTGTTTCCAATCTCGAAAAGCCGAATTGTCTATCCTGGATCGGCAGGGTGCGATAAAAGGCGAATGTGTCACCAAGGATGAAATAATACTTGTCATTTGATAATTATGGTAACTATTACCTAACTTTACGATACGGCTGGGCACCGGAATGCTTATACTTCTCCTCACTATGAAATCAGAAGGCATTTTGAGCTAATCTTTCCAGCGGTTTAGTTGGAGATATCGTGTTGCAAGTGAAGGTCGAAGCGAAAGGCGTGGGGCCTACGGCGCCGCTAAAATAGACCAGACTCAAGCAACGAATCAAAACATCCATTATTTCCATTCAAGGCAATTGGTAATTGTTGAGAATCTATGAGATATCTGCGACCCTTGTCTTAGGTGATAGTAGTTGAGGGGCGCTTGGGTATCCTCAATACTATTATCGGGTATTGCTCCATCCAAGAAACTCGATCTAAATCCTAATGACCTTCACCACCAATCCTTCACGCGGTCAATGAACGGGTATTCGGGATCAGAGAATTATTCGAGACCATCCTTCACCCCCCCCCAGAACGTCATGTCAGGAGCAACACCGAAGTCCACCGAACAACCAGCCAAACCCCTGGCGTCCTACTCATTGATACGCAAGGTTCCTTTTGATCCGCCTCATCAGCAATTCTTATACATATCCGGAACCACAGCACGGCTTTCCGACGGGCAGATCCCTCCGTATGGCTATCAGCTCGACGACTCTGTAGCACAAGATGTTGCAGCGGCGACACAGACGGAAACTATATTCTCTAAGATCGCTTCAGCTATTGACAACTCATCTGGTGGAGCTGCGGGCCTAGAGTCTCTTGTGGAGATGACGATTTTCGTCACGAATTTAGAGAAACACTATGGCGCTGTGAACAATGTTTATAATAGAGTTATTGGGAAACTTTTTCATGAAAAGGGGCTTCCGCTGCCGGCCAGAACTTGTGTGCAGGTCAGCGGCATGCCTCCCGATGCAAGAACGTTGGTGGAGATAAAGGGAATTGCTGTTATATCATACACATAAAACTTTTATAGAAGCTAGAGTTGTCGTGAATACCCAAGTGAAGCTTTTGACGGAGTAATATGAAAGGGTCGATTACCTAATCTTCTATGAGTCACACAGAGAACGGGATACGGAGGTTGGAAGAATAATGGAGGGACGTTTGGTAACTTAATATGATATATTTAAGTTACTTGTTTGTTCCTGTATGAATCTCCCAGCTGCCGTATCAGATTATAGACTAATATGTATATCTGAAGTTGGGCTTCTCTTTATCGGTCTTATCCGAAAATGCCTCTCGTATCTTCTCTTCCTCTGTTTGGGGTGCGGGTCCTCCTCCCTGTAACTTATTGCGCCTGGCGTTGTCCCAATAGCAAAGCAAACCATATATTGTGATAGATACGGCGCCAACAATCAACGATGCCAGAAGCCCAATATAACCTCGATGATATTCTGGAGCGTCATCGTCACGGAAAACCTGCGGCCCCAAGATATTTCCAACGCAATAACCTATAAAGAACATAGCGTTCAACGTGACCTTTTTAGTGTGCCCTGATGTGTTCGCCATGGGAAGGGATGTACACATAGTGTAAGGCGCCCAGTAGGAATAAAATGCGTAGTATGCTCCCAATAAGCTGAGCTTGTTATCTGAAGGTAGTTTCCACATAAGGATAGCTGATGCCATGGGGAACATAATCGCGATGACGATGAGTACACACCGCCAACCTGGCAGGCGACTTGCGGTAATATTTAGGATCAGAGACCAAAGGGTGCCGACGACGCCGGTAGGAACGCCTAGGAGGGTTGTGTCTAATGTGCTAAATCCCATGCCGTTGACGATAATGGCTGCAAATGTGACTAGACCACCTATAATATAATTGATATCAGCATATTTTTATTTTTTGATATATAGGAGTCGGCCTGTAACTTACCATTCGGAATATTGATGGCGCAGGCGAAAATGGAGATCAACCAAGATCTAGGGTCCATAAGACATTCCTTAACCTGGTACCATTTCATTTTCTTATCCTCGATACCGGTGTTACTTTTCCGCACCCGTTCTAAGCACACATACTTCTGGCGGTCGGTTAACCACCAAGCTTCAACTGGAGAACTCGGCAAAAAGATGTAGAGAATTGCTGCCCAGAGAGTAGTAATCGCTCCGAGAATAAAGAATAGCAATCTCCATGGCGCAACATTGGAGTTGCTGTGACCAACGCCGTATGAGAACAACCCTGTTATGATGGAAGATAGTGTATTGAACCAGATCGCGACTCTAATCGGTTGTTCATCGATAGTCCACCACATAGTCGATACCAAGGTGCAGATGGGGAAAACCACAGCTTCGAAAATACCCACTAATGCCATTGTTAACTTCGGAATTCCTTTTACTCAAGACATTGAAAACTTAAGAAGACTTACTGAGAAATCGAACAGATGCTAGGCTTGCAAAGCTAGTTGCCCCTCCAGTACCGAACGAAAGAGCCGCCCAAGCGAGAACTGTTGCAGCATAGAATGTCCGAAGTGGAAGCTTCTGAATTAGAACATTACTAGGCCATTCAGCGGCCAAGAAACCAAAGTAGAAGATAGATCCGACCCAAGAAAACTGATTTCCAACTAGATTGGTATCTTTGCGCATACCGTAGATGGCGGCGTTGGATATGATGACCTTGTCAACTGCTGCGATAATAACGGAAAATGCGAGAAGAGGGACTATGATAAGGTCGATCTTCCATAGTAGCCGGCGGGACTCTTCCTTGGTGATAGGCTCGTTGATGATGGATGGGTCGAGTGAGGCGAGGAATCGAGCCGCGACGTCAGTGTCGCGCTCCAAGCGTGACAGGTCGCCGACGCGATGACTTGCAGTTTCGGCATCGTGAAGTGCCTCTTGTTTCTGATCTAATTGATTCTCGTCTGAGTGAGACATGATGTCACATTCAAAAGTTTTGAACAGTGTAGTTTCGAGTTCTGCCAAATGTCGAGGTGATCAACAAGCACAAGTGGTGAACAAAAGCGACGCCGTGTTGTTGATTTGTACTTCGTCTATCATAAGCATTATCTCACACCTATGGCATATCTTTCCCGGACCAAGATCTCAAGAAATACCAAGGCCTGCTGATCTATTACATCGACCATGATATCCGTGTAGTCCGACGATAAGCCAGCTGAATGAGCTTCTAGATTCTCGCCGAGATAGTTAGATGGGTTGGACGGAAGCTCCAGGCGAACAGACGCGCAACATTACCCAGATTTGGGCATGCGACGTTCTGGGGGGTCTGATAACGAGAACCCCGTCTTTGGGACCATACTATACTGGTTTCTCACTAGCTTACCAATGGATCGCCGCGGGACTTGGGGAAGACCCCATTCAGAAAGTTGGAGTTTATAATAAGATATCAAGGTATTTCCAAGGATTCCTAGCTTTAATGCTCGAATTATTCTAAGCGCCCAATTACGTATAGTGTTATTATGCCGTTGGTTCTTGTCTTGTGTAATTATGGTTACATTGAAAAGGGGGCTATACGCTGATGTGGTGGGGAAACTCCTTTCCAGCGTTTGACCGTTGAGTGAGAATATGAGCTGTCATTTTTGTAGCCGACAGGTTGAAAAACATTTTTACATTAAAATGTCGTTGATAGGAAATTCGTAAATCATATTTAGTAAATGGGCACCTTGATGCTCTACTCGGTAGCCGTAGACTTATGAACGCCAGCATTTTCGGCATTTATTTTTCTCCAGCATCTTTTGAGATGACTAGGTAGAAGAAACGTCTACCTAATAAATATGCTACTGGCTTGTCTAGGCGCGTGTATTGAGGGGATATTTGTCATAATAATTCGAGATTACAGTCGCGCACGGGGTAAACCAACAAGCTCTTGTGTCGCTGTATCACCACGCCAAGTGCTGCCCTCCTTAATTCGCGAACTATCTTTCCATCGCCACTTCGCAATATTTTGCGAGCCATTCTCCAAGATATCTTTGACAAAGTCCCCGAAAATCGGGAGCATTTTGAACCCGTGGCCCGAGTCCCCGGAAAGCACGATAAGCGAAGCGTTGGTGCCTGGAACGTAGTCAATGATGTAATCCGAGTCGATTGTGTCTGCGAACCAACAAAGATGTGCATCAATTAATGGGCGATCTGCGAATTGAGGAAGGACTTCCCGAAGCAACGTTCGAATGTAAGCCTCGTCGTCTAGTGGGATGAACTGCGAGTCTTCGAGTTTCGCGAACGGAAGAGATAGCCCATTTTTGGACGAAGCAAAGTTTGTGAATCCGCCACCCATATGGCAGAACTTGAGCTTATTGGTAGCCCTATCTGGTTCGAAAAAGAACGCAAGGTCTCGAACATTAGTGACAGGTATCCCTCTTAGAGCTTCCGCCTCAGAAGGTGTTAACTGGATATGCACGACGCCCCAACAGCGACCCGTGACTTGAGGTCCAATCTGAGGCACCAGTCTCGACACATCAGCTCCCATTGCCAGTATAATCTTGTCTGCGCGGTATGTCTTTTGGCGCGTTTTGGCTCCTACACACACCTTTCCAGCTGGTCTGGAGGCATACACCAGTCCTGTAACATCTCCATCACTTCCGAGGACAAATTTCACACCTAACTTAACGCAGTCTTCATAGACAGCTTTCGAAGCGTCTGCTGAATGGCCGTATCCAGCCATTTTATTGAAATATCCCGTCCATCCTGCTGTTGGGCCACTAAACGCTGGAGCAACCTTCTTCACATCTGCTGCGCCATTAATAGTCGAGAATTGCCCTTTAAATGCCGGATGCCCCTTGATTGAGGTAAGATAGTTCGTAACCACGTCCTTAGTTACTTGCGCGGCCTTATCTGACGTAACATTCAGAAAACCAGTCTCATGATAATGAGGCCTGTATAGCGGGTCACTCCGCCATTTTTGAATGGCTTTCTGCGACGCGAGTTAGATAAAACGAGAGAGAAAAAAGAAATAAATAAGAACAATTAAAAGCAAAGGGGCCTATCGATTTACTTACTACGCTGAGATCTGTATAGAAAGAATCCGCATATTCGGCGCGGATAACTTTGTTAAGGTCATTGGCAGCAGAGAAGCGACTTGGGACTACGTCGTCTTTTTCCAGCATTGTGACATTGTAATACCCGGCCAAGGCTAGCCTATGCGCTGTAGCTAGGCCGAAACACCCCGCGCCGATGATCAAGATAGTTGATTTGGTGGGATCTTGTCCAGGCATTGCGAAAACTGATAAAGGAATTTACTATGGTGATTTTCTACCCAAGAGATCTATGCTAGCTAGAATCTCAAGCGATATCACTATGTTACGTGTATGCCCTTTTGTATCGGTACTTTAGGTGGGATATTTGCCGCCGTTGTCGAAGAAAATCGGAAGGGTCCGATCGACACAAATGAGACCATAGACACGCGTTTTGATGTGACAAACGGATATTCTGAAGCTCTATCATTGTGGGCACGTGGAGAACTCGGGAGATGTTCTCTATCTAGACTTCGAAGGGGGTATGGTATATGGTGAAGGTGCAGGCGAAAATGGTGGACTAGACTTGAATAGACGATGGTGAACATTATGGAGACAACTTAAGTGCCTAACGTAGCACTATATCTAGTAGGTTCGAGGTTATGATATAGGGCCCATTTATGGGGGGCGGGGTTCTATCAGGCCTTCACACCCTTCGCCTAGGGTCGGATATTTAGTGTGTAGTTCCCTTGGCACTGTCGCCTCGACCTTCCTATCAGCGCCCGGTGTGTACCACCGCATCGGAGAAGGGAGGGGAAGTGTTGGTGGTAATGGAGACGACGGTGAGATGGGGTAGATACGTCAAACCAACCAGCTCAACTAAGCTGACCCGACCGGTATCATCGGAGTCAGCCTCTGATCGTTTCGACCTTCCGATGATTCACGGCTCTTATCCGACTTCAAACAATCTTGCATGTCCGATGTCAGTGCGTTTTTATATATAAGAGATACGGCCCCTGTCCGCTTTACCCCGGTATGTCTTGATTACGACAACACATCTATTTGGCATGATATTCGGTTGAATCCAAGTTCTGCAATTTCGTTATTACTTTCTAAATGGATCCCAACGTCGCTCAGGGGTCAGGCCCCAAGCTTAAAATAAAGATTGCCATTGGTAAGTTATATACTTGCGCTGCGGGCCGTAATGCTAACACGAGACAGATAGGGGTGGTACTTTCACCGACTGTCTCGGTATCATCGAAGGACGAGAAGAGGACATTCTTGTTAAAATTCTGTCTCAGGATCCTTCGAACTATGAAGATGCGCCTATTGAAGGAATCAGACGTATTCTCGAGAAGGCGACTGGAAAATCTTTCCCTCGCAATGTACCAATTGACACTTCTCTATTCGAGGATCTTAGTATCCGTATGGGTACGACCGTCGCAACAAATGCATTGCTGGAACGCAAAGGCGAGAAGGTCGCTCTTCTAATTACCGAGGGGTTCTTGGATAGTTTAGAAATTGGTCTACAGTCGCGACCGAAATTGTTTGATCTGCATATTGTTCGGCCGGATGTCCTGTACAAAAAAGTCGTTGAGGTAGCTGAAAGGGTTACTATAGAAGGCTACCAACAAAATCCCTTCTACGAAGAAGAGTCTTTAGCTATCGCTAAAGCGGCCGAGGCCGATTCAAGCCTGGTTCAAGGTATTAACGGTCAATATATACGAATTCTGAAGCCTTTGGATAAGGAACGGGTTAGAGCAGATCTGGAAGGCCTCTACAATGAGGGATTCCGCAGCATATGTGTCTGCCTCGCCCATTCATACACGTTTCAAGGTGCGTGAGAGCCCAGTTGATATTTTCACAACTTTGCAGGGAGTTGACATATATACTAGATCATGAACGAGCGGTTCGAGAAATAGCATCGGAGGTCGGGTTTACTCAAGTAACACTGTCCTGTCTCACCCTGCCGATGATCAAAATGATTTCGAGAGGCATGTCGGCAACCGCGGACGCTTACCTCACACCCGTTATCCAACAATACATCTCCGGATTTCAATCCGGTTTCACAGATAGGCTCCAGTCGGCCAATACACGTTGCGCTTTCATGCAAAGTGATGGAGGGTTAGTCGACGTGAGAAAGTAAGTCTCACCCAGCTCAAATGGAGACTCAATGCTGACAATATTCAAGGTTTAGCGGTCTTCGCGCCATTTTGTCCGGCCCTGCTGGAGGTGTCGTTGGCCATGCTGGCACTAGTTACGACCCCGAGGATAAAATCCCCATCATTGGATTTGATATGGGTGGTACAAGCACCGATGTCTCTCGCTTCGATGGTATCTTCGAGCACACTTTCGAAAACATCACGGCCGGCATAACCATAATGGCCCCGCAATTGGACATCAACACAGTTGCGGCTGGTGGTGGTAGTATTCTACATTGGAGACATGGCCTTTTTGCCGTAGGCCCCGATTCCGCCGGTGCGCATCCCGGTCCAGCATGTTATCGCAAGGGAGGTCCGCTAGCTATTAGCGATGCGAATGCCCTTACCGGTCGCCTCCTGCCGGATTACTTCCCCAAGATCTTTGGAAAAAGCGAAAGCGAGCCTTTGGATGTTGAAATTACCCGAGTCAAATTCGCTGAGCTTGCTGCTCAAATCAATTCGGAAACGGGCCAAAACAAGACCCCGGAGGAGGTCGCGATGGGATTCATCGAAGTCGCCAATGAGACGATGGCGAAGCCAATTCGCGCGTTAACTGAAGCCCGTGGATTTGACACGGTAAGTGTAGTAATGTCGTGTTTAATTCTTAGCGCCCCCTATTTCTCACCTTTATTTCCCCTACGGGAATGCGAAGGATCGGGTTACTAATAAAAGTGCTTCAAAATAGTCAGCTCATCACCTCGCCTGCTTCGGTGGCGCTGGAGGACAGCATGCTTGCGCCATTGCGGCATCATTATCGATCACCAGAGTCATAATCCATCGCTACTCCTCCATTCTATCAGCATACGGTATGGCGCTTGCTGAGCTTGTTCATGAAGCCCAGAAGCCATGCTCCGGAGTTTTTACCACTGCCGAATCTGTCTTACCAACAATCGGAGAGTTGAAAGCCGAAGTGACGAAAGAGCTAGAGCTCGACGGTATTTCGAAGGACCGCATAAATTACGAGGTCTACCTCAACCTGAGATACCAAGGAACCGACAATAACCTCATGATCTTAGAGCCGGCAGATGGTGACTATCTTGCAGAATTCACCCGCCAACACCAGCGGGAGTATTCTTTCACATTTCCAGATAAGAATGTCTTACTAGAGGACATCCGCGTCCGTGGAATTGGACAATCTATGGACAGTTCAAATGAATCCCCGAACCGGGAGCTTGCTTCCGTGGAAAAATTCAACATGGCCAAGGCTGGCGAGGATGGCAGGTCCTCTGTCTACTTCGCTGGGTTCGGATGGACGGATACGCCAATCTACCTACTCCAGAACCTGAAGCCTGGTTGTGTCATACAAGGTCCTGCTACCATTATCGACAACACCCAGACTATAATCGTGGAACCCCTAGTTAAGGCAACGATTCTGAGTCGCCACGTTATCCTCGATCTCCCTTCTAAGAGGACACAGACATTAAGTGCGACCGTGATCGACCCGATTCGACTTTCGATATTCGGACACAGGTTTATGTCGATCGCCGAACAAATGGGAAGAACTTTCCAAAAGACATCAGTGTCCACCAATATTAAGGAACGCCTCGACTTCTCTTGTGCGCTCTTCTCCCCTGATGGCCGTCTTGTCGCCAACGCGCCTCACGTTCCCGTCCATTTAGGCTCGATGGAATACGCCGTCAGATTTCAGAACGAGAGATACCGCGATACCCTGAAGCCCGGGGATATTCTCTGTAGCAATCATCCAATCGCTGGAGGTGTGCATCTTCCGGATATAACAATTATGACTCCAATATGGGATTCCGAAGGGAAAGACATAATCTTCTGGGTTGCAAGCCGAGGTCACCATCCTGACGTCGGCGGAATAAGTCCCGGATCTATGCCCTCGAACAGTAAGTTCTTGTACGAAGAGGGGGCTGCCACTGTGAGTTACAAGATCGTCAGTGGTGGTATCTTTAACGAGAAAGAGACGCGCCGATTCTTATACGACGAGCCCGCTCAATACGCCGGATGTAGTGGATCTCGCAACTACAAGGATAACCTCTCAGATATGCGCGCCGCAATAGCCGCGAACAGAAAGGGCGCCAACTTGATCGAAGCGCTCGTAAACGAGTTCACATTACCCGTAGTCCACGGGTACATGAACGCAATAGCAGAGAACGCCGAAACCGCAGTCCGAGCTTTCCTGCGCTCAACAGCGGCAAAGCTGAACGGCAAACACCTTTCCTTCCAGGATTATATGGACGATGGTTCCATGATATCGCTGAATATTCGTATCGATGGGGAGACAGGAAGCGCAGTATTCGACTTCACGGGTACATCGGAAGAAACGCTTAACTGCCTCAACGCCCCGAAGGCAATTACGCACTCATCCGTTATCTATTCGCTCCGATGCCTCATTAACCAAGATATACCACTGAACCAGGGCTGTATAGCACCGATCAACATCATCCTACCCGAAGGCACGATTCTTAATCCCTCACCCTGGGCTGCCGTCTGCGCTGGGAATAGTATTACATCCCAAAGAGTCACTGACGCAATTCTTGGTGCGTTCCACGCCGTATCCGCATCCCAAGGATGTGTAAATGTATTCGGATTCGGTATGGGTGGGACGGATGATACGGGGCATGAGGTACCCGGCTTCGGTTACATCGAGACGATCGCTGGCGGTTCGGGTGCCGGTCCGGGTTGGCATGGCGCTTCGGGAGTTCACACAAATATGTCGAATACGCGATGTGCGGACCCTGAGGTATATGAATTACGATACCCTGTCATCCTTCGTAGGTGGACTCTTCGGAAAGGATCCGGTGGAGCGGGTAAATACCATGGAGGGGATGGTTGCATTCGTGACGTCGAGTTTCGAATCCCACTCTCAGTCTCTGTTCTTAGCGAACGACGTGTTATGCGACCGTACGGTTTGGAAGGAGGCGAGGCTGGGGCAGCGGGGAAGAATCTGTATATCAAAAAGGAAGAGGGCGGTATAGAGCGAATGATTAATATCGGAGGTAAGATGGAATTAAGCGTGGTTCCCGGCGAGAGAGTTATTATTCACACGTAAGTATTAACACTGATCCACCCCTCTTCAAATGAAACTGACGGCATCATCTATAGTCCCGGTGGCGGCGGATGGGGAGCGATGGAGCTGAATGGGACAAATGGACTCGTGTCCAATGGAATCCTGGCGAACGGGAAACCTTTGAATCAATTTGAACCACGAGGAAGTGTTCATAATTGGACACTAGCTGCTGAGGGCATATAAAGATGTAAACCAAATCAAATCAAGTGAAGAAAGATATAGGATAATTTAATTGACCTACCTAGGGTGCTTTGCGTTGTGTAAAAAATAAGGCTACGCGCTAAAACACTGTAACTATAGCGGTTGAAACCTGTGAATCGGGGGAGGGAGAGTCGTCTAGTGGTACCTGTATAGCGTGCACCATAGTGGATATTCTAGGGAAACGTCATTAAATTTAGCGCATCTAGCATTTGATTCTTGCAACCTGCTAACCCGCCCACGGTTAGGGAGCGCTAGCGACATCTAGAAGCCCTATTCCACCACTAATCTAGCACCCTAGGCACCTAATTACCAGGGCTGTCTAGGTACCTAGGTAACCAAAGCGTGTTATATTTATAACAGTAACTCACTATAACTTTTTGTTTTAGTACCGATAGATATCTACCATTCGTCTTCTTTTTCCTTTTCCTTTTTTTTCTCTTCCTCTTCGTCTTCCTTTTCACCTTCTTCTTCAATATCTTCATTGATTATATAAGGAAATGAATTGAGTAGACAAACTAGTGAAGCATGCTGGGTACGATATTTACAATTCCGAACGCTATTATCTCCAAAACACCACTACCCCCCTACCCACATCGCCGGCGCCTTCCTTCTTAACCTCTGGATAACATGATCATCAGAACGGGGCCCACAGCCATCGCCAAAACCAAGACAACGGCCAAGAACATTAACACCCACAGCTTCAGCCACCTCATCTCCAGAGATTGGCGAATGACTTCCGCCCGGCTATCCGGGGCCGCAGCGAGGAAAGGACTAATGTAAAACGTTTAGTATTAATAACAACTAAACTGCGTGAGAGCTACTCACCCAAAGGCAGTGGTGGTATTAGCCAGCAGGATGCGCCCACGCCCACGGCGACAACAGCTCCACCAACCCAGGTGCTCGGTCACAGGCGCCACCTGCGGCTTTTCCAGCCGCGGTTGCCCTAGCGGTCGCGATAGTGGTGGCGATAGTAGCTTTGATGTTGGGGGTGGTCGTGGCGGCGTCGGGGGTAGATGAAGGAGTGGTAACATATTCGCCGGGCTATATATTTCACGTTAGTTACCTAGGTACCTAGTATTAGTTGATAGAAATGGAAGTCGAGGATAGCATACTCGGTCAGTGATAACACTGTATGAATAACCACTACAAAAAGCACCACCAAAGTAGCCAACCATATACTTCCAAGGGTGATGTTTATATTAATATTGTCGTCCATGTCTGCAACGAGCGAATATTGTTCTAAAGAACGACGGTTTGTATAATAAAGCGATTGAATCATATGGAACGATTGTTTGTGTGTGTTTAACACCGGAGCTGGCCTCCTGAAAGGGTGTATATCGCCGTCGACGTAGTGGTCGCTACTCTTGCCGTCGCTATACGTGCCGTACTGCACCCGACGTTTTTTAATGAGAATATAGAACGAATGATTTTGTTTGTAGTGGAAATGGGGTTGAATCCAAAAGCATATTGCCTAGTATTTATAGACTCTAAGTCACTGTATGCTACTACTTCTCCTTCACGAGACAGGCACTTCTCGCAACTGCCTCAAAACCCCTATTAAACCTAGGCCGAACTGTGTAAGATCAAAGCGATGGGTCTAGGTTTAAATGGTGCTAAAGCTTCCATTATTCCCAGTCCTAAAGTTTGGACTATACCAAATAGTTTAACCCACTCACCAAACTGAAATTATCAAACTAGTATGAGCCACCTGAGAAACATATAAAAGAGCAAGTTTAGCTCGATGATATTGGTCCTATAACATTGTTCGTTACTTCCAATGCACCTTACAACACATCCACGTATACCTGTATTACAACGTGTTCAACTGGACACCCCACGCTGGATACCGGGTTGTTATAAATAAAGAAGTTACGATTCAATTCCGATCAGACCTATATATCGTCTATTTACGCCCTTCTCTGATATAGAAAGGTGTGAAACCACACCGCGACATCAACACTATGACACAGGACCAAGTCAGCACAAGGCCCCCAGCCTATGATTCTATATACGGGGCAGAAGCCCTAGGTTGGAGCTCATCAACATCGACACCTACACCAGTGGAGAACCCGTATCTTAAATGCGAAAAGAAATCGCATATAGAGTTAATCATATGCGAAGACAAGACAAAAACAGATATATTACAACGATGGGCTGGTCAGATCGATATAAAGTGCGATGACGTGCCCCAACTGATGCGCGAAGGTCTTCACTGGACGAGCGACAATATAATACGCGGGCATGGATTCGTTTCTGATACTTCAACGATTATCGACGAAAACTTTTTCTATTAACTACGAATATTTCGCAGACGTTGGGCTTGATCTAGTACGGCATTACTTCTTCCAGGACCTACAGCAGACACCACCGCGATGGGTTGCCCACCTCCAACTTTTCGCCGCGGCGGAAGAAGTTTTGGCTAGTGTTCGCTTTGAGGACATCTCTGTCGAGCATGTGTACATCGCGATAGCTCATGGGGCTGAGCATGGGGGATGCATTTACCATTACCGGTGGAGCCAGCCGAAAATAGCGTATAACACTATATACGATGAAATGCCTATGGAAGGGTGGTGGCCATGGCCAAGGGCAGATACGGTTTTAAATTCGGAGAGATTGGATGAGGAGCGCCTAGCCGAAGAGTATCGTGGAAGATCTCTAACAGGATATTTGATAAGTTTCTTTAGTGGTCTAAGATTTGTGTTAAGCGGATGCTGACTTTCAAGTCGCAAAGCTACACACGTCAAAAGAACTCGCAATTACGATTCTAGCTATCATAATATTACTAGTACTTCAAATATACGACACTCGGTTGGCAATTAATAGCTTATTTACAGAATCAGAGCGTTTGTCAGGGTTGCTAATAACCTCTAGGTACCTAGGTGCATAACATCGTTTTGTATCGCTTAAAAAAGAGGAAGAAGAGGAAAAAGAAGAAGTGTATTAATACCAAAGGAGGTACAAAATATCATAGAGCAAATAGTTGCCAGCAAGCTTAGCATAACTCTAGAGTCATATTAGGCTTGTTAGGTGACTTCCACTTACTCTTTTCGCACATTTCACCGTTATCGGGACACTGTACTAAGTATTTAAACCTGCGCTTTGCTGTCTACAACCTATTACACTTAGAAAAAATCAACATCTTCTATCGCTGCTTTCTAAAGTTAGGCGATCCTCTCATCCCCCTCTTACTTAGTGTGACTAGTATGTTAAATGGCGATGTTGGGGGCGAGTGGTGCTCACCTTCGGCAGCACTTGGTAATGATATCCCGAGGAGCAATTTAACCGGCCGCCGTATAGCCAATGCCGACAGCACTCCACCATCCAAGACTACGACCTAGTCCCGCTCAAAAGAGAACCGTCAAGTATTGGCGTATTCCTTTCAATTCGTCTTTTGTACGACATCAAAGGTTCGCTCTACCAACATTATGCCGCCAGTTCGAAACCCGATCCTACCCGGGTTCAATGCTGACCCGTCAATTCTTCGGGTGGGCGACGACTATTATATCGCCACGTCCACCTTTGAATGGTATCCTGGTGTTCAAATACACCACTCCCGGGACCTGGCGAACTGGGAGTTGGTCACACGTCCTTTGAATCGCAAATCCCAACTTGATATGCGAGGGGATCCCGATAGCTGCGGCGTCTGGGCTCCTTGTCTCACACACGACGGCGATAAATTCTGGCTGGTGTACACGGATGTTAAGCGAAAAGACGGCTCCTTCAAGGACACCCATAATTATATTGTTAGCGCCCCATCGATAGAAGGTCCGTGGTCAGACCCCTTTTACATCAATTCTTCGGGCTTTGACCCCTCACTTTTTCACGATGACGACGGAAAGAAATGGTTCGTGAACATGCTGCAAGATCACCGCCGTCGACCACGTTCTTTTGCCGGTATTGTTCTTCAAGAATTTGACCCCTCGCTGGGAAAACTTGTCGGGCCGAAGAAAAATATCTTCCTTGGGACGGAATTGGACCTTGTTGAGGGACCGCACTTATACAAGAGGAATGGATGGTACTATCTTCTTACGGCTGAGGGCGGCACTGCGTACAACCATGCTTGCACGCTAGCTCGCTCTCGTGATATCTGGGGGCCGTATGAAGTTCACCCTCAAAAGCACATCCTCACTTCTAAGGATAATCCTTTCGTTGCTCTGCAGAGAGCTGGCCATGGTGATATTGTGGAGACGCCTGAGGGGAAGACATATCTGGTCCACCTGACAGGCCGCCCAACGACCCAGGAACGTCGCTGTGTTCTTGGCCGCGAAACTGCAATTCAAGAGGCATTCTGGAAAGATGATTGGCTCTTCGTGAAGAACGGCCCTGTTCCATCTCTCTACGTCGATGTCCCTGGAGTACGCGACGATAGCAAATATTGGGCAGAGCAACGATATACCTTCGAAAATGGGCTACACAAGGACTTCCAATGGTTGAGAACACCCGAGACGGAACGTATCTTCGCTACCCAAGGAGGGAAGCTCAAATTATTCGGTCGGGAGGCTATCGGTTCGTGGTTCGAGCAAGCCCTGGTCGCGAGGAGACAAACTCATTTCTCTTACGACGCTGAAACAGTGATCGACTTCTCCCCAACTGATGAGAGGCAATTCGCGGGTCTTACTGCGTATTACTGTCGTTATAACTTCTTCTACCTGACCGTAACAGCTCACTCAGATGGCCAGCGAGAGCTGCTCATCATGACCTCAGAGGCATCTTGGCCCGATGGTAGACTCAACATGCCCCTCGCGGACCCTGTGCAGATCCCTAATGAGGGCAAAGTCCGACTAGCGCTTACGATTCGTGGTCCAGAATTGCAGTTCTTTTACGCGCTCGATGGCGGGGAACTGAAGAAGATCGGACCGGTATACGACGCGTCTATTTTATCTGATGAATGCGGTGGTCATCAAGCGCATGGTAGCTTCACGGGCGCGTTTGTCGGTGTGGCTTGTTCGGATGTAAATGGGACTGTGTTACCGGCGACATTTGACTACTTCGTGTACCGTCCGGTTCAGCATCATACCGATCGCTACGAGGTCTGATGTGTTGTAGAGTGGTGTACATCGTCCGCACTGAGTGTATATAATCTCCTACGTATTCATAGATCAGTGACCTGACTGGTAGCGATTTCTGTGTACATTTTTCTCATAATCATTGCTTACTCAGGCGCCTGAGTAAGCAATGATGTAAGTGGCTGCACCACGCCCTCCTTGGGGTTGAGAGTAGGGGTTAGGGGTAGGGTTGGGAAGGTCGGCGTATTAGTAACCTAATATTAGGTAATTCCTACTACGTAATCCGACGATTCTTTCTATCGTACCGTGATTACATAATGCACTGGTCTTTGGTGGCTGGGTGGCGTCTACGAGGGGAACCCTTCACACCCCAGCTCACCTTACTCAAATGAAGTTTGACGCAAATACCTATATAGCAAACAGATCGTGAGATAAGACAAGTTAGAGTCGTGTCTAATAACAGTGTAAGCTCCAACATGCAATCGCTTACACATCAGTACCGACTCATGGATTGGCAACAATCACGCGTCCTTCTTTCCTTCTACCACCGTCCTATTCAATGACTAAGAAACAAAATTTTTCGAATGGGGTTTGGAATACCTTATGAGATGAAAAACCAGTACATCTCGTTCTACCGTACTTTCAGTTTTTTTTTTGCTTTGCCTACCTAATTCATCCTCTTCGCTGGACTCGCACCTACAATGCAGAATCCATCCCGACTTTTGATCTCGCTTTTCTATTGGATATTTCACAATGTCACCATTTTTCCCAATCCCGGAGCTGCCCGGAAAGTACGCAACGAACAGAGTTGCCGTCGAAGAATCGTTACGCATCCCGCCATGTGAATGTACCGACTGCCAGACTGGCTTCTATACAGCTGAGGAATAATGGCAACCACAATTTTCTTATAAACTCACCCTCCCGGACGTCGAGGCAAGGCGAATCATCGACTCATACACGAAAGGAATCCACGAAGACCGACAATACCTGGCGGGTCGTCTAGAATCTCATGCGGACCTGGTCATGAGCCGATGGAAAAAAAGAAGCCAGGAAAAACAACGAACGCTGTTAACGGAAGTAGCCCCGAGCCTTGAGCTGGAGCCATGGATCGACATCAGATATTCTTATATGAGTGAAAGAGAGCTCATCCACTGTCGAAGCCCAAGAAGGAGATGCCATTTGTTGACTCCATGGTTTAATGTGGAGGTATTGAAAACCAACCCTCACGTCCTATACGCCCTCTTGCACTACAGAGTAGCTTACCTACCGCAAGATTGGGCTGCCTTTGACTGTAGACAGCTTACATCGGGTTGGGCGTGCGGGTGGTTCGATGTCGACTTCTATAATCATTATGTACGAACACCGATTTGGTGAACTTGTGGACTGGGAAGAGGCCGCAGCTCATCGATCGGATATTCTTGGATACCCTCGTGCTCGGCTTGTTCTCGAAGCCCAAGCGTTTATCATGAGTACCCTTCGTGCGGTTGTCGACAAGATTTTGGACGGCGTCGACGACTCTACTCCCGCTCGGACAGAGAAATTGCGGGAGCTGACAGGTAACGCCGCGTTTAGGCGTACTGGGGAGGTAGAGGCTTGGTCACCATATACGAACCAAGCCTTCTCTGCCCCTCCTATCTTGGATATAGAGTATTTACTCTCTTTAGCCAAGACTCGATTAGATGCAACCGACGACCATCTCCGGCATCTCCAATGCGACCCAGCATACATGCGCCGGCACATGAAGATGCAGTCTCGAAAATCGCTTTTAAAGATAGCCGATCAAGATGAGGCTGCAATACATCTCGCCTACGATATATATGTGGAAGTGCTTGGCCATTATTGGTGGCATTGGATTGAGACGGAGTGTAAGAATGTCGCAGATTTACACCGGCGGTTTAGAGATAGCATCTACCAAGGACAGCCTCTGCCTCCTCTCTATGAAAGGGGTCTGGGCGCTCTGGAGCTCTTTATTAGCAATCAAGTGATCTACCGAGCGAATATGCTCTATCAGATCATACGTTGTTGCCCAGGATTTTCTCAACATTGGACAGTAAGCCGCAATACCGATGCGCACAGTGGTTACGCCAAGTTAGAAAGAAAGGGAACAAATAACACGAAGACTTCGAAGGAGACCCCCTTGATTGGTGTCTTATGCAGTTGATAGGGGAGCCAGACCGGCAGACTGGGTTTGATCATGCGATGCTCTTTGCCTTCTTACAGGATCATATTTCCCAGTGCGGCCCAAAAGAAAGGGAACGGATAGATGAGAGTCTATTTAAAAGCCTTTCAGACCTCTCGACCTGCTACGAGATGTTAGTCGCGTTACGTTTAAGTAGACCTCAGAACAAACCGAGAACTATCGACGAAGTAGCTACATCGGAGGCAGATCGAGAACGACCAGCCTAGAAGAAGATCTGCCATGGCAAAGAAGCATCGGGCCCGCTACCAAGAGGCTTAGAAAATGCTGGGAGGTTATTAACGGAAGACTTCTTTAAGAAACCTCCAAGCGGTCCGAAGAATATGGAATGGTTACGAAGGTCCAAAGCTAATCGTGAAGCTCTGGAAACATTTTGGAATTTGATGAGGAATATTGTGAAGGGGTATTTCATAGAATATGATGTTACAGAGGAGGACATCGACGGCCTCCTTCAAGCCATATCCGCAAGCGAGAGTCCTGAATATATCGACTCCGTAATCGACGAAGAGGACATAATCCTGGAGAATATTAAGAAGACCACCAAACAACCGATGCTTCAAAAATTAACTCAAGGTGATTCGACATCATCTAAGACTAAAACAGAAACAAAAACTCCACGCGAAAAGATCAAAAGTCGCCCAGAAACAACTACCGATCAGCCTACTGATCAACCATCTGCCGCACCTGATGCCCCTGACGCCCTCAACCCCACCGACCCCGCCGCGAGCGTCGAGTCTGACTCGAGGGCCGAGGACACAATAGCCGTGACCCAGCGTTCGCTAACGGTATTCAGCTATATGTTCCCCAAAATAGCGGAAGATTTGAAACAGACCGTGCATTGGAATGAATTCGTGCACGCTCTTGGCGAAGTGGGCTTCGAGGCAGTAGGCAACGGAGGGGGTTCGGCTGTTCTCTTCAAAAGCGTCAATTGAGGCAAGGTTGTCTTCCACAGGCCACACCCCGCTCCGAAGATAGACTCAGTGATACTGCAGGCAATGGGGGGAAGAATGGGGAAATGGTTCAATTGGAGTCGAGAACAGTTCGTATTAGCGAATAAAGGTGATAAAAAGGTTGCTGAGTGAACCTTGGAAGGTACACTACCAACTACGACACTTGAAGTACGCGTGACATCTTGGGGTACACAGGATATCTTGGGAATATGGGAAAAGGAAGCAGTCGTATTATGAAAGGTGTTAGGAATCTTGGTGTGAGATATGGGAATAGAGAGGCTATTGCCGGATATATACTTGGATCTCCGTAATATGTACTTGTGCGCTCGTCGCATATCAATAATATTGTTATCACTTCACCCCTCTCCTTATAGTTAACCCCGCGACAGACTTGATTGACCCTAAGTGCAGATACTTATTATACTAATAGAGTGTGAGTGGTAAGTTTCCTCTTCTCACAATGTTATTATCGTCTGACTACCTGGATATTTAGTGACTTGAAGTCGCGAAGTCTTTCCTAGACGTGTCATGGAAAAGACAGGAAGGTCAGATAGGATATCGTTACATCAAATGTTACTTGAATCTTCCATGAGCTAAAACAAGAGTTTTCTAGACAATGGATCCAGGAACATCGAGAATAGAATCACTGCCTAGCCTTGAGCGACAGGCTTCAGGGTATGGTTAAAGCGTTCTCTTTCAATGGTGTCGACTTATAAGCTTCTAAAAATTGTCTTAATCGAGCTCACTGCCTACCTAAGTACTCAATCTTGGGACAACGCAGAGCCGAGGTAATCAAACATGAGCCACAAAAGAATTTGTGTAGATCCATACCAAGAGGCGCCAGAGAAGAAGAAAAAGAAAGAACACCATACTTCCACCACCAAAACAGCGAAAAGCCCCTCCCAACCGGAGCATGAAGAATCGAAAACACTATCGGTTCTGCCGTCCAATCCTACTGACGGACACACCAAACCAAAACCTAAGCCTGTAGGGTCGGGGGTCGATACGTTATGGAGCCCATTTCTTCAATATCTGACTGCCGAAGACCCCCCTAATGGCTTAATTACCGAAGCTGAATGAAAATAAGCTCCGACCGCCAACAACTCTACTTGACATTGGCATATCTATTGAGGATTGGAAGATGCTGGAAGGTAAGCAATACCCTAAGGTTCGGGGTGGCCTTGTATGGATTTATGAATACTTATGAATATTAATTTATCGGTAGAGTCTCAGAAGAATCTTCCACGGTTTCTCTTTCGTGCCTTCGGTTCCAAGTCTGGGGGCGACCCTCGTCTGAACACTAGATCCGGTATAATCCCAAGAGGATTTCTCGACTCTAAAACGCCGACGAACATGTATGAGAATCGTCATCTCTGGTACATAATCGACAGACATTTGGGCGGAGTAGATATCAACACCGACTTTAGCTCATGGGCGAGCTGCATTACTATGGCTTGTACGTAAACCGCCCACTAATCCTTATCCATGTTGGAGTTCAAGCATTCTAGCGTGCTCAACTTCGCAGCTGCTTTCTATGTATAATAATTAACACTATAATGTAGTGAAATATGCCAATATTGCGTCATACGTCGCAATCATCGACGTAACTCTATTAGCACCACATGTAAAAATTTACCACGTCTTAGATTTATATCGGGTCAAGCTTGCGAAAGACGAATACCCACAGGAGTATCTAGCATACGGTCCAATCAGCGGTCCCGCATTTCACTGCGTTAACATGGAGGATATAAAGAATACAGCTTACTATAGCCTCGCTGGACGGTCTTATGGTACTGATGGTTACTTCGATGGGGATATATACGAAGATCCAGGGAAGAGAGTCGCCACAGCGAAAAAGTTGGCTAGCCTGTTTCGCCCTAACCACGACAAACGCCCAGATATTATTATAGCACTCACGGCGGCCTTCTCGAGTCTGCCATATTGTGGGTTTCGCACTGGCTAATCTAAGCTGTTGAACCAGGAACTTCTCAAAATACTCAGAGCCCACCTTGGCGAAGAGATTAGGAGTATGAGATTGCCACCTGTTGGCTCGGGCAAACTGGGCCTCGTCAACGCCAAAATGTACGCCGGGTATCCTCAACTTCAGCAATTGGTGCTTCTATTGGGGGAGATCGAGAAAGAAATCAGATCAATGGGACCATTAGTGTCGTGTTGGGCTTTAATCTGTGAAGAGATATGAATAGGGGTGAGGGCATGAACCTCCCCGAAACGAACATCCGTGAGTACCTAGAACTCCCTATGCACGGCTTATCCGGTATACAAATCGTTACTACTACCTAAGATAGATCAAGTGAAATTCATACTACTAGTTAATGTTTATACCGGTATTATCTCCTTGTCGAAGCACTTCGCTATCTGAACCTGGGCAAAGCAACAGAGAAAGAAGTCAAATTAATAGTAAACATAATATGAACAGGCAAATCATCAGTTTCAGCCCATAGGGATCTTCAATCAATCACAACTTTCTACCCCCTAAAAATGGAAAAAGCCCTGTCCAATTCCTTCTGCAAATCTATATCCCAAATCCTAGAATAAGAAGTGTTAGTGAATGGACTACGAAGATAGAAATAACTCGTGTGTGCATACCAACTCATTCGTCCTTCAAAGTTTCTTTGGATTGCCTCGAGGTCATCACCTTCGAGTTCAAATTCGTACAGCATACCTGCTTCTTTGCTTGTGGTTACCAATTTCTGAGTTCTCGGTCGTCTCACCTCATCATATGCGTGGAATGCTTTCGTCAGGTCTTCTACATTTTCTGCTGCCCCGAGTAAACGACTCAAAATGGCACAGTCTTCGATACACATGCCAGCGCCGGAACCCTGATGTGGTGTAGTCGCGTGTGCGGCATCGCCGAGAAGGCATATCAGCGGATTTGTGCCGTAGTAAATCGGTGCAGGAGGATGATTGAAGAGAGCCCAAATGTCTCTTTTCTCCATCGCATCGACGATGGACGTTACCGTGGGACCCCAGTTAGCAAAGTCGGAGAGCATCTTCTCTTTCGAGGTTGTAACCACCCAGTGCGGATCAGTCCAAGTGTCACAAGAACTGAAGGCCACGACTTTCCTCTGTTAGTTAACCCGAAAATTACCGAATATATTTCCAGGATGCTCACCATTCATAGTTTTCCCCTTTTCGATCGGAAGAGTGAGGAGATGCCCATGATAACCCAGATATAACTGATAATTTTGAGCTATCTCTTCGCCAAGCATTTTAACGGCCTTTTCCATAGGTATCAAGCCCCTATACGCGTATTTTCCCGAGAATACGGCTTTCCCTGTTTCTGGTCCAAGTAAAATCTCTCTGGTCTTAGACTTGATTCCATCGCAGCCAATTACGGCGGTATGCTGCGCTGTAGTTCCATCAGCGAAGTGTAGTACAGCATCTTGAGACCCGTCGGTGGCTTCGGTGATATCGACCAGTCTTTTTCCGAATTTTGGTATGGTATCAGGAATCAACTTGACGAGCTCATCCAGAAAATGGGCTCGATGTACACCCCCCGCAAGATGATCGTTGGTGTACTTAATTTCAAAGACGGGGTCCCCAACTTTTAGCCCCTCCTTTTCCTTCCCCCTAATCACACCATCCAGTCCGGTCTTGCGGGAATCGCCGACTCGAACTGTAAACCAATTCTGTAATTTACTTTCCCAACCAGTAGTAACACATCGTTTGAAACCCTCGACGATATCCGGAGAAATAAGTTCCATGGCACGGACAGAATTCGGCGCAAATGCCAAGCCGGCGCCGATCTCCTTGAATTTCGGGGCTGACTCGTATATCGTAACGGGAACATTCTGCCGGAGAAGGCCGATCGCGAGCGTAGCACCGCTTACCCCGCCCCCAACAATAGCGATGTTGAATGGTTTTGTGGTCGTCATAGTGTTTATGAACGGATAATTAATAGTAAAGAATTCGAGTATTGGTGTGGTAGAATTGTATAGGAGAAAGCGTGAAGAGCCAGAGGAAAGAGACGGGTCTCCGAGCAGCTGTCGGCATTTTTATAACAACGATACATGGCTACTAGAAGAGATACAGAGTAACATCGGGGAAATTATTGTACGTATCATCGATCTATCATGAGGATAATTACTAACTTGTTGGTAAGGGTTAGATAATGGGACTTAGCATCATGGTGGCGCAAAGAAATCATCACACGATGTTCTTTTGTCGAAGGATCATAACTTACACGCATATAATGTCGCTCACCGTTCGCCATTGGCTTACTCATTATATCTTACGGGTTTGCAGGGAATCAAAATTATTCCTGCAAGTGTACGCGGGTCTAATGGTAACACAAAACTGACAATTATTCCCGGGAGCGGTCGGTATACTACTATACAATCGGATCCTTCAATAGTTATGCTGACCGCGTCTAAAAGGCATAACTATGAGGTCGTAGTTAGTAATCGTCACAAGGACAATTTACTCCGTACATATTATACTAAGGATCAGATAGGAAATCGGGGTTGGGGGTTCACAACCCGGCTGCTGATCTCGGTCTCGGCTAAAGCCGTGCCCGTTATGGTAGTATAATTCAAATGCCGTATGGTGTGGCTAAGAGGTATATCACGGAGGTCCATGTGACGATTTGAGGCGAAATCGGGAGCAATAGAATCGCGAAGCCGAGACCCATAGGCAGGGGGGGAAGGACCTTAATTTTTTCTTGCAAATTATTAACACATTAAGATGAAATGAAAATATTACCTTATTAAACGATTCAAGAGTATACAAATTTCACATAGTATAAACATATTCTAGTACCACAATCCATCAATAGTTTCCTTAAAGGGTATGTGCTAACCCCTGCTCGAATTCTGATTGGTTCTTTACCAAGTGTTAAAGAATTAAAGGGGGGGGTGCTCTGCTGACTAACCTAACTAGTGTAGGTATTTGGTACCCAGGTACCCAAGTAAACATCTTGGTATCACATTTCCTTCTCTAGTCTGTTCCTCAATGCAGAATTCTCCACACTCGTCACATTTCCGGCGGCGTTGAAGTTGAAAATGAACTGGTCCAATGGCTTAGAGCCATACATAATACCTGCCACACTAACCCAGGTCGAGCAATCCGTAGTGAACGGCTTTGAATTGTTGGGTAAGCTCAGATCCTCAAATACAGCTTTGAATGCGACTCTCTTCCCGCCATCGGAAGTCGCATCCCATAAACCAGTAGGGTAGAGCCGTACACTTGGTCGAATCTTCTCCCAGTAATCCTTCGATACATTTTGGCTGAGAGCAACTGAATACCACAATAAATTCGTGCCGTTGCTTATCCACGAACTGAGGCCTAAACCAGGAGCCTGGGTGTCCACAATTATACTTAAAGATGAGTTCACCGCAGAGTTCGGGTTTTTATATGTGCCTCCGTAGATCTGGTTGGCTTGGATACGCGCAGTGTTCATCATAGTTGGAAGGTACGTATTCGACAACGTATCCGCTACGCTCATCATTAAGCTAGAGGGGGCGTCTCCGGCAGCCATAATAGAAAAGCCGATATCGAAGTCGGGAATGATAGCCATCAATGTATTATACTTTCCTAAACTCCCGGCTTTATTGAAAGTGGTTGCGAATTGGTAGGGCGAACCTATGGTAACGTGAGTGGTAGTCCTGCTGCGTACCTAGGTACTTTGTGTACCATTTGACGTACCTCCGTCGAACGGAAGTTGACGCACTCCCCACGGCATTCCAACCCCTGACTTCGGATCTGAGCTGAAGGTCACGGGCTTGAGCCATCTTCTAGTCATCGCTGGAGGTATAAGAGTGGACCTCAAGATCGCTCGACCAACTCGGGATAAATCCGAAGTAGATGTATACATATTACCGGTTCTTTTATCGATCAGTTCGACTGAATTATGAAGTAGCTGTAAAGGCTGAAGGTTCTAGAACATAATACTTACGGCGATTCATTACCCATGTCGAAAGCCCAATTCGTTTTGTAGCGGCCACCGGGTATAATCCCCAGGGCGTCTCGTGGCGTCGAATAAAATGTGTGATTAAGCCCAAGAGGCCTAATAACCCTGTCTTCGACCATTTGGCGAAATGATTTCCCTGTTATCTGCTCGAGGGCATACCCAAGGAGAGTATAACCAATATCTGAGTAAGCCGGCGTGACGTACGGCGAAAATGACGGTGGCAATTTGCTGAGGCCAGTGAAGAATTCTGCATAGGGGTCAGCGCCCTAGTGGATTGGGATAGGGGTCACGTCAACTTTATCAGGAGTGCACCTACGAGTTCTATTACAGACCGGTCTATTTCCGCAAGGGGGTATATCTGCACTTTCTATGATAGGAAACCCGATTTTAGCAGCTCGTGCTGTAGTTGATCCTTGGGTGAGCTCGCCCAATAAAGCGTCTATATCTTGTCTCAGCAACTATTCAGACACGTATATCTATTTGGGTTGCTTACAATCCCTGACAAGGCCAGACATTTGGCTTGCCAGCGAACCGATCGTGATGGAACCCCAATCGGCTGTCGAAATCGAATGTGAGGTGTCGACGCCGCCGACAACCATCGCTTCAATCTCGGGAATATAGTTGGTGATAGGTTCATTCCATATCGTATCACCAACCTCTGCAAGAAATGTCAATATGGTGAATATTTTTGTTACACTTCCAAGTCTATATACGGTATCGCCGTCAACTTCAGCTACGCCCGTCGAGTTGAGAGTTTTCAAATTAGGTGCAGTCCAGTAATGTGACCATAGAGGCACTTCGTCGTCAGTGGAAAATACTTCAACTGAATATGAAAATCTCTCGGATCCGGTATTATTTGCATGGTCGATATACTGTGAAAAGACCGAATCCAAAGCTGCCGCCGCCTTCTGAATTCCTGGTTGTATAAGGAGGTTTGTAGGCTTAGGATATCCCAGGCCATATAAAGGGCAATTCTGTTTGGCGTTAACGCCGTATACAGAAAATAATATTAGGACCTTAAAAGACCACATCGTAACTTATGGCTTAGTCCTATCCTAGAAGCGGGACAAGACGAATTTCGAAGCCCTATTGGCATATTTATCTGCCCCTTTTTAAGACGACACTTGACACAATAAATCGAACATCATCCCACGGATGAGTCTATCAGCTTCTAACCATTAGAAGGTAAAGATTCATAATTTTACGTACATGCGAGCTTTGAAAGATTGCCTATCTTTCACTCCGGATCTGATCAGGCTACCTAATCAAACGGGTTACGAGGCCAGCTAATTAACCGCTCAAGCGAATGGCTGAGTCTTACCCGGATTCCGTATCCGTCTACTGAGATAGAGTGAGACTGAAATCGGAATACCACACAGCGGATCTTGTCCAATAGATAGAAACTTTGATATCAAGTGAGACGGCTCCTAAATTTGTGGGATTTGGACCTATTTCCGGGAACCCTCGTAGCATCCCTGTACTACTATGAGCTTGACAGATCTAGACCCATCGACGGGGTCCCCATTCACCGAAAACGGTTACGTACTCCCATGTGGCCACAACCACTCCAATGCTACGATAGGGGTCTTGCATACTGGACTTGTAATTAAATATAGTGGACCGTATATCCATATGATGATCCGGGCTACACGTAGTATCTCCGAGCTTCATATTGATGAGAGTCTAGGCCTTAGATCTAACTCTACTTAGTTATGATTGAGAATGTCGTCATAGTGTTGAATGTTTCGGCGAAAAGAAGAGAAAGAGGGGGAAGGAGGAAACGAGAAAGGGAAAATGAAAAAAAAGTAAGAGGTATTCATTTTTATGGAAATCCCTCCATGTAGTACAACGGTGAGTTGGGGTAAGAGAGCCATATCAGGGTTAGGGTTGGGTTGGAGTTGGGGGTTGGAGTTGGGGTTGCTACAGAGTCTGGGTTAGGGTTAGGGTAGTGTATTACGTGATACTTATGTAGAAGGTCAAAGCTGAAGATCTTCATGACGTATTGGGGTTAGAGTAAGGGTCTACTCTACTCTACTCAAGCAAAAAAATAGTTTATGGATGTCAATAACAATAACAATCGTACGTCCGAAAGGCGCAAACGTCCACGACCGCAACATGAAGATACACCACACGCTGCTTGTGACCAGTGCCGATCTCGTAAGGTCAAATGTGATAGGGTTCAACCCGAATGTTCCAATTGTCGGAAAACCGGCGTCTCTTGCACCTCGCTCAACACTCCTAAACGTGTGAATCAGACTAAACAACTGCAAGTATTTCTGTTTTAAGCGTCTATATCAAGCTCGTGTATCTTGCTAATATGTTTATTTGCCCATGTTAGCCGAAACGATTTTTCTAGCGTTCTAGAGCGCCTCGATGGTGTCGACCAGACTCTAAGCGCGTTAACTCAGCTTACCCAACAGATCGCCGCACGAACCTATGTCCCCACTCCGAGACCTAACGCTCATACCTCATGCTCTACCGAATCGGCACGGACATCCGCCTTTAGCGACTATAGTTCCATTATACCGAGCCTCCAGAAAGATCGGTCTACTATAGCAGTTGAAGATGGATGTCTTCATGAAACCGTTGAGCTCGAACACGGCGGTGAACGGATATATCCCTACCCCGCGGCCCTAGCGTTGATCAAGTCTCTATCAAGGCAACTAGCACAAGTTCTCGTCGAGCGTGAAAATGAAAAGGATGGCGAAGCGGACATTATTGTTAAGAACCCGGCGCTGCGGGCTGCTCTGCGGCAACAGCTTGAGAGCTTCCCCTACTCACAATGCTCTCAGCCTGTCGTGACGAGTGACCATAGACCCATTACAACCCCGCCGCGATTTCTAGTCGACCTATTCATACATGGATTCCTGCGCGACTTCAACAGCTATACTCCCATATTTGATGAAGCGGACCTCCGTCATGCCACCGAGATCCATTATTCGGACAGGTCGTTAAGCGAGAATAACGCCTGGACCCTCATATTCAATAACATCGTCCTGCTTGGTTTAGGTCTCGAGGCACAAGTAGCTCGTGCGGGGCATTCGGATTCAATGAATATGAATTACGACATGATCCCTTCATTCGTGCGAAATTGCAACCGGGCTCTAGCTGATCTTGAGTCTTTCACTCGCCCCTCTCTGGCTAATGTTCAGGCACTCCTAACCCTGGTATGTTCCAGATACTCAGTCCAATATCCAATCACCTGATAATGATTACTATTCTAACATTTACTTGCGAAGGCTCTTGTAACCCGCCATTTCTATAATAGTAGTATTTTCGAAAGAGTCTGTCAAACAGCCTGCCAGGTAGGACGAATTCTTGGCCTGCATCGATCCGTAGCTCGCGAAAGTAGTGCGGGAGAGATTTCAACGGAGCGTGTGCGTTTATTCAGAGTCCTATATGCTCTAGACAAGCAACGTGTGTTTATGTCAGGCCAACCAAGTGATCTACACCTCTTCGATTCATATCTTATTCTAAAGCCAAACGACGAATATGGGTCGTCGAGTCATCGGCTCAATGATGGTTTCAATCGTATGATGGAAATCTGGGAGGAAGTGTATCTCGCTCTTTATTCATCAAGGGCGATTGCCGGCGGCAAAGCACACCGTTCCCAACAAGTACATCGTTTATGTCAGCTTTTGGAAGAGTGGCACCAGCAACACCACGAGTTTATGAACACCCATTCCTTAGGTGTAGAATCGGGCTATATGCAACTCGAATTGAAGTACTGCTACCATGTCACCCAAGTTCTCATACTTCTTCACGACCACCAGAACGAACTTGCTCAACGAAAGTTACACGATCACTCACGAACATGCCTGAGGCTTATATCCGAGGCCGGATCAACACCACCCACTACCACAAGCCTAGCTCTGCTTGCTCGGATGCTCGGCAACTATCCCATAACCGCATTTCTTGACCTGATTTCCTTCCATTTCAATATCTTGTCAAAGAATGGACCCTCAGATGAAAACTTCGAATCCGATCTTAGCATGCTCTTGATCACTTCTCACTACCTCCGGACGTTAGGACATCCCGACTTTCCAGCTGTTTATTTCGGCCGCCTCGATATCGGTTTAACCTGGGCCCTGGGACTTCTTGAGATTGTCAAAATCAAACCGCCAGGCCAACATACAATTACTGGCATTATCCACCAGCAACAACCCGATATTTCTTGGACCCCACCGATCACGTCGTGCCCAGATTTCAGCTTCACGCCAACATTTCTAGACGGTCGTCCGGGTCTTGAACTCTACCCCATAACTGACCACATAGACTTCAATCCAAGCATAGACTCCTTTGAAAGATTATTTACGCCGAAATAAAGCTGGCGACCGGTCAAATCTACGGCAATAATACATAATCCGACTGATAGATCACTTTGCCAACGTATAGCTCGTCTATTCATCTGATGCCGAATTTTATCCTATGTGATATACGATAACTATCCCCTGTTTCCAATAGTCTAGCGTCTATAATAGGCCCCTGTCTGCCTGTCTAACGTTTATGCAAAACCCGCTCAGAGATCTATCTTGCTCACAACAATACCTCGCGCTAGCGGCCCCGTAACATATAGATGCGCCTGCTTCTTCCCATCATTCGTATCGGGATCGATAGCGACAAGAACGGCAGTGCTAGCTGTTCTCATCACATGCCCGTCGTCTTGGAATATCAACTTTCGCGTCCGCTTCTGACCGCCTTTCTCCGATGCAGACGATGGTTGCACAAGCCACACCATCGCGGGGTCTAAACCGTTCGGAAATGCAATAGCCCGCGCCATACCAGCCAGGACATAACCGCTCGCATCTCTCCCCGTCTTCGCGGCGTACGGATCCGAGAAATATGATGGGTTATCTAATGTACTATGGAGCTGAATTGACTCGTCGATTCTCAGCTTCGGCGGGTTTGCCTCATCTACCGCAGCAAGCAAAAGTTTCCCCGCATGTGCACGGACGATCATGATTTCGGATAAGCTCCTCCCGTAGCCGAGACCATTGTTGGTCTGAAGCCCTTCGATAGCAGCTGTGCCAGTCACACCGGCGGTATCGTTGACAACTTCAGAAAGGGGGTTCTCGATATATAGGTGGATCAGGTCAGTCCAAGGAGCAAAGTCACCCCACGCGAGGGCTTCGATGAGACGCATAGACCCCTCGCGATGGTAATGGTCGTTCGTTACGTATATCTCGTTCATCGATTTTATCAGGACATCGTTGGGTGTTCGGATGAGGGGGTGCCAGATAGAGCGGATGTGCGTCGCCTCGGATGTACCGATTTTATGGTAGAAAAGCTCAAGGCGAGAGCGAGCTTTAGGTATTGTCAAATTCTTAGCAGAAGTTGACCGATCGTAATACTCCGGATTCGGAAGATGATTCACCGCGACTATGTATACGATCGTTGGGTCGTCGGGAGGCAAGTATATGTCGATGCCGTGGGTGTTGAAGGGACCATCGAAGTTGTACAAGGCTAGGCGCGTACAGCTTGTGGTCTAGGAAAATCAGCTACAGATCTTAGTATCGGCGAACGTTTGAAGTTACTTTCGTGTCGATGACAACGATACCTCCTTGTCCAATCAAGTCAGGTTCTTCCCATATTGTCAAGCTTTCAAGGAGGTTAGTTCTACCTCAATCGGACGCTACTTTATGGAACATACGGAGGAAACCACGTATTTCGGGTCTTGTGGTCGCTTTCCGAGGCACCAAAGAGCAGTCCCGAGGGAGTATGGTAATGTAGATCCTCCGTAAATTGTGTGTCGGGTATGATCCGCAGGTTTTCGCCGTGTATATTCTCGATAGATCTAAACAGTCGAGTGAATCCCAAGACTTTCAGATGAAGAAGAAATTGCGACAAGGGGGCAAAGAGGAATGAAGCCGCGACCACAACGGCCGGCGCTATCATTGTGACCGGGATAAGTCTCGCCATTTCGAATAAACACAAAAGAAACTAGTATCGGCAATCTCGGTATGTTGGTTACATTCACGAACGGGTTTACTATGTTCTAAGGTTTTTATACAGGTAAGTACCTAGATAACATTCTATCCAATTACTTCTAGTCTATAGCTTTGTGGTTTGAAATCCATTTAGCTCCGGTCTTCGTCGCCCGAAGCCCGAAACTGGGCAGTCAGCTCGCTAACATACATCACGACCAATACCGGGACATGGTTACGCAGGTATTGTAGCCTTAGCTAGCATGAATCTTAGTTTTATTATTATATTCAAAGCGCAGATTCATTCGATGGTGCTAAGACTGCTTCGTACCTGGGTCCCACCAATCCGGCGCTCGGGCGCCGAAGTGCGCAATAGCAGCATCGTAACTCGAACGACAGCCAAATCAAGAGGACGATCAATATATGAAATGATTGAATACGATTACCTCCCTAGGTATCAGCAGCTCTTAAAGGACCTCAGTTATTTTTTATTGCTAATTACCCTCATGCTTTTAATCTGTTTTCCATGAGCAAGGTAGTTCTTCCCGCCATTGGTTTCTTCGACACGATTGAAAAAGGAGTGACTTTTCTAAAAGTTTTGAACCCATTTAATTAATACATTTGCTTTATTCCTATTGAATGAGATGGCCGCCCCGATATTTGATGTTTCCGCGGAAGATTCAGAGAAGCAGACATCTCCAGCCTTGGAAGACACCAACCTTATAACATGGGGATCAGACGATACGGAAAATCCCCATACGTGGTCTGTAAAACGAAAATGGGTTATGACAATCCTCCTCAACTTTATACCGCTGGTGGTCAATATGGGCACCAGTATCTTGAGTAGATCAACTAAGGCTCTCGAAGAAGAGTACAACGTCTCAGCAGAGGTGACTATATTGACCGTCACGCTGTATCTACTCGTATGTTCCCCAATGCCAGAGACTCGCCAATGATCTATTACTCATGTGTATCCCAGGGCTTCACCTTCGGTCCATTAATTTTTGGGCCATTATCCGAACGAATTGGCCGCAAAGTTCCTATAATCATCGGCGTAACCGCATATGCAACCTTCTGCCTCCCAATCGCTTTAGCCCAGAACTTCTATACCATCCTTATATGTAGATTCTTCAGCGGATTATTCGGGTCTGCCTCAATAGCAGTGATAGGAGGTGCCGTAGTTGACGTGTGGCCCGACCCGACTATGCGGGGCGTTGGTCTAGATATTTTCATCGCGACAGGATACGTGGGCCCAATGTTAGCGCCGATCGTCGGCAGCTTCGTCACTCAGAGCTACCTCGGCTGGAGATGGGTAATGTGGATATCTGCTATAACCGGCTACAGCTCGATACTGCTCTACTTCTTCGTAGTCCCGGAAACGTACGGACCAGTCTTGCTGACGCAAAAAGCACAGAAGATGCGCTTGGGAACTAGAAATTGGGCGCTGCATAGCAAGCTTGAGGAGAGCGATACCGACCTAGGGTCTTTCGCAAAGGCATATCTCCTTCGACCTTGGAGTACGATGCTTTTCCTTTTCCTTAATTTTCTTCCCCCTCGTGCTAACCTGCATCCAGTTTTGCTAGTCACGGAGCCCATATATCTAGTTGTAACAATTTATATGTAGGACCATATCTACCTAGGTATATGCATATGAAGACTCTATGCTGATAATGATCAGGGCTTTCGTTTACGGACTCGTCTTTCTTTTCTTCGAAGGGTTCCCCATTGCCTTCGTCGAAATTCGTGGATGGGAACCTCAGATGGGATCGCTGCCTTTTCTAGGTTTGATGATAGGCCAGATTCTAGCTACGGGGTTCACTATCTACTGCGCACTTTCCGGTTTCACACGGAAGCTCCAGTCTACTTCAAGCGCCATAGCCCCTGAGAGCCGTCTACCTCTCATGATAGTCGGAGCCGTGATCTTACCACCGGGAATGTTCTGGGCGGCATGGACCAGCCAGCCATCAATACCATGGCCCGCTCAAGTAGCGGCGTATATCCTAGTCGGAGGCGGTGTCTTCATCATATTCGTACAAGGGTTCAAGTACATTGTGGACGTCTACGCGAATGTGGCCAATAGCGCGATATCGGGAAATACCTTTGCGCGAAGCTTCTTCGGCGCCGCATTCCCGCTGTTTGCCCCAGCTATGTACCACAACCTTGGTGTACCATGGGCTACTACCCTTCTGGCTTTCATTTCAGTAGCATTGGCTCCCGTACCCGTGATATTTCTAATATACGGGGCCAAGATTCGGTCGTATTCAAAGAACGCGCTGGCATCGGCATAAGATGGTTGCCGACTTTTTGAAGCATAGTTATCGGGAACCTCCATTTTCATTATCCCGAAAAGAGAAAAACGGCACTCCAAATATAGCAAGGATCCCATTTAGTTAAGATAACTAAAGCAGGACCAGATTTGGTTCGGGAGTGTCGTAACTCCACTGTTACACCACGATGTCTTCTGGAGTGGAGTATTAAGGCTAGGGGTCCCTATAACGATGACATAGATTTGCGATAGTCTTGAATATATATTAATGGATAGGCTGATAGGCTATGTTAAGTCTGCGATATTATCGCTGGGATCACTGTTCGAGTCATCCGAATGAGTAGAAGCGCATTACACGTAGGGTGGTATTCATAAAGCTGTTTCCGAAATATTGACATCGTTTTCTTGTCTAGGAGGTCGAATGAAACCCCAAAATGAATCATTCGCAACAATTCGTGTGATATTGTTGCAGATTGCAACCAAACACACTTTATATGCTCCATTATCCATGAGCCGCCTCTTAATTGCCCATTCCCAACGCCGTATCACCCTGACTGAGTTTACACATATACCCATCCCTTTTTCTGTCCCTACATCCCATTAACCCTCCACCCTGTCCTATACCTTTCCCTCCCCCAAAACCCAAAGCCTTAACTACAAGTACACCCTTCGCTTATAGGTGTTCATGATACAGATGGCCTCTGTTGCCAAGTTGTGGTTCTTGTTGGTTGGTACGCTGTATCAAACGACGACGCCGAAGATGACTGGGGTTTTTGGCAGTACACCGTCATTCTAAAATCCGTTAGCCGTTATCCACTTTCGCATTCGTTCTGTGCCTCACAGTGTAGTATACGAGTGGATTCGTGTATTCTCAATGTCCTTTCGCGTTTCGGCCAACAATTTCTCTATCGCCTCCTTGCTCCACCCAAGCCCTTGCGTAAATATTGCTAGCGAATAAACGTCAAGTACCTGCAGTACATTGGTTCGCTGCAAGGTACCAATCTTCTGACTCTGTTTGCCAGGGGCCCACGCATTAGTCGGTATCGCGTATTTTAATTCTACAATGTTCTGGAATCCTGTCTTCTCCAACATCGGTTTGTAATCGAGGACGTAAAAGATGGATCTCCCCATGTTTTTGATACCTGGAAGTGGAGGTTAGCTTTTTCAAACCCCATGAATTACAGAGCAAACCCCGATGCCAAGATAAACATGCCTTCAGTCAGGTTCTTGTTCCACTTCTGTAGGGCTGTGCCGTCAAGAGACCGATCCGAGGATTGCACATGAAGGATCCACTCTTGGAATTCGACCCAACCACCCGGCTCTAGATTATCGTGGATAAGTTTGAACAATCGGGTTTTGTCGACGGGCTCGCCTAGACTTCGTATGTGGATGAAATCAAACCGGTGCCCGAACCCCCAGTCGTCGTACACGTCCGCTATTTGGAAATGGCAATTCGGAACGATATAGGGCGGTTGCGGCGTTGGATTTAGGTCGATGCCTAACACGTCACTGTCGGGATTTCTCCTGGCTATACCGCCAATTATTAGCAATCGCGTGTAAGTGCAACGCAAGGGGCCTGGAATAGGAACATGCCGAACTCTACCGCCCATATTCCGGTGCCCGTGCCGATGTCAAGCACTCTCCTGGGATTCACTACTGGACAGAGATACAGCTCTCCGTCGTGTGCTTCGACGCTAATTTCATGCTGGAGATCTGTTTGTTTTTGTCTATCAGTGTCTTGTGTCTAGTTGATGTCGCAACGAAGGTGTTTGTCTTACTATTCCGCTCTTGTTCTAGCTAAATGTTCATACACATTAGCCAAAGACACCATATGAAGAGGCATCTAGTTTATCATTCATACCTTATCGGTAGGAAGAAAGTAATCTGACATATTGCCCAGGAGTTAGTATTATAGCCTACTTATCAAACAGGGGCCTTTTTTACAGAGGGGCAACACGTACTTCTATTAAACGTGCGACCAAACTTGTGAACTATTGAGCGGAAGAACCGCGAAGAGCTCGAACCAGCGGTGGTCTTAGTTGAATCTCTAGGGAGCGCGTACGTATCCATGGTTAGTTGACGAACGGTGGACTATTCTGAAAAAGGAGACGGCGTATTTCATTACTTACCTTCTCCTAGCTTGGTGGGGAGCAAGGACATGATCAGGATCCTCGTCCTCGTCCTCGCCAACGCTATCACCGGTACCGTCCGGGTCAGTCCGCGGCCACCCTTGCTCAGACATGGCATTAAACTATTGATAATGATATGTTAGTGACTATATGTAAGGAACTACGTCGGGAAACTAAGTAAGGAGGGGTTGCGTGTTTGCTTGATAGGTCATTATCTGAAAGGGGGTAAAGAATAACGCTAGCGCACGACGCACATGTAAGCCAGCAGAGTGGCTGCCACTTGAGCTTAGCGCATATTGAGAATGACCCGCGGCATCGGTCGCGGGTGGCGGTGGTAGAGGCGATAGTGGCCGACCTGAGACCGTTGACGTTGACCTCGGCGTTGGTGGGCCAGCCGACAGATGATGAATAGTAGTGGTTGTGGTTGTTGTGGTAGCAGTGGTGGTAGGGGGGTGAGATGAGGTGAAAGTATCGGTGAATAACGGGGAACGAGGACCATGCGGGGTTGGATGTTGATGAGAGCGAGCTGATCCAGACTTGGCTCGAACAGTTGACGGTCTCACAGCCAATAATCTATGGCGACCACGATCTTTTGGTGAATGTTTAAAGTCAGTGGTACTGGTCTCCATCGGGATGTTCGGAACTGCAAAGGTCCAGTAACCAGGTACTGTATGTACGACTTCCGATGTATGTATGTACTGACTGGCTAACGGCCAGTTATGACTAGCAAACGGTAACCAGTAAGCCCGTGAGTAGCTGAGATTCCGGAGCGAAGCACAACGCTAGCCTCGGGCCGCTCCCGTGCTTAGTTATTTCGGTAGTGTAACCAAAATCGCTCCGGGCGAGCAGTTAAAACACGTTGATCATGATATGTGTGAGGTATTTACGTGTATAATCATGTATATCAATAAATAAATAAACGAAGTGAAAATGGAACCGACCTACATTAAGTAACCTTACAATGCGTGTAATGTAAAATGCATCTCACCTTACGCATGGGAAAGGAGGGGAGAGAAAGGAAAAGAGTGGGAGGGGGACTTCTACTCCGCGTAGGGCGGAATACGGGTAATCTCTCTACGAGAAAAATATTATTTCCAGAACATTGCAGTGATCTTTTTCTTTTTTCTCACTTTTAGCTGCCTATTCCACCCCTACTTGTTATTCCTTTGACCACCTACTGCATCCTACTGCTACAGAGTCCCTGGTCGTTTATTGTGGGCTGCTGGTTGCGCCCTACGCGTTCATAGGCCAACTCCCACTTGCGCCGAGCAAGCTAAAGTCATCCCTCGTATGCAAAAGTTCAATAGCGTTGGATAGAGCACGGCAGGACGTGATAAGCTAAAGCCGACAGGGTAGTATGTAAGTAGTAGCATCAGCAGTAATGTTATACATAATGTACATGTCCTTAACAAGGTACGTACATACACTATACAATGACCTGCAAGGCTAGGGCGTGGACAAACTGGGGAAGGGCATAGACTGTACGATAATATCGCTCCACTCATCGTCGTCATCGTGGCTACGTGGGGGGAGCTAACTACATTGAGAAGAGAAGAAAACGATAGTGTTACGGTACGATGTTCTCTTGTCATAATTGGATCCGCAGGTTCGTACCAAAACCATCGAGTTGGTAACCTCTAATATATAAGTTGTATGCACATCTACGGGACCAGGTGGGACAAATAATTATTTGTCTTCCTATAGGTAGGTGTATGGTAGAAACTCGTTATCAAAATCTTCGGAATACTTCCCTCCTAATGTGAAATATGCGAGTCGTCCGACAGGAGAAAAATGCCACCTGTTCGCTAATTGTTCCGTCAGCCACTCTCTAGATTACGTGCCAAGTATACGCCATTATTGGCTCGCCCAGACCCCTGCAACTTCGAGACGAGGGATTCGACGGGGATCGATTCGGGGATAGACGGGGCGAAGCGGATGTGTATCGATCATCACAAAATCATCCCGGACCGGCCAAAGCCTTTTCCTAGTAACGCACGTGGAAAACTTTTCTTATTTTTTATGCCAAAACCAACAAGATCAACGGTCTCAATAAGTAAGCGGATTCCAATCTCACGATGTCTAGACTCCGGACATGCGAACTTAGCGGTGAACAATTGATTTTCTGCGAACGGCCTCGGTTGGTCGGCTAGTGTAGCTCTATTACATCTAATAGCCGTCCCGACAGAGAGGAACTCCGAATTAAAAGAGAGAAATTTCATTTGGAAAAAACAAGGTCGGACCTCTAACTATAGTCTTAGATTGGGTGGGGATGGCAATATCCATTCCCACCTACCTAATCTACGGACATTCATATATGTTAAGTATGTTGAGCTACTTGATAATATTAACAGGCCTGTATTAGGCACGTGGCGTCTAGGTAGTAAATCCGGCCCGCCAAGGTAACGCTCTCCTCAATCATCACCTATCCGAGTCACGAGCCGCGCACAATACCGACATTGCTTTACATTATGCAGATTCAGGTTGCTTTCCGTGAGAGCGACATGATCGGGGGGCCGTGACACGTCAGAAAGGTTTCCGGCGGAGTGGTTCATGCAATGAAAAATAAGTCGTGCGATGTTGATGTAACCTCACCCCTTGCAGGTAAGCTAGACGACCCAGGCAGGTTTTCGGCTTCATCCCTCATTCGTAACGTGTTCTCCGGGTTACTACATCCTACTACTCCGTTTTGTGTTTCCGTTGCAGCAGACCATGCCCTTTAGTTACTAACCACAGCTGCATGGCAACCCACACCCAACCCACCTGGTCGAAAACGCTTCAATCGCTTTAATACGATACGTTAGAGCGATCCATCAAAGCTGACACCAAGGTTTGCTTAAGTGATGGTGTGTGTCTGTTTTTCACATTACATTCCAGGTTAGCACCACCAACATACATGCCTAGCCTCCCATCGTGTTAGGTGTTAGCTCTCTCCGACAGCGCAGAATCGAGTGCTCTATTGGACCCGAGGCTGAAAACAAGAGGCTAAATCGATTGCCTAGGGCTCAGTAGACTCGGAATAGCGTCGAGGCGAGAGCGGAGCTGATTGCAAATAGTGTCCCCCATTATGCGTACTTATTATGGTGCTTGCTTATCTTGCCATCTTGGTCCATGATTCCAGAAACGATGCGGTGACGGGTTTGGTTCAACTTATCGTTACCTTATATAGGCCGGTATCTACCGTATTTGGGACACTACCGAGTCGGACTATACTCTATTAAGTTGCCACGGTCAGGCGACCTCGACTCGATTATCACTCACGCCCGAACTCCCGAGCCTTGCAAGAGATTCAGACGGATCCGGGTGGGAATTCTCATAAGAACGGGCGCATCCCGTGATTTCCACTAGATTGGTGTGTTGGAAAGCAATTCTCACCTCATCCCTAATTCACCTAATTCCTCCCTCTCGACCCCTTATCCTGGCATGTCAAGGGTGCCTCTACTTCGTGTTCTCTAATCCTTGATTTTGTTTCATGGCGGGAGCCCAATTCCGGTCTCCGGTCTCACCTATCACCATGAACGGGATCAACGGCCACCATTCTAGTTCCTATTCTTCGGCCTCCTCTAGCTTCGAGGAAATCAAGGAGACCGTGGCCCCAGGATCGATTCCGATCGCGATCTGCGGGGTTGGTGTCAGACTATCTGGGGGCATCCGGAGTACTGACGACTACTGGGATCTGTTGGTGAATGGCCGCGATGCTCGCGGGCCGGTCCCGAAAAGCCGCTATAATGTCCAGGGGTTCGACAATTCTTTAGACGGCAAGGAACGCATCGAGACTAGATCCGGCTACTTCCTAGAAGATGACCTGTCACGTTTTGACCCTTCCCTTTTTTCTATGACCCAAGTGGAGTTGGAGAGGTGTGACCCTCAGCAGAGACTGTTACTTGAGGTTACTCGCGAATGTCTCGAAGACGCGGGAGAAGTCAGCTATCGCGGTAAGCCAATAGGTTGTTATGTTGGCACTTTTGGGCAAGAATGGCTGCATATGCAGGATAAGGATAGTCAGCAAATTGGCAACCATCTGGTCACTGGCTCTGGTGATTGGATGCTTGCCAATCGCGTTTCTTATGAGTATAATCTTTGCGGGCCAAGGTAAGCCACCGATCAGCCCCTAATCATTCAATAGCCCCTGAAATTCAGCTAACCATGTTTTGCCACCCAATAGTATGGTAATACGGACAGCCTGCTCCGCGTCGTTGATTGCTCTACACGAAGCTTGTAGAGCTATTCAGTTCGGAGATGCCTCCTCTGCTGTCGTCGCCGGCACCAATTTGATTCTCAGCCCCTCTCTTAGTATTCATATGACATCGGAAGGTGTCTTATCTCCAGATGGGTCATGCAAGAGTTTTGATGCCTCGGCAAATGGCTATGCCAGAGCTGAAGGTATCACCGCTATATACGTTAAGCGATTGACAGACGCTATCACGGACGGCAACCCCATCAGAGCGGTGATCCGGGGTACCGCAGCTAATAGTGATGGTCGAAGTCAAGGAATGCTTGTCCCACGAGGGGAAGCTCTCGAGTCGCTCATGAGAAAGGTATATTCTGAAACAGGATTAAACCCGTCTGAGACTGCGTTTGTTGAGGTACGTATCATTTCCCTTTTCCTTAGTCTCTGTTGAATCGTCGCAATACTAAACATGCTTCGAACATAGTGTCACGGTACCGGAACATTTGTCGGCGACCCGATCGAAACTTCTGCAGTTGGCGAGGTTTTCGGGAGCGATGGTGTTTATATAGGTTCCGTTAAGCCTAATATAGGACATTGCGAGGGCTCAGCCGGTCTTGCGAGTATTATCAAAGCCGTGTTAGCTTTAGAGAATAGAACGATACCCCCTAATATTAAATTCAACAATCCTAATCCTAAGAGTAAGTCTGAGACACCAAAGCGGCCAGTGAAAAGTGAGGCTTGCTCGAGCTAACAATTCAACTCAGTACCATTTAGAGGAAAGGGACTTACCGTACCAATTAAACCGATACCCTTTCCTACTAACAAAGCCGAAAGAATCAGCGTGAATTCTTTCGGTATTGGCGGTTCCAATGCACATGTAAGCATACTCATGTTTCTGGTCGTTCCGGGTTACTGACAGGCTGAAGATTATTATCGATTCATATCCTGCTCCGAAAGGGGCTAGGAATACCATAGGGAAAGCGAAGAGGCCGGAACTCCTCCTATTTTCAGCAAATACCCAAAATTCATTGAAACGTCAAATGGAAGTGTATACTTCCCGCCATTCCCCAATTCTTTACGATACCGCATATACATTAGCCCTTCATCGAGAGCGTCTCGCGCATAGAGCTTTCATGATCAAGGCGGGCGAAAAGTTGTTAGACACTTCCAGCATAGTGAAAGCGCCAGGCAAGTCATCGCACCGGAGGGTGACGATGATTTTCACCGGCCAGGGAAGCCAGTGGGCGGAGATGGGAAAAGATTTATTTGTCGCTAATGTAGACTTCCGCGAGGATATCCACTTTATGGATGACATCTTAAGACGTCTTCCAAGGCCTCCGAGGTGGACAATTGAAGGTGAGTCTATCCAAAGCCTAGGAGACATTAAACATCACGATATTGATATATCTTCTTTCCCCAGCCGAGATACTCAAGCCTGGCGAAATCAGCGACATGAACAAAGCCGAGTTAGCGCAGCCCCTTTGTACCGCACTTCAAATTGCCATCTTCCGACAGTTCCAGCGTCTCCGAGTCATACCTACAGCAGTCGTCGGGCATTCCAGTGGTGAGATTGCAGCAGCCTACGCTGCCGGTTATATTTCTCTCGAATTCGCTATCCAAGCAGCGTATTACCGTGGTCTTGTATCCTCGACTAGCAGTACAAAGGATGGCGCGATGGCAGCAATTGGGCTCGGCGCTAGGGAGGTGGCAGAAATGTTACCCCATGGTGTCGTCGTCGCATGCGAAAATAGCCCCCAAAGCACGACAATATCTGGAGATCGGGAACTGGTTGAGCAAGCAGTGGCAAGGATAAAAACAGTGAAGCCGGATATTTTTGCGCGTCTGTTGAAAGTTGACATGGCATACCACTCTCGTAAGTGCCTTTTGACTCGCACCTTTTTCATATACCACCTTAGATTTCACAAATCGCTAAGAAGAAGGCTCGCGCAGCCCACATGGACCTACCATCAAGGGAATATCTTCACCTCCTGCGACAAGAGAAAAACTACTCCGGCGTAGGCACCACATTTCTACCCTTGCGTCGATCGATATTCATGTCAAGCGTCACTACCAAGGTGATCGAGAACCCGGCAGACCTAGGTCCGGATTATTGGGCCGCGAATCTCGTGTCTACAGTTCGCTTCAATAGCGCAGTCAAAAACCTACTCGCACTTCGCGGGGACTCGGACGTGCTGCTAGAAATTGGACCCCATGGTGCACTTGCTGGACCTCTACGCCAGATATGCGCTGCTGGTTCCTGGCAATGCAGTTATGTAGCGTCGCAAACCCGTAGTAGCAACGGTGCCGCGGCACTACTAGCTGCTCTTGGCCGGCTTTTCCAGGAGAATGTCGCTGTTGACTTCGGCCCTCTGTTCACTGGCGCTCGCGTCCTCTCTGGCCTTCCCGGTTACGCGTGGGACCGTGCCGGTCAGTCTTTCTGGAACGAGAGTCGATTATCTTCGGCATGGCGCCATCGCAGATATCCCCACCACTGTATTCTCGGTGTTAAGACGACCGAGTCGACAGATGCTGAGCCCCTTTGGAGAAATGTCCTGCATCTCGACGACGCACCTTGGCTCATCGACCACAAAGTTTCCAAAGATGTCGTATTCCCTTTCGCTGGCTACGTCGCCATAGCCGGAGAAGCAATCCGCCAAGTAGCTGGTGCCGACATAGGATCAGGTTACCACCTCCGCCATGTGGTCGCTCGCACGGCCCTTGTTCTCAACGAGTCAAAACCAACAGAGATCATCACCACATTGCGTCGCAAACGCCTCACCGACTCGGATGAATCTCAATGGTATGAATTTAACATCACATCATACAGTGGTTCTGCCTGGATCAAACACTGCATGGGAGAAGTGAAGCACATCGAAGGACCAGGCAATTCCGCATCCTGGAGTCCCCAAGATCTCCCTCGCAGGCTACCAAGCCCATCATTCTATGAGACCATGGAGCGTAATGGATTTTTCTACGGCCCCGAGTTCCAAGCTCTTTCCAACATCACCAGCTCCACCACGGAGCAAATTGCCGAAGCACTATTAATCGATCAGCATAAGCACACCTCCGGGCTCTTCTCCCTACACCCCGTCGCAATTGATGCCAGTCTGCAACTTCTCATGATCGCCACCACGCGGGGTCTCTGCCGCAACTTCAACGGCCTATACGTTCCTACATCAATCGACGAGCTAATCATCGGAAAAGGTGCATCCATAATGAACGCTCGCGCCGAGGTCAAGAACAACGACTTACGCCAAGGCGAAGTCGAATTAATTGCCGACGGCCGTCTAGCGCTGCGGATCCAAGGCCTGCAACTTGCACCCCTAGAAAATGACAATGACCTAGATGCACAAGCTCAACAAGGTATTGATAAGCACGCCGCCGCACATATCCACTGGCTACCAGATTTCGATTTCGCGGACCATCGGGGCTTATTCGCGGCGCCGAAGCCAGACCGTGCGCTTCTAAAGCTGCAGCAAGAGCTCTCATTCCTATGCATGCTCCAGGAATTACAAGCCGTAGAAAACGTAGAGGTGTGCCAGCCACATTTCGCCAAGCTGCGCGATTGGATGAGAGGGGAAATTGAGGCCGCAGCCACCGGCGTTAAGGGTGCATTCCCGTTGGTCGATGACCCAGTTCGATTAGTAGGGTTGAGCGCCACTGAGCAAGATCAGACGATCAATGCCCATCTTGCTATACTAGAGAAGAACCCGCATCATCGCCCGCTTTCGTTGGGTGTTAAGCGTGTGCGCGATCATGCGAAGGAGCTTTTCACTGGCGAGCGCGAGACGCTGGATGTACTACTGCAAGGTAACTTGTTAACTGAGATTTACAATCGGGCCAGTTTCGGATATGGCGACTTCGTACGCTTGCTATCACATTCGCGTCCGAACTTGCGTATCCTCGAGGTCGGCGCTGGTACGGGAGGTACCACGGAATTGATCTTGCGAGATCTCGTCGACGAGGGCGGTATTCCGGCTTATTCCGTTTACACATTTACCGATGTGTCATCTGGCTTTTTGGTCAAAGCGCGCGAGCGTTTCTCATACGCACCAAATATGGAGTATAAGGTACTCGATATTAGTAGATCGCCAGCTGAACAAGGCTTCGATGGCGAAAATGGGTCGTACGATTTGATCCTAGCAGCTAATGTCGTTCACGCGACGCCTTTCCTTGGGGAGACACTTAAGAACATAAAATCGCTGCTAAAGTCCGACGGGATGTTGGTACTTACAGAACTCCTTCCTTCGTTACGCACAGCAAATTATTCATTCGGACATTTCTCCGGGTGGTGGCTAGGCGAAGCCGATAACAGACCGTTTAACCCCCTTGTTACGGTTGACCGTTGGGATGCCGAACTCAAGGGCGCTGGTTTCACTGGTGCGGACTCGTTCGTATACGATGACGAAGAGCCCTACAGCCAGATTATGACAATTGTATCACGGCCGGATGTTAGCCGTCTCGCTCCCCCCAAACAAGTCGCTTTACTATGCGAAAACGAAAATTCAGGTGTAGCCCACGCCATCAAGACCCATCTCCAAAGCTCGGGATGGGATGTTGCACCATGTCGTTTAACCTCAAAACCCCTAGCCGACAGGGACATAATCTCATGTCTAAACCTCGAGAGCGATTGGTTCGTCGACTTAAGTAAAGCTGCATTTAAAAGCCTAATAGCATTCGCCTGCGCACTCGGACAATCCCAAAAAGTACTCTGGCTAACCCATCCCGTACAACTACAATGCTCGGACCCACGCCCCGCAACCTTCATCGGAGCAGCGCGCAGTTTACGAGCCGAGCAAGCGCCCGGACTTTGCACGCTCGAAATCTCCGCCAATGAACCGCGGCTCGCGGACATTGTATCCGGAGTATTCGGCAAGATCCGCACACAAGAAGACGCTGGTGTGCTTGGACCTGATCGCGAGTTCGTAGTTGAGGACGGACAAGTGTGCGTCCCGCGGTACCACCCCTTCTCCCTAACCGACAGATTGAAGGAGAAGAAACAAGACGGAGCGGTAGCTGAAAATATGAGGACCGCTTTGAACATCGGTAAGACCGGGTCTATGGAGACGTTACACTGGATCGACGAGCCCCTCCCACAAGAATTGCCCGACGATTATGTTGAAATTGAAACCCGCGCTGTCGGCCTAAATTTCCGTGATATTGTGCTAGCGCGTGGTATCATTGATTCCTCAACTCCAGGCCGCATTCCACTCGGCTACGAGCTGTCGGGTGTAATCCGTCGGGTCGGTTCCGCCGTCAAGGATCTAGCTCCCGGCGACCGCATTGTAGGCGCATGCAACGGGTGTCTAGCAACCCGTAATGTAGCACCCGCTGAAACCGTCGTCAAGATCCCCGATGCTCTATCCTTCGAGGCTGCAGCCACGGTCCCAGTGTGCTTCGGTACCGTAATCCATAGTTTGATTGATATCGGGCACTTAGAAGAAGGCCAAAGCGTATTGATCCACTCTGCATGTGGTGGCGTAGGCCTTGCAGCACTGCAAGCTGCCAAGATGCTCGGAGCTGAGATATTTGCTACGGTCGGTAACGAGAAGAAGATCCAATATTTGGTTGACAATTTCGGCATTCCAAGGTCCCGAATATTTAACTCTCGAGATGCATCGTTTGCAGAGGGAGTTATGCGAGAAACGGGAGGCCGTGGTGTTGATCTAGTTCTCAATTCCTTGTCCGGTGAGCTGCTGCATGAATCGTGGAGGTGCGTGGCCACATTCGGCATTATGGTCGAACTTGGTCTGCGAGATTCGAAGGGTTCCGGTCGCTTGAATATGTTGCCATTTGCTGATAATCGGGCTTACCATGGTGTGAACCTATCTGCCTTCAACGAGCGACCAAAGAGGATACAGAGGTAAGTTTCGCAATGCATCCACAGTCGTTTTACGGTGTACTAACAAATTGCCAGGTTGTTGAGCACATTCATAAATTTCTTCAATGACGGTTCACTCAAGCCACTCGAACCTGTCGCAAGCTTCGACGCGAAACAAATATCGAGAGCATTCCGTCATTTAGAAGACGGCGATCATATCGGCAAAGTCGTAGTAACCTTCCCTCCCCCCGGTACCACCGCGCCTATTAAATCAGTACCTCAACGGCGTCGCCTCCAATTCGACCCTACGGTTACATACCTCCTCGTAGGTGGTGTCGGAGGTCTAGGTCGATCAATCGCAACATGGATGGTAGAGCGAGGCGCACGAAACCTAACATTCCTCTCACGCAGCGCAGGCGTAAGCAAAGTCAGCAAGATCCTATTCCAGGAACTAGAATCCATGGGATGTTCCGTAACAGCAGTCTCCGGACGCGTCGACAAGATGGACGACGTGCAACAAGCAATCCATCGCTCGAAGTCCCCCATTAAGGGCGTGGTACAATTAGCAATGGTCCTAAGGGATAAGCTCATGATGGACATGGAATATTCCCAATGGACCGATGCTCTCGCACCTAAAGTTGAGGGGACATGGAACCTCCACCGGGCATTCGAATCAAGCAACCTCGACTTCTTCCTCTTGGCAAGTTCATTAGTATCCGTCGCCGAGACCCTAGGTCAAGGCAACTACATCGCAGCGAATACATTCATCGAATCCTTCTGCCGCTACCGCCACTCCCTCGGTCTCCCAGCATCAGTCCTCAACATCGCACCAATCAGCGACGTCGGATTCGTAGCCGAAAACGCGCATGCCATGAGCAGTATGAAATCCCAAGGGATGTACCTAGTCAGCGAACGGGAATTCCTCGATTTCTTCGAAGTCGGCCTCTTAGACGGTTATCCCGCAGAAAAATACTACGAAAGCAACAAATCCACCTCTAGCACCGGGTTACCGGTCCTCCGCCGCAACACAGCGCAAATATTGATGGGTCTGCGCTCAGAGCAAGACCTCAGCGATCCGAAGAGCCGCACGCCCTGGCGTCGCGATCGCCGCATGGGAATTTATCACAACGTACGCGTACAAGGACCATCAAAGACCGCTGAAAGCGACGCTTTACAGGAATTCTTATCTCAAATAAACACTACCGTCTCCGAGGGTGGTATTGACGGCGCCAAGGCCCTTCTTAACAAGAAGGAAAGCATCGAATTCCTAGGACGCGAGATCGGACGCAAGATCTATGATTTCTTGCTACGGCCCGATGAGGAGGTCGACTTGGGTGTCACGCTAGCGCAGATGGGACTTGATTCGCTGATGGCGATTGAACTACGACGATGGTTTAAGGGCGCGTTTGGCGTCGCTATGAGCGTACTTGAGATCGTGGGAAGTGGAACACTGGCTCAACTTGCAGAGCTAGTAGCTGGGAAGTTAGTAGATAAGTTAGAGGGGGAAGTAAAGAAGAAGACTGGGTAGATGGTTGACGCCTGGGTATAGAAGAGAGAGGCGGAGGAAAGAAATTGGATAACGAGATATGATATTTCCAGGAGTTCGGTATTGGATATGGTTGTTTATATTGACGAATCTCCTGAGGTATATGACACATGGTATACGGTATATATGGTTGGTAGGTATGTGGGCAACGGTTTGATACGAGATCCGACTCTATGTTGATATGAACCCGATCCTTAAATTAGTTTAACAACCTCAATTTGTATATACACTTACATGGTTCTTAATAGTACGGAATTGAGGTATTTTACCACGTCTCTCTGTAAGGGGGTGGGCTCACCTAGCTATAAATGATCACGTTGGCTTGGGCCGTTTGTTTCCGTATGCACGTAGCACAAAACAAGGTGGTCCAACGTAAGGCTCACCCACCCCCCTTTCTTCCCAACAGGTGATGCCCAGCCAACCTCGGGTTACACAATGAACTGCAAATAAACCAAAAAGGAAAGGAAGAGTAAAAATTGTGGCAAAAACGTACAACACCGAGGATTCCCTGGTCGTCACCGACCCAGGTACTGATCCGGCGGTAGCTGGCTTGTCTATGGGAGAGCGGACGGGATCCCGAATTTTCCAGATCCTATGGCCGTACGTAATAGATTAACGTGTAACCCAAGTTTATATCGTAAGCTCCAATGGTTTTGGTGTAACGTGGTGGGGCAAGTCGGCGGGAATAGGTGTGGTGGGGTAACGACGGGAAGACTCACGATAGTATACCCGTAAGCTTCAGTGTGCAAATAGTAATAGACCGCTTGAAAAATCACTGCATTAGGCTCGGCTGGCTTGATTTGGCGTATCCCACTCAGTAGGACATTTCCACTCCTTAGACATTTCGAATATCGTTTTTATCATTTTTCTTAGCGTTGAGATTTTCTCTAGCTCATCCCGCCTCGGCCTCAATCGTAACTTTTTAGCTAACCACCATACGTCAGAATTGTAATATACAAGACCATAAATAGTCAGCCGTCCCATCGCTATATGACAGCCTCACGCACGTCCCGTCCAACATTCAGCTCAACACGGGCCATCCTAATCGTCATCCATCCATCCATTCAGCCCCTCGCTTTCCACCCCTCACCACCATCCCACAAACCCCCAAATCCCAGCAATTCAGCGATACTCCAACCAAGAGCCCGACAATCCCGCGCTCATAAACAAGATAAAAACCTTCGCCTGCGGAAACGCCGGGCCACCAAACTCCGGATCAACACCCATAGTCCCAGGAAATAGAATCGACAGCAGTCCCGCAAGCCAATAAATCGACCCCGCAACAGCGCTCACGAATACAAATTCCCGACGCATTTCCGGGGTTTTCGCTTCCCGCCATGTGTAGTACATGGTTATACCCGATAGCATGACGGCTAGGAGGACGGTCTGGGCGTTGTGGAACCTGATTTCGTTAGTCATGATGGATGGTGAGGTGTCGATATAGTAAGACTTGTGAGATGCGGATAGAGTGTAGGAGGGGCGGTTGACAAATGAAAAGAGAAAGAAGAGAAAACTCACTTAGCATGAGGTCGCCATCTCGGGTTGAACATATGCGTCTCATTCAGACAATCCGCCATAATCGTGCCAAAACACATCGCCAAGGCATCAGCAGTAAGTAACAAACGGCCCAACATTGTCATTTCCAAAATAAAAAAAATAGATAACAAGTAATACAGACACGTATAGTTTGTGACAGCTCAGCTTTAGAAGACAAGAAATTGGTGGCTTGGAACTATCGCGAACAGCCTCGCCGGAAGGGGTCTGTCGATCGATGTCTTAAATAAATCTCGGTTAGGTTAGTTAATTCGTTACACGGCAGCCTGCAAGTGACATATAATATATAACATCCGCGATCAAACAACCTCCGATAAGCATCGGGGTAACATCATACACCCGCGGCATGACAAGTATAATGTACATACCAACCTCTCGGCTTCGTCTACTACCTACTTCGCGGTCCTTGACGTCACTATACCGACCATCGAAAATCGTCAAAACGTCAACCATCCATAGTACAAAACCGCGTCTCGCAGAAGGTAGATAGCCGCGAGCAGAGTCACACTAAAGGATCTAGAACATAACACCCGGGGAAATGCAAAGAGGGACTATACCATATCTAGATCGCTAACTTGTGCTGATTATATAATCATTTCAGACATGCAGATCTATCTCGGTGCTTCGGCGCTTCGCTTTAATACTCAAGTTAGTACGTGCCATGTCGTATACGCATTGATATTTTCATGCACATTCCAAGCCATAATAAAATAGGAAAATTGGTTAATGTTCTCTCGTCTATTGCGGTGTTGCAGTCGTGCTGCTAGTATAAACATGAAGGTATATAAAATACAAAGGCTCGTTGATGCGAGATGCTATATTTTTGGTTGGCAAAATGCCTTTCCAACACCTTTCTATCGAGACCTAAAACACAAATGCAGCTCGCTTCTAGCAATAGCAAGAAACCAGAACATCGCAAAATTTGTAGTGTAAAAAATCAACGTTGCCCTTTTCCGTAGGCGATTATAATGGATACAGTGAAGTTGACTCCTCCGGGGTTTTCCTATTACCGAACTGTTCATTTCTTCGTTCATCCGCACTACCCCGTTCCATCTTCTTAGAAATTGCCTAGTTGTGGCAATATTTGGCAACGTGCCAAATGCTCAGGCTTCCTGGACTCGATCCCCTTTCGAGTCGGGAAATGCGAAATGAAAAAAATGCAAAATGTGAGATGCGGGAGGTTATATGCCAGTATGCCTCCGTTCTTCGTAGACCACCCCCCCTAACGCCTAATCATGCTGGCTATGTAGAATGACACTTAGTTGCCATTGGGCAAATTGTCATCACCCTTGGCCTCGGCTGCGGCCGCGATGACAGAATACTGACCACCAGCACCTGCCCAGATGACCTGTCTGTCACGAACGGCAGTGTTGTCAATCAAAGTAGGAACTTCAACATCGTCTGTAGTGCCTTGTCCCGTCTGGTAGTTGGCAGAGAAACCCCAGGAGTAAACCTTGCCCTCTGCATCCAAGGCAAAGCTGGTATCTGTACCAGCAGCGACGAAAGTAGCCTTAACGCCTATAGGGTCTTGTTAGCATAATTCGTGCATTAGATCAGGGTGATAGAAACATACCATCAACAGCAACGGGCTCACGAAGAATTCGAGGCTTCTTGTTGTCGTCAAAGACAGCATTCTCCTCGTTATACAGACTAGCCGGATGTCCGACTTGGTGGCCGTCCACTCGTCCCCAGGTGAGCAGCTTTCCATCTGTCGTGCAAGCGACTGAGTGATGCTCGCCGCCCACAATCTGGGCTACCTTCTCGTCTTCAAGTGATGAGACAAGCTGCGGCTGAAGAACCATGGCATCATCTTCACCGGTGTTCTCGTTAATGCCGGTTTGGGCATAGTTGTTTAAACCCCACGCCCAAACTTGATCATTGTTGTCAATGTAGAAGCTGTGATAGGAACCAGCACCAACACGAATAGCACGATGCTTCCTCGTGAACTTTCCACAAGGTTGCGGGTTGAGTCCGCCAGAAGGTCCTCCCCGACGAGTAAGTGGCTTCCTACCGAGTTGATACTGACCACCACTACCCCATGTGAAGACCGTTCCAGACAGATCTAAGGCGAGAACGTGGTTCGAACCACAAGCTAGCTTGGTGATGTTCTTCAATCCAGGGATGATGGTAGGGGTTGCTTGAGTTCGGACACTTTCGCTGAATCCAATAATACCATCGGAACCTCGGAAAGTACCCCAGCCGTAAACCCAACCGTCGTCAGTAAGGATGAAGGAGGCTGAATCGGTAGCAGCTACCTGAACAATATTTGTGCCCTCGGGAAGAATGCTAAGATCGACTTTACCAGGAGTGCTCTCGTTCGGGTTCATACCGGTGTCATCATCCTCATCATCATCCTCGTCTTCAGCATCGATATCTCGTGTACCGCCCTCCCAGAAAGTATCACGACCTAGTGCCTTGTCATCATTGACACCCCAGGTAAGAACAGTCTGATCTTGAGTCAGAGCAATGCAGTGCATGCCACCGCATGCCAAAGCGATAACACCCTTGAGATTATGATTGATTCTGGGTCGCTTGACATCAATGGGCTTCTTGCCTTCATACTTCTTACTTCCGAGACCAAGCTCGCCAGAGGAACCCTCACCAAACACGAAGACATCAAGCTGCTGCGAAGGCACGTCATTGAATGCAACACCCTTTGCGCCGAGTCCTCTTGTGCGCACAGCAGGCTTAGGAGCGGGTTTGGCCTTGGGTTCGGCCTTCGGCTTGGGAGCGGCCTTAGCAGGCTTAGGGGCCGGCTTAGGTTTAGGAGCAGGTTTAGCCGCAGCCTTGGTGGTACGAACCCTCTTCTTCGGAGGTTCTTTGTCCTTGTCCCCCCCATCCTCTTCCTCATCTTCAGAGTCTTCTTTCTTGCTCTTAGTCGTCTGGGCCTTCGCAGCCTTCTTAGGTGCAGCTCGAGGAGCGCGAGTTTTCTTTGCTTTGGCGGGCTGAGTCGGCTCTTCTGTAGCCTCCTCGTCCTCCTCGTCTACATCTCTCTTGCGCTTAGCTGCGCTCTTCTTCGACTCATCCTGAGCCATTTGCTTTACTTGCTCTGCAGAAACCTCGCGATCATTCTGTTGTTCCTGTTCTAGCAACTCTCTTTGCTTCTTGCTTTTACGCGCAGGCGGCGCTGCTGCCCTCGCTTTGTCCTGCTCGGCCACTTGTCGGTCGATAATCTCGTCGAGCTCACGGCCGGCTTGCTGTTCATCCTTCATGATCTCCTCGTTCGTACGACGGCTCTTACGACTTGTTTCCGGGGCAGGCTTGGTCGCATTCGATCGACCGCCGGATTTCTTAGCCACACCGAAGGGCTTCGCGGCAGCACCCGCTGCTTTGCGGCCTTTAGGAGGCATTGTAGAATGACGTTGTATTTGTGGTGTAGACGCGTATGGTATGTGATGAGTAAGGTGAGAAGGCGGAAATAGTTAGAGGTGAAAATGAATTTTCTTCTCGCGATTACGAGAAAAAAATCAGGTTATTGATGAGTAGTGCGTCGGTGGAAGGTGGATGGTTCTATGAATAATTCTAGATGTAGAGAGGATGGTGGAGAGTGATAGATGTGAGGGAGACGCGAATTATGTATGAAGGGTGAAAGTTCGAAACTGAACGTTCGAAATATGAGTCAGGTTAAAACAGCAGATGGGATGAGTGCTGGTGACGCTGATGGATTTTTTTCGTCCAACTGGGTGAACTGCGCAGAACGCAACAACCGCGTCTTCAGTTGGAAAATCAGACCCGAATCAATACGTAAATTTAATAGTATTTTCAGTATTGAACAAGGCCTTAATGGTGTTGTTTTTAGTGATCAGGAAAATAAAAATCGAGTCACTAAACTTCTTTGTCAAGTTGAAAAAACAATTGAGAAAGAAGAAGAGTTGGTTGAAGGTAAAAGGTTGAGAGAGAGATGAATGTTTGCGGTGATAGTGTGGTGGGCGACGAGTGTTGAAAGAAAAAAACGCGCCAATAGAAATTTTATGCTAGGACTTGTGCTGATTTGGATTGGGATTGCCCAAGGCCGCATGCAGTAATTCAATGGAATTGTGTACTTAAATCACCCTAAGGGCAGTAAAAAAAACGGTACAACTGGACCAAAACAACCTTAAAAAGTGATCGCGTCAGCCCCACTAGAGCTGTTCCTTCTCAGAAGCTATAGTGGACCATCAAGACCCTAAAAGATCTAATGTCCAATCAAGCAACAGGATCAAGGGTCAGAGCCCCTGTAAAGCTCCTTCACCGCCCGGTATCCACCCCGATCTATCTATCCCTAAAGTACCTATCAGTACCTGAATTTGAGAAACCTTATCCTTGTCTAAGGGCTTTTTATCCGGCAGAAAAGTTGGTGTTTAGCAAAGCGGTAACCTAGAAAAATTACGTAGTGCAACTTACGCTGTGATGTATTCTACTCATAATTATTCCCTGCAATGTACCTAAGATATTGAGGTATTTGTGGAATTAAAATTGATTTTAATTGATGTGATTTCTAATCCTTTTAGGGCAAGCACATAAGGGTTGCATCTCGTATGTATTTGATATCCATAGATGGACCTGAGTGGGAATTCAGCCAATTCGTGATTGGTAGATACATGAATTTAGTGACTAAGGTACCTGTAAAGAAAGTTCAAAGTTACATGTATCAGTTAAGGTTAGGCACCTCAATCCCACCATGCTACCTCCAAAAATCTCTCTTGCACGCCCAATTTACTGAACCACCACAATTCATCATTTATTAAATCATCCAACATAAAAAGCAGAACGACGTTGATGTATTCATACCAACTACCATATCCCAAATACCTTCACCCAATCACTCGTCAGCCTTAGTAGCACAGCACCAATCAGTTAGGCGTTCATAGACGAGCCTAGACATCAATACGAGAAGATATAAAACCATCGCATTGTTCATTTATTACCAGTTACCAGCGGCCTAACTCCAAGCTCCTAGGAGCGTAACTAATCAATCCCATTTAATATCCATCCTAACCATAGAGCAGAGAAATAAAGAGCCAGTAACCAGTGTCACCACCATATTTTTACGAGTTTCCACCCATGATATTACCCAACCAACCAACCATCCTATCCCAGACCAACGATCCCCGATCCTGCACACCCAACAACCATTATCTTCCTACTTCTGCATAGTAAAGTCCACCTCATTAGGATTCGGCTTCGAGTCGGCCAGTTCACACGTGCACGAGCCAGCAGGTCGGGAGCCACAAGCACATTTGCTACCAGCGACGGGTTCGTTCTCGCGCGTTGCGTTCTCGCATGTACATTGGCCGGCGGGACGGGCGCGGCACGAGCATCGTGCACCTGTGAGGGTGTTTTCGGCTGCGGCTTTCTCGCATGAGCATTCGAGGGCAGATTTCTTGCCGCAGGAGCATGTTGCTTGTTTGGCTGTGAAGCAGAGATGTTAGTTCGCTGTTTGAAGTAGTAGGTAGGTACCGGGTGAGGTATGGGTATGTAATTGGATGTTGACTTACCGCAGACGCACTCGCCGCCGGTGTTCTTGCCGCAGCAGGTAGGTGTTGCCTTGGTGACTTCGGTAGACATTGTGACTATGTGATATAGTTGGAATGTGACTTAGGTATGAATGGTAGATCGAGTGTATATGTCTTGGATTTGTTGTATATTCTGGCTGGAAGATGTCCTCGAATACCACAAAAAGGGAAGAAAAGTGTTGGTATTTGTAGCCGTAAACTCAACAACCTCGTCCAGTCGAAGGCGGCCTATTACCATCATTGCGCAGCCACCACTGACATCACTAGTTCGAGCACCGTCCAAGAGATAGGTAATCATGTTCTTTATGATTGGTCAGTCTCCTCCTAAGTCCAACACTAGCAACCAATCATAACAACTATGATTATTTCAACTAGACTCTAGCTGGTCCAACGGCTCGGCTCTGAGAAGTCCAGACCATCTTCTGACCCTTTTTGAGGCTGAATTTTTTTCAACATCGTCAGTCCGCAACGCTCGAATGGCCTGATTCGCTATAGAAGTCTTCAAATCATAAGGCAAAATTCTCTCGGAACGCAATTCCAATATCTACCATTGGCTGCATGTAATGTTTGCTGTAGTTGCACAAACAATATCCGACTTTTCGTTCTCGGCTAGATAATGCTTTCGTCGGTTTCACCACCTATGCAGCTATGTCAAGCTGCTTCGAGACGTATCCGGGTCTTCTAATCCTTCTAATCATATATGTACCCCACACTCGGTCGCCGAGTCGAGATATATCGAGAATATTATATAGAGAGCATAGCGACATGACCAGGTCCTGTACCATAATCTCGGAGCCGAAGTAATCGAAACGTATCCGGCCGTTTCGATCTGACTCTTACCACTGCCCAAGTAAGGATTCTGACCAATCTAAAGCTATTCATTACATGATTTAAACGAGGATATGGATATCTTCGAGAAGTCCCAGGACCAATATCAGGTTGTACAGTCCCATTATCTTACTCCTTGTCCCTGGGTCTTCCTTGACCTAATTATGACAGCTTGACCTCCCGCTTCTTGCCGTGGAGTCAAGCTCCCCCCTTCCACCTTCTCAATGCTTATACAAGGACTATCGATGCTTGAGTTTGAAGTAGTGAAGGTCTTGTATCCTACCCAGGGACCTGGACACACCAGTTCTTGCTGAGGGGCTTGATGCGTTAACTCTACGCTAAAATATAGAAGTAAATGGTTATTTCAAGGTGACTCGTGGTTTATATATTGTCGTTCTATCTATCTAGGTAGGTATCAATATCAATCTCTTCAAAGCAAGGGGAGATGAGGAGGAGTAGTGCGTCCTATCACAAGTATAGCTTTTTACTTGCCGGGCAGTTCGAGCACATAGCACATCATCTTTCTAGAATGGAGACTTGTGCTGCATGATGGTACGAGTCGTACCAGTTTCAAGTACCGGAGCGAGACCTATGTACGCCAACATAATCTAAAGTCACATGCGTTAATGGTTATATCGCTAGCCATATACTGGCCCAATGATACCTACCAATTGATATCGGCTTTGAAGGACCTATATAGGTTAATTCCCGTTGTATAATCCGAAAGGTAGGCAATGGATTTCGTTCATCAGCGAGGAGGTACAGTAAGGAGTAAGTAGATTGCTTCCAAACCAGTGAAATTTGGGGGAAATGTGTATCGTCCCATGTCTTGGGAAGCAGGCGAGATACTCGTATATCGCGAGCCTGTCCTTTGCTAATTGAGTCAGCCTCATTTGAAAACATGCTACAAGTCAGCAGACTGGCAAATTACTCTCGGTTGGAACTACTCGAATCTCTTAATGAACCGTGCCACGGCGTAGGCCTCCTGGACTTGATGAAATATCCGTGAACCATTTTCCAACGATGTGATATAAAATGCTAGACAAATAGAAGGATTACTCTCGGATAGGCGCCTAGATGGCCTCGTCAAATCTCGATCGCCACTGAGCATAGGGAGAACATATAATGACAATTGAAATCGAAACTATTTCAACATGCTATCTATAAAAATACTACAACTACTGGTGCTGGGAGCTCATGTTGCCCTAGCACAGATCTACGATAATGGGCCATTCCAGCTTCATGTCAGCAGCCTTAACGACAGCACAATCAATGGTAGCATCCCAAGTCACATAATCCGACAGCATGCATACACTAACATATATCTCACAGGGCGTGCCTACCCATGTCAAACCACCCTCGGTCTCTGCTACACAGCAGGCGACGCATCATCGCAGTCCACCGACGGCGGGTTCATCTTCACCTCGCGCGGGCGCGCCGACTACACAGTGGGGTATCTCTCATGGCGCCGCACGAGTAATATTAAGCACAAGAACGGCAACGGCAATAAACAGACATCCAGCACGGTCTCCTCCTACGGACCCGTCGGATTGATCTACGACCCAGGTTCGAACGTCGCCGTTCCGGTACTCAACCAGACCGGGACACCGGGGACCCTCGGTTTCGATGGTTCGACCGGGGATTTAGTGATGGCGGGGATAGACGATACAGTGATGAATGGCGGCTCCACCACCACCACCACCACCACCGCGGGTAACAAAAACGGTACTAGCACTACTAGCAACGGCAGTAAAACCAGCGGAAACACCACCACAACGCAAAATCGCAACTACAACAACTGGTACCTATGTCTCGTACAACTCGAAACAGATCAGCAAGCGCAGATGCTAGTATCGTGGGTCTTAGGCGCCAACTTAGGCTGGCCGCCTACGAACCCGACATGCCAGCGCATCAACATTACCATGGACATGGGCGCTGTGGGATATGGGGGATTAAGTGTGTTTCGTAAGTGAAGTGCGTGCGTGCGTGTATGTAGACTTGGAATTGGAATTAGGTGGTTGGGTTATGTAGTGGTGTTTACTGTAGGTAAGTGATGTGCAGTGGTGGTGGGAATAAAGGAGGGGAGGAGGTTGGTGAAGGGGAAGGATGGAGATGGGGTCTGAACTGGGGATTGAAATTTGAAACAGAAATTTGCGCAACTTGCGATGGAAAATATGGAGTGAATTGGGGGACGAACTGGGGCGTGAATTGATGGGGGATTAGAGAGTATTCAGGGGCCGCTCTATAGACTTGTAACTCGATGGTTAACTCAATCTAGTTGAATTTCTATAAATATTTCTGTATAGGACATCACGACGATTGAAACAGAAACTTAATATAGTACCAACGGTGCGTTTTCCCTGAAAAAAATCCTTTAAAATTTGGGTATAAAATAGAAAAATGCAAGGCTGCATCCGGGATCCGAGTCTTCCGTAGTGGACCTTCACCATCCGATCGGCATCTACAGCCGTCGTCCTTAGGGGGCAGAATTAAAGTAAAATGGTAATGGCTGGTATCACGAACTGCAAACTGCAACAGTAACATGTGCAATCTTATCTACAGAACGTGGTTTGAGACCTACATCAAAATGCATCGCACAGAATAGGAGTAGCGGTGTCGTCGCTAGTTCTATTGTTGCGTTCCGTTTCTAATAATAAAGAAGGAGAGCAACCATAATCTCAGACATAATCTTGAAATTTTCTATTACAACCGGCAATTTTCGGTATAAAAAACGCCCCAATGGAAAGAATAGGTAGTAGATGGTAACAAGATAGGCGGGCTGAAGTCTTACATACTCCTATGTGTTACCCCTATGTCTGTCGAGAGTAATATAGATGGAACGAACATAATATATCGAGATGCATGTTTTTTAGTTGCCGAGTTGTGCAGATTTTTTTTGCTTCTTTTTAGGAACAAAACAGGATTGGTTTTATGTATGGCGTCCAAGTTAGGACCTTTGTTCTTGTTCGCTCACTTTCTTTCCTGAATAAGACAACGAGAGCGAATACAATACCACACCTACATAACTAGGTACATAATCATAACCCTACATAATTTACATAGGGTCGAGGCCAGCTCGTATCGGCAACGAATGTAACTAGTCTCACTGCAGAAAGAGTAATACCCTGCATATTCCTTGCATACCACGCTCGGCTGCCAATCGAACGATAGGGTGTTCGCCACTCCAAGCTTGGCATGGCATACATATTATAGAGGGTACGTACAGAAGCGCATACGTACGATGGAGGGAACGACTGGTGGATAGGAACTCATTTAGCTTACGGGCTTTAGGGTATTATATGCACTTGTCTCTCTCTCGCTTGACTATTTGACGCTTGACAGTTGACACTTGACCCCTCAGAAGACCTCTGAGACCTCTTAGATTATGGGTCACATTGTTAAGTCTCTCTCTAGCGTTTACATCATATAGGTATCTACACACTAACACCAACAACTACGCTTGATCAAAAGATGACGATATTCTCCTCTTTAGTTCTATCAACTGTTGGTGACTTGCATATTGTACGCACACACTTAACACCCCTCAATCTATGAATTTATTTCCCTAGTTCGCAAGGCCCTTCCTCCCAAGTTGGCGGGTTACATGGTACATAGTAGGAAGAGAGCGAGCCATGGTGTCCATGCGCCGTCACGATTGCATATGCAGGTCAGCCAGCTAGAATCCACCAATGCGACTTGGGTATCCAGGGGCTATGCAAATCCGGTTTTCGTATTGGTTTGACAGCCTCTAGACCTGCTGGCTAGAAAAATGCGGTGGGACACACACAGACAAATTGATTCCCACGATGTACCAACGTCATCGTGGTAAGGGCTCCTCGATGTAACTCTAGGTAGGCAATAGAATCACTAAAAAAAGTGTATACTGTAACATTTCGTATTACTTTTATACTACTGCCCTTTTCAACACACCCGCATCCGCACTCATATCATAGTAATGCTATACTCGAAATCATTTTCCCTACTAATGCAATTCCATATTTCACAATGAACTGGCATAGGGGACATACGACGACAGCGACAGAACCCGCTGTCGTGAAGCCTGAAGGCGCTGGTAAAAAATTGAGGCGGAAACTGCAAAAAATCGGCACCCAACCACGCTGGTATAAATCGAACCACGACAGCAGCAAAACCAACCACAAAAACGAGGACGATACCAAGAAAGCGGTAAAATCCAAAATCAATGTCAGCGCGATAAGTAAACCAATTCCAGAGACGGCCGATCCCAATGATGGCAAATGGCTCGAACAACTCCGAAAGAGCGGTTATCTCGTTCGGAGTCAACCTCCTCCCGTACAACAGAACAGTGGCAAACCATTCCGACATTCGATGCAAGTAATCCCCGAGTTCGCGCATCTATCCGTGAACGACGCGAAAGCGGGACGACAATTAGATAAGCGAGCATCATGCGCGACACCCTCTTCTACATCTACATCTACAACATCGGTGACGCGACGGTACGCGAAAACCCCCGTCTACCACATCGGACAATTGGAAGACCGGCAACGACGCGAACAACAAGCCGCTGCCCATCGAGTCTCAAGCGTAGAAAAAATCGCAGAGTCCTACCGCGCACTTTTAGAATCAAGCTGCGCGATCCTAAATGAAAATGAACAGCCATTGCGACTTGGCGATGCTTACCGCCGCCGCCACGACGCGAAGGTGCATGCGTATGTCGACAATAGGCGAAATACAATCCAAATAATTCCCGAACTCTCGCCCCAATCTACAGGAACGCCTCACTCGGATGACGGGACACTAGTCGCGTTCGAAGAGGAACCTGTATACACAAAACCAGGCTCATCTCCTGTCCCAATATCCATCTCACCCTCACCCTCACCGCCCCCAATCCCACCAGCCCGTGAACTACGCCACCGACAACTAGTACCAGCATTAGCACCCTTATCAACACCACCGCGACGCCAATCCCAATACCAACCTGAACCCGAACCCGAACCTGAACCTGAAACCGACCTTGAATCCATTCTCAGCCCCCCATCGCGACGAGCGTCACCCGGAAGTCCTGGTCTACAAATTTGTCTCGATCTACTAGGTCGGGAACTCTCGTCAGCAGCCAGCGGATCATTCATGCGACCTAGCTCCGAGACCTCGGCACTGCAAGTATGGGTTATGATCGAAGCATACGAGAGGCTACGCGACAAGCTCGGGGATATGCAAATGGATGCAGGTCAGGAGCGATCGCTGAATACTATGCTGGATACCTGGATCAAAGCTTTATACGCAGTTCATGATAAGATGACCGGTGGTGATGGACGAGGGAGTGAAAGTGATTACGGTGATTAAGCACGACTACGAGAATGAGTATAACGATGAGTTGGGGAAGTGTTCAGAATTGGGGATTGGAGATTGGAGATTGGAGACTCTTCGGATTTATTACCGGGTTTATGGATTAGAATATTAAGTTGTAATTGCTACCTTACTAACTAGGAAACTAACTTTGAAGCTATATCGGCTTCTGGGTCAAATTGGAGTGTACCAGGTATAGGTACGGGCAAGTTTTAGATTTTGAACTAAATTGCGGTTTGCACTAGAAGGCATTATTTGGGAATATGGGGAAGGTATACCTTGGGATCATTTAGCATCTACTGGGAGGATTTGCATCACCACCCAACTTTGTGTAATGGTAATGACATTACGAAGCCGAAGTTTAATGTTAAGAATTACCTAAACCATCATGACCCCACTATATCAACCATTTTGGCGTACAAAAACGAATATCATAGGTGGGGTGAGGTGACACAAATACACACTTTCTCTTATCTAATGTACTTTATCAACGCGGTTCGACGCGTATGTAGCTTTTTATACTCTTTCATATTCACAAACCATCCCACCTCTTCGCCCAAATAGACCAATTGACCACACATATCAAATGATCTAAAACTTCCCCAAATAATTCGTCCCACCACACCAACTACCATCCTCACAAACAAACCAACACCATGCCCCTCCTAACCCGACGCGACCGGGACCTACACCGGGGCATACGCGAGAGCACAATCGCCTCAACCGCCACTCTCGGCCGCCATACCTTAGAACGCGACATCCCAAACCCACCACCCGCCGAACTTCCCCCCTACGAACCCCTAGCCTGCCCTCTAAGCGACTCAGCCATCCGCACCCTAGCCCAACTCTGCGCCGACGGGCACACGCGAAAGTACGAAGAGCAACTAAGCAAATCCCTCGAGCTCCTAAGCGGCAGCGTACGGGACCTCAACGATCGTTTCTCGGAGCGCAAAGAGACTCTGCAAAGCCTGCAAGCTAAGCGGATCGAGCGAAACGGTGAAAATAGTAATGATACAAAAAGCGACCGTGAACATGCGGTGGAAAGAGCCGTATTAGAGTTACAGAAAGACGTCCCACTCTTGACCGAAGAATGCGATCTCGCGGTGCGCAGCGTGATTGATCTCAAAGTCGAGCTCGAGGATAACAATACCGCGATGCGAGATGTAGCGCAGAGAATTGAGCGTGAAGCAGAAGCCAGAACGAGGCGCCGGAGACCGAGTCGGAGGAATAGGGATCCTGATGCTGAGGACGAGACTCAGAATATGGACCAGGATGAAGATATGGATGACGCGGAGATCGTGGGTCCGGTGGATTTACTCAAGAAGGCGAAGCAAGATGCGGCGGCTGAGTATGCAAGCAAGAGCTTGTATGAGAAGTACGCGGTCAACAATGATTATATCGACTTCAAGCGTCTGTGGCATGACGCTGTACATGGCGCTGATGGCAAGCCGCTACCTGATGCCACTAAGTGGTTTTCACAGAACGGAGCGAATGGCGAGATGGAAGATGACGAAGATGAGGATTTGATTGTGGCAGAGGAGCATCTTGATATTCACTGCCCGCTCTCCATGGTTGTCATGCAGAACCCGTACACGAGTACTAAATGCAAGCACACTTTCGAGAAGGAGTCTATTGTCCAGTTCCTGCGAACTAAGCCCGGTGGAAAGGCGCGATGTCCGCAGACGGGATGTAACAAGGTATGTCCCACAACACATTACACATTCTATTTTACAGAAGCAGCTAGCTAACTACAATACAGGAAGTATCAATGGCGAATTTCCAACCTGATCCCGTTATGCTTCGTAGAATCAAACGACAACAAGTCGCGCAACGTGCTGGTATGGATGATGACGATGAGGATGAGACTCTTGACGGTGATGGTGATTTGGAGATGAGGATAACGCAGAGCTCGCACCGCAAGGTTAAGCAGGAAGGGCGAGATAGGGGACGTCGATTGATTGAGGATATAGTAGATGATGATGAAGAGGCGTAGCTTGCCTATGACGGGCTTCTAGGGACACATTGATTCTGTTGGCGTTACGGATGGAAGTACAAGGAGCATACTCAGGGTGACTCGAGCTTACGTCTACGAGACGAGGTACTATTAATCATGAATAATGACGTTCTGACTAAGTTTATGGTATCGCCACATCGTTGCGGAGTAGTTTTGCACTCTTGTAGTTCAATCACTAACCCTAACCATCTGCGCAGTATTGCCGACTTCAAAATATACCAGACTATACTAGTACAAATACATTCAAATACGAGGACCTACAACTCTCACCAGCGAAGCTAAAACCTAAGAGGAGACTTTCTAATGATTAAATTCATTAAGTACTAAGTAGACTACTTAAGTCGGTATATGTATATCTGTATCTCTCCAATACGAATGAATTTGCTCAACGACAGTAGTAGAGATGGGGGTATCATGCAACCAAAAAAAAAAAAAAACAAAAACAAAAAAAAGACAAAAAACCGATGGAGTGGGGGTTATCATAACAAAATGAACTGATGGATGCTAACTACGCATTTCACTGCTGTTGCTTGTTGATATCCTCTCCAAGTCGTACGTAACGCCTGGAAAATGCTTGATATCAAAACGATATGGGAGGGATTAAAGGTCACTAGGAGAAGAGGGAGTGGGTGCGGATTTGAAGAAGAAAAATGTTTAGAAAATGTGTTTAAAAAGAATTGGTTGATCTTCTCCAGATCATGAATGCTGCTACGGCTGCACAAGTTGTTGCGCCTAAGGCGAGGTATAGACTCGTCCGATCAGGCGGTGGCTCCTCGTTTTTAGGGAATGCCGTACTAGGATTTGTGGCCGCTTCAGCTAAAGCCACGAAGAGTTCACCAATACTATTCCATGTAACACTGACATGAACTGGCGTGCTCATCATCAGGCTTGACGTGTATTGGTCGGGTTGCAACTCGCTTCTTTGAGTTGTTTTGTCCTTGTCCGCCTTCAAAGCTGTATAGATCGAAGGTAGATCGTCTAATTGTGGGTGCTTCTTCCGTAGGTCGACTATGTGAGAGAACGAATCTGGGTCTGAAGAATCGTAGGCGTAGCATATTAGGTCGCACGGATCTAGCCTAGCTTGATTGTCTAGTATAGCCGGCTCAAGCTCCCCAAGCTCTTCGAGAATCAGGTAGCATTGTTTGCCACCTTGAAGTTCCACACTGTTGACAGCCCTTCTGGGTTTTATTGTTGGATGATACAAGCCGTCAAACGGCCGGTTAAGGAATGCGTCTAGGAGAGAGGATTTTCCAGCAGCAGCAGCACCAACGATATAACACAGCACAACGTTGCGTTCAACTCGACCAGGACGTCTTCTTCGCTTCCGAGGTTTCGTTATTTTCAAAGCCGACGTAAGCGATTCTCTAGAATTGGAAGGCTCAAAGCCCAGATATGCCAGATACTCTAGAGTCGTTTTAGGTTCTAAGAATGTGGTCATACTCCACTGAGCAAGCCATCCTTGTAACGTTATATATCCGGCTTCGTTGCGAACGGTCGTGGATGGAAACGAGGATTCTACCCAAGATGTAGGTAGACCCGGAGTCGGAGCAAATAAAGCAGCAAGCTCTTGATTATTCAAACCCCCATCATTGTCCTTATCGAATAACAAGAATAGGTCCATGAAGAACCGATACCCGGCTGGACTCAACTCGGCGGAGGCATATTCGGGTACTTCAAACTTGGGACGGATAAGACTGTCTTCCAAGCTTAAGCTATCAGTATAATGGTATTTCCGCAATATAATCCAAATAGTCTCATGTCGACCCTTCTCGGCGTATATCTTATTCAGTTGTAAGAAGCCCCGCATATCAACACCCTTCGTAGTATCGGAGCCAGGAACGGACTTTGCGATCAATAATTTGATATTCTCTAGATCTCCGGGTGGTAAAGGCTTATCAAAGCATTTGGCCTGGAATTCTTGGATTTCGCCATCGTTCAAGTACCCGTCTTGATCCTTATCACACAGGTAGAATATCCGCTTCAGAGCCGATACACAAGCTGGCTTGAGGTTCCCTTCCTTATAATCGAAAAGCGGAGCAATGGGATGCGTAACAGCTTTTTGGCAGAGGAAGAAAGTCTCATTAACATTATGATGTTCCCGGGCGCTCGCTCGTATGCAGGAATCGATTTCCCTAAACTCGTTCATAACAGGTAACATCTCATCTTCAACAACTTGCGGGGTGGTGCAGTCGGTCAGGTCGGACTTGTTGGCACATAAAACGACAGGTACGTTTACACCAAGGGAACGGAAGTAGGGCATCCAAAAGAGAGCAACCCGTTCATAGCTGTAATGGTCGGAATAGACTAGGAGGATGACGTTGGACTTTCGGATCTCTTTTCGTAAGGTAGTTCGGTCTTGTGGTCGCGCCGACGTATCGACGATGGTAGTGGTAACATTTTCGGGAGTACCAATGCTCGGCGGTATCGTAATTTGCGGTAGGACAGGTTGAATCTTATGGCTCACGAATACATCTTTAACAAGGGATGCGATGAGGCTTGACTTGCCAGTACCTTCATCTCCGCAAACACAAACACGTACTACGCAAATAAATTGATATCGTCAATGATGCAAACTCGCGAATGGGACAAGATGTGAAGTTGTGTACCTGTTGCCATACTGGTCAAAGAATCCCAGCACTATGAAGCTCCTCCTCTACGATGCCATTCGTCCTTAAATAACTGAGGTAATTCGCGAAGCTGGTTAAATAGTAATACGCGCCGTGAAGCGAAAAATCGGCTGAGTCTTGGTAGAGGATGCTAACCGCTGAGTAGCAATTAAGGGAGCGGTGATGATTTGTTCTCCGCTTCACGCGTGAATGAAGTTTAAGCGGATTGGGTGCTGGTTCAACTGATCCAACCGTATTAGGAACAGATCTGTAAACCTATCAGATGGTATTTAAGTGACAGTTAAGTGATAGTTAGGTAGTAGCTAAGTGGCAGATAGTTTGGCGAGATCCAAGTGGATGCTACGTAATTCGGTGGTTGAGATGGTGATTATCCGATTAGATACTTCCAAGGTCCCACGGGTACTGTACATTCCACAACGGATAAAAAAAAACATAAACTCAAACATAAATGCACGTAGCCACCGTGATACATACATGTACATATACGTACCAAAGTATTTATGTGAATTTTATACTGCAACCAACATAGAACGCCCAAAAGAAAGAATTAATCTACTTTTACAATTTTAAAAGCTACTTGTCGAACTCATGGACATAAGATCCGATCATATGTTGCGCCTAATCTTCATTGGGTTGATAGGCGAAAAGCCCCCCAGGATAACATCACCTATAAAAGTACATCTATTACAGGACGGAATGCAGCCCTGAAAAATACACTACATAGTATGTACATCCATCTGCAAGTTTCCCCTCCACTAAGGGTCCGACTTCCGAATAACTGGACGAACACCAGCCGTATTAACAGCTTAAGTTTAAAAGGTACAGGTACCGGTGGAAGTACTTGAAAGTAACACAATCAATAGCGTACCGAATACAATAAACAAGCTGTCAATTCCCCTCATCCAATCCCCCCTCATAGAACTAGCGTGCTGTTACTGCTTGAATTACCCCACATTACGCTCCCGAAAGATTCTATACCCCTGTTTAACGTTCACTTGGGTTAACCCCGACCTGCGACCTGCGCAAAGCTTCTACTACTTCTAGCTAGACTTACTAGACATGGGAGTCGTTCCTGTCGATTTTCGAGATGCGCAACATCCATGATCACCCACGAAGTATATTCTTAATTCTTATTCTTGACTTTTAATTTCCTCTCCAACTTCTTCCCTTTTTTTATTTCCTCCTCTACCTTACCAACTTCATCCACTGTATCAAGCATTGTTTGAATAGGCGCAAGATGTAACTTTAGATTATGTCCAAACTCCACGTTACGAAATATGAGCTGATGTAGCTTAACTTCCCGATCCAAAATCAACTTATTCCCCAATCTTGTTGTTTGCCTCGGTTCTATCCTTCCCTCCCATTCGGTATACGACTCGTTTAATTCCTTCACGCGATCCGAGTATATGGAATAGATATCTAGAATTACACGGCGTCATCCTTGTTATTAAGTGGCCTTTTCAATTGGAATCCAATAAACCCTCGCCATGTTGTAAGGCTGTCTTGTCCCTTGTCTCTTATCCCAACAGACCATGCTGTGTTCCTCGACTATAAGCATGCCCAGACGACTAATGAGATCGGCGCCATCAGTGTGTTACCGCCTCCGCCTAGGTATCCAACGCAGGCAGCGTATAATGCCGCTGTTGCTGCCGGCCATGCCACCCCCATGATCGAGACGAACAACATCCTATCGAATCCCGAAGATCAATTCCTAGTTGGAGAAGGTATGACAGTGTGAAGCGGCAATGCCGTTAAAGCAGCGCTGAAACTGTGATATATAGGAACATATGTGTTGAAAGAAGACCTTCTCCTTGCGACACCACCACCACATCCATCCGAGGCGCCGGTTATTAACCCCAACCCACTAGCGACTACTCCTCAACCAGCTACAGCTGGAACCAAGATCTCCCTCCTTAGCTTAGAAACGCGACCTCCTCCGCCCGCCCTCTTCAAACTTACTCCGACAACCACCACGTTATCCCCGAGCATTGCCGAACATCCTAGCGAAGGACGATATTCGAACGACGCCAAATTGAGTAGCGATGGTGAGGGGAGGGGCACATCATTTAGTGATGGTGGACCATCTACTTCGGCCACAGCCATTTCGGCGCCAGCTTTTGGTGATGGAAATGCTCTGCTTGCTCCAGAAAGGACCAAGGATCCGAATAAGCGACGGAAACCTAAGAATAACATGACTAAGAGTAATTCGTCCTTCATATCGCGGGTCATCATAAACGAAGCGTTCTCTAAGAAAATAGCCGACCGACCAAGCGATGGACTGTTCGCCTTTGCCAACATAAACCGTGCATTCCAATGGCTAGATCTATCGTCTCCTACTAAAGCCGACTACTTGACTAAGATTCTATTTACAAAGGCGCATTGCTTAAGCCACGATGTCAACTTAGTAACGAAGAGCCCGAGTCACATAGATATGATCATGGGTTTCTCAACGGGCGAGATTATATGGTGGGAGCCTATGTCTCAGAGATATACTAGGTTAAATAAGAATGTGAGAGTTCAGGTCTCATCTACGTGAAGTCTTATTAATGCGTTATAGGGGGTAATTAACAAAACACCGGTTTCCCAAATACGTTGGATTCCCGGAGCAGAAAACCTATTTCTTGCGGCGCATATGGATGGCTCTTTAGTTGTCTACGATAAGGAGAAAGAAGATGCGATTTTCAATCCCGAGGAGGAAGACCCGAAACCTAATGGGGAGGCTGCTCCTCCTAAGGTCGTCAATCACTATAAGGAGATTAATGTGTTAAAATCGGTTCACTCCAAGAACCAGAAGAATAACCCTGTAGCTGTGTGGAAGTTATCAAATCAGCGAATCAATGCCTTCGAGTTTTCGCCCGATAATCGCCATCTTGCCGTGGTTTCTGAAGATGGTACAATGCGGATTATCGATTACCTAAAGGAAGAGTAAGTAGTGGCCTTGACTCCAACTTCCACATAATACCTAATTGTGACTACAGGCTCCTAGGAGTATATAATGCGTATTATGGTGGGTTTATATGTGTGTGTTGGTCTCCGGATGGCAAGTACGTCCTCACAGGAGGACAGGATGATTTGATTTCGATATGGTGTCCATCGGAAACGACACTCATAGCACGATGTCAAGGACATCAGTCATGGGTTACATCTGTCGCGTTTGACCCGTGGAGATGCGACGAGAGGAACTATCGTTTCGGCAGTGTAGGCGAAGATTGTCGGTTATGTCTCTGGGACTTCAACGTCGGCATGTTACACAAACCGAAGGCGGTATGCCCCCCCCTCCTAGATGTTACGAATTAAGCCACTGATATGGTTCAACAGACAGCAAGCCGGCAACGAGGATCTGTATCCTCCCGACTACCTGCATTGCAACGCGCTGAGACGCAAGGCACATCGACTAGTAGGTTACGGTCGGACTCTGTCGTCTCGGCGTTAGATGCAGAAGAGAACACGATCAATCACCCCGTCGAGCCGCGTTCGAGAACAGCGATATTACCGCCTGTGTTGACGAAGATGGCTGACAAACATCCGCTTAGCTGGATTGAGTTTACTGAAGATGCCATAATGACGAGCTGTAAGACAGGTAAGTGCAGTCACCGCTCCTATGAAGCTAGGGATATGTGTATGCATACTAACGAAATTGTTCATTCTAGGTCACATCAGAACTTGGAATCGACCATCCGACACCCCAGCTCCAGCAGAATTATGATGAAAAGAGGAGGAAAGTTCTCCAGAACACTCTAGAGGGGACATCACTCCCACGGTGCCGAACGATTGCATTCATTGAATCATGACTTTGCGATTATGGATACGATATGGATACGGGCATAGATGTGTACATAAACACCAACTAGCTTTGAAGCTTCGAAACAAAGAGCGTGCATGCACTGTTGAGTCATTCAACAAGCGATTGCGCTATTTGGTATATCAAACATCAAAAAACATTAATAAAAAAACTCATATCGTCCGATAATACAGCGATGCTACGTCGGAGTATATGAGGAGTTCACCAAAGAAATCATCGTGTTGGTTCAGCAAAAAGCAAAAAAAGAAAAAAATTCATGAAGGAAACTACTTTAGCTTGCCCGTCTTCCGCGTCGGGAGGCTGGCCCGGTGTCTTTTCGGTGTAAGTGTGGATACTTGCGGTAGTTTTTCTCCTTGTTTTCCTTTGCCCTTTGTTCATTTATTGCCTTCTCATATTTTTTTTTTACAATGGATAGGGATCGATTAAGTGGATTAGGAGGCGGGAGGCAAAGGGCGAGAGAATAGTTTATTCGGTGGATAGGTCCACATACATAGGTACGTGTAGGTTGCATGCACATATACATAGACATAGACGAATTTACGACACGTACGTAGAGAGCTCCGTATGTACGGTATGGTATGTATGATACGCACGCACGAGTTTGATCTCCGTGATTACAAGGAGGAAGACACGAGGGGTGTGAGGTGTGAGCGGGACGAGGGAATTAAGGGAATTAAGGGAAATGGAGACAGACAGGAGAAAAGGAGGTGTAGGTAGGAGGTAGAGGGTCTGTGTTTCGATCATATGTTACAGTCGCAATCGCAATATCAACACCCATATTGGTATACATATGCGATTGTGAAAGTGAAAGGGGGCGAAAACAGACCAAAAAGGGAAAATAGGACAATAGACAAAAAACAACGTTGATTGATTAATTGACGAGATCTAATCTATGTATGACGGGATATCTAAATTAGGAAATCCGGTTTGTCCAGTCAGTGCGTCTCATCACGATGAGACAAGGGACGAAGGGTTGAAAAGGAGCCAGGCTTATTTTCTTTTGTCTCGTTTTGTTTCATTTGTTTGGTTTGTTTCCTTCCTTTCTTTCATATGATTATTGAGGCTCCTACGCTGCCACCTACGTAGTACCCATGCAAGGCAAGGTAGCTGTAGCTTATTGCATGTACATAATGTATTATGTAGCTGCAATCAACCTGCAAGAGACGAAAGAAATGGCATGTGAAAGCGAAAGAAACATAGATTGTCATTATGATTATCAGATTTCTCTTCATGCTGCTGTCGTCTTATCTTACCTGTATTATAATATATATGTGCATGTGTATGCTGTGATGACCTACTAACCAACCAGCTTAGCTTCAGCTACCCGGCTAGTCGAGCTCCTGCAGGTAAGGGTTCATTTATAACTTCAGGGGACATACGCAGGTGGTTGGTTAACAGCTCAATGGTTGGTCGATCAATTGGAACTTTGTGACAGCGCGTAAAGCTGCCGGCCGCCGGTCACCGGGACCGGTATCTGGTTCTGCGCGGCATCTAGAACGCGTCTAAAAGTAGAGAATAGATGAGAGCCTCAACAAGGTTATTAGAAGACCCAACTCTCATTCGGCCCTTCATACTTTCAGTCCTGGTCGAAGCATAAGACTGAAGTGGTCCCTTATCCGTTGGTAAGGCTAGGTATGCTAGTATGCTAGTATGATAGCAGTGGATATAAACCAAGAACGAATGGGCTGAGGATGACACCTCTCTTAAAAGGGCAATCCGTTGATACTGCAAGCAGGAGTCTAACGGCTATGTACGCGCGGAATCCCGTCGGTGTAAGCCTTTTTTTTTTTCCTTTACTCTCTCAGTATTTCCTTGTTTCGTCCATGCTCGTCAGGCACAGCAAGAATGCCCCCCTTCTTGTATGACACGAGCAAGGTGGCCCCCACGTGGATTGGATATCTGGAAACCCACGATCTTCATCCAAGGAACACTAGCCGCTCCACTGATGAGACCGAGATCCACTTAGCAATCACAGGCCACAGGGCTCAGCACTAGCTTGGCCCCGTCTGGACACTTAAAGAGAAAAAAAAAAGGGATCCGTGTTGGGCGTTTTAAAAAGACCTCGCTCGTGAGTCCGGAATGTTATCTCGGGAAAAACCGTGTTAGTATTTGTTGTCCAGACACCCATCCACCATCTCTGGCCTGACCTGACGGAATAGGTCCCTTGCTTAAACGAGGAAGACCGGGTATCCAATGAATACTTTATCGTGCTTAGATTCAGAATAGCTTCTTAGATTCAGCCTCTTTGTGTTTTATGTAATCTATGACATCTGCTTGCTTAAGCTGCCAATTCCGGATAAGATTCCACTCGAGCGGAATAGGAATTTCCTATAAATCGGGCGGTATGTCAATATAGTATGCCACGCAACACGTATGACGCGTAATAGTAGGCATAATTAAGTTTCGACTCTCGGAAGGCTGACAAGATCCAAATCGGAAAAGAAGCTTTTTGTTGTCAGCAGCCAGCAACCATCCTCACTTGAGAGTTGATGCAACCATATATGGTTGAGGCTCTAACCCTTAGTCCAAGGGTAAACAAGGGTCACCATCTAGGTACATAACTAGATGCATAGAGATGATGTTATCCACATATACCTACTCAGGCACTGCTATGTTGAGATGGTAGTACCAGTCCCGACCTTATCTTTCTACACGTAGGCGGGCCCTAAATAAAAAGCGTGGAACCGTACGCTAGGTAGATGGGCTGATGAACCTCTGCAAGTGCAGGGAGATGCCTTGTAGGCTTCGCTGAAACTGGCAGAGTCAAAGGCCGCCAGGACTAGTAACGTCCTAACCTTTTGTCTAGTGTTCGGTCGCATCTTGTTCTACCATACTAAAATTTTTAGATTTTAATGCTCTAGATTCGGCCTTGAAATGTTAATAGCTCAGCTACTATTAAGCGCGGGCCGGTTATTAGATCCGGTCCTCTGAGACGAGCTGAAGGAAACGATCTGGGTCGTCGTATATTTGCAGGATCGCTCGAGGGGTTTATGCGAATGAAAAAAGGCGGTGATGATATAATTTAGATGAATTGAAAATGTAACATGTGTGTGGCAGAGAAAATGCGATGCGATGGGTTGCGATGCCGTTGTGGCTCCTATCCGATGTTAGTCAGAGCCGCGGCGAAAAATGGTTGGTGACCTCGGTGACGAGTCTATCCGGGTTGTTTGCTTCGGTTCAGCCGGTTGGTTGTTTGGCCGAAGTGTGCGAAATTGTGAGACGCCCGAAATAGGTATATGAGTGAGGGTAATATTGCGAATCCTAATGGTAACGAAGAAAAAACGACAGCCTCCAGGCACCATGCATATCGAGGTGGTAGTCCGTTGAACCAATCGAAGCTTGGCGCATGGATCCGCAATCCCTTGATCATGTCAGGAATTAAACCACCTGCAATCATACGTAGAACGATCTAGAGAAATCGTGATGTTCATAAGGGCATGAGGCGGTGTCTCTCGTCGGTATTCACCGCCAAGCCGAATAAAAAAGTAGGGACTTGGCTACTTGGGAAATAAGATGCCGAATCGGAGCTCACCCCCCACGGAAACTCGTGGATAATTCGGCGGGGGTCTTATTCATATCCTTGTCCGTTCGTAAGATATAATTTTCTTTTTTGCGATTCGAAAGATTCTTTTGCATACGCCTGCCACTAGACAGACTAGACAGTAATCATGAGACCAATATTGCTGGCGTAGCCAACTGGTCAGCCCTGTCCCGACCGTAAAGATTGGGCTGCAAGTTTGGGGGGTATTGCATGTTGGTTGCTTGCAGAGAAAGACGTGGATAGGCGAACTGAGAGAGTACAGAGGGGGGGAGAAAATCATATGAATGGAATACTTGGAATACTGTAGGTACACCTCTATCCGTACCGTATGCGAGCGGAGTAGGCGAGAGAATCGAACTCCACACACCACCATGATGTGATCATTCCAGCAATCCAGACAATCGAATAAAAGGGCCTAGGTCGTTTGGATATTTGTACACTGCCCCCCTTGAAGAAATATGTAAGTAAGCTCGTACGTACATACTTATGTGCATACATATCATACATCTATACATATTCCGTAGGTACACGCAGGGATCATGATTTGATTGATTTCTTGTCATCAGGGATAATGTTTTACCATTCCCATGTTACAAGGTGGAAAAGTCGATCTGACTGGTAGAAGAAGGTATGTAAATTTCCATCACTACCCCTCCATACCGAGGTAGAGATATGTAGGACTCGAAACGCGAGAAGAGGAGACGGACAATTTAAATACTGTTACTTGCAGGTGATGCATGGTAGCAACACATGTAGTGATACCGATGGTGACGGTGATTGATGGTCTGGTCATTTCGTGATCTTCCTTGAAAAGTGCGGATGTATTTGTGCACACATTGTAGTATTTATCGAGTGATTGTGATCGTATGGGGATACGGAGATGGAGATGGGAAGAATGAGGGAGGACGATGACGAAGATGGAAAAGATGTGAGTTCAGTATGTACGTAGGAAGGTACCTACCTAGGTAGGTATCTAGGTATTGTTCCACCAAATCGACCCTATCAAACCTTCCACCGCGTGACTCGCCGCACCATTTCACTACCAAAAACGTTTTAGCAAATGCGCGCGACCGGCCGATAGCAGGACAGCAGGGCAACAGCAGGGCTCGAGAACAGAGCCCCTCGCCCCACCTGACCTAAGAGATTTAAGTATTTGATGTACTTCATCATACGTACCTAGGTACTTTTCAATGTACTCCGAAACAGTACAGCATAAAATAAGACCGCAATATAAAAATAAGAATAAAATGCTTAGGTGAAGGTGACACAGCCTACGTAGGTGGATTCCATCCATCAATTCCATGTTCTCATTCTGCATGCATATAAAAAGTTATTACATTACATTGATGTATCTTGGTACTGATATGTACGTACCATTTCTTCACGATCTACCACAAGCTTTGCAGATCCCGGCCGGCTATCACCGTTTCTAACCCAGCGGGACCAAGCAGCCCCAAGCCGATCCAGGTCCAGCCAAGTTTCCCTAACTAAATCATTGCCCCTGGCAATCGAGGGTTCTGAGGGTTCTCTCATTCCCGGCACTCTACAAGGTACGTTGCAAAACTCTCTTTTTTGACTGGTTCCATAGTGTAACCTTGACGACGTAAAGCATAAGAAAAAAATAAACTGCCCATGAGAAAGAAAAATGGGACGAGTTGCCCGAAGGCGGCGACAACGGAAATATCCTTTCCTATTAGTTCAAAACTTTTTTTTATGGCTTGCTTGCTGCAGCCATAACTAAAGAGGCTACGTTGGAAAACTACTACTGCTACATTTGGCTCCCGTCGCCATACCCGAAGCAATTTCCCGTGGTCCCCATTTCTATTTGATGCGGACATGGCCCGTTTCAAAGAACGAAGGAGAAAAAAAAATATTTATCATAGTCTATATGTATTAAATATGTGTCAAGGGAGACGAATATAAACTAAAAGGATCTTAGCCAAGTACAAGTATCCACCCGCCGCTAAGGAAGCCGTTCACCTCTTACACACTACACTACGTACATGTATACACGAATACATTACATTATACGCTACATCGATTTCGTATCTTGTGTCATACATTATTCCTTGCAAGCCGAAGTCCCAAAGTTTCAAAGTCACTAAGTCCCACGCGCCTTTGTCTTAGTGTCTAGGGTTGGGACGTGGATGCGCTTTCTTCGTATCCATAACTACATCCTGCCTGCCCTCTATTCTAGCTAGATCCTGGCTACCTACCTGGCTACCTGGCTACCTAGCTCTTCCTAGCAACTACCCAGTTATCTATCCGTCGATCTAGTGTACTGTACCTTCCTATCTTTTTGGTATTAGGTACTCTTTTACAATTTTACATCGATCTGCTTGCTTCCTTTAATACTCCAGTCCCTCCCACCGTTTCCATTCTTGTCCATGACAAACCTTCATTATTTACCGTTCACCTTTCGTGGGCGACATCCACAACAAGCCTGCTCTCCACCGAGTGCGGGCATCATATCCAAAACAGTACATACCGTCGAAGCCACAGAATTAAAAATGCCATCTTTTAATCCTTTTGCTGTTGGGGGCCGGAATGCTTGTACATTATTCGAGATACGGTAAGTCTAGCAAGTTTGATAATGGGAACTCTTCACTACTTCAACACCACCACCAACTGCTCTTAGCAACACATTACTAAGTCTTATTGCATAGTCTCGAGAATGATTTCATCGTTTTCCGAGGAAACGAGCACGAAGCTTCCGGCCAACTTCTAAAGGGTGTATTAGTCTTATGTCTAAGAGAGCCTTTAAAGGTCGACGATGTTCATCTACGTCTTATGGGTAACTGTCGAATAGCATGGGTCGATGGAAAGCAAACACCGTCCGGTATTCACAACCAGAAGGTAGATCGGACTTCTACGATTCTAAGGCATACCTGGCCGCCTTTTGTAGGCCAAACGACGCATCACAACACCTTAGCGCCTGGGAACTATGAATGGCCGTTTGAGCTTTTGCTGCCAGGAGACACCGCGGAGAGTGTCGAGGGACTTTACCAAACTGGTATTACCTACGTCTTGAAGGCAACCATATCGAAAGGGAAACTAGCCAAGAACTTACACGCCTACAAACGATTCCGTATTATTCGTACTTTGGAACCAGCTGCGCTTGAGTTCAACCATGCTATGAGCGTTGAGAATATATGGCCCAATAAGGTCGAGTATTCTGTGGTCATCCCACAGAAGGCTGTGGTTTTTGGCAGTAATATTCCCTTGGAGATGCGTTTCACGCCACTGCTGAAAGGATTGGAGATGGGCAACATCACGGTCAAACTTATCGAGATCCAAGAGTTCAGTGTACTGAGTTATCCGCCACCAACGAAATCATACAAACACGACCGGGACGTTACATCATGGAATTTCGAAGTAACCCGCGAGAACCACTGGCGCGATAATATCGAGGAAACAGGTCAAGAAGGATGGGTTATCACAAGAGAATTGCCACTTCCCAAGAGGTTAAGCAAATGCATCCAAGACTGCGCAGTCCACGGCATTAAAATCAGGCATAAGCTTAAGCTTACCGTTGCACTAAGAAACCCCGACGGCCACATTTCTGAGGTAAGATTTGATGTTATGGGTGTCTTATTTTCAGAGTAATTGTATTGACAATATTTTGAACAGCTTCGCGCATCTCTACCAATCACCATTTTCATTTCACCAAACATGCCATTAGACGAGGAGGGTAATCTCGTATCCCAAGCGCCGGAATCAGCCAACGACGCGAACGAGAGCGATGCATCATTTATGGCCCCTCCTGGTTATGGGATGCACGTTTTGGATCAATTATATGAAGACGTGGATACAAGTGGAATTATGACCCCCGGGATACACAGCGGCGTCAATAGTCCTTTCTACGCTCAATCACGGGCAGGTTCATCGGAGAATCTTTCTGCTTTGGCTCATGCTGTAGCGGTCCCCCCTGCAGCTCTGTCTTCCAGGTTGCAAAATATGACTCTTGACGAATCTCGAAGGAATGAATCATACACGTCGACAATTTCGGGCTCAGGGGCAACCACTCCATTCAACCACCCACAAGATAGTGAGCACACTGGGGAGTCATCGCAGACGCATTCCGCACAATTATCGCGACAAACCAGCGAGGAAGAGAACGCAACTCATGCATCAGGTCACCACACTCCACCACAACATAACGAATTCCCGGATCTTGCACAATTGAGCAAAGTCCCGAGCTACACAACGGCAACGAGGGCCCCGCTCTCAAGGGCACACAGTTACAACAACTCCGTTGGACTTCCGGATTACCAGACGGCAATGAGTGCAATAAGTGCGCCGAATACGCCTACTCGCATAGTAGTGACAGATCCTATGACAACTATTACGGAAACTCCACATGTGGTGGTTGACACTACTTCGGACACGCACTCCAGGTCTAGGCAAACCAATCGGCACTCGATGGGAGGTTTCAATTTTTTCCCCAGTCACGCATCGGTGGGTGGCACTGATGGCGAGCGACGGCTGCGACTTGTTCAAGGCAGAAGTGGCTAGCTGAGTTGCCACGATGTCCTTTTTTATTTTTCCCTTCGACTGTCACTTTGCCATTTGGAAATGTTTCCCAAGCTGAAGTTCCTATGGCTACCAAGGTAGACCGAAGATAATGTTTATTGGTTTATATCCACTCTTGGCTAGGCGTTTTAATGGCTCAGGGGGACACATTCACATGTACAATGGTTCGCAGGGGGAATGGTTTCATCGGGACGGGCCACACTTTGCATTGGGCGGCGAAATAGCATACACGGTAACGGTCTCCAAGACAAATGATTTAACTTGGTTGGTTGGTTTATTATTATTATGGGGGAGAAGGAACATATCTGAGAATTACTATATACCCAATATCGTTCTTGTTTCTTCAGACCGATGGCATTTAGACACGAACCTTGGAACATATCTTGGTATCTTACCCAGGTAGAGATCAACTTTTTGGTGTCAGGAGGCGATACGACCCAACCCACTACCCCCTTATCCTCCTGACTTCGGCAAATTAGAGGCCGAGAAACATAAATAAGAAAAATCTTCGCAACCTCAACCTCATAACGGTTAATTACGGTTGTGGTCCTCGCATGAAGCAAAAAAGACGTGGAGTGTTACATGCTAAAGTTGTATCAAGGTAAAAAAAGAAGTTTTCTCGCTTGCTACCTTGTTCTGGGGTTTGAAATAAGGCATAAGAAATAAAGGGGGGGCAATAGAAATGGAGAATTAATTAATACTCCGTACGGCTGAGGTAGGTATTCGCGCTGTGGGATACGACATTTGTCCATCCCGAAAGGCTTCGGGCTGTCCGTAACCGGGCGAAATGTCCTACATGTTTCGATACGTCTTGGCTTTTCAGTCGATCGGTGTCTGCCTCGTGCGCGAATAATTATGTCCCCTTTTCTCTTCACCGGAGATGGATGTTACAATACTTAGCTGTCTGCAAGAAATTATCGTCGTATCTGCGTAGACGCAACGCGACATGACTAAGGGGCAGGTCAAGTGAGCAGTCTAGTTTTCTTCAACGCTTGTCTGCAGCAAGATGCATTTGTACGTATACGGTGTATGAGTACTAAGTACACGATATCTACCTGCCTAGACGAGATAATGATCTCGTTCAGGTAAAATGATGTAAGGATGTCAAAAACCTGTTCCTTGCTGTCCTGTCTAATAAGGACGATCGTAGGATTTACACAAAATATGTATTATGTTGTGCATTGTGTTGTGCATCGTATTACATACAGAGACATGTACATAAAGTTATGAATACCTATATGAAGATGTACATGTCAAATGTCAAATAGTGTAATGTATATGACATCATTCTTTTCTAAGACTTTTCCTTTATGAGAGAAAGCGCCACTTATGAAACTTGATGCGGTACTACCAGCGTAGAACCTGATTGGTCGAAGCTGTGCGACCGAAGCTTGCTTCTAACAATTTAACAAATCTAATAAATCAAAAAGGGTTAATCAATGACTTCAACATCTTTATTCATAGTTAAGATATTCTCTATTTTCATCCACACAAATTGATTCGTCTAGCCATCCATCTTCTAGATCTTATCCTGTTTAGGTTAAGACAATAGGGTTGTCTGATATCAAATCGTCGATAGTTATCGAAAATCGGTCGTCATATCCAGACCCAAATGTGCCCGCTGCCAGGGTCGAAGCTCGATGATCAGCGCAGGGATTAACGAAACTACCAATTCGACATCACCACCTGATCGCCCCCAAACAGTCTAACTTGTACAACTTGTTCTTGCTATCGAATCTTGGTAATTTCTTGATAGAATCGCTATTGTTACGTTGACTCGTAACACATAATTTTATCGCCATTCCCATTGCGAAAGAACGAAAAGAGACAATTGCCGAAATACTTTCGAACCGATACACATTTTGTACAGACTTAGCGAAACACGACGATACCCCTCAGAATCGATTGATACTACCTACAACAACAAATTCAGAAATAGAATATTTAGGAAAAACACAGTTATAGAAACTACATAATGAGCGGTGACAACCACACACTGCCTGTGAGGCAAGGTACCGGCGCAAGTGAAGAAGCCGTGCCAGACATCGACCCAACTACAGTGAGTCGCATTGAGCTTTCTCCAATTAGGGACCTTAATCGTTAACCCGAGTGCGCGATTCCTAGACAGCCGGTTTACTCGCCGAAAGACTTCAAGCTTGGAAGCATGCCGTAGGATACCTAGAAGAGTACGTTGGTGCGGTAGAGAAGGTACACAGAGCGCACTCCAAAGAGTATGAGAGGGTTCTTAAGACGATCTCCCATCCATTAAAGGAGGGAGCGCACTTTGACCAAGGCCTCGGAGGTGTTGCTGGATTCTTCGAAAACATGAGAGTGAACACCCAAGTAAGAATTCGACCTCTTCGCTTTACTTACCCCGCTCTGTATAACAATATTTCTAACATGAAAATGAAAGGCCATGATCAACTCGAACGCCGAAACGGAAAAGACTCTCAAGGGGTCTGTCTTGCCCATCCTCGAGCGATTACATAAGGAGATTAAGGCGAAACATAAGGAGGTTACTCACGGGGTTGAGAAGGGTGCAAAAGAGATTGATAAGGCCAGAAACACCACTCAGAAGCACATCGAGCTTCTAGGCCAACATACGGCGGCTTTTGAATCGACAGGTGGCAAGATGACGCCTAGCGACGACCCTTATGTTATCCAGCGTGGTGTCATGCACCGGCTGAACAAACAGATCATCGAAGAGAATAACCATAGAAACGACCTTATTAATATCCAGGACGGTTTCAAGGCATTCGAGGCGCATGTGATTCAAGTCGTCCAGCAGGCAATGGATGCGCTCAACCAAGTAGCTGGTGGTCAAGCCGAGAAGACCAGAGCGCTATACACGGATATGCTTGGTGCGGCTCAGCGCATCCCTGGCGACTTCGAATGGAAGGGCTTCGTTACTCGCGAAGGTCATCGCCTAGTCGATCCGAACGACCCACCGCGAAGCGTAGATGCAATTGTTTTCCCGAACCAGCACCACAACTCGACCAAACCACTCATTGAAGGTAGCCTCGAGCGCAAGTCGCGCAACAAGCTATCTTGGGGTACGCAATCGGCATACTACGTTGTAACCCCCTCCAAGTACCTTCACGAGTTCAAGGACGATGACAACTTGCGCCATGACCCGAAGCCCGAGCTCTCAATCTATCTCCCGGATGCCGTGATCGGAGCCCCCAGTGGTGAAAAGTTCCACCTAAAAGGAAAGGATAAGAGTAAGAGCTTTAGCAGCAAGATCGCAGGCACATCCGAGCTCCACTTCAAGGCGCACTCCGCGTCTGAGGCGCAGAAATGGTTTGATGCGATCCGCACTGCGGCGGGTGCGACCGGCCCGGCCTATGAGAGCCAGCCATCTTCGCCGATAACAAGTGCACCCGGATCCGTAGATGATAAGAAGCCGAAGATCGATACGGCCGGTGCGGCGGACCACAAGGAACAGGATACAGGAATTACGGGAGGAGAGACAGTGAGCAGTCCGACAGCGATATCCCCAACGGTTACTCGGCAAGATACGATTAAGAATGGTGCACCTGCCGATGAGAAGAAGGCTACTGTGGCTTAGAGGGACAGCTTGTCAAGGGCAGCATCGGCTCGGAGGAACTGGAGGGGTGAGATATGAGGGAATTTTACGACGTGGCGTGTATGAGTGGAGATGAGGGTCTCGGAGTCAGCTTTCGTTGAGCCTCATAATGTGATTAAGAAAGACCATCCTACTACCTATCTGGTCAATTCCAGGTAGCACGTACCCACGCCATATCGTTTTCTACCGAACGAGGCCACGCGGTTAACACGCGATCGATCAAAATGTAATTAATATGTGAAGGGGGCAGTGTTATACAGCACAATTAAGAGAAGAGCGGATAGGCTCGGAGAATATGACTGGACGGACTCGGTAGGCGGCAATCAATGGCGAGATGACGAGGCTGGCTGCAGCTCATCGGCATGAAGGCGGGGGTGGTAGTGGACTTTTCTTTCTTCTTCTTCTCTCCAAATGTTGCTTTCCCGGCGCCAATAAAAAGCCACTTTCTAATGTCGAATCTCATTAGTTGATTCAAATGATAGAGGACCCTTGTGTCTCATGTGTCTCGTTTTGGTTTCCGATGTGTCAACGATGTGAGAAGGCTAGTAGTGGTGGCTTTTTTGATAGAGGTTGTCATCATTTAGATCGGAAATGCGACGTTGACAGGTTGTTTTGTTTTGTCTTGTCTGTTAACCTCCAAGCTTTTTCCTTTTTCCTTTTTCTTTTATTTCTTTACCTATCTACCTGTCCTGGCAGTGCTTACTTACATATAGACAGAACGCCCGGCCAACAGATACATCTGACATGGCCTATTTATAGCAATACTAACGAGCGACGAGCTGACTAAAAGTATCTGCTCAGAAAATCGATGGGGAGTATACCATGTACGCTCCTACACTACCCCATATCCGATTGGCCGGGTTCGGATTCCTTCAAGCGCGCGGTTCGTCTATCGGTCAGTCAGCCGCAGGTGAAGAGTGACCGACTATGTATGGTCGGCAAGGTGAGTCAAATATCTCCGGGTTAAGATCGTAGATATTATGACATACATACCTAGGTACATACACATAGCATAGCATAGTAATATAAGTACGTAACTATATAAGTAGGTCGGTAGGTTGAGTGATGGAGTGAAACACAAGGTAGAGCCTTAAGTATACCTAGGCAGTTAATGATGAATTTATCAGATCTTTTTTATTATACCTGAGTAGTAAGGCTCAATCTGGATGGGATTTCTCTCACACATGACTGCCTAACCATGCAGCGCACCCCCCATTATCCCACGGTGACGATAACGCTAGAGAAGCAGGCTCTGATGTGTGGCTGTGGCCTAGACATAGGAACAGAACCGATGGATTGATCAGGTTCTTTTTTGTTTTTATTTTTTGATGGGCTTCGCTAATTGTTACTCTTCTTTTTTCTCCTCTATCCTATTTCTCCCCGGATTTTCAAGGGGCATGGGAAAATTGACATGGGCGTGCGCTTGGGTAGGTGATGGATATGTATCTCCGTTGGGGGCTGAAATTTTTCTTTTTATTATCCTTTTCCTTTCCATATTTTCTTTTCTTTTCCTTTTTTCCCTGCGTGCGTGTGCGTATATCCTAACCCAATCTAGCCGATCCTAGATGGAGAGTCCCCCTCGTCCCTGTTTCTTCAGTGACAAGGCTCTGGGTTCAGGTTGAGTCAACCTGGGCTTTTTTTCTCTGCTTACATAGAACTTACTGACCTACCTACCTAATATGTTGTTTCTGTTCCTGTAGGTACCGTGACCATAATACGCCCCTTAACCTAGCCGAGAGCAGGGCAGGGTAAATTTCAGCGCGTAGCAGAAATGTTCGGTCGGAGTTTGAGTCAAGTTGAAGGGAAGAAAAAGGAATACCTAGAGAGATAGAGACTGCCTATAGCCTGCATATCATACCGGTTTGCCTGCCTATTAGCTTTCCTTCAGGGGACCTTTGAGCCCTGACGTGCCGGCAAGCCTCTCTATTTAGTCCTTCATTGACTAACTGAGCCGGCCCTCCTTTCCTAAAACGATCGCCCAGGGCTCTCGCTCCCCGCACGCAAAATAAGTGTGTATACGTACGTACGTATGTGCGGTATCTTTGTATGTATGTAAGTATAGGTATATCGGTAGCGAGTACGTTTGGGGAAGCCGGTGAGGCTCTGACATTGCCCAGACGTACCTAGTCCTTCGGGAAACCCTTTCCCCCCAATATCCTAGTTCCAGCTATGACGACCGACTTATCTGCTGGTTCAGCTACCACCACTGCTACCACTGCGGATATCGGTTTTCCTAACTACAGCAGTTTTTCTGTTGTCTATGGCGTCGTTGTCGTCCACCCTTTTCCTCGCACATTCTTCTATCTGCCCTCCTAAACTTCGCCCGCTGGAGAGAGCCCGACTCGGATTTAGAGTCGTCGCGAACTTCTCTCTCTGCGTAGAGCTGTAATAATAGAATAATTGTTTGTTCGTTGCTTGTTAGCTATCGTTATTATTACTATTAAAGCCCAAGATGACGAAACAATGGGATCAATACGAGGCCACGATCAAGGACCTCTACGCCGAGAACACGCTTTCCGTCGTGCGCCAGATGATGATCGATCAATACGGATTCAAAGCCTCGTGAGAATTGGTCCCTTTTCTTTCATTTCCCTTCTTCTATTTTTTTCTTCATGTTAACGTCCTGTTGTCCTTTTCCAATTCCTACCTGGTGACTAAAGTGGTTTATCTATTCCGCGCTATAAAAATTAGAATATGACAAGCTAATTCAAGACCCAAATTCCCAACTCCCCAGCGTCCGAGCATACAGAGGTCGTCTAATCCGCTGGGGCGTGCGCAAGTATAACTGCCGAAAGCGCAGCAGCGCGGGCATGGGCGTCGGCAACGGCGGTATGGTTGTTGGCGGCAGCCGCCGCTGCGCCTCGCCGAGCGCTAGTAGCGGGAGTTTCTCGAGCGGGTCCGATCCCGCGTCTCCTGCCATCGGAAACGCGACGACTGGTCTTCGCGGTGGCGGTGGGGGGGATATGATGCGGGCTACTCTTGCCCCTCGGGGTGGCGGCGATGGGGGGAGGAGACTTGGTGGTGGGGGAGATGGCGGGTACTTGGCTATGCCTGGCCGGATGGGCCACCAGCAACATCAGCAGCAGTACGGCGCGGTTGATGGACATCAGGCGCATTTGTATAACGGGGATTGGTAAGCAAAAAACCTAGTCTGGAGTTCAGAGTTTGGAATGGTCTACTAGATATTGCCCTACTACTATACGCTATACGCTAACCCCCTTTTCACTATGTTATAGTGCATACGATACAAAACCCAAGGTCCTCCTCTCGCCACCGCTAGCGACGCAGCAGTCTAGCAATAATAACAGTCTGCAATACGCATGGGATGCAACTGCATCTCCCTTACACCCGCCGTCTATGCACAAAAGACTCAGCGACGACGACAATAATGGCTATGCTACTCCTGGTGGGAGTGCTCAACCGCATCATACCCACAAGCATCATCAACAACATCACGGAGAAGTGGTTATGGCGCCACCGACATATTTCGGGACTTATGGCGCTGCTACTTCGTCGATAGGCGGGAACTCGTACGCCCCACCGCAAAGCAATGGGTATGAAGAGGCTGGACATAGGGGGAGCAATGGTGGATTGATCTACTACGATTCCTCGCAACGGGCCCGTGATGGCGGGGGAGGCCAGATGTCTGCAGATCTATCGTATGCACCCGCAGTTAGGGATTATGGGCATATGGATATAAAGGGTGAGTAGGAAGGCAGCTGAGTATTGTAGCTTGGAGCGTAAGTGAAACTCGTTGGTGATATTTTGCAACTATGAAGAGGTATGGGCGGTATGTAAGTGCCCTTACCTAGACTGTATTCTTCCAACTCCCTTGGCTCACGCTTCTAGGGTAAAGGGGATGGTCAATATTGATCGGGTTTTTTTTTCTTTGAGTATAGGCGCGGTGGTATCCTGTCTTTCCAAATTATGAAAATGGGCGGTATACCTATGGGGTATATAAAATAGGGCGGATATGCTTCTTATAATACGGAAACTTTCTGTTGGTGGTGTATTTGGCTCCGGTCGTTTGGAGAAGGGTCTCTTAGAAACTTTCCTTATTTCCTTTTCTCTCGTCTTTTCTCTTACGTTTTGAATTAGGTGTTTACGTGTACGATATGACACATGAAAGATGGGATAGGCTGGCTAGGATTTGGCGTGGTATTGCCTTGGTTGGGTCTTGGTTGGGTCTTGATGGGATGGTTTGGATTAAGTGATAACTGGGACAAATGGGTTGGAAAAGGAATGCTTTCTATATCATGGTTAGGTGGATTACTCGGGTAGCTAGATGGCATAGTTCAAAAAGGAGATCTCGTTCGTTTATTGACATATTAAACCCGTGTCTTTCTTAGATTATCGACTCTGTTTGTCTCCTGGAGGGCAACTTGATCAACCAATAACAACTCTGGAGTACTTCCAAAATCAGTAAGTGGGGGGGGCATCGTCAAGGGGAGAGTTCCCCTTGGTGTCAAGGTGTTGGTGGAAATTCTCCTAATATTACCGGGTCGGTAAGTACAAAATCTAGGACAAATAATGAGGTATCACACGTTATAGAGATGGCGGTCAGCAGGGAGTAGAGTAAGCCTGCGATAGATAGAGTGGTACCTACCCACGCAACAAAATGCACTATTTAGTCCGAATCATTAAATGGTACTGATACCTTAACATGATGTAGGCAATTGATTTGGCATCTCTAGAAGCGTAGCATGTATACTACATATGCTATCTGGGTAATATAAGGATGCCTGAAACACACTACGCGTTGGTGTAAATCATGCATTCATCCTAAGTGTTGCCGCCCGCGAATCACTCAGGCCGAGTCCTGCCGTGCGCAATAAAGCGGATTATACTTTGTAGAAACAGAAGGCCAAATAGAAGCTGGCAACCTCCATCTCCTCAGGCGAAACCAACAGCGGGCCTCTACCCCGCTCGCGGACACCCATGCGCTCGCTCAGAGGACCTAATATGGGATCATCCTTTTCAGCCTCCCAGATTTCATCGAACTTTTGGTGATATTGTAGCTCAAGGTTGTAATCTTCCGCAATGGCACGGAACGCTGGCCAAGGTACCACGTATTCAGGCACTTCCTCCACTGCTTCGTCAAGGAAGAAACTGTATTTCCATCCGAACGGTGGTCGGAACACTCCGTCCTCTGGAGTCCTACCCGGGAAACGCACGCGGTATAAATCGTTGCCCCACTCCGCCGTCTCTTCGGCTTCACCCTCTTCACCCTCTTCACCTTCTTCTTTCTCCTCACCTTCCTCTCCTTCTTCCTTGGGTTCGGGCTCCTTTTCTTTCTCTTTCTCTTTGTGCTTCTCCTTTTCGGCTTCCGCTGCCTTTTTCTTAGCGAGCCATTCGTTGAACTTAACGACGCGCTCGCCGATCACATCGGAATTGGGTATGCACCCAATGAAGCGTCCGCCTTTCTTTAGTGCACCAGACACATTCTGTAGCATGGTTCGGGCTTTTTCTTCGCTCTCAAACGCGTAGTGCATGCAGAACATCATGCTGACTATGTCCCACCCGCTTCTTCCTATGGGTGATTGATCAAATCCAACCTGTCGAATAATATCGATCTCTTCGATAGATTCACCATAGCAGTCTTTCACAAAGAAGCGCCCATCAAATAGGTGTTGATGGTGACGGCCCCCTCGATGACCTCCTCTACCACCCCGACCACCGCCCCGATGGCTCATACTACGATACCGCTCTCTCGCCTGTTCGATAGAAACATCCGCGGGATCTAGCCCGACGTAAAGTCTCACTCTCTGCGGCGCCTGCTGCCATTTGCCTAAATCACCACCTTTTCCGCATCCGATATCGAGGACGAGTAGCTCGTGGTCTCTAGCCCCAGCCATATCGCGTCCTCGCTCATGAGCGCCAGGTGTATGATCCTCATCCGGAGAAAACTTCTGTATCAATGTGCTCTTGACCCAATTATTGAACGACCTCAACCCCTTAATCCTACTATCCGTCTTCCGCCAATCGCGACCTCGCTCGGGAACCGCATTGTAGTGCTGGCGCACAACGTCGTTGATACCGCGTTGATCAAGCACAGCCTGTGTAGCAGCAACATCCGCGGCTTCGCGCTCGCGTTGCTCGTGTCGCTGGCGGATGGACGAGGCTTCGGCTTGTGAAATCCGGGCGCCCCGGCCTGGTCGCTTGAGCTTTCGGGGCGCTTCGGAGGATGGTGGGGAGCGCGAGCGCTGACGTTTTTTCGCTGGTTCGAGTTTCTTAGCGTCGAAGGGTTGGGGAAGGGCATCTAGGTCTGGGTTGTTTTCGCGGCGCTTGTTGTTATGCTGGTCGTGGGAGTCGGGGTGCTTTCGTCGTTTGGCTGGTTCAAGTTGCTTTGCGTTGAAGGGCTGAGGGAGCTCCTCGGGAGCGTCGTCTCCTCCCATTATGATTATGGGCTTATGGAGAACGGATTTTTTGATATTTCTACTCCTCTAGAAACGTTTGAATATGCGGATATTTATGGATGATGGTATTTTGTTGACATGTGATAAGATGTTGTTTCCAATTGAAATTCAATTGCGTTGTAAAATAGTAGGAAGGAATAAAAAGAAGTTAAAAGAGAGAAGGGAAGCCGAGAGTTAAGAGTTATTGCACCTACCTACTTCGCGGTAGGGTGGAACTCAAGGTGTAAAAGCTGGAGGTATGGATCTAAGTCTTGGCGCTGAGCTTAGGTACATATTTTTTTATTTATCATAGCTCGGTACCTAGGTACATTCTTCCTTGAGGCTCCAGTGGATCCATCTATGCTATGTGATTGGCTCAATACCAAGTTCGATGGTGGAAGTTACGTCCGCTGATGGCCGCCTACAGCTGCTCGCAACCGCTGGCAAATCCGTAGCTATTACCTATTATTACCAAACTGAATTCTATAAGCTTCATCAATAAAACAACAAGAACGGTAGCGACGACGGCGAAATACGAACTCAATTCTTTAGCGATTCTTCAAACCAACGGGCCCACTTCATTCTTTTAAAAATAATCTTGAAGTTTACGTCAATTCTCCAACCTCATTTCCATCATGGGTTCCGACCCTCAGTACGCGAAATGGCCCGCTCTACCTCTAGCCCAGCACGTTTTCACCATCACGAATCCTTACGCCACGAAACCCGCTCAACAGGCCGCAGTTAAGAGCTTACAAGATGGCATCAACGAGCACAAGATGGCCCCTTTGTATAAATACCTGGCTCACCCCACCGAAGGTATTCTGAATGCCGCCGGTGAGACCACATCAGCGTCGGCACAGAAGCCTACAGGCCGAAAACCTAGTCCTGCTGGCATGGTTGCTAGCAAGAACGTTGGCGCGACATTACCGTGGGATGAAGATGTCTATAATAAGCTAAAGGCGGAGAATGATAAGGAACTAGAAGAATTCCAGAAGGAGGAAGATGAATCTGTTGAGCAGGCTGGCGAGACAGAAATCATGGCTGCGAAGGGGAAGCGTGCCGATTTCTTCGCCAAGATTGGGGACAAGGTATACTGGCATTTTCTCATCTCGCTACTTTGTGGACTTCATTTGGTTGCTAGCCTTAGTTATACATAATTACTAACAGCTTTCTAACAGGATAAAGCGATAGCAGCCTACGAAGACGTATTCGAGAAGACCGGTATCTTGGGCACCAAGATTGATCTCGTACTGGCTATAATCCGCATGGGACTTTTCTACGGAGATAAGGCTCTAGTAAAGAAACATGTCGCACGTGCCAAGACGCTCGTCGACAGCGGTGGTGATTGGGACCGACGTAACCGCTTAAAGGCCTACGAAGGCCTCCACCTCCTGACTGTCCGATCGTACAATCTCGCCGCACCCCTCCTCCTCGACTCCTTGTCGACTTTCACCAGTTACGAATTATGCACGTACTCGAATCTTGTTGTATACTCCGTCCTTGCCGGTTCAGTCTCTCTTAAGCGGGTTGACTTCAAGAGCAAGGTCGTAGATGCTCCCGAAATCAAGGCGATCCTCGGTGCCGATGGCGACGATAAGCTTCTCGCCTTGACTGGTGCTATCTCTGCGGGTCCGGGTGCAGAAGATGCCGAGATGCGCGACGCTACTAAGGATACGTCTTCGCCTGCGGCGCCTACCAAGACCACGACCGCTGTCAACTTGACAACACTGGGTACGGGGACGGACCAGCCTGAGGCCGAGTTGGCAGTTGACTTCTCACCATTGGCGCAACTAGTAAATAGCCTGTACAATGGTGACTACAAACAATTCTTCCAGGCCCTCGCTCTCGTTGAGGAGCAGTTCCTAACTCAGGACCGCTACCTCCACGAGCACAAGGGCTGGTTCATCCGTGAGATGCGTCTGCGCGCCTATCAGCAACTGTTACAGAGCTATCGGGTCGTCGGGCTTGAGAGCATGGCCAACGATTTCGGGGTTACCGTTGATTTCCTGGATCGGTATGTTCCCCCCTTCATCACCATCCCGATATTTCGTTATTTTATTCTGTTCTATTTGTATTTGGTACTAATTTGTAAAATAGGGACCTCGCGAAGTTCATTGCTGCAGGTCGTATTCCCTGTACCATCGACCGCGTCACCGGCAAGGGTGTCATCGAGACCAATCGCCCGGACGACAAGAACAAGCAATATCAAGATGTCGTCAAGCAAGGTGATCAGCTTATCACCAAGCTGCAGAAGTATGGCCAAGCGGTGCGACTACGTGGTAGTGAGAGAGCGTAAGCTATATAGTTGGTTACTGCAAGCAATTACGCGGATGGATGGGCGTCTGGGACAACGGCAGCTATTGATAGGCGAAGATGGGCGAAAGTCTGTGCAGTAGAAAAATAAATGTAATAATACTAAACATAGACCAAGCTAAAGGCACGTTTTCTTGTTTTGGTTCTGTGGCGGCTATTCGCAGTAATCACTTGAACTTGAAATTCATGACTTGTGGATTTGATATGTAGTGGAGAGTAGGTACCATACCACATGAACCCCATACCCTCACTGAATTCACCGAATCTTTATCTCGAACTCAATCGCACGTACACTATGCTCTATGTTGATGCCGATGTAGGAATACATGTAAAACCATGCTTTCATAAGGATGTAGGTATCCATGTCTTTTTACTCTTACTCTTTATTCCTCTAGAAACCCATACGCACAAAGGTCCATTTATCATCCATTCATCTCGAACCTTCATTGGCAGATCTAACCCCTTTTCCTTACAGACCTTGACCTATTGTCCATATCCCCTCTCTGTCTAAGTATCTATCTATACTCATCCATAAACTCCTTATGGAATTTCTTAATACTACCGACCCACTCGGTGCCCGGCGCCAGGAACGTAGTCCGGAAATGCAACGTACCCTCCGCCTGCCCGAATCCCGAACCCGGTACCACGCACACACCAGTAGCGTCGAGTAACCGTAGACAGTAAAACTCATCCGGTTTACGATCGGCCTTCTTCGCCGCCTCGACGGCTTTAGCGGGTAATTTGATAGTGGGGAAGAGGTACATGCTACCCTGCGGCTCCCCACACTCCACTCCTTCCATCTCCTTAAACGCTTCGTATAGGGCGTAAGCGCGCGTCTTTAGTGCATCAAAAATGCCGTTGTATTCTTGGTTATACAGGTCATAAGACGGGTCACCGGGTTTTGGCGGGTTAACCATGAGTTCCACAAGACATTGTCCTACTACAGGTGCGCATAGGGTTATAGACACGAATTTATAAATCTGCTCTTCGACTTCGGATTTAAAACCGAGGAGTTCGAAGTATCCACCCCGGTGTCCGCACTCGCCGACCATACCCTTGGATACGGAATGCAGAGACGCGAGCTCGATGTCGTCGTATTTGCCCGGGTGCTCTTTTTGTAAAGTGAGTAGGACTTGGCGGAAACTGTGGAATTTTCCGATGAATACGTTGGTTTGGTATACTTCGTCGGCGAGGACTACGAGTTTCTCTTGTGCGGCGAAGTCTAGTACGGAACGCACGTCGGCTTCGGAGAGGGAGGCCCCGGTTGGGTTGCCTGGGTTTATGATTACGATGGCGCGGACGTCGATCCCGTCGGCTTTGGCTTTGGCGTGGGATTCTTTGATTGCGGAGAGCGAGGTTCCCCATTGTGCTGATTCGTCGAGGTAGTATGGTACGCAGGTTGAGTTTAGGACGGAGAGGGAGGCGGTGTAGAGGGGGTACTGCGGGATAGGTACGAGGACGCCGGTGGTTGGGGAGGCGCAGATGATGTGTAGGAGGGTGTTGACACCGGAGGATGCGCCGGCTGAGAGGTAGATCTTGGATGGGTCTGCTGCGAAGCCATCGCGTTCTAATTTTTTATTTGTTAGCATGGACACGGAGTCTCTCGTTTTAGATATTGGAAATTAACATACTCTCAAGGAACTTGGCAATGCTCTCCTTAATAGCAGGGACACCAGCACTGGCGCTGTAGGCTCCAACGCTACCCGCGTGATCTAGAAGCCATTTTGCTCGTTCTAGCACGTCACTCTTGTAACCTAGAGAGTTGAGTAGGACATCCTTATGCTCGAGTAACTTGGGATTCTCAAGTAAACTCAAGACCTGGCGGAAGAAAGTAATAGGCTTTTGATCGAGTTGTTGAGGGTTACCGATATTGGCGCTGATAACTTCCGAGAAAGGTAGAGACTTGTCTCCCTTACGAAGACGAGCACGGTATTCCTCGGACTTGACGGCAAGTTCACCACGAACGGCATACTTGGCCTCGACGATATGGGGATTAATATTCCCAAGGTTAAGTCTCGCCATGGCGCCGGTGGTATGAAAGTGACGTTTAGGAGTGTGTAACAACGACGTGGTTGGGGATGGCGGGGTAGTAACCGAAGACCCTGAAAGATATGACGGCAGTGAACGCGGGGTACGTAGCGTATGTAGCGAATGTATTCCAGCTGTTGCCGATGCTAGTAATGGTACCGATGATGCTGATACTAGTGCTGTAACTGACGCTACCGATCCTGCTAGAAAGAGGCGTGGTTAATACTATTTTTTAGGGATCCAATTTTAAGGAATTTCTGGATCGATAGGGAAGAAGAATATGTAATGTTAATAGACGTATGTAAGTATCTTGTATCTCTAGATAGATAGGTATTACATGAAGAAGTAAAGTGGTATGTTTATGGAATGATGAGGGAATTAATAGTTGACGAAAAAGAGAGGACGAATAAAATAATAATAATTATAATAAGCCTAATTCCAGCTTCTTGGGTGTCTTGTGTTTGTGTTCCATCCCATATTCAGAATTCCCAGAAACCACGCATACGAAGAATTGGTGCAATGCAACTTGTTTCATTATTCAGACGATCAAGCAACTACTCAAACGGCCAAGAGACCCAATAATGTTAAGTCCTTTACCGCCTGATTGACTTTGTACTTGCATTCAATCGTTTGGCCCGCCTTAAAAGCGTGGGACAAGTACCACTTAGATACTAAGATATCTTTTGCAATCGCAACTTCGCAAATTAAGTGAAGGTATCGATAGTGTTTGGAGAGGAAGGTTTATCCACTAGGATGAGGGGCCGAGATCGGGGAAAAAGTCATAGGCGCTTGATATGCTTTTTTTGTACGTACTTAAGTACACTTAGGTACGTAATCAGAACAACCCGAAAATCAAATCAGAGCATCGAAAATGCCCTATTAGCAACACCAACAAGAAATTTATATACCTGCTGCAGAAATATGTGAGACATATTGCCGACGTCGAAAATGACGAGTAGAAACCGTGGAAGATGTAAATGCGTCAAGATTGTTGGTCCGAGCTATACTCGATCTAACTGCTGCCATTTGCGAAAATGACAATGGCAAAGCAGTGGTGATGCTAAGAAGTGGAGGAGAGAAGGGAAGTGTGGGAATTAATGAATTGGTAAAGGGAGGAAATTCATCAGCGCCGAGAAAGGAAGGGACGTATTTTTTTTTTTTACTACTACTTCGCGATAATTATTAAGGTATGTCACCCAACACTATCTATAGGCTAATAATGTTAACATCGGAGGTCAAGGCGACATTTCGCAAACAAATCTTCCTCACCGCTCACCTTTTTCGCAGGGTTATCCTCTCATCGGAGTTAACCGGAGTCACGGAGTTAAAATATATATTAACTAAAGTAAAAAGGGGGAAGGTGACTCTGGTAAACGACCTATCTACGGGACAATCCGGAAGCTTGATTCTATTAGCAGAGCATGGCATAAACTCTTAAAAGGGGGCCTACTTTTAGTTCTGAAGGGAAGCTAAATGGAAGGAATAATACTTCTCATATCGGATGACTAAGCATCACCCCTTTCCACACTTAAACAACCTTGTCTTCGAAGAGACTATTCTATATTACTGGCGATGTCAGTACACTAACTGCCTTGATAGATCATGGCTACAACATACGCGCGCGAGCCGTTGCCAAAAAAAAGATATTTAAGAAAGGTAGATGTTGCGTAGCATTCAACAGATAGGGATTAGCTTGTATGCCCGACCTCAGCTGAACTATTAGGTGTTGATCGACCCCACAACTTCGACAAGGCTCTGACTCTAGGTCAACATCCTACAAACTCCATCGTGTAAACTTTTTGGTGGCATTCGAACTAGACACTATGTCAAAATCAACATTAACATCATCTTCATATCTGTGCGAGGAGTGCAAGTCTATCTTCTCGGAAGATTCCGAAGAATGGTGGAAATCATGGCATCAAGAGCACCCCGAAGGGATTACAAGGAGGGATGAGTACCCAGCGACGCACCATCCATTAGACCAAAGCTTTCGTGACGCGGTAGCTGCAGGATGCTGGCTTTGTAACCAAATTGACAGTCATCGTGACCGGCTTTACGCTGACACAACCGATTCTCTCAACTACTATTTGCGAGATTCGAGTACCAACGAAAGACTTCTAGCCTTCTCTAAAAACGGCTGTCGGGTTTCTATAAGGAAAGTCGAAAATCGGACGCCGTTTTATAGCCTCGCCTTGAAGTCTAAGTCGAATCCTTCGACTGGATGTGACGACTTGGCTCGCCTTACTGCTGAATGGCTAAGGATATGCTGCGCTTCGCACCAATGTCTGCAATACCAAGAATCGCCGTGGTACCCGACGCGGCTCCTGAAGTTTTCCGACGATACCGTACGTATGATACATACGAAAGACGAACCAGATTTGACGAGTCCTTATGCAGCATTAAGTTACTGCTGGGGTAAAACGAAATTTGAAGTACTAACTTCGTCTACGATACAAAAGTTCCGGGAGGGAATCAACGTTCATTCTCTCCCGAAGACGTTTCAGGAGACCATGCACTTTTAAAGGGGCTCCAGATTGGGTACCTGTGGGTCGATAGTTTCTGCATCATCCAAGACTCCGAAGATGACTGGAACTACGAAGCTAGCAGGATGGGAGATGTCTATCGACACTCTTACTTAACCATAGCTTCGTCAAATTCGAAAAGTCCATACGAAGGATTATTCCGAGAGCGCCTCCCCAATTGTTTTGATTCATTATTCTTGAATCGGATACCTTCGCATTCTGAGTCGCAATAGTGTTATATATTAGAAAAAGATACAGTTAATTTATCTGCCATGGCCGAACAGGAAAAATACTCGCACATATCCAGGCGTGCCTGGGTAATCCAGGAAACTGTTTTGGGTCCCCGCCTACTCTCATTCACGGATAGACAAGTCATCTGGCAATGTTCGGAAACCGCCGCCTGCGAAGATTTTCCCGAACCAGAACCTATTGTGGAATATAATAGATCGATAGGCGATATATTTTGGGCTCTAACGGATTTTGCCGGCCTCTTAAAGGACGATCGGCTCCAACGCGCGGAGGAGGGAATTGAAGAAGTCGGGAGTATCATAAAAAGTAGCAAACGTATCCGTGCTTCCGAAGAGAGATGGTTCGACGTTCTTGAGAAATACTCGGAGGCGGAGCTCACGTATCCCGAAAAGGACATATTCAAAGCTATACAAGGTGTGGGGAACCACATGGCTCGCGTCACTGGTAAAGACTACCAACATGGGATTCTCTCTGGGTGTCTGGAATTAACCTTGCTCTGGAAGGGGAATCATCGGGATGATAGGCAAAACCCCGTCCTCAGAGATTCTTCATTGGCCCCGAGTTGGCATTGGGCCTCCTACTCGATGTCCAGTTCTGTTGATTTTGACTACACTCTGGACCTATATGATATGCTTCGCGATTTTAACTGTCGATTTGCCCCATTGGCATATGTTTTCATGTCGGATGATTGTGACCAATTGGCCACGAGAAAGGGTGCGCGCGACCTGTGGCCTAACCTTATGTGCATAGGCCGTCTCGCACGAGTTGTGATAGACAGGGCTAATGGGTGGCCAACTGTCAAGATTGTCGCATCTGCTTTAGAAAAAACCATTACTTTGGACGCAAGTTTTGACGCGAAACACACCGCCAAACATGGCGTTCTTACATGCCTTCCACTAATTATACAATACAAGAGAGATGGAACAGACTATATATGTACCTTGGAAGGACTGCTGCTTCGAGAATCGGGGAAAGGCCGATATGAACGTGTTGGGACTGTCAAGAAAACACTCCATGATTCTAGCCCTCGATCATGGAACCGTATTTTTGCTCAGCCACCGAAACTATTTATCCTGAACTAGGGCCGAAATGAAGGGGGGGATGGGTGCGAACTAGGCGATAATTACAAATATGACTTGGTCGGGACAGGGCCCAATTGCGAATTCACGTAATTGGCGACTTGTTAACCATTAATCGTTCGGTAGATATAACAGCCCAGAGTGAGAGTGACGTATTCGAAGGCCATTAGATAACCTCTGTCGGCCGGCGCCATAACTTTCGATAGCCAGGCCGTATCTCGACCACCTTCCCAGAGGGGTTCACACCTCGAGTGCGCTTTGAGCCATTCCCAACCACTCGGGTACCATCCTGATTGATGCCAGTCGATGATGGCGGTGATACGAGGTGGCACGTTTCCATTCCTGGGGGATACAAGTATATTACTCATGTCTAGATCGTTATGAGTAAAGACCACTAGCCGGTTATCGGTTAAGCCAGCTAGCTCGGGGAAAACACGCCGAGGATCCCACTCCGGATGGCGCCGACAAGCGTAACGCGCGAAGAAATCATGGAACTGAGTTACACTTTCGAATGGTCCGGCATTGGGGTCTCCCGCGTCGCTGAAAATAATATCGCCTACCCCTTGAAGTCCGATATGACCTAGAGTAGTAGTTAATACCCCCGGCTAGTCGCGAAAGAGCCTATATAGAGTCCTACCGATGTGATATGGTTCTGTTTCCTGGCGCAAACCACGTCATGACTCTACACATGCGCGTAGCTGTTCGCAAATTATATTTTGATCCTCTTGGTCAAGTGAGGGCCAAACATCCTCCAACGTACCGCAGTTGATGAGCTCCATGTAGATAAAAGTTTCGCCATTATCACGACACCAACCGTATAGCTCTGGCGTGGGTACTGTGTCTTTCATGTACCGATTGAAGTACCAAAGACATTGCGCTTCGGCTATTGTAATCTCGGAGCCGTATTTGACAATAAGACCCAGCTCTTTGAATGGGATGGGCGGAGGCGCCGGTGATCGCGGGCGGAAGCTATTAACTTCAATATCCCTTTCCCGAATCTCGTTAGGGGACGGAAGGTCACGCTTATGTTGTTCGAAAAACGAGGAATTGCGAAACACTATGTTTTCCGCCTTTGGCAGCTCCGCGATCCGTATAGTCTTAGGCATTGCGTCGGTCTGGTTTATGAAGGTAATATTCGGGAACCGGGGGCAGGCGTTCTGGTATGTTTTATGCCGATCGTCGACTATATACCGAGGATTCAGCATTCGAGGGAGTACGTTTTCACTTCGTGGGTGTCGGTATGACAAAAAACACTGCTTAAGCCGCCTATGTTAGTGAATAGATAGCCCTTCGTTGGTGAACGAGGGGTCACGACGCCGAGGAGGGGTGGTTGTCTTACATGTATGTGTGTATGTACCCATGCCCACCTAGAAGAATGATAACGAGGTAAATATGATAAATAATTTAAGATTATAAGAAAATATAATTGGTTGTAGTTTTTATTAATGCCGTGGTAAATTTTCTACCCTCAATATGGGACTTTCCCCCTTACGCCTTTCGTCCAGCGGCAACAGCAGTCCTACCCGAACTAAATGTGAAGTAGTCTGTTTAATCCACCATTGACAATCTTTCACTTCAGTTCTCTTGGGAATTGTGATGGAGGCCTGACTAGAATCTGTGATGTTCACTTTGTTGAGGCTAGGACCTGGTGCTGGGACCTGTTTACAAGCCTTATCAAATGCATTGAGAGGTATCTTTTCGGTATATTCCTGGCTTTCTCCGGCTGAGACGACGTTTCCGTCTTCGCCCACTCTACTCAGATGTGCTTCCGGGACCAATCCAATAGGAAAGGCGTTCGGATGTCTGTCGTCTTCGGAAATGTTGTAGTTGGGGATATATTCATATGAAAAACCATTGAAACGGTCACCTGTTACATGAATCCGATCGCCAGTATTTAATTCTAGACGATTCGAGTCAATGTAAGGTAACCAGAAAGACCAATGCGCAGCAAATAAAGGTGAGGGATAAACTAGAACGTAGAGAGGTTGGTGCATGTTCGAACCAGCTTACGTAATAGCAGACGTAGGTGGCTGATCGTATTTTATACAAGAATAGAGCACAGAAGAAAATCCCCAGGAATTTTCGATTTACCGCACTTACCCCTTCATTTATCTACGAGGAAAGTTAATACGGCCCACCCTTAGGTAGCACTATAATAAGTGTAATATGTTATTGATGGGATAACGACGCTAGGGAGAAGTATAAGCAGATTGTTGGAGCCTTAACCCAATATTTACCCGACGCAGCACCAACAAGATTATTCGTTCTTGTAGACTTTCATACTACCTAGTTCTGTGGAGCGTGTTTAACTAATCAGGAAGATACCAGTCTACGGAAAGAAGGGCGAGATTTTCAACCAGAGGAAGACATATGAGAAACGGCGTCTACGACCTCCTAAATTTGTCATGCCCCACCATCAAACCTCCCTCCCGGGGCTGGAACTAGTGAGTTGATCACGTGGCCCCCCTTCTGTACCTGGATACTACCCAGTCCCGAGGTCGTTTTCTTTTGTTAGTCGTTGAGGACTGACTTATGTCACACTAAGTTTCCCTCCTAGGTTTCCCCTGGATGTTGTAAGGTATGTTGTATCGTTGCAACTACCTGATCAACTTTTCCTGGCTGGTGATGTATCGATCGTATTGTACTGCAAAGTCCGCTTGGAATTTCCTTACGTTGGTGACGACGTCTCTTAAATGCTTTTGAGTAAGCTTTCCTCTACCTTTCTGGGACTCGGCGCGGGCTAATCCCAGGGCTGTAGTGACGATATTTCGTATTTGCCGACCGTCGAATTTCAAGTAATACACATGCTCCTTGAGATACTCCATGATGCCGTCAAAGTTGTCAACCAGATTGTTGTTCACTAGAGGTTCAAGGAAACCTCTGAAGATTTTCTCCATTTGTGCCGGTACGAGGGTCTCATACGGGATGGCGATATGGATCCGAGATGGAATGGCTACATCGAACTGGGCGATTTGGTTTGTTGTCAAGAACATGATACCTTGATAATATTCAAGGACTCGAAGAAACACTGAAAATGTCAACAGATGACCAATCTATTATAGGCCGACCGACATTACCTGAAACGAGAGCGTTTCTGTCCGTCGACGTGGAATTGCCACGTCCGCGGCTCTCCAGGAAAACATCAGCCTCGTCACTGAAGTCATTGTTAATACTAGAACCAAAAAAATAAATCGGATGGATTCTCGTTACCTACATCAGCAATATAGCCTGCCATGAAGCAGCAAGAGCGAATATCTTGGACAGATTAGATTCGACGTGTCGGGCTCGAGTGCCAACATCAGCGACGCTGATGGAAAACAGAGGCTTGCGTGTAGCAATAGCAATGGTTTCCGCAGTCGACGTTTTTCCGACCCCCGGTGGTCCTTTCCCCTTGAGGGTTAGCATGCTACTCTTATGTATTGCCTCATTGGACGGGAGATCGGTTCATACCGTAGAGGAGAATGACGAGACCTTTCCCTTTTCCAGGTATGATGTCGTTGACTTCTAGTCCCGTTTCCTCTGGCGTTGTCTCTGTCTTCATGGTTGACACGTGGCTTTGTATAAGGTTAAATAACATATTCTTGGTTTCGTCGGCAACCTGTAGCCGATTTTTCCAAGGGTTTCCTGGGTCCTCAACTGGGATGTCTTTCATCAAGGTTACTTGCAATTGCGCCCATTGCTTCTCCCCGAGGACATATCCGAGCAGGCGAGGTGGGCAGAGCATATACTGTTCGTCCTCCAAAGTTTTCTGCATTTGGGCCTCGGCTGTGTCAAAATGAGTTCTATACATGGCAGTCAAACCTTCGTTCTGTTGACAGTCTGAGCACATGCAACCCAAATCATCTAGACTTGGATTCAATGACCCGTTGCGAATGATTGGTGGCCCATATTGGACATAGGACAGGTAGTCGACCACAACTCTGCCGCTTATCTAAAGATACATCAATCTCTACTTGTAATTATTCCGGGAGGGGGCTTGAAGATGGTACTAGACTCACATATGAAGACTTATTAGCTTCGGCCTGAGTAGGATCCTGCATCGAACGGTAGCGCCTAAGCATCCTCCGCTCAAGCCCTAAGTAGGGATCTAACGACCGACTGTCGTTATCGTCCTAGCATTGATTTAGAGTCTTGTAATAATATCTGTGGGTGAGAGCGAACCTCGTCGGGCTGTACTAGACCGCTGAAACCTTTCTTCCCAAAGATCGTCTTACCCGTGTACTCGAACAATCGTGATCCTTCCTTAGCAGTACAGAAATCCCGGAATTTTTTACCACGCTCAATCAGCGCGAGTTTGACGTCACCATGATCGGCATGTAGGTCAAGGGGATAATACGGTAATGACGCCATGAGTTTATGGCCGTCAAATGGCTCGAAGAGAAGTGTGAAGCCAGTTCTCTGGAGCCTCTCGCCGTTCCAATCATACGACCAACACACGAGCTGCCACGGTAGCAGTTGTTGCGGGCGGTCACCACGGTCTGGCCAGGACCCCCTGTTTTCTTGAACAACAAACACCTGGTCCTGCCCTTGGAAAGGCTTACCATAGATCAGGGTTCCAGGGGGGAATATTGTCCAGAGGTCGTCAAACTGAACCGTCTTGTCACGGCGGCATCCTTCTCGGATCTTGAAGTATTTGTCTAGTTTGGCATCGCCAGATGAACCACCCGAAAGTATGTCCAGGAGAGTTCGTAGATCTTCCCTGGCCTGCTTTTCTTGTGGGCCTTCAGGCCCTAGATCCTTGGCCGCCTCTTGTTCTAGAATGTCCCACTTGAAGATCAACGCCTCATAAGGAGAATAGAGGGTGACTGGTGATCCGCGGAACGTATGGCCTGGATACTCGCCAAGATGTTCTCTTAGGAGCTTCCACAGACCTAAATTGACTATGTCAATTTCGGAAACGTCTTCTTCGCCTGAGAATTTGTCATGTACTATTTTCCTCAATACGAAAGCGAAGCCACGATTGTCCTCCGGCTTTGCGTTCGGTGTTTCGTCTTTGCGCTCGACACGCTCGCCTGTCTCGGGGTCTTTGATGGTCTTGATAATTTTAACCCGAGAATCAATGCTGACCTCTTCCTGTTGGTATGAAATGTTAGGCCTATGGTCTCCCTGACCGGTAGTTGAATGAATATACGACTTACATTTTCGTCCTTAACTCTCATGCCGTCGCTCGAAATGTTCAGGGGCTTCTACACCTCATCATTAGGATTTGCGAAACCATGGGGAAAGCCCTTTCCCACCTTTGGTCCGTCTGATCTACCAATTATACCCTTTTCGCCCTGGTTCATAGACTCCAGTACGGAGCTGTATTTATGGTTCAATTCCGCATGCTGCTTTTCGAGATCTAGAAGTCTAGCCTCTAATGCCTAAGATTATATTAGATTCTGAATTAGTGAACATGAAGATCGATAGGGTATGGGTGGAACGGCTCCTTACAGTCAATAAAGAAGTCTCAGTCGAGGTGGCCATCTTAGCCTCCGTATTTACGGGAGTTGAACACAACTGGATAGGTTCAAAAAGGTGTATTTTGACCCTCCATATGTGATGCTAGATTTAAGAAACGAAGGAGACCCTTATATAGGAATCAAGAGGTAATTCTAGGTACTTCTAAGCTCCGGTCAAGAAGATGAATCGCGCAAGTACCCTTGGCTAGTCCCATAAATACCTCTAAGTCGCGTTGGTGATGGGTGGCGAACGCTGCTTAACCAGGAATACCGAGCATGACCTACATGAGCATCGTAGGCATATTCATCTGCCGGCAGCTCGGACACATCGACGTAAGCCAGAAGTGCAATTTGTTATCTCCATTACTCTCGAGGATATAATCGCCGACCTTAATGCATATCATATCGAGAATTTTGACCTGCAGTGTCACTTAAGCATGGATAATTACTTGCTTGACTTATGAGGATGGCCAATTACGTTAACATGCTGCGAGGTGTGTTGTTATCTATGGAACCTCAACAAGAGCCTTTCAGCTTTGTCGATATATACCCCTATTTGTCTTGTCCCCCCCACGATGGATATGGCTCGAGGAAAAGTAGCAATACGAGTAGCAGTCTACTATTAGTTCCTTATCCCACATCCTATTGCCTTGGATTACCAGTACCGCTAATCTACCTATCTTTACGACACCCTCCACCGAAATGTCCCAGGAAACGAGCTCGAATGGTGCAAAACGATTTAATGAAAGGGATATGTACGTCATATCGTTGAAACTAATTGTGTCTACAACTAACTTCGAATGAAGGGCTGTACTCAAGAAATCGCACCAGAAACAGATAGAGTTGCGCAGATTTGCCAGTAAGCACATAAGCTTTTCTGAAAAAGAAAGGCTTGCTTTACAGTTTGATAGCGTTGCTGGGTTAAACAATATCTGGGACACTGCTCTTGAGGCCAAGAGCCAACTTGAAGCTGGTCATGAGCATGGTGTTGGGTTAATGTCCAAAAGACTTCAGGATTCTGCAACTGCAGGATATGTAATCTTACAGCAAATCGAGCCTATCCTGCGACTTGTGAAAGATTTTGGTGCGCCGTACGGTGGCATGGCAGTGGGGACCATTTCGTTCCTTTTCGCCGTACGAATACCTGGAGCCGTGTCTAAACCTAGCTGATCAAAGATTTATAGATAGTCCACAACCGAGCCAAGATGGAAAGAGATATTTCCGACATGCTTTTGCAGATTAAAGATAGAGTTGCTGGTCTTAGATTGTACCGACATATCTATAACGCTGATCATGAGCTCGACCACCAGCTACAGTCTAAAATTGTCCACACTTATGTGAGCTTCGTCGATTTCTGTATTGAGGCTATTCAATATTACTCCCAGGGGAGCATAAGTGGGTTTCCAGCCGTTTCAAATCCGATTCTCATCTGATTTCAAAATTAGGACGATGGGCCAAAGCTTTATGGGCGTCTTCAACAACCCTAGAGGGTTATGCACTTGAAGTACAAAAGGCCATCGTCGACATTAGATATATGGGTGAAGAGTTGCTGAATAAGAACGTCGATATTATCAAAGAACAGGTCTCTTGTTAGTTTCCCCTTATCTCCTAAATACCTACCTACCTACCTAGGTAGGGATGCATATAAATACTAACACGCCAAATGAAAGGCCAGGAGGGGAGGATCAAAGGTGGGTTATGTTCCCTAGATAATCGCCCCGACAATAATGTTAACGAAGGCCTTAAGATCTACTGGCGAATATAGAAAGTATAGACGCCAAACACCCACAACATGGTCTTAAACAACAACTGACTCGTGTAAGAACTGAGGGAAGGGCAGGACAGCACTCGTATACTAAACATTCAGGCACTCTTATGCCTCAAGGATTACTCTCTAGAGCAAGAGTCTACCCTGTTACAGAAATATAAAGTCGACTTGAAAGCAAATCTAGAATATGTTTCGACCGACCTGGAGCGCATGCTGGGGTCCCGACTCGAAAAGTTCAAGAACGGCCACGATTTCCGAGCCTGGCAAGATTCTTCGCGTTCCTGCATGTTAATCTTGGCGGGGTATAACAATATATCAATCTATAGGACTGGAGAATGCTGGCTATCCCCTGTTGCCTTGGATATGATCGAGAGTTTCAGAAGACCCGAGCAGAACGATCCGTGCGCCTTCTATATCTTAGGACTTCAAGAGCACAACTTGTTATATCCGGTGCTCTCCCGCATCATCCTCCAGCTGTTAATTCTAAACCCTCAGGTACTACGGGACGATACACAATACCAAGAGTTGTGCGCGGAGATCGAGTCATATCGTACAACTGCTCAAGAACAGAGCCGTGATGATAGAGATTGCAGTAACACACTCAACGACCTCCTTCAAAATTTGGCTCTTAGGGTTCTGAATATGTTCGACCCAAGCAAACCCATCTGGATCATTATAGATCGCGTTGATAAATGTAAATTAGATAGGAGCAGTCACCGAAAAAGACTTATGAGGGCACTGGCCTATTTGGTTAAGAACTCTTCCGTCAAAATTCGAGTTCTTGTCACTGTCAACGGTTACGACTGGAAGGTGGAGGAAGAAAGGACTGATTTCGACCCTGACGGAGATACAAGGATAATAATTCACACAGCCCATCAGAAAGAAACTACATAAAGGGTGTGGAACGGTGCGGCACCGGGATATAATAGGGGCTAATGTCTCCATCAATCCACGTATCTAAGTCTCAAACTTACCGTTAATACACACATATTAAAACACAGTAGCTTACTATTACCAGCCACCTTTTTTTGCTTACCTAGGTAGGTACTACCAAATAGGGTAGGAAGGAGTTCCGGATGTTTACATCCGTCTTAGATAAGTAGGCTGCATCGAGGGCCAGCCAGTACGACCGCTTAACGATAAAAGGTAACTATGCAGGTTATCTAGAGAATGTACATGAATGGCCAAATGATGAGGCCTAAGGGATAGGTGTGAAGCAAAAAATTAATAGTTACACTGCGTCTAAAATTTGAAGCGGGGCAGTTTATTGAATCTGTGCGATAGAATCAATAACGTGGAAAAGGCGCCGATTTGGTCCCCGACTTGGTGCAAATGTTGAGTTCATCGTGCGGCTGAAATATAAAATGGCTCACAATACCTAGGTAACCTTAAGCAGGGGTGATAATTAATATCACCCAAACCGGCTCGGAGCGCGTCTCTAAATGCGGTAGACCTCCTACCCTACGGAAAACATCGCACCTAATAGGTTAGTAGGACGTTCCATTCATATTCGTCATGGTTTGTTGTCTTCTTATGCTCCCGTATATGCAATCCTGCCCCGAAGCCTGCTTCAAAGTGAAAAACGAGGCATTTTTATACATTGCCTTTGGAACAACCAAGACAAATAGGTAGTAATGAACATTGGCGTTCCTCTCGTGACGACCAAAAGCCGAGTATACTTCATATCCCTTTGGGATAGTAAGTGCGTGCTACGAAGTTGGATATAAGGAGGGTATAGCAACTATACTACTGTGCAGAGATCGCAGATATCTGCTATGAAAGCTAGACTGCGCGTACATTGATAGCCTCTTATATCCCAAGTTAAGGTTCACTTCGGCGACGAGAAAGACCTGATACTTTCTATGTAAACGCCCCTTAAAGCTACCTAGGTAGATTATGATTAATAACCATGACAATGGTATTATTGTGTTGTACTTTGGACATATTGTAAGCCTAGGAGTTGTTCTTGAGAGTATGGCTATGAGAAGGAGATAGGAGTTAGAAGCTGAACTTGATTAGGGTGAGTTGGATAGTGTATATCTGACGGCTATGGGTGAGTTCTGTTTAGTCGAGTTGTTATATTTTACAGGTTCCTGTTTCCTTTTCTTTTCCCTTTGTGCTGTCTCGGTTCTTTCTGTATTACAAACCATGAGTTCTTTTGGGTCGATCAAGGGGGCACACGTGATCTAGGGGAAAAGGGGGTAGGGTTGGGGCATTATATAAGCATGGTACTACCATACTATGCAGTTGGGATCTTTTTCTGGTTCCCTGAATTATATCTAGAATTACCATGGGATTGGAACCTTAGGGGTTCTTAATCTAACCTACCTAAGTACTTAGAAATTTAATCACCTAGGTATATAACGTCGTCTTTCATCGTATCTACGATGAACGACATACCCTTCACCGCGATAGAGCCTTCCACGTCGCACACCCATACCGTCGTCTTCCTGCACGGCCGTGGGGATAATGCGCGCAACTTCGCAGCCTCACTGGTGCATCTGCGTGGCTCGCATGGCCGCAATCTGGGCGAAATGTTTCCCTCTTTCCGCTGGGTATTCCCTCAGGCGCCTATGCGCAAGTGCGCTAGTTCACCTGAGACTTGGCCACAGTGGTTTGACGTGTGGGATGTGCGCGATTTCACCATCAATGAGGACCTGCAAGCCGTAGGGCTGAAGGAAGTTGTTCCTGCTATCCGTCGTATTCTGGCCGATGAGGCCGCGAAGCTGGGAGGGCGATGGGACCATCTGATCTTAATGGGTATTAGTATGGGTGGTGCGACGAGCGTACATACCCTCTTCAATTTGGATGTGCCTCCAGATGCGGGAGGGAGGCTTGCGGCTTTCATTGGCTTTTCGTGCAGGTGTCCATTTGTCGGTCGCGATCTCGCTAGAATGAGAAATGCTCTGGGTCTCGAGGAAGGGGTACCTGAAGATGCCCGTGTCATTCAAAATACGCCCGTGCTACTTGAACACTGCGTCGATGACCCACTTGTCCTCATTCAGCACGGCCGAGGCTTGAGAGACACTCTACGTGGATTCGGTGCGCAAGTTGAGTGGAAAGAATATGGGAGCGACGAACATTGGTTTAACTCACCTACCGGTACGAACGACATTGTGGATTTCCTAAATAGAAATCTTGAGCTTGGGAAGAATAGCGCCGCTCTAACAGAATAGAACGGCAGATTACTAAAGTGCGCAGCGGGCAATTGCATTGAATGGCAATAGGGGTAGGTAGGATGTATAAATAAACTTTAAGCTTCATTTTAAGGTAGATTTAGATAAACTCTGCTATTCTTGGATAGAGTTCAAACTAAGAAGTATGCTTAACTTATTCCCTCCAATGTTTACCTACATTTCGCGTATATGTTGTGACCTATCCCTTTGCCATTCGATAAGCTACGTCTACATCCACACACCTTTCGAGAAACAAGCAGCTACAACAGTGACCCAGAAATTTATTGGAAATTAGCTTCAAGTAACGTCGGCTACCGAAGACACGTTCCTATTTCCCTCCATTCTTTTAATAGATGCACTCCTTCGTTCCAATCTAATCTACAAAATACGCGGCCGACATTTCTGTACGGGTAGACACTCGTGCACCGGCATATACATCGCCAAAAATGACAGCAAAGACCCGCTTCTTCATCATCTCTGATACGCACGCAGGAGACTTCAATATCAAGCCCGGGCATGGGGCGGACGTGGTAATACACTGCGGCGATCTTACCGAAGAGTCTAAAATCCATGAGTACCACCATACGTTACAACTTCTGAAGGACCTGGATGCACCGCTCAAGTTGGTGATAGCGGGGAACCACGACTTCACATTAGACACGCCAGCTTTCAGGAGGAAGGTAGATGAAGCAACCGAGCCCTTAGATCCGGAACTAGTCCGGAAGGAATACGGAGACTACGGCGAAGCAAGGCAACTCTTTGACAGTGCTTCTGGGATCACATTTCTTGATGAAGGAACTCATCAATTTAACCTCCATAATGGCGCAACAATGACCATTTACGCGAGTCCTTACACTCCTTCGAAAGGCGGCAATGCCTATCAGTACGACCCCGAATTAGGCCACCAATTTGACATCGGAAAAGACGTCGATATAGTCATTACCCACGGCCCTCCCCATGGAATCATGGACTTCGCTGAATCACGGAGAGCCGGCTGCCCACATCTTTTTGGAGCCGTCGCGAGAGCCAGGCCTCGGATACACTGCTTCGGCCATACCCACGAAGGTTGGGGAGCAAAAATAGTGGCTTGGAGGGAGCATGTGACAAAAAGCCCTTCGCATTTTACCGACATCGATAACGGCCGTTCCACTGTGATTGAAAAATTGTCCAACATCACAAAAACGAAATTTGACACTCCTGAATCCGTCACAGAAAAATTTCGGAAAGCCGAACAATACACACAACGGGGATATTGTGCGACATGTCATTGCGACAGCGACTCCGATACTCTCAAGAAAGGCACACATACGCTTTTTATTAACGCCGCTGTGGAAGGACTTTCCGACGAACTCCCCATACAACCACCATGGCTCGTTGACATAGACCTCCCGTTGGCCCATCAACATAACGAAACAAAAACCCAGGAGTCATAATTGAAAAGGAATAATGAGATATGGATTTTATGAGCTTGAATGATGGATTAGGTACTTGGTGGTAACCATATGATTAATATGGCGTTGGTTGTTGACACAGCGTTGGAATGTCATGTACGTAAGTAATCGACAGCGTCGTTACTTCACAATATAAACACCCCCCATTACAAACTAAGAAAATTACGCAATAGGAATCCACAACGAATTAGATGCCTCAAGTTGAAAGGTTACGATCCTCAATGGCTGTATGCAGTATAGCGGGGAACGAGGGTGGATTATCACCAATCCCTCTAGTGCCGGCTTAGTTCGAAGAGTGCCTGGTGTTACCCACTCCCTGGGATACTACTTTACCAACTCTTCTTGTTTTGGGTAAGTATATGCGGGTTGACGATGTAAGTGCCTTGCAAACCCCCCTCCTCATAGCCGAAACCCACCTCCCTCCCCACCAGCACAAAACCGTGGATGTAGGATTTCTGTTGAGACGTGGGGGCAGGGGAGAGGGGATCAATGAAGGTTGGAAATAGATACTCGCTTGGTCAGATCGAACCTGGTGAATTTTGAGACTGGTTCTCTCCTGTGAGTCGACGGTATTGTTATCTGTTTGTCCGTGAGTGATGATCATGAAACCCGCGCGCCTGGCTCTCCGTCGATTTGCAGAGCCGCTGGCTCGGCCTGCTCGAAGTAACGGTCTCCGACAATTTACCACGGTTACCCCTCGCACATCTCCTGCTGCTGCTGCTGCCGCAATCCAACCGCAGCACCTTGATCAACCGTCTTTTCCTATCCCTGGTTCGATCCCAGCCAAGCCTAAAGCTTCCGCCGCCGCTCCCGCTCCGAGCCCTATTCCCGTAGCCGTACCTAAGAATACCGAGAATACACTCCGCGATGCAGTCGCTGCAGCCGAGCCGAGAAATGACTGGACTAGGGAGGAGATTACCGCAATTTATGACCATCCATTGATGGACTTGGTCCACCAAGCTGTAAGGGCTCATGAACAACAAAAATCACGTCAGAATCTATAACTTGAAGAGCCGGACTTGGCTAATTATCCCAATCGTGATTGCAGAGTCTGCTCCACCGACGCTTTCACAATCCGGCCGAAGTCCAGCTCTGCACTCTTATGAACATCAAGGTTGGTCGTCGCCTTTTGTCCGCCTGCTCAATAATCAACTTATCCCCCTAGACTGGTGGTTGCACCGAAGACTGTTCCTACTGTGCGCAATCCACACGGTACCAAAAAGGTACCGGCCTAGAAGCGAAAAAGGTCGAAACGGTCGAGACCGTGCTCGCAGCAGCCCGCGCCGCTAAAGCAAATGGAAGCACACGATTCTGTATGGGTGCTGCATGGCGCGACATGCGTGGTCGCAAGAATAGTCTGCGTAATGTCGCGGCCATGGTGCGCGGAGTACGGGAGCTCGGTATGGAGGCCTGTGTAACACTAGGCATGATTGACGGAGCACAAGCGGAAGAGCTAGCTGCCGCTGGGTTGACGGCGTATAATCATAACGTCGATACGAGTCGCGAGTTCTACCCCTCGGTTATATCGACGCGAACGTACGACGAGCGATTACGCACTTTGGGACATGTGCGCGATGCCGGGATTAATGTATGCTCGGGAGGTATCCTAGGGCTAGGCGAGACGGCGCAGGATCGCGTAGGCTTGCTGCATACAGTATCGACGCTACCGAAGCACCCGGAAAGCTTCCCGGTCAATGCACTCGTGCCGATTAAGGGTACTCCGCTTGGTGACCGTGAACCAATTGACTTCACGAGTAGTAAGTGCATCTATCATCTCGCTGTTATTTCTGCCGAGTAGCTGCTGACGCTAGGTACTTCAGTGCTCCGAACCATCGCAACGGCACGCATCATAATGCCTGCAACTATAGTCCGAATCGCGGCCGGTAGGAAGACCATGTCCGAAGAGAAGCAGGCACTATGTTTTATGGCCGGCGCCAACGCGATTTTCACAGGTGAAAAGATGTTGACGACGGAATGCAATGGTTGGGATGAGGATAAAGTCTTGTTTGAACGATGGGGATTAGAACCCATGAAGAGTTTTGACAAATCTCCACCAGCTTCCAGTACATAGTTAGCTGCCGTACATCCTAGACTAGACGCTAGAGCTGCGGCTTGTCTTGCTTGGTCAATACATTGGTAGCCTCCAAATAATTATCACGGGTCTCGGATGTCGCGACCACTCGACTCTGCACCCACACTTCAATTGCGGTACACAGACCATCAACCTGCTCCTTTGTATTAGCAGAATGTAAACAGACTCTTACTCGTTCACTCCCAGCGGGTACGGTCGGAGCCACAATAGGTCGGACCATGAAACCAGATCGCTGGCAATGTCCCGCAAGATCACGAGGGTATATAGTGAAAATTGGTATGATAGGCGATCTGAAAGGCGTCTCATCAACGTGAAGTATGGACCGGTCGGGATGTAAATGAGTGTAGAGAGCGTAAAGTTGGCGATGTGTGTATCGTATAAGCGCCTCTAGATTGTGGCGTGACAGGTCGGACTGGCCACTGATGAGATAATCGTAAACTACATCTATACTAGCCAGCGACGTAAAGGCCATCGATGTAGTGTAGATAAGACTTCTGGCGTAGTTTATTAAATATGACCTTGTGGTGGATGAGCAGAGGACAACACCTAACGCAAAACGTGTCAAATCTTATAATTTCTTTTTCCTCGAAGGCATCAATCATGTCACAATGCCATCGCAGATAAACGTACCTCCTGCACAACCCAATGCTTTCCCAAACCCAATCACTCTCGCCCACACTCGATCTTCCAAGCCTAGCTGACACACTAACCCTCGGCCCTTGTCGCCAAACGTGCCTACTGAATGCGCTTCGTCTACTATGATGTATCCATTTCTAGACGGTAAGCGCCGATCGACGGCCTTAACAATATCTTCTAACAATGGGATATCGCCGTCCATGCTGTATAAACCCTCAACACAGATAAAAACATTTGTTTTACCCCTGGCGACACGTTCATCGCTGGAAAGTTGCTTGAGGACATCGTCTAGTCCCTGATTCTTGCTCTGGCGGCTCGGCTTCTTTATTCTATTACCAGCATTCTGGGAGTAGTGGGTTGCGGAGACGGAATCGTGCGCGAAAGGAATTCTTTTCGCAGCGCGACTTATACGCATCCCTTCATGAACGCTCGCATGTATGAGCTCATCGTAAACGATCACATCTCCAGGCTGCGGAACGCAGCCGAGCAATCCGGTATTAGCGTCATACGCAGAAGTAAATAAAAGCGCAGCTTCTGATTTATGAAAATTGGCAATTTTCGCTTCAAGTGCCTCCGCGAAAGAGGAATTTCCATCGAGGAGACGAGAACCTCCCGAGCCAAGGATAGACTTGCGAGATCCAGGACTATTCGATTCTGCCACCTGGGCTTCTAGACGACACAACAATGCCTTCTGCACTGCTAGATTTGTTGATAATGATAGATATCCATTGGAAGAGAAGTCGACGCTGCTGCCAGGAGCAATGTTCAACATCCTGAGCTTGCTTTGGGATTTTCGGCGCGCAAGTAATGCTCCTAGTATGCTTTCTAACTGCCCTCGGTTTTCTGTCATCGTTATCTGTTTCACGATCAAAAACAATCAAAGCCGATGCGCCAATATTGACCGTCTAAATTTGTTGAGAAGTCGATCCTCACACTATACCCCTAGTGTAAGAGTGAGAACAATTCCGGACCGATGTTACGGTCCGCTCTATGCGGGTCAGTGGGGTATAGGTAGCGACTGTGTCTTTTTCCGGGTCAATGGGAACATTACCCTAGCACGTAATTTATACTTGATCTAGATCGATCCCATTTGAATGACATCGAGTAATTTTGAAGTATTGTAAAGCTCGTTATTGTTTAAATGGCGCCGACGCACCCTTTGCTTTGGCGCTCTCTTCGGGTCTTCCAAGTCTATGGGGCAAACACTGACGTCGGCAAAACAATATTCACCACAGTTCTCTGTAAAGCCGCGAACAACGCTTCGAAAAAGGAACGAACGGCATTCCTAAAACCTGTGTCAACAGGCCCAGAGGATGGGGCCGATGACCGGTGTTAGTAAAATCCAGGCCGTCTCATAAGATTTTAAACTGACCTTTGTGGTATAAGAGGGTTAAGCACCATGCCCATTGAAATTCCCGCACTGACGTAAAGGTAGTCATATTCAAAGGCATGCGCCAGGGGTCGATCGTGCGACGTTGCTGCAATATGATCTTGCGATAAGTCCGCACGCTGCGGCAAAGGGCAAGGTATAGTTATGCTGTTTGCTTGACCCTAGTACTATTCATGATTTAACCCCCAGTCGTAAAGTCAATACCCTCGAATAAAGAGCTACTCTCCAAGATATATAATTTCGCATTGCAAAGAGCGAACCATAGCCCTGGATGGCTTTTCATCGAAACAGCCGGTGGCGTTCATTCTCCGGGGCCATCAGGGACCACCCAGGCAGACCTGTATACCGCATTACGATGCCCGGTTATACTCATCGCGGATTCCAAACTGGGAGGGATCTCTTTGACTATCTCAGCTTTAGAATCTCTCAAGCTTCGCGGATATGACGTTGAGGCTATTCTCGTGTTCCAGGACAAGGAATATGACAATGAGCAATACTTAAAGGATTACTTCACGACCCACCATGGTATACTTGTCGCGTCTTTACCGGCACCTCCGCCTAAAGCGCAAAACGGAGACGCAGACGAGGATATAATGTCGCAATATTACAGGTCAGGGGCCCAAAGTGAAGCCACTCGCAACATTCTTAAGCATTTAGAACGGAAACACCAGGCGCGTATCGAGAGACTAGAGTCCATGGCTGACAATGCTTATAAGCGAATATGGTATCCATTCACTCAACACAGCCTCGTTTCACCGGATAGCATTGTCGCAATCGATAGCGCCCGGGGCGATTATTTCCAAACCCTAGTGCCACGCCTTAGAGGAGCAACCGCCGAAAACGGACCCCTTTTACAGCCTTCTTTCGATGGTTCTGCCTCTTGGTGGACTCAAGGGCTCGGCCATGGAAATCCTTCACTGACAATGGCCGCAGCCTATGCAGCGGGTCGCTATGGCCATGTCATGTTTCCTGGGGCTGTTCATGAGCCTGCATTGGCTTTAGCAGAAACCCTTTTACGCGAGATGAAGAATTCTCGCCTCAGTCGCGTATTTTATTCGGATAACGGCAGTACTGGTGTGGAAGTAGCAGTTAAGATGGCACTGCGAGCGACCAGACTCCGATACGGCTGGACCGCAAGTACGGATATCGGGATTATCGGAATGAAGGGCGGATACCATGGTGACACCATTGGCGCTATGGATTGTGCCGAACCAAGTACTTACAATGAAAATATCGAGTGGTACAACGGCAGGGGTATCTGGTTCAACTATCCGAGCGTTAAATGCACTCGTGGCCGATGGGTCGTCGAAATACCCGATTCGCTAGGGAACGATGTTAGGGGTTATCAAGAATTCGGAAGTCTATCCGACATATTCGACATTGAATCGCGGGAGTCAAGGAACGAACAGAAAGCGTATGAAAAGTACATCGAGGGCGAGTTGTCACGCCACATAAACGGCGGCCGAAAGTTTGGCGCCTTACTTATAGAACCAGTAGTGATTGGAGCCGGAGGCATGGAGCTGGTGTAAGGACCAAGAATGCGATCCCCTTTCGAAGCTCGTGATGGCTAATCCCAAAACAGCGACCCCCTCTTTCAACGTGCCCTCGTTAATGTAGTCCGGCGTTCGGAAAACCTCTTTGGCTCGCATGATCAATCGGATACCTCAGACCCTACATGCTGGACGGGTCTTCCCGTAATATTCGATGAAGTCTTCACCGGATTGTCTCGTCTCGGCAGATTTACAGCGTCTTCTTTTCTTCAAAGCGAAGCTGACATATCCGTTCATGCCAAGCTTCTAACTGGTGGCTTAGTACCACTCAGTACTACATTAGCATCCGAGAGCATTTTCAAAGCCTTCGAAAGTGATGATAAAGCTGATGCCTTGCTTCACGGACACAGCTACACAGCTCATCCGATAGGTTGCCAAGTTGCCTTGGAATCGGTACGGCAGATGCAAACGATGGAGAAGCAAGGCGAATGGAATTGGGCTAAAGAAAACGACTGGTCGGGATCTGTGAGTGGCCAGCTCAGTCCCACGAAACCTGAAGTGTGGACCATTTGGCCCTGGGAGTTGTTGAACTGGATCTCGAATCAGACACAGCTTGTAGCGGGGACCTGGGCTCTCGGGAGTATTCTATCAATCCATATGAACGCTGCAGATGGTCTCGGATATAAGAGTAACGCGGCGCTAAAACTACAGAGCGGTCTACGTGAAGGTGATAAAGAGAGGGTATGGAACGTTCATAGTCGAGTCTTGGGTAATGTTCTGTATATTATGGGAAGTCAAAAAACCACGAAGGAGGACATTGTGGAAATAGCGGGTATGATACGGCGCGTGTTGGCGTCGCATTGAGATCTGCTAAGCTAAAAGTACTAAGAGTACTTGTAAAAAAGAAAAGGATGAAGAAATTAAGAATATTGAATGAATTAACCGGAAAAGGGACGGAAAATGTCGTCACCTGTAGCTTATGTAATATGATGACATAATATGCGCACGGATCATGATGTTTTAAGTTTAGAGTACCAAGGTACAGGTAACTCTAACCGTATTGTCGTCCCGCGCCGCGCACTGAACTCAGACCATCTGAGATTCTTCCAACTACATCTTTTGCGACGAGCGCCTCAACATTTCTAACTCTAGCCCGGTATCTCGAGGCAGATTATACAATCCTTATGATTTAATTCTACTAAACTTATCATAGGGCAAATGTCCCAGTCTACCATTTTCTTAATTCGCTTTCAATCTTCAATTCCACGCAACCAACATGGGAATTTGCGCTTCCTGCCTCGGCAGCCGACGCCGCGATTCATACGAAGAAGTATGCGATTCCAAGATATCAAAGTACGTCAAGTGGTACTAACTAATCGGAAAAAAGGATGACGTATCCCGACTACTTTTCGATGACCCGAACAATCTTCAATACGGAAGTTTTGGCGAACATAATTTAAATACCCAAGCCGATCCGCTCGAGTCGCAACGAGAAGTCGAAGCCTTGCAAAGAGTAGTAGCGCGCACCTCTAAGTATGCACCATCCAATATCGCAGCCGCCGAAACTTGCTCGTGCTAATTTTTCATTCAGTAATCTTGTTGACGTCTTCGAAATCACCCCACAAGAATCGCAAAGAACTCAACCCACACTCTTCTCGGGACAAGAGGCTCGTCTAGCTCGCTACCAGAATATACTATCAAATCTCTCTCCAGAGGGAACCGCTACATCTATAGATGGTGGCCCCGGCGCGGTGGAATGGTTGTTAAATGAGGATGATTCTGTCGAATTGCAAGGCAAAGCTCCGAGCATCAAGGACGAAGCGGGGGGACCTCTTGTAGGAACGTTCGCAGATATAACTTCGATCAGGGCATAAAAGGAAAGATACCTGGATGGATGAATGACGCAACCTATTTTGGTGGGAAAAAATTGTATGGTTCGGCTCCAGTCAACTAATGATGAAATACAAACTGGTCTGGAGCCAAACCGACTTGAGGATGATTTTTCACGGATGGCTCAAAAGTAGGGGGCGGGTCTCGTTCTAGTCCAATCTTGGATTGCGTAGCGGAGACCCAGATCCATTTACCAAATTAAGTTGACGAATCCATCCTCTGTCCACTTACCAACCTCTCACGAGCACTATTGCAGCCAATCAGATACCAGTTTCTGGGTCTTTAGAGGAGCCAATCCATTAAATATTAGCCACGTGCCTAAGTGTGACCCGGTTCTTCATAATAGTATGCGGGTTCGCTATAAGAGTCCCGCCTGTTTGGTACGCCACTGTATAGATATTTCATAATATCAAATCGATTTTCGTCCGGCTTCGGTGGTTTTGTAAGGAAGGAATCGTCGTCCGACAAGGCTCACGATGTGTCTTCTAGAATTTCAGGCGGGAGTCTGTGCGTCGGATCTAGCCAGTGAGCGGGGAATCCGGGAAGGGCCGCAACCACGGGCACACCCCCCTAATATCTATCCCCCGGTCTCCTATCCACTCACTTAGGGTTACGGGTTGCTGGTAATAATCCACCTGACTGTAGATAATACCACAAGAATAATACCAACGTGGGTTCTGCCCCCAATTTCCCGTAATTCTTATCCTATCGAAGCGCCTACAGGAACACCCTACTCTCATAATGAGTGAGCGTATCTAACCAACGCCTTTATGTCTATGACGTCCTTTCTGGCAAAATGTAGCTTGTTATGATTAAGTACTGCCGATTAGTTTCATCCCCCAGCGGAATTCCGCTCCTCCCTCCTTCGTTTAGTGATGTCTCAGCCAGTCCGCTGCCAGCGGCTTAAGCCACCCTTCAATAGATCGAGCACAAAAGCAACGATGATACAGCGAGATTGTCACGAGGATCAGCCACGCATAAAAAATCCTTCCAAAAAGCCAACCGGGCTTATAAATTGACGAATCACGACCGAGGTCATCTAGTACATGGAAATAAAATAATCGCTTCGAGTACAGCGTACAAAAGACCGGCTTCCCACCATGCATATCTTTCATCAGATACCACAACTTTCCTAAATGCCCGTTTCCAAATTTTGAAACTACCCTTCTCCCACCCCTCCTGGATGTGGTCCTATATACCCAAAGAAAATAAAAAGTATTCTACTGATCTTGAAATAGTGATGTCAAATCACCAGCCGCTTCTTCTTCTGTGTCGTCGTCGTCGTCGACAAATGTGTACCCACTACACCATCGAATATTGCCTGTTGTGATGTTGTTGGAGCATGTTTTGGATTGCCTCGTCGACCTCCCCCATATCCCTCTGGGCTTTCTCGATCGTTGCGGACCGGTTTCCCTCCCTCTGCCACCGGTAGATGTCGTTTTGCAGTTTCGTGTACTTCCGCTGCTTCTTCTCGATGTCTTTGCAGAGTTTGCAGTTGTCTGGTTCTTGGTTTGTGCAGTACACCAGCTTCAGTCCGCAGGTCTCTCCGGTTCGGTACTCCTTCGTACATTGTTGACGGAAGTGACCCCATCGCCAGTACCCGCACATCCAGCGCGTCTGCTCGAAATAGCACATCGTCGTCGATTAGGAGAGGAGAGTTGGTCTAGAAAAAAGGAGGTTCTAGGTCTGGCGGTTCACCAATTAGCTTAGCTGATGCAAGTAGCTTTGCCGGAGGAGAAGAACACGAGCTGTCGAACAAAAAGAAAAATTTATATACCTCAAGATCTTAACTAAGGTATCGTCGTCGTCGGTGTGTTCACGGTGGACTTAAGTCGATGTTGATGTTTCTCCCCCTTTTATCACGTTAAGTATATACTAAGATTCTTGTTATCTTGGTACGAATTACTCCACTGCTAGACCCGAGTGACATCAACATTGGGGAGGACAGACAGTAATACTTATACTTTTCGTCCGGCTCCTTGGGTTTTTCCCTCTGATTGTTCCCACCCGGCGGCGCCCCGTTCTCGACTTGCGTTGGCCGCAACCTTCCACTACATATTCGACAACACTGTGCCCAGAGTTATCACAAAAAACTACTGAGGATTGGTCGTTGACAACTCAGCCTGTCTGCTAGTTGGGGTTGCATGTCCATTTCGCAACCAGTCCGTCCAACATGTTTCCTAGAATGCTGGATGGAATGCCACGTTGACCTAGTGCTTCAATTTCCACCGGCTCAACTTCCCCACTCTGGATACAGCCTACGAGTACCCTGACTGATGAGTAGTTTACCAGCTACATGATTCGAGAATGATAGATGGCGGGCCCCTCTTTCCTTTCCCTGTTCTCTATTGGGTCGATTCTAGCTGTCTCTGTGCGGTCCGCAGTTAACCTTGGTACGTCGAGCCCATCAGCCTCGAATTTGACACCCTGTTGCTACACCCCGTTGCACGCAGAGTTTGATCCTTTCCCGTCTGCAACCAGGATGTGGCCCATCCCCACTACCTGCCTGCCTATGCAAGCCATCTGGCTAGCCGCGGGTAGGTCTCCCACACCCCCTGAATGGCTCCCCCCCTCCCCCTGTGAGGCAACTTGCCCTTTAGAACGAGCATGTATCGTCAATCACTGGAACAGGGGAGCATGTTTCGTCCCTTGCCACGTCTCGGGTGATTACCTTTAACAGATGCCCAATCGCTTGCCGCAAAACTCCGAAAAGACTATATCCTGCATCTATAGCAGAAAGAAACGAAAGTCGGTCTCTGGTCTTTAATTTTTTTTATCTTTTCGTTTAGGCTTAGGCGGTCCCCATATTGCGTGGTTTATCAACTAGCAGCAGCACAATTTTTTGATCGCTTTTGCCACTCCCTTTCGTTGCCGCTTCTGGCCTGATTTTTGTTTGATTGGGCTTCCATCAACTATGTTTTTCGAATCGTCCAGCTCACCATCAAGCCACATCGGGAAAGACGATATCTTCCTGACGCACTCTGGGCAGCACTTGCAGCTAACACCTACTGGGCGTTGTTTCGAGCATTCTTACCATCCGATATACCCGTACCAGCGGTTGCGGAATTTTCTTGAGTCTTTCCCGGGAAGTGAACAACACATCTTCTGCTACAGGGGGTTGTTGGGTTACTATGACGATTTTTGTCTATGATGGTTGTACCTTTTTGGGTCGAGAAAGTAGGCTACATCTTCTGCGGCCGCCAAGCTAAGGGCCAGATAACGTAGGCCCGGGAGAAATGTGTATTATTATTATTTTTTTTCTCCTACGATATCACAAGGCTTACCTATTCATGTGAAGCTACACCAAAGTCACATACAGAAAGTCCCCTTATGTCGGTTATACGCGAGTCAGGTAAAACTTGAGATCTTCAACGGGGGGTTAAGTTAGGCCAGCGACGTGGCAATGCTTTTCTGGCCGGGCCAGGCCCACCTGCACGATTTCGCCCCCGGCTCGTGCAAGATGCGTGCCTAGAAATTCTGGGGGATCGAAAACGGCCCTAGTTCTTCCATAATTTACCATATACGAAGGAACAGCTACGATCATGGCCCCATATAGTTCTCGGTACCTGTTCATGCCACTATTTAGGAATGGTTATAGTAACAAATATTTTGGTTTTGTTGATACAATGCTTACAATCCTCTAACAATGGCGAGTGTAACGTGAGTTTTCAGTGACAAAATCCCTATGTGGACTAATTTACCTAATATTTTCACTTAGGCTTCGATGCCCCCTTAAAAGGAGTAATATTTGTATTGATAAAAATTTTCCTGACGATAATCGTATGCTTAGAAATGTAATAAACCACAATTCCATCCTGTATGTTTAACCATTATCTATTTCACCTTTTTACATCTATCTGGCGTTCTTCGAACCGAAAGCGACCCAAGAATTTTGAGTGATGCCATATTTAACTCATGGCATGACTCCACATATGCAGGATGTTTGCTTCGTATATGACCTACACAGTATGACCGTAAAATTCACCTCCGGTATTATCCATTGATACCTTGGTAGTATCATGGGACATAAGCCGACAATTCCAACAGTAAGGTTGCGTGTTGTCCTCCTAAACAAAGCTAAAGCCGCGTCATAGTGGTGCAGATATTTCCTCGGTAGTAAGGGATGATAATAATTAGAGAGTAAGCTTCGGTAGGGGTTGTAAGGTGATGTTTATGCCTATTCTCATTATAAAATGTTTGCATCTTCAGCCATGGTACGAGCAAGACGCGGACCCCTGGATCAACAAGGCCGCACGGGGCGGCCAAGTGGTGTTGTGAGTAAATCCGTCTCCGGGAAATTATGGGCGCCTGGCCTAGTACCCCACGGCCCGTTCCGTTGATACTGATTCAGACACAGTGGTTGATCTATCTGCCAGATAGCCTTGTAGCCCTCGGTTCTTGCCCGACATCTGCAACGTCGATGTAAATCATAACCCTCGAAAGAGAAGAAATTTGACGTTAAACTTGATTTCCGTTCAACCAATCAAGAGCTATCTGACGTTTAACGCCATATAAAATTCTACCAAGACTATCGTAATTCCGGCCACACTATGTGTAAATCATGTGCAAGAAATGATATGCGCATTCCCATAGTCCAGAGTAAGCAAAAAGAGCCTTCTCACTCTAATAGCCCAATAATACTCCGCGACTTCCGAGACACTCTCCCATCCACCGCTACCCACCTTCGCTTCTTTAAGGGGGGTGGAAACACGCTTAGGGGGCGTGGGGAGGACAAAGGACCCCCCCTGGATGCAGTAGTATGCATCCCAACCCACCCGCAAGTATGGTGGATTAGAGGGAAGGAGAAGATCAACCATGCGTTCCTGTTTTGTTAACAGCCTCTCGAAGCCCTGCACTGCCAGCTCATTGGTTGGGGGCTGAAACCAAGGAATCGCCGCAGCGGGATGTATCTTAGTTCCATCCGGACGTCGTCTATAGAAAAGTTCTTTTAAGAAATTTTGTTGCCTATATCCCATGTATATTCCGTGCGGAGTGGAAAGAAAGAGGATGCTAGGCCTGCTCATTATATCCGGCGTGATTCGTTGCTTACAACTTCCCTTTGGGCACTGCAGTACTACGGCTGCTTGTCTATTACAGCAGAGGGGCCGGATTCGTCAAGCCTGTCGCGGATCATGTCAAAGTCCTGCAACCGTAAGCCTTCGCTTTGCTCACCGTCACTTCGAGATTCCGAACGAGGCTTCATCGATCCTTTCTCAATGGCTACCGCTTTTCCCTCGTGGTCCTTGGTTGGACAGAACTATGAGTTGTCCTCTTAACGCCATTGAGTTCCAAGGTAAGACAGGGGTGAGTGATTGGAACGGCTCCGTTGCCGACTCTGCCTGGAAAATGGGTTCACATATGCTCCACAGCGGATGTGCTCGCATCGCATAGACGCAGGGTGATCTAGGTTTTTACCATCTGCATTGCAGGGTTACAAGTAGGTAACTAGTCGACCAAGTACTTGGCTTGCTCTGTCCATATAGAGAGCCACATACACCGAATACCAATGTAGCTACTCCTTCGCCCCGTGATAGTAAGAGAGGAAGAAGGAAAAAGAGCAGAGGGAAAAAAAGGCCTTGGGCATGCTGGCCGCAACCGGCCACACCTCTAGCTAGTCAAGTCTCAGAGCCCAATTGACCGGTTGTACAAGAGAGCCAGATTCCTGTCATTGGGCATTGATACTAACCGAAAGAAGAGGCCGAAAGGGTCGGGGGGGATCGCGACCACGTTGACGGCCCAAAACGAGACCGCGTTCGGCCCTCTAGGCCGCGCCGAAAGCTCCACCGTTCGTCGTCCGGTGTTTAACAAGGGGCCTTGGTCCTGGGGGGGCAAAATACACGTCATTGCATATCTAGGATCCTCTGACTTACAGCACCCACGTTCTTCGTATGCCAGGTACATTGCAACGCGTCAGACAGGATTCCGGGAATTATGACGAGTAATAGATATTTTATTATAGGATGTTACCGGGCCGAGACGAATAATATTTTCCTAGGCGAAGTTAACCGAGACCCCTAATTTTCGGAGGAAAATATAGCGAAGAAAATAAGAGGGATCGATAAAAAGGTTTGATGTTGTATTGATTATTGTATCGTGTGCGGTCCCTGGTGATGAGTGGTCGTGGTCATGTGGAGAGAAAGATGATTAGGGATTATCGGGCTCGACTTACACACACCCGATACATTCTACTTTAATGTACGTATTTGCTTAGTCCAGCGTATATTGGTCCGAGCTTCTTACCTTAGCGTCAACTAAACTAGGTAGGTTAAATTGTATATGCTAGTATGTTAGAATAATAATAGTGCTATTAAGACTATTAAGACTCTAGGTTAATTCTTATTGCTGCGTCTCGGACCATCTTTTTTCGATTTTCGGGTTGCCGCTACTGTAGGGAGATAAATGTCTAGATTGGACTGGAACAACACACGCATTACTGTAATTTGTACGAAGTAGATACCATGATAAGTCTTCAGTGGCCTTTTTAGTATATGCTAGCGTATGTATACGTATATGTATATGCATGTACGTATATACATCTATACATATATACCTCTATACTTTAACCCCCCCTGTCCCTTACCGATCATGGCTCTACCTTGCGACTGGACTTTTATGTACGTACGGTAAGTACACAGTTACATGTGGGGTAGCTCCGCCGCTAAATCAATACGAACACTCCCTTTTCTATAGCGATACCTACTTCTATACGTATATGTAACACAATAGGTATAGTACAATCGATTCTGTAACTTACGTACCTTACGTACCTACGTAATTACATGTAAATGTAAAGGTATAATTGTACATAAATATACATATAGGTAGGTAGGATATGCACCTGCTTTACGCGCTTCATACATGACATCCCGCGTTCTAAAGGAACCTGGAGAACTTTCCTCCGTAGATCTCCCGTCTGCCTCGCTGCCTCGGTACATCCTAGCCGGACTTTAAAATATCACCTAGCGGCACGGACGGCATTGATACTTAGAGAGCAATAAATCTCCTATATATTTTACCTACATTACCTACATACCCAGACCTATATAACCTATATAGGCAAGCAGTCGCAAATCTTGGATCATCTGGTCCCGCTCTTTTTGCGGGATTCCGCACGGCATGCGATCTTGATCTAGCATTACGACGAGACAAGAGACAAAAAGTCGGTAGTGGGTTATGAGACATGACCATAACCATCCCGTCCCACTTGAGATGGTCACCTACCTATCTGCTTGTAAGTTCATACGGGGATATGGTGGGAGTAATTCGGAAATGGCAATGTGTAGTAGAGCTTGAATATCTACCGACTTACTAAAGAACATAACATCGAGGTAGGCGCATTACATGACCTTCCCGGCCGTCTTTCGGGTTGATGTTTGAATGCTAAGTCTTCGGCTTCTCTCTTATTAGTCTATTAGACTATAAACATTTGAACTTTTAGAAGAATTTACAAGGAACAACCTTCTTTATAATCAAATACTAGACCCCGCATGCTTGAGTTTGGCCGGTTCTGATTGGTGACCTACCTAGGTAGGAAAGTACTTCATAGGACTGAATTGGCACTGTAATCAGTTCTAAATTTGGTAATCCGGATACTGTGGTTGCCTATTACCCCAGGCATATAGAACATGGCCCGTGCACCTTTTTAGCTTTACACTTTAGAAGCTTAGCTCAACACGGGGACAACCAGGTCCAGGATACAAGACGTAACTTTGTACAACGTACGGAAACAGCCCAGGCAATTACTTGACTTGGAGTTAGCGAGTTGATAGTGAGGTAAGTGCTGTCGTAATAGGTGGGATTGACGTATTGACGAAACACTAATTGCACCATCCCTCATCCCACCCATTCCATCCTCACGAACACATCAACACATCATCCCATGACTTTGGAGGTGAATAACAACTAAAAAGTTACTTCGGGCTGTGTTGACCAACAATCATCATACCGCGCCTCCTCTATAGTAATTACACATACGCATGCTGTACATCCACAAATATTTGACCTCGCATGTGTGTTAGGATCCCTTTTCGGTTTTCAGTCAGCCTCTTGAAGCTGGCCTACCTTACCCTTTTGTGACTACTCACATCGACCGCCTTGAAAAATATGCCTTGCGCGGCCTCCTCGACCGTTTAAACGACCCTTTATTTTACATTACACTGCACTACGTAATACATCAGACAGACAGACATCTGCATTCTGTATTATGAACCGCATCGTCTTATCACCACAACAGCTCGCTTCCACTGCGCCAATCTATCCCTTCTTTGCGCTCGTCCCTTTTTTTCTTACCCCTCCATTCGGCACCCTGTACATACCTACACATACCTACACCATACCTACCACGTCGAGGTACGGTACTGTACATAACCTTGGAAGTTGTAACTAGCTGGGAATAGCTTCCTAGATGCCGCTCGCCTCATTCCACCACATTAACACCTGTTTGATATAGATTTACCGAGACATACATAGACATAGACACACAACTGTCTGAGACATGCATTTTCCCGCCGCAAGCAACTAACCGCGCATCCCCCCAAATCCGCCGGTCTACCGCATTGCTGCTGGCCACTCGGGGAACGCGGAGCTCATCGAGCAGACATCCGTTCCAAGGGACCTGCCACTCACCATCACACCTTGCTGTCATCCTGCGGCATATATTCACGCAAGTACGCAATATCTCACCGAGGTCTAACCCCGTACCGTATTGCACTTTTCTCATAGTGTCCCGCGCCGCGCGTTGGCGATACACCTCAACTGGAGGAGGTTCATCCCTACCGCCACTTCATCATTGTTGCTACCTGGCAAACCCAGCCCCGCGTATCTTGCCCACGGCTAGCCTGCAAACAACATGTCGGCGCATCCAGCCCTGGACGAAGTTGAACCCGAATTAGAACAACGGCAGCAGCAGCAGCAGCACTTCGTCACCAGGACCCGCGATCTGACCTTGTTCACATCGCGTCACACCATGCTGATGCCGCATATGTCCTCATTTCCTACTTCGTCGCCGGCTGCCGAGAGTGGCGATGCTACCCCGCGAGAGTCGGCCTCGAGAGCGGCCACCATTGTTGATGCCCAACCAACTGCCCTGGTTACGGACTCTTCAGACTCCGAGCACCTGGAAATTCACGCTGGGGCCCCTGCTCATGACGGGATGCAGCCAGCCACGGGACAATCTGTGCATGTTTCATGCCCGTCACCAGATACGATAGCCTCGTCGTGGCCATCCCAATCCACGCCTGATGCGTCATCCATTCCCAATCGAGGTTCGCACAGGGAAACAATAGCAGATGTAATAGTGACGAGACGCTCAACCTTGTTGCGTTGGGGGTGGGACTCGCTGAGTTTGGATGTTTTGCCGAATGAGATCTTAACATATATACTTACATTCTTAGATGTGAGCGATCTACTAACCACTTCAAGGGTATGTGTCCTTTGGTTTATACCATATTTATGACGGCAGCATTAAGCCCGGCTGGCGCGCTGAACTTTTGAGACTTTATTCAAGTCATCTTCCCGAGGCTCGTTCTCACATGTAACCTGCCCACGGATCGCTCATTTTCCCTTCACCCTCGTATCTTTCTCAGAATATTGCTTTCGTTGGAACGTTGCTGCGTGTTAACCTCGGTCAAATACGTCTCCTTTCTGAATCCTACATTCCCCACAGCGACAGCGCCTTTGAACAATACGACGTCTCGATGATCATACCGTGCTAATTGTGACAATAGATCAACCATCATTTCAGGACACTGTCCTTACACCCCATTCTACACACCCTGCGCCTCCGGCGCGCTCGCTTCTCATTACCACCTTTACTGACTTCTCCATCGCGGCCCACTCTTGCGGAACTAATCGCACGTCATATTTTCTTGACGCACACAACGCAGATCTCCCGGCGACTCGCGCGTAACCTGGTTGCTATCCGGCTATCACGGCGTCTACCATTACGTCCATCTGCCGAGACGCTAGTCCAGCGTAGTATACTTCCACCTGAGGTTGTTGAGGGTAGTGTAGCACCCGGCCTCGTAGCTAAGAAGCGTGCTGTTGAGAAAGAGAAGCTTAAAGACGGCCTTCGGCGTTGGATTGGTGCCGTCTGGCGCGGCGAAGTTAGAGAGAGGAGCGAGGGTGTTAAGAAGTGGGAAGAGCGTGCTGGTGTTGGGAGGGTGTGGCGGCTGAGGAGGTTCTGGGAGCGCGTGGGAAGGGACGCTGAGATGGCCGATGTGAGATGAATAACTCCATCTGCTATCTAGGATGAGTACCTCTCACTGTACTCGCCATCAATTCCAATTGATGGTGAGATGTTTATTTCCGTTATAACGGAGCTATTCCAAGATTGGATGATTACATGTTGTATGATTTAACGAGTTCCACAGAATTTGTTTACGGGGAGCTCATTCCCACGGGGAGTTTTACCACCCCTATCTTGGTATTATGTTGGGAAGGCGGCTGACATTCAATTGATCTAACTTGTGTACTAGGCGTTAAGGATAGGTATCGTGGTCGGAATTTCAGTCTCTTTCGCGGGGATTTTATTTTATCCCTATGGTACAATAAATATAGTAATTGGTACAAGAAGCAACTGATTATAAGTAGGTACGTAAGGCATGCCGAGCTGCAAATGCTTATTATGTACTGAAATCAACTCCCGCAACCAACCTGACGTTAACTCCTATACCAATATACTTTTTGGTAAATATAATACTCAGAAGAACGCCGTCGCGGCCCTATGCAATATGATCCCACTTTTGTTCTGTGTTGAAGAATCAATACCCGGTTCAATGCTGCTAACCTTTCACTTCCCCTCTATAACCCCTTAATCTTTTCTGATACATCCCTTTTCCCCTCACCGGAATCGAAATGCATCCCAATCATCCTCATCGTCGTCATCATCATCTTCCTCATCTTCTTCATTAATAGTATCCCCACGATTCTCCTTCCCCGCCCCTTTCACCGGGCTCTTAGCCATAACCATATCTTCCCCTTCCTTCGCAGCACCTCGTAAATTGACCATACTCGCCTTTTTCAACTCCTCGCGCCGCTCTTTGAGTCGCCGCACTCGTGTCTCGAGTTCTTCCATTTCTTCGAACTCGGCTTCGAGCGCGCGCGTTGCGTCTTCGCGCTCGTCGGCGATTTGTGCATCGAGGAGACTATCTCGCGTTCGTCGCTCGTGTTCTTCTTCGGCGGATTTCGCGGCTGCTAGCTCGGCAGCGCTGAGCGCGGGGGCGGATATTGTGGCGTCGGCGTAGGATGTTCCATTGGTTCCGTTAGTGGTATTGGTGGTGGTGTCGTTAACGACTTCAGCTTCGAAAGCGGCCCATTCGGCTTCGTCTATAGCGTTATTTGCTGTAGGTGCCTGAGGGCGAGCGGATGTGGCGGCGGCGGTAGTTGTGGTCGCGGGGATGGAAAGGGATTGTGTGGATATAGGTAAGTTCGATAATGTAGGTGTAGATGTCGAGGTTGGCGTATTCGTCGTTTCGGAGCCGATGAGCGGTGAACGGCCCATAAACGTTCCCTTAGGCGTCGATGTCGCGGAATTGGATCCCCCTGCGGGTGTGGCCGGCCGCGATGGTATCGCGATCTCGACACCTTGTATTGGGGTATTTGAGGTTCGTCGTCCGAGTAATGGCGGCGATTGGCGCTTTTCACCGCTGCCGTTGGTCGTCACAGGTGCCATATCAGGCTTGCTACGCTTCTTGCGTATGGCATCCTCGGCGACCTCGCCTTCTGCGTCGGATATGCTTTCGTTCACATCGTCGTGCTTGCGCTTCCCGGTGCCGTTCCCTTGGTTTCTTGGTGGTGTTGGCTCGTTGCTTTGGAGTGTTTGTAGTCTTTTTGTGTGATTTGCCCCTCGGATATGGCTATCCCATAGGGATTCGGTTTTTACGGGCTCGTGGCAGAGCTTACATAGGAGTTTCCCAGCGTCGGAGTATGCGGCGTGTGGATGTTTTATGCGGTTTTCGGCGCGGTGAGCGCGAAGAAGGGCTCGGGCGTCTGCCATTGTAATCGATGTAAGCGATGATGTAATTGGTGACGGATTTGAGTAGTTTTTCGAAGTTGGAGGCGCTGGTCGGCTGGTAGGTTCGGGGATATAGTTCGATTAAATGATTAATAGCTTAGTTTTTGTTTTGTTTAGGGGCTACATGAAGCTATTGTCATGGTGATCGTTTGTGGCTACACTTTTCGATTTGGCGGTTAGTTCGTCTTAATCTGTACAGAGTGGGCTGAATGCGGTGAGATTGCGGGTCAATCCGTCAGGGTTCAGCCACAGATAATTCCTCTAGCTTTTAACATGGTGCCCCGCATCCGATGGATTCTTCCCCAATTGGAGCTTCCGTTGCGGAGCAATATGGGCAACCTTGGAAAGTTGTACCCAGCTTAATTGTGTACTTCATCTTATCGATAACAAATACCACTGAATTATGAGCTGCCTACCGACCAAGCCAGCTAACTTAAGCATTTACGAAGCTACAAGACAAAAAGAACAAATTCCCGCCCCGAATTCAACCGTTATAAACAATTGGTAAATTTACACGGTCAGCACATAATACTTGAGGCTTTCATCTAGTTATTGAGTCCTTATTTTTGGTCATTTTCTAACACAACACAATGGAGGAGGAACAAGCGCAGGTGTCTTCCACCTGGCCCCCTCCGCCTCCCTTCTGGCGCGACTTTACACCAGATAACGTTGCGCGCATCAACGACTTGCGAAAAGAGCAAGCAGAAAGAGAAGGTATTGAAGATGCCTCGAAAGTTCGACTACAGGGCCCACCTCGCGGTCTACGCAACCTTCAACCCCCGCTAGAACCCGTGGATGGAGTATGGAGGGTCTTTGGTGACACATACCGATTAAATGATGAACTTCCGCGACTTGAGGATATGAACATCAGGCGCCTTTTCCCAAACCCAGAGGACAGGGATCGGGATGGAAAGCACTTTGATCGCGCACTTATTTTGAAGCGACTCGCTAAGTCACTGCTACTCAACTTTCTGGAGCTCATGGGCCTGATGGCTATCAATCCCGAGGCTGTATGTCTTTACATCCATAGCAGCATTCAAGTATTTCTCTAACCGCACTGCGTAGGCTGAAGCGAAAACTAGCGATTTACGCGACCTCTTCATTAACTTCCACCACCTTATCAACGAGTATCGACCCCACCAAGCCCGCGAATCTCTCATCTCGATGATGCAAGCGCAACTAGACCGTACACGAGCCGAAACCAATGCCATAAGAGACGCGAAGGACAAGGCCGAGCGTATAATGGAAGGACTAGGTAGCCTGAAGGTGGAAGACGAGCTTGTCAGTACCTTGACGGCACCCAAGAAAGACAAAGCATGGGCATTTGACAGCGAGACTTGGATGGCTGCTGCTGCGGATCTCTGAAGCATCCCCCTTCAAGTTTTGGGGTTCTACGGACTCTGGTGTTATTCATATTGGACTGGCGTTACTATTAGGTCGGAGTAGGGTGCTGGTATTATGGTTGATACCCTTAGATTTCCAACGAGATGAATATGAGCTGGTATAAGGAGTTTAGGACTGTATCTCCTATAAAAGTGCTTCGTTTATAGTTTACAGGGAACGGTATCCTCTAAACGAGTTTACATCAAATACAATAAATCACCTGCCTGCATATACCGATTTCGTAGGTATCATAAATCATTTATTCGTATGCTATAGCTGCCGCTGATATCGGACCCAAGCTCCTTCCCTTTACATAACGGTACAAGGGATGCAGCAGCATTCAAAGTCCCCGCAGTCAATGCATTTTGTCTTGCCTCCTGTAGCTTCAGCGGGTTTGATGATGCTTTCGATAGTCGAGGAGGCGGCACTTCCGGGACCGTTCCGGTTGACTAGGTCGTTGTGGGACGAGCCGCAAGCCATGGTTAATAGTTAATTTAGAGCTGTCTGCTATGATTTCAATTAGTCTACTTGTTATTTGAATAGGAATTGACAGGCAACCTACAAATGTGACGACGTGATATAGATGTCTCAATTTGATGTTTCTGTAGGTAATCTTGCCTTATGTCGTTGAAGAGGTATGACGGCAGGATATGTGAAAGCGGGATCTAGCGTCAAGTGGTGGAAGTTTCAGGCTTCAAGATTCGTTTGACTTACTGACTTATGTACCTGTACGTCCTCACCGACACGAAAGATGGCTGTGTAAGTACCCAAGTACTTAGGTATCTTCAAGTACCTGTCTTCGCTGCCAATCAGCTGAATGTGAAACTCGAAACCGGGAAAGGACGAAAGAGCCAAGGGAAGAGCGTCGTCATATCTGTGGGGAAGCTGGAATGGGAGTTATTAAATTGATTGGTGGGGAGTTAATATTGTTCAGCCATCTCAGCTTCCCTAACCTTAATTGGCGAGGGCACTATCCGAACCGTGACTAGCATATCCCTGACTGTGTTCTTTACAGTTCTTCGTTATCCCCCCCCAAGTATCCTGGCATCTTAGCTTTCAATCGCAAGGCTCTCCCATCGTGTTTGTCACTCATTGGTATTCACCTTTGACTATACTCTGCAGACACCGACACATGTCAATATACGGAAACAAATTACTTATTAACTACCGCAAATGAATACTACGCATTAAATGTAGTTGTCTTCATCTCACTTCTCTTTTTTATCGTACCTGAAGCATAGAGGACTCCCCTTCCGTTTGTCCCAACATATACTTGTCCCGCTGTGTTTCCGCTACCAGCTACTTTAGCACTGTCAATGGAACCGAACCCCTGGCTCCCCTGGATATCTGTCCAAGAAGCACCCTCATCTGCACTGCCATAGAGCTTGGCACCCGCGGATCCTGTACCGAACGCGTACACGTTCCAAGTGCTCCCTGATCCCTTTCCAAGAGCAATCTGGTATGTGTTCTTCAGAGTGGTACCAGCCTGTTTGAAGGAAGAACCAAAGTCCGTCGAGTGGAAAACGCCTATGTCGGTCGAAACCCAAACATCACCCGCTTTGGTCGGATTAGCAGCAATGTCGCGGACTGCGGTGGCACTGCCTAGGGCGCCAGCCTTGGAGAACGATGATCCAGTGTTGGTGCTGACATAGAAGCTCGCTCCAGAACCACCGTAAAATACCGTGTTGTTCTGCTTGTCTGAAGCAATTACGGCGCCGGAGGGAAGGCTGGATACTGCCGAGAAAGTGCCCTGTTTCTGGGAACGCTGCACCCCGCTCGTCGAAGTTGACCATACAACCGTGTCTGCATTGGCGGAATAGGCTACGGTACCGCCATTCGTATTGTTGTCCGCTGCTGGGTGGACGTTCCAGGTTGCTCCACCGTCGCTTGAGAGTGCGGCCTGTTGCGATCCGGCAGAATTACCAATACGGACAATATTCTTCACAGCTGTTCCGGCGTAGTCGACGCTAGAGGATGTTGACCAGATCGGATTCATCCAAGGTGTGCTAGGAGACGTCTTCAAACTTGCTGTGTCCTTGAAGGTGAACCCGCTGTCGTCTCCCACTGCAGCAAGTAGCTCGCTTCCTCCAGGTGCCGAAACAACATCCTGAACAGAGAACTCTTCGATGCCATCGGCAAGCGACTGAATCGATACCTTATGAGTCGTATCCCATCTCGTTAGGTCGTGACCCCCAAACACAGTCAAACCGGTAGAGTAGAGCCAGTGGTCACTATCCAGAGGGTTGATAACCAATGCTTCAATCATCCATCCGAGATCTTTTGTATCGGTATCGAGGAAGCCTGTCTTTATCCATGGAGCTTTTGGTGTCTGATAAACCAATATTAGTTTGAATAACTAGGTGACGTTTAGCTAGGCCACCTACCGTTTGCGCGTAATACAGGTTCTGATCCGGATAGTTACCCCACGACCAAATTTTGGACCAGGTAGTACCCGAGTCGTTCGATCTAAAGATCTGTGCATCTGGCCACCACGAATTCAAGGTCGCGACAACAATCGTCCCGGGTTTCTGCATATCCACACCCAGCCCACCAAACCCGAAATACAGGTCACTCCCGGAGGCAGGTGTGATGTCTTTCCACGTGGCTGCGGCGATATCATATCGGTACACGGCGCCTAATGTTCCATCATAAGGACCCGTTCCATCACTATATGTTAGGTACAGAGCCTTCTCCTTTGGCTGCAGAACACACTTGTGTGGGAAATAGGTACCTGGTTGTCCCTTAACGAGATTCCACGTAGCACCTGCGTCTTCAGACACATAGACGCTCGCAGTCGTGTTGTCGGCCGTACCAACGAAAATTCTCTTTGTAGCACCGCCCGTCGTGCCACTAGTGGAGTCGAAAGTCACGAAGGCGAGTCCTTGCTTATCACTATTGTACCCATTGGTATCTTTAGGGTCAGGGATGAAAGTTCCCACAGCTGTGAATGAAGAGACTTTGGTGAATGTCTCACCACCATCCGTACTCTTCCAAAGTCCGTTTCCGCTGCGAGCACCGAAGTATAGAATCTTAGAGTTGGCTGGGTCGACTGCTAGACGCTCACCCATTCCACGGCCCGGCATGTTACCGCCGATTTTGAAAGAAAGATTGGTGGTTTTCCACGTAGCACCTTTATCACTACTGCGGATGATAGAGCCAGGTTTCGGGTCCCTACGACGGTATTAGTGGTACTAAGCCAAGTTGTCCTGCCCAGGCGGCGACGTACCAATCATTGGTATACATGCCCACGGAAGCATATACCGCATTCTCGTTCTGCGGATCGAGAGCAAGGGCATCAACACCCCAGTTATGCCAGTTGTCATTGTCAGTAATACCATCCGTTATGGCCGTCCATGAGTCGTCGCGCGAATTAAGTCGGTATAAACCACCGATATCTGTCCGGGCGTACGCGACTCCCTTCGCCGTCGGGTGGAAGACGATACCGGGGACGAAACCACCACCTCCACCTATCTTCACGTTCTGCCACGTGAAGGCGGCTGAAGCTACAGCCGCAGCCGCTAACAGCTGTATCAACGCGAAAAACTTCATCGCCAATATTGGTATTTATTAACTTGGGACGTTTCCAATTAGCACCGACAAGGCGGCTCTGCGTACCAAATACTCGACCTCGCGCGGATATGCATAGCCATTTATATTCATTTGTGCGCAAATTGTCCAATTTGTACCTTGCGCGTGGCAAGTCGCGCGATGTTACCTTAGTGAAGCTTTTCCGGGGTCTATCTCCCCAGAGTATATTAAATTGCTCCCGTCGTCTAGACGAGGTTGAAAGCCGCAATTCTATAAGTACTAGTCCACCGCCCCAGCTCGAACTGGATTCCCTTTTCGCAAACCAGCGGAGGTTGCGTCGCGACCAGGTAAAATCAGGTGGGGAACGCGTACCATCTGGCTCGGTAGCTCGGTCGATTTTCCCCGCGAATAGAATGGCCTCCCTGGGCAGGATTCGTCCCGATTTGGTAGGGAGCTTTAGCTTCCGCCGCGCTGGGTTCCCCTTGCTGACTCGTCGTCTTGCTGGACGGGTTTAGGCTCGATGGGCCGACTAGTCTGGGGTTTGACATTAATAGAGATCCTATTACATACTGTTTGGTTGTGAGTTAGTTTTTTATTTTTCAAATTGTTACCTTTTCCTTTTGAACGCGTAATGCATATCACACAAGTCTAGTTGTGATAACTCTGTCACCTAAACATTTTATATCTCAATGATTTATTACTAAATTTATTAATGCAATTCTAATTAAGCGAAGGAGTGATAGTGAGTAACATCTATGTCTTCGAGATTAAATATCCGCTTCGCCACAGTCATAAGTGCTCATTCGCTCTTGCAGCATATTCTCAAGGACCTCGATTAGCTGGGACATCGAAATAGTCAAAGCACCGACAATGCTGTCGGGCTCCAACCGGCCTTCGCGCGAATACACATCGCCAACGATAGTTTTAGCCAGGGTCTCGACGTCTCGACCGTTCACCCACCCCTTTGTGTGGCTGAGCTTCGCGAAGAGTTGGTGAACTTGTTCATCGTTGTCTTGTCCCGGAACCTCCTCGTTTACGATGTCAATATTGAGCTTCTGGACCTCATTTCTTAGATGGACTAAGCACGAATGCGGGTCCATATGAGGGAACGCGACATGCGTCGCAAATCTACTCCGAAGACCCTGGTTCATGCGAAGCAAGTACTCCATTTCTTCGGTGTAACCAGCTAAGATGACGACCATGTTACCCGCATAGCGCGGCTTAGTCATAGCGTCGACAAGCTCGCCAACAGCTTCACTATGGTAACCACCTTTGCTTCCAGTCCCGATTAAGCGATAGGCTTCATCAATAAAGAGGACCTTTCCAAGACCCAGCTCGAGATTGCTGATAACTTTAGGGCCTGTCTGCCCCATACACTCTCCGATTAAATCCGTTACCGAGCATATAACGACTTCATCGGTGGATAGCAAGCCCATATCATAATAGAGGCGACCAATCTTCCGTGCAGTTGATGTTTTTCCGGTACCAGGTGGGCCCTTGAAGATGAACGCCCAAGGAATATGCGGCCTTGGATCTATATCGTGTCGCCGCATTCCTACTGCTAGTCCCTGGTATCTCTTGAATCGATCAACAATCTCCTCGAAACCTACAAAGCCCTCAAAGAGAGTCTTGCGGCTTTTGTCGGCGTTGGAAGCACGATCATAATCCGGGTCGAAGTCGGCCGGGTCCAGGACCATCTGGGAGCCACTGAGGTTGAATGAAGAACTTTGTTTTGTCCGTGCTACATATCGGGTCTTTGCCCTAGACAACAGATTTTCGACGTCGCCACCATTGCCAAATTTAGGATTAATCCGCATACGCCGTAACACTTCGCGAGAGACCTTCCTAGCACTTTCTGTCATTTTAATCTCATTTTCGGCCATTTTTAAGTCCAGGATATCACATAGACGGTCCTCGCTATACGGTTTGATGCATATAGCGCTCTCCATGGGAAATCGTCTCTGTAGTCCAGGGTTGGTGTTGTTGAAGAATTCTCGCATTTTATCCTCGTATCCAACAAGAATGATACACCTATCTTCCCCTGGATCCGCAGACGTATTGGCAACGAGAGTGTCGACGGCGGCCTGGCGGAATACATCTGAATCGTCCGTCCCATGGCCGGTGCCTTGGTACAGCATGTGTGCATCGTCAATAATTAGGACTTTGCCTTGAGAATCTCTGAGTATTCCCCTCGTACGTTGCTCCGTGTGTCCTATGTATTGACCTATTAGATCACCGCCATTCCGTACCATAATATCCTTTTTCGAAACCAGCCCCAGGTCAGCTATAATCTGACCATACAGTTTAGCAACTGTTGTTTTGCCTGCCCCGGGCGGACCAAGAAACAACCGGTTCAAATTCACTTTAGTTGGTTTCTTCCCCTGGAGTTCACATTCGCGTTTCATTTGAGCGAAGTCAAAAAGTTGGATGACTTCACTCTTGACTTTCTCTAGCCCTATCATAGCTTTGATTGCTTTCCAAGAGGCATTTTCGTCTAGTTCATCTTTCGGAGTCGGTCCAGCGATGTCTTCCCTGGTAAGAAGCCGTTGATTATGCTCACTATCTCCGGGTCCCCGTAGCCACAAAGCTTGGCGTCTACACACCTTATCGAATTCATCTTTTATAGCGCGAGCATTGGTAGCCATCAGTGCTTCCGAAGGTGTACTCGACATAATTCGTCGAATTAGGACTCGGAGGCTATTATCATCAAACCCGCCCTGAACCTCCACGTCTCTTTTCTTGAACATGTAAATGAGTAGTCTCATTAGCTCACCGTCCGTGTAGTCCTGAAAAATCATAGGGGTTTCAAGTTGTTGGATGGCTTTCTCACTCCCATCTATTAACTTCAGCACGGAATCTTTCTTAACGACTTCTGAACGGCGGATAGGCATTGCACCCCCAAATGATATAATGAAGGGAGGCTCTTCCGGAAAAGTTTCCTCGGAAATGATTATCAACACGACTCGTTCTAGTCGTTTTTTTACTACTTCCAAAAGCTTTTCTACGTCTTCCGAGTTTGAAAAACAGTCGTGGTTGCAGATCATCACCTATAACCCATTAATTTACGAATTGTAATAGAGGGTTATAATATCAACGTACCGTTGCTTCAACTTTCGGCGCGACTTTTTTGGGGGGGCGTTCGGTTTTCGAAAGGACTCCAACCACCACCATCATCATCATCACCATACTCTCTCAGCCAATACGGCGATTCTCCCCATGCGGAATCGAAAGAATACCATTGAACTTGGTACTCCTTCATAACCCCTAGGGAATGTAAAAATGATGCGTAAATACTAGGAACGGTTTTCTTCCCTGTTCTCATTAAGTCATAATCGCTTTTAAATGTTAAAATTGTGCTGCAAGACTCATGACACTCACCCATTCCTGATCTGCCGTGGAGAATTAAATGGAAGCGTAGTCCTTGAAAGTCCGGATCACTGGCATTGTCGGCTTTGGCGGCCTTTACTTTAGTGTTAATGGCGAGAAAATGGGCCTTGACTTCCTCCAAACCAACCATCGACATGATTTGGTCTAGGTGCGGATTGTCCTCGTTCTCTTCTCGTTTTTGCCTCGCCCATTCTTACCTTGATGGAGAGTCATCCTCAATGTCCTCTGGTTTCATGTCGTCCACGAGCAGCGATATCGATGGCGCCGGTGGCGTCGGTGGCGATGCATCGTCGGTCTTGGTGTTAACCTCGTCCTCGAAAACTTTCTCCATGTCTTTAGGGAATACTACCGACTTCCAACTAATAGATTTAGGGGTTAGCAATTGCTAATCAGGGCAAATTAAGTATATCTTTTAAGCGCGATAGAATATTGCGCTCAGTGAATGCTACAGATGGCAAGGGCTTGGGGGTACTGGATAGAATACTTACGCTGCGCGAAATTGTCGAATAGATCGGCTAGATTCCTTGGGCGCATCTTTTATAGCCTCCTTGTCCTTCTCGTCCTCCGACACAACTTCGTCTTTCTCCGAACTTTCCTCGGAATTGTTCTTGTTCTTTTCTGCTTTGAATGCATCCCGCACGATATCCTCAACGAGAGGCTTTATGTCTTTCACATCGACAACAGTCAAAGTGTTGTCTTTCTTGGGGGTGTTTTCCTCGATTGGCGCCATGCTGTATCAATAGCCTTGATCTTTGTGTGGATGAGGTGCGGATGGGAAAATGTAGGAGTTGTTCCTCGAATGGTAGGAAATGGGTGCCATTAAATGCACGTTCCAAGCGGCAACCGATGGAGCAATAGGAGCCTTAATCACCTGGACAAGCTCGAGTCCCTAGCAAACAGTGAGTGTATGATGGCAAACGAACTTTTGCCGATTCATTAGTATGCTGTGATGCTACGAGATGTTTGACCCCAGGTTGGAATGATTTCTAACGCATTGCCTGACTTGCCAGTCTCGAGGTTCTAAGTAATAGATTAAAATCAAATATACACCCAAACACTCCTCAAATGACTATACTTAAGTACATCGTATAAAACATCAAATTAACCTATATTTCTCCTCCATCCTCCCCCCAAGATTCTTCGTCGTTCTTGTCCTCTATATATCGCCACGCGAAGGATATTAAACCCCTGCTATCATGACACGCCCCTCACTGATGTTTTCGTACTTTGAGAAGCTGCACAATACTTTACATACTTTCGTTTTAATGAGTTATAAGTAGGACAAGCCAACTGATTTATTGATGGTTTATTCACTGTTGGGGGGGCGTAGTAAATTACATTCATGCTGCTGATGCCAACCCATGTAGTAGCCAGAGATAGTGTGTTAATCCCACTTCAACAATTTAATTTACAGATATTCCTAGCCCATGCTATTAAGGTATAAGTAAAGGTAGATTATGTGATTCCCGACCCCTGAGATGATGTATTGAAAAATCCGATATTGGTAGGGCTGGGGTGGAGGGTGTCTAGAATTAGGAAGTAACTCGAGGAGGGACAGATTCGGAAAATCGGTACACGTGAATTTGTCCGGTGCTTGTGCAGACTATAACCTTATGGCCAAAGATACCGCAACAAGCGGGGCTGAACTTCTTCGGGAGAAAGAGGGCTTTTCTGTCATACCACATGACCCACTCCCCATCTTCACCCTTATTGCGGCTACGCCGATAAGGGCACCAAGGAGGGGCCCGAGCTGATCTTAAGGAGGGATTGCTGAGTGCTTTCGCTCCATAAGGGGTCATGACGTGACTAGGAGAGCGGCTATCGAACCACATCTTGTAAATGGACTGCCTGGTCTGAACGGATCCCAACCGCAGGCCGCTTGCCATGCCCCAGGTTTTAATAGTTTTATCGAGTCCCGCCGAAATGACCCTCATCGAATCAGGAGTAACGAGGACGCTTGTGACGCAGTCATCGTGGCCTTCCAGCGTGTGTTTCGGAAACCAGCCACTCTTGTCATCCTTTTGCGCCCATATCAAGACCTTTTTATTATCGCCACACGTCACAATGTACTTCCCATTGGGAGAAAATGCGACACCATTGGCACTATCTCCATGTTTAAGGATATGCGGCTTTTGCTTGTCCTCGCCTCCTATCTTCCATATGCAAATGGTGCCGTCCTGTGAAGCCGAGGCTACGTAGTCTTCGTTCGGTGACCAAGTGGAGAATCTGACCCAACGCGAATGGCCTTGGAACAAGTGTAGTCGCTTGCCTGTTTTGATATCGCAGACGCTTATGCTGGCATCCATACTAGAAGAAAGTAGCATCGTCCCATGTTTCGGTGAAAAAGAGACAGACATTATGTCACCTTTCTGTCCAGTTTCCATTCGCAGTTCGAGAGGTCGATTCGTCTCGGTATCCCAGAGAAATACACTCCCACCGTCCCGGCCCACGGCTAAGGTCTTACCGTCAGGGCTAAGAGCTAGGTCCTTAGGTTCCCATGCTTCTACTTTTTCGACTGGTTCCAATTCTTCTGGATCTGGAGTCACCGGGGGGTGCCAAAGTATTACGTTGGTACCTGGGTGACTCGTTCCGGTGGCAAGGCAAGGGTAATTTCCGTTTCGCACAAGAGCCATGCTGCATAGTTCTTGGCTTTGCGAACCCATCACTTGCACGTGTTCCCCAGTCACAGAATCCCAGATATCAATAGCATGGTTTGTACAGGAAGCGAGATATGTATAGCCATTGGCAACGAAGAAGACAACAGAGTGTACTTGGCCATGGCGTGCATCGAGGGGTTCACGTGCTTTGAAAGTACGCTCCTTTGCGTTCAACTCCCAGATCCGAATAGTGCCGTCGTAGGATCCGGAAGCAAGGAGTGTTGAATCAGGCGAAAATGCAATAGAATGCACATCACCTTCGTGACCACATAGAGTAAATAGCGGCTCAAGAGCTCTCCCTTTCTGCTCTACATCCCATACTCTAACCTTGTTGTCAACTGTGCTCGTAGCTAGCAGGCTCCCACCTGGACTGAAGGCCACGCTCATCACTGTGTCTGAATGGCAAATATCAAAACTTTTGAAGGTGCCGGTTTTGGGTGTTTCGCTGTCGAGATCCCATATCCTAACGATCGAAGAAGACGTTGCCGCAAGTTTGCTTCCGTCGTCCGAGAAGCAAATTGAATATGACCCCTGTAATGGGATTCTTTTCACTTCGCGCCCCGTGTCTAAGTCCCACATGATGACCGGGGAGTCATCGTCAGTGCTGGTAGCGGCGGCAAGAATTCCCCGGCTAGAGATGGCGAGGTTCATGATCCACCCATTCCATACGTTATCTGTATGTTGCATAGTTCCCGTTTCAGCATCCCAAATGCATAGAGTCCCGTCCTCAGAACTAGAAGCTATGATTTTTCCGTCTGGAGAAGCCGCGACGGATAGCCACTCGGGGTTATAAGCGCGGTGACGGAACGACGCGAAGTCATGACCCCACCGTCGGCCCATAGCTGGCGGAGATTCGAGCCAAGGTAGAACATCTTTTATCCACATTTTTCTAATGATACTTTCTGTAGGACAAAATGCAAGCGTATTATAGGCATGGACATACTTGGGGCTGTTGACTGATTGATGGAGCCGAAGGAAAAGGTGGGCGTCTCGGATACCGGCGGCTAACGAATCCTTCGTGGCTGACCCATTGGACTGAGTATGTCCGTTAGTAAGCATAGGCTGTAGACTTCGCGTTCTTCGCCGTAAAGACAGATCCAGGCCCCTCAGTTTCGCTACCGCCTCTGGCAGCTCCCCTCGCAAGACTACTTCGTCAACCCAAGCCATAAAGTGGTTCTGGAGGAACCAATAAATCTTCTTGCGCAACCCATCGTCTCTATCGATATTTCGCGCGTCGGAAAGATGCGTTATCCAGTTGAGGGTGGAATAGTGGCTAGCGTTAGCTTCCGTTGGACTAGAACCATTCACACCGATGTGTTGGGACCTAACCGCATGATTGTTCTTGCTAAGAACCTGTCCAATGAAATCGACACAATTCTGTGCAATCTCTATGTGTCGCTGAGTCAGCGTAGCGGTATTGTCAAAGAGTCGTTTATGGATAAAAGCCTTTGCTGCTTGGTGAACAAACCAGACTCGCCGGCCGTCAGTATGGAGGAATACGGAGCATTTCGTCAGCAAATTCACCAAATCGACTCTTTTCCCCAATTTCGCTAGGGCGTGTAACTCGTCAATCTGTAGTGTATCGTGCACAAGTGCCATCGTCGAGAGAACTTTGGTACAAAGTTCTATACCCCGACGTGGGAGCATTTCAAGCGTCTTGAACATGTACTCGTAAAGGCCATCCAAAGACAATTGTCTTACATCATGCAGGAGGTCGATCGCATTCCACGTCTCTTCGGAGCGCAAGGCTTCGCAGACAATATCCACCCACAGGTAATTGCCCTGCGACGACCGAAATACGCCCCCGATGACCGCCTTCTCAAGCTCTTCGTCGTACTTCTTGACTTTGGCTAAATCAGCCACCTTAGCAGCTATGTAATCGAAGATGATTTTCTTTGTGCCCAACAAGCCTTGACCTAGGTTGACATAGCTGCTGTTCAAAAAGGCCAACTCGAAACGCTCCGAATCATCGCTTGAAACAAGCCATTTTATATCGCTGGATAACTTCATAGACCTAGCGATTAATGCTAGAAGGTCATCAACTCCGGAGGTGCATTCTTCGAGAGCATCGATAACGATATATGTTTTCGCTAGGCGCGTGTCTCTTATTATGTCGTAGAAAATTGAAGACAACGCCAGGAAGTCATTATCATCGTTGAAGTGTCGGCGGCCAAGTGCATTAACCTTCTCCGATAGGTGGGTAGACAGCTCTGGCTGGTTCACGAGGATAAGCCATATAATTGTTTTTAGGGCTTTCACTGGGTTGGTAAAACCTTGCTTCGTGTGGTCAAAGCGAAAGAACGCCAAAAATTGGCGGTTGGATTGATCTTGGATTTCTACTGGGAACAGCGCCCGTATGATTCCTGTAAGAAGCATGTCCTTCCCCTGGCCAGGCTCCCCGCGGATCCACAGTAGCTGGTTCCCCGACCCTGAAAAAGTACTCCAGCTCAGAAAAGACTTATACTCTTTAGTCGAAAGGAGTATCTGGTAGAGCTGGTATTCCGGACGGCTAGGGCTACCTTCAACAGGGATGCTAAGCCTAGGATCGGATACGTCGAGGTCATTAAGCAGCTGCGCATTCTTCCCCGAAGGCCCCGGCCGCTCAGCTTCAGGAGATGGTTTGCGTGGTTCTATGTTGATATCCCTCCATAGCACTTCGAGAGGTTCTTGTACACGTTCTTTGTTGAAGACTGGTAGGGTATTTTCCGCCTCGATCAGCATCTTCAGCCCCGCCCGCCGAAATTCAAAGAAGAGAACGCTGGGCGTTGTAAACGTAAGGCTTCCAAGATGGGAACACACGATCGTCATCAAATAAGACAGAATAGCCTTATATAGCGACGTAATCCCTTGCTTGAGTTCTGAGGGTACCGTGCCATATTTTGCTTCGTAGAGCATCTTTGGCAAATGGCAGTACCATTCCATCCTTGATATGATGTGTATAAGACCCTTGCTATCATCTTCATCTTCTGCTTTAACGGGATTGAGAATAACCTAATTTTATGTGAGTAAGTGGGATGCGAAAATGACGATTCAAAAAAAAAAAAAACATACCTTTGACGCCGCGTAACAAATAGCAACCCACGCAAGTACCGCTTCCGTCGTTGTCATCGATTCCGTGTTCTTGACGATATCGACTAGAGATGCGTCCTCCTGGCGACCCCCTTCATCTCTCTCTCGGAGCCAAAGATAGAGTAGCTTCTCCATTTGATTACGCCTAGTTCCCCTATTTTGTTGATCGATCAAGTTCGTGAAGATATCGGATGGTGGGCTTTGTGGCGACAACTCCGAAACAGACTCCTCCAAACATCGAGATAGAATTGTCTCGTACCAGGAAACTAAAATGGAGCTTCTCATACGGAGAGACTCATACGCCTCGTCCCAAAGCGACTCTCGTGGCGTTTCAGTACCGGAGAGCGGCAGTGAAGGTGTTTCGAGCGGCCTTTCCGACACATTACTCGAACTAGGATGTGATACTATCGCTGGTTCCTTCGGAGATTGTTCTGAGATATTTATTGGGGGTTGTTTAGTCTCGTCTTGCTGGTCTGTCACTGTGGCTGGCTCTGTGACTGGTTCTATGTTTGGTTCCGTGGAATTTTCTCCAGCTAGGTCCGTGGCTAATTCTTCGGATATCTCCACAATCGGCTCTGTAGCAGGCTTTGCACGCGGTTCTGCTGCTGGATCTGTGGCTATTTCGGTAATTGGTGCTGTGTCCAACTTCGTGTCGGGATCTGTAGCAGACTCTTCAACCGATCCGGTAGGTATTTCCGCCGGCTGTTCTGTGATTGGTTCCGCGGATGGTCCTGCTAGTTGGCTTTCCACTGTGTCTGCTACCGCCTCCGCTACTAGCCTTTCAAGTGACTCTGGAACCGGTTCTAAAGCTTGTTCTGTTACCGATTTTGTTGACGGCTGTGGGGTTGAATCTACATTTAGCTCTGTAACTGGTTCTGCAACTGACTCAATATCTTGCTCTGGTAATGTCTCTGCTACATGTCCCGTTGACGGATCTGTTTCCAGTTCCTTAGTCGGTTCTGCCACTGGTTCGGCGTTTCGTTCTGTGGTTTGCTCTGGCACCGGCTCTGCCACTGGTTGTTCTGCCGATGGTTCCGTAGTTGGTTCCGTATGAGGTTCTGTAGCAGACCCTGCTACCGTGTCTGATAATGGTTGTGCAGCCAATTCTGTTATTGGTTCTGTTGCCGATTTTTTAAGTGGTTTTATGATTGGCTCTGTAACTGGCTCTGTAAAAGACCTTATGAGTGTCTGTGTAGGCTCTGTTCGTGGTATGTTTTCAGTCGGTGAGGTAGGTTTGTTCAAGCTGTCGGTGTCTGTTTCGATGGATCGAGCTGCTAGACTTGCAGCTGGGGTTGCGCGGCTTCCTCGACGAAGATCAAGACTCCGTGAGACGTCATCCTCAAGAGGTGACGGAGTCTCGCTGTCCCGCCTTATGATTTTGACCAAATTTGCCGCTGCTTTCCACATCGTTCTCGGCTTCTTCCCACCCCGATTATCCATCTTTAGGGTATCTCGCTTGCGGGTATGCTCTAGGTTCAATTTTCAGTATTAGCACAATTAGACTGGTGTACTGACAAGCTTACCTGTTTATATCGACAGAGATTTGAATGTGTTCGACCAACCAAATGTCCGCAATCATCGTGCATGTATACGAAATACTGTCCAATCATAGCACTCTCACTTCGGATTACTAGTGCTTTCGTGGGGACGAAGCTATGGCTGAAATTGCACGCAATTAATCGAAGGCGGCTCCGTTGGCTCGCCAGGGACGTGTTGTTTTAATATTGTTTTGGCTTGGGCATCCATATTGGAAATTGTGATGTTCTTCATTGACGTGTCGCATCGCAGCTGGCTACTAAACTGCGAAAAGCCAGCGTGTAAGGATCTAAGTTGTTAGGTAATTGGTTCAAGATATTAGAATGCCTCGTGCTCCTGTGTAAAGTCATCTTTTTCTATATCCGTAATGCCTGTGACTTGCAGGTCTTTTCTCTTATATATGCTTGGTCCGCGTGGATACTCCAATTCCACACAGTCTTAGTTGGACGTTCTGCCATCGTCTTGAAACCTGTTTAAGGGTCCTAGGCCTAAGAATGAGGCCCGTACCCCTTAAATGTATGGACAACAACACTATTATAGCAATTGCAGTGGCTGTTGCGATCCCCATTTTTCTGGTTGCTAGCTGACCATGGTTCACTGACTTGGCCTAAGACAACCATGGCTAGCTCTCGACTGAAAATCGGAATACATCGCATGAATCCGATAAGCCGGAAAAGCGCGGGGGAAACAGCGGGAGCTCTCGCCATCCGACATAGACGATCGCAGCGAGAGCGAAGGCATTATTCGCAGGTACCGGGTCGAACGTCAGGTTCAATGTCGATGATGATGGAAAGATGGCTAGTTCATGATATTGTCGAGTTATTCTACGACGAAAGCGGGGGTGGCGTGTCAAAGGTACGTGGCGTTATTACTCAGCGACATAGGCAGGAATCTTAAGCTGGAAAATTCGAAGAAATCTTTCAACCCAGGCGCCGTCTAGGTGAGAATTATTCACCAGTAGATGGAATTGTTGATGAACAGTCTATCTCACTATCTTAATGCTTCTAGAATTTCAGGAAATTGCTTGGAAAAAAAAACACACCGTCCAGTCTTGTCCGGTTAGCCTACCAAGTTTCAAAAGCAAAAGAGTGAAAAGATCGTCTGTCCCAACCTCCCGCCCATAAATCGTTTCGCGACAGTTCGATACATTTCGTCAAGCCTTTCAAAAAGCTTCACTTATTATCCACCTAGGACCATTTATTGGTACCATGATGTCTAACAATAGACCTGGGATTTAACACGATTTTCTGCAATTACTGATGTTACTGATCATCAACATGTGCACCTACCTAGCTAAGTTACTCCGCCGTGAAGGCGGGTTAATTAATTCGGGATCGTCAAAATTATTTCCACTTTCGGCCACCAAACTACCTTATCTCCGGAACCATTAACTCCAGAACCGCTTAGCTCCGGTATACCTGACCGGACTCCTGGGAAGTCTCCGTTAGTGTCGTCGCCGAGTCACTATCTAAGCAGTTAAACAGCGCGGCGACGACACTTTATAGATGAGTTCTGCCGTCTCCGTTGAATCGGCTGCTAGAATCCGACCGACTGGGACGCCGGGGGAGATCTTTTCCAGAGTTGGCAGTTTATTTACAATGGATACGGAGATACGACATGATGCGTTTTCTATATATCTCTCTTCGTCTTCGTCTCTTACTTCGATATAGATGTATTGCTAAAGCATATCCCATTTGAAGCTTCTGCCTCTCATCCTTTCCCTGGAACATTATAGCTCGTCTACTTAGCAATTCTAGCTTTATATAGGTACAACCTTCATCCACATCCAACAATGCCTTCCATCAAGAACCAACACATCCTCATAATCGGAGGCTCCTCTGGCATAGGCGCAGGAGTCGCTAAACTCGCCGCCACCGACGGCGTCCACGTCTCCATCGCCTCGTCGAGCCCAACACGCGTCGAAGCCGCCGTCAAAAAGCTCCAAGACGCGGTCCCGGGCGCCCAGATCCGGGGCTACGTATGCGACGTCAAAGACAACGACGTAGAGTCCAACCTCGAGAAGCTATTCTCCGACGTCAACACCGCGGCGGGCGGACAGTTACTCGATCATATCGTATACACCGCAGCTCGTTTCGAATTCCGACCTCTCGCGAGTGTATCGCGGGATTATTTGAGGGATAGCACGCAGTATACTTATGTCGTGCCTTCGCTTATTGCGAAGCTGTCGCATAAGTATGTTAAGCAGAGTACTTCCTCGTCGCTTATTTTCACGAGCGGACGTGTCGCCGATAGGCCTATGAAGGGCGGCGCTATTGGTTCCGGCGTGAGCGCGGCTATAATCGGACTTGGACGTGGGTTGGCTCTGGATCTAGCCCCCGTGCGCGTGAATGTTGTTAGTCCTGGCGCTACGAACACGGAAATGTTTGGGAGCGGTGAGCAGCGAGAAATGCTAGTTTCTGGAATAGCTAAGACGGCACTGTTGGGCAAAGTTGGGACCCCTGAGGAAGTGGCTGAGGCGTATATCTACCTCATGAAGGACACCAACGCTACAGGGAGTGTGGTTAGATCGGATGGGGGTGTCCTAGTCCAGCCGGAAGAGACCATAAAGCTGTTTGATTAGGAATGATGGCTTGGAAGTTCACATCACTTATCTTGAACTTCCTAATCTCGGATATTAAGTGGACCACTCCTCTCATGTATTACTTACAATTTGTCTTAATATCTTCGTTCTAGGAAGGGGAATTAAGTACGTATGTGGCCTTCTACTTGAAGCTTTAGTCTTGGTGGTCGAGCTCATCCCATTATAGTAGGATAAAAAAGGGGTAAGACAAAAACTAAAATTTCGTAAACCCTCACCGGAAATTAAGAGAAATCATCACACAACCCCGTAAAATTAAATCCCCAAAAAGAAAATAAAAATGTCGACGTGGGCCCGATTCGAACGGACGCTCCCGAAGGAACAAGATTACAGAATTTCAAAGAGATTCTAGTCTTGCGCGTTAGACCACTCCGCCACCACGCCTTAGAACAGACACTGTATCGTACTGTGAAGTAAGGGCTTCTAATTGAGTACTATATGACCAAGCAGGTAAGAGCCCCATTTAAATAGGTGGCCCACCAATGAGATAAGCGGGTACGCCTTTGCTATTATCAAACACCTGAAGATAGCTCCATTTACTTCCACTTACGAAACGCGCGATTGGAAGAATTTCCATCTAAAAATAGTTTCCGTCTATAGCATGGGTAGAGAAATCTACGGTTACAATATCATCGAAACAAGATTCGTAGTGAAAGTTCTTTTTAGCATACTGTGAGCAATGTATCCTCGTTGATTGTTTTAAAATCGTCCCTACCAAAATTTTTAAAACACCAGCTACGCAAAGTCGAGGATTCCTCTTGGTGACCTGGATATCTCTACGTACTTGGGCATGAACTTTTCAGTTTTATCATCACATTCAGATATTTATCATGACTAAATTGTTATTATTGAACTTCCACATCATCATATACCATCACAATTTACTCAGCTCGTCTTCTACCGAACCCGAAACCCACCGTCATATTAACATCCACTCACATACCAACAGTCACTCAATTACAAATTTCAAAACCTAATACACTTGCACAAAAGAGAAAATGCGTGCCATTCATACAACACCCAATGCTGTGAGGCTTAAGTAAAGGTACAACAATGTGGACGCCTTCGTTTTCCAGCCTTGACCTAGCAACCCCACCCTTTTAAAGCTACAGCAGTTTAATAGTAGAAAAAAAGCCATGAACCCCTCCTCCACGGGGTAAAATGTCCGGCCTAATAGAAGCCAAATAACCGCCTGCATAACGTACATTGCAATGCTTGTTGATGGTATCTCTTCCACGATCCAGCCTAGCTATTCCGCACTACTGATGCGGACCACCTCCTCGTGGTCTCTTGGCGCCGCTACCCACCTCCGAATCTCCCCTAGGTCGTTTGTTTCCAGGTTGGAAGTTATCAGCTCCAGGATTGAGGCTATTCCTGCCCTGCGCACCCCCGCGGCCTCCACGCCCCGCTGCTCCGCCGCGAGCACCACCGCGTGCCTGATTAGGTCCGCTTGGCCTGCGAATACCTGTCGTCGGCATTGGAAGACCTGTAACCTTAGCCGGAAGCTGTGCTCCAGCCGGGGGTTGGCCAAATGGGTGAGAAGCTGGACCACCTTGAGAGACTGGTTGTTGGGAAGGTTGTCCGAAAGGGTTCGGACCCGCAGGCGCCGGCTGTGACTGTTCGTTCTTAACGTTTGCAAATGGATTGACTGGCGCTGGGACATTGTTTGCCACCCCTAGTTTGGGTATACCGCTTGTCTGGGGATTCGTAGTTGCACTGGCAGCTGTAGACTGGGCAGGAGCTGAGAGGTTGTTAGCATGTAACGTTCGAGCGACTGGGTAGTGACTAGACTTGCCTATTGTAGCATTCGCTGTCGCCGGAGCAGCTGATGAATTGGTAGTAGCTGGTTTCGGTGCTGGCGGCAATGTTACCTCTTTGGCAATTTCCCATACTTCCACGACTGGGCGTTGCGGTGTGTCTTTCGCAGCGGTCTCCACAACGGTCAACTTAGCGGCAGCAAGCTGACTTCTCTTTTCAGTCATGTTGAGTTTCACGTGGCTCTTAGTAGTAGCCAACTGAGTAGCTTGCTCGCGTGCTTGGGCTATCTTCTGCTCCCACTCTGTCTTCTGTGCCTCTTGCTCTTCGCGTACCTTCTTCGTCTCGAGTGCGAGTTTGTTTTTGATGTTGTTCTGAATGATACTCTTAATTGTAGCATTGGTAGAAACAAGATCCCTTATCTCCTTATCATTAAGTGAGCTGAAGTCGGCAATGGAGGTCGTAGGTGTTCCTGCGGGTGTCTCGGAGGAATTCGGGCGAGCGGGCGTTATAGGTGGCTTTGTGTCGTTGGGGGAATTGGTATGTTCCGCTTCCCAAATCTTTCGTTCCTGTTCGATGCGAAGTTTGAAGTCGGACTCTAACTTTTCGACGTCCCGCTTCATTTGGGCTCTTTCCTCCTCCATCTGAGCTTTGAAATCGGCGAGGCGTTTATTCAATGACTCCTTCATTTTATCACTCCTATTTCTAATGATCTGATCATGTTTCTCGGTCAACTCCTGAGCCTTGGCTTCCCATTCAGCAGCCTTAGCTACAGCCTCCGAAATTCTCTCTTCGAGGGCCTTGCGTTCTTCGTTAGACAACGGTGTCGCTAGAGAGGTTGACTCAGAAATGCCTGTCCCGTTCTCTACCTTTCCGTCGCCGTTGGTCGCTCGAGTCTGCGCATTAGCAATGGCCTGATCTCGCTCAGATATCGCCGAAGTTAGTTGATCGCGAGCATTTTGCAACTCTTGTTCAATGGTAGCCTTTTGTGACGAGACGTTTTCTAGCTCAGCTCGTACCTCCGCTAATTGAGTATGTAGAGCGGGTAATGTATCCGTATTAGACGAATCAGCAGGGCCAGAACCAGTCGAGCCCTTTCGCGCGCTCTCCTGAAGTGCTTCGACTTGTCGCTTGAAGTTGTTGATCTGTTCCTCTAAACCTTGCCTTGCCTTCTTAGATTGATCTAGTTCTGCTTGGGTTGTCGTGAGTTGACCGGAAACATCATTTAAGGTGGCCTGAAGCTTGTCCTTTTCAGCGATTACTTCGTTCTTCGCATTAGTCAGATTCCTAGATCTCTCTTTGGCGCTAGCGATAAGTTTTTCTCGCGATACCTGCCATGCAGCCTCTTTCTCCTCAAGGGTCTTCTCGAGTTCATTGACCTTTTCCCTAAGAGGAGCCTCTATTCCTTGTAGTGCTGTCCGCTCCGATTCCAATTTAGCTACGGTCTGCTTCAGTTCTTCGACTTCCGCTGGGTCGGTCCTGCCATGTTTGGAAAGAATATCCTCCGTTCGCTTTTGCCAACGGTCTCGGTCTTCGTGGAGCTGTTTCATCTCCGCTTCTCTAAATGCTTGCTGACTCTGAAGTTCCTCGATCTGAGCTTCGAGTGGTTGAATGGTAGACTCCAACTCCGAAATTCTAGCTGTTTTCTCGGCCAATTGAGCCTGTGCTTGACGAGCTTCTGCTCGTAACGCGGCACTACTCTCCCGGAAAAGGTTAAGTTCCTCTAGCTTAGCCATCAGGTCCTTGTGGGCTATAGAATTTCGGTCGCTGTCACCCTGAGAGCGACGTTCTTGCTCCAACTTCAGTCTGGCCTCATCAAGTTGTGACTGTGCATATTCAACTTGCTGTTGCAGCCTCTTGGCCTCTTGCACTTTGAGATCGTATTGGACCTCCAAAATGTCTTTCTCGCGGCGGAGATAGTTGCTTAATTCTCGGAACTTGTCTGTATCTAAGCTGCTTGGCTGCGCGGCGATAGTATCGAGGGATTCATCGGTTGAAGACCGGCTTTGCTGTAGGGCGGAGACTTGTTGGGTTACACCTTCTAGTTGTTGATGGAGAAGTTTATTCTGAGCGTTCGCATCGTCTCGGCGGGCGCGAAGCTCTGAGATTTCCCTCTCAAATCGTTGTCGCCGCTCATCCCAGGAGCTTTCACTCTGTAATAGTGTAGCTTTTGCTGATTCAGCTTCCGCCTTCCAAGTCGCCGCAGAAGTTTTCAATTGGTTGAATTCACCACGTAGATTAGACAATGATTTCGCCGTTTCACCGTGCTTCATGACTTCGCTTTCGTATGCTTGTTGCGCATTAGTTGCAATCTCGGCCTGAGCGCGAAGGTCCTGCTGGTGGAATTGGGATGAAGCCGTGTATCTTTCCTCTTCATCCTTCAGACGTTTGATTTCTTCATCTAGAATTGCCTTTTCGTCCTCGAACTTCTTAGCAGTTTCGGCTTGAGAATCGCGTAGATTCGATAATTCGCCGTTGGACCTCGCTAATTCAGCAGATAGGTCCTCTACTCTTTGCTCAAGTTCCTTGATCGTTGCGTCCTTCGCTGCGATGGTTGCATCCATCTCCTGCTGGTATTGGTCCTGAGCGGAGTTCAACCTTTCAAGTTCTTCCTCCGATGCCTGGCTCAACTCCTTGTACCTTTCGACTTGCGATTGGGCATTTTCTAGATGCGATTTTGTCATCTCAAGGTCACGTTTGAGATCCGTTACTTCGTGAATCAAATCCTGTATACGCTCATCCGAGTCACCTTGTGCAGCACTCTGCTCTTGCGCTGAAACAATGGATCCCGGTCTTGGCGTAGGTCGTGGTTGAAGCCTTTCTGCACGCTCCTCCGCACTTCGTAATTGGATAGTCAATTCATCAACTCTACTCTGAAGATGATCCCGGCTAGTCTTGGTGGCAACAAGCTCTTCGCGGATCTGACTGAGGTTGGTAGTGAGTTCGTCGATTCGCTTCTGAGACTGTTGGGCGTCATACTCCTTTCGGAGTTGCGCCTTCTTTCCTTCCTCCACTTCATCAGATAGCTTTCTCTTGGTTGTGGTGAGGTCGGTTTCCAAAGTATCGATCTGAGACTGTAGGCGTCGCTTCGTCTCAGCCTCGCTTAATTCACGCTCATTTTGAAGCGATTGCTGTGTAGCGATCAACCCATTGAGGCGGGCCTTCTCCTGCATCAAGTTCTCGTTGTCTTGGCTTAATCGTTCTTGGATATCTTTCCATAGTTTCTTTTCTGCTTTGAGATTTGCGTTTTCACTTCGCATACTCTCAAGCAGTCCTCGTGCCTCAACAAGATCTTCAGCAACTTGTTGTGTGCGAATGTCTTGCTTTGCAGCAGATTCAGACATGGTTTGGTTCCTCTTTTGGAGTTCCCTATTTTCACCTTGCAAAGCCGTGAAATTCGATTGGAGCATTTCGTAGCGTTCTGACGCAAGAGAAAGTTGAGACTGCAACTTAGAAACCTCTGCCTGCAGCGAATTCCTCTCTGCAGATAGTTTTTCAAGTTGCTCTTTCATCGTTTTGCGATCAGCGGTCTGCTCATTGCGGTAAAGATCAAAGTTTTGCTGGAGATCTCGAAGCAATGTGGTATAATCCGAGCCATCGTCATTCGCAGCAGAATTTTGCTCGATGCTAGCTAAAACGCCATCCTGTGTTGAACGACCCAAAGCCGAAGCCATTTCATCAGCGGATGCCCTCGATTCAACTATGCGTCGGAACATGTCTCTTTCCTTTGTGATGCTTTCAGTCTGCACCTGGAAGCCTTTGAGGGTGTCTCTGAAAACTTCCAATTCCTGCTCTAATCGTATCCGCTCCTTGTGATCCTCCATCGCTTGGCTCTTGGCCGAAATTGCTTCCTCGTTCTCCATTCTCTCTGCGAGTTCGTGAGTGACCTGGAGGAGCTGTTCATTTCGCTCCTGGAGTTGCTTGATATTCTTGAAGACGACTAGACGCTCGAGAATTGAGGTATGGGCGTTCAGTTCATCATCTCCTACCGATTCGGCCATCTGGCCTCTCTCCAATCCTTGTAGGATTAGGCGTTCGTCGGAGGAAAGTTGGTCGAGGCCTTTCTCGAGGCAATGCACATTGAAGGTTAGCATTTGGATCTGCGCAGAAAGACTCTTTACTTCGTATCGAAGAAGGGTATTGCGTTTTTCAGCATCCGCAGCAGCCGCCTCTGCCTTACGGGCTGCTTTCTTGGCTGCATCCCTCTCTCTGAAACTCTCATCTGAAAGGTGAGACATTGTCTTCATCTCCTGTTGTAACCGATCGTTGTCGGCTTGAAGCTCCTCAAGCTCCGGACGCTTGGCTTCTAGTTGATCAATGACGTCGTCTAATTCTTTTGCTAAATTGCTGCTACGAAGTTTCTCGGCGTTTAGCTGTCCTTTGATCTTATAGTAGTCCTCCATTAGCTGGGTTGTCGAGAGTGACTTTCGCGTAGAGCCAGGCGTTGCAAAAGGTGAGCCTGAGCGGAATAACGATCCATTCAAGGGTCGTGGTGTTTGTGGTGCAGATCCAGGTTGTGCAGGACTGGGCCCTGCAACCATAGCCTCTAATCGACCAATTTCGTCTCGAAGGGACTCAACCGCCTGGGAAAGCTCCTCCTTGTCGGAATTAGCTCTAGCAAGTTCCTCACTAATTCGGCGGACGCTATCTTCACACTCTCGCTTCACTTGTTCTTCCCTTGTCTCAACCTCTTGGACCCGTTTTTTATAGGTCAGAGTTTGTTGTTCCTTTAAATCTACCAATCGTCGAAGGCTATCGCTTTCTTGGCGGAAGTCTTCCTCCTTGCGACCCGCGGCTTCTTGTAGCTGTTGGATTTTTGTTAGAGAATCATCAGCCTTCTTTTGGGCTTCGTCAAGACGTTGACGTAGCTGTTGTTCGGTACGCTTTAGAGATTCGATATTGGAGACGGCATCATCATTGAGACGTTGCAGCTCTGAGATCCGAGCACCCTTCTCTTTACGGTATTTGAGCGCCTCGGCAGATTTGGTCTTAAGCTCCTTCTCGAAAAATTCACTACTGCTCTGAGCCATTTGCAATTGTTGCTGCAACGATTGTTCTCGGAACTTGGAGCTGCTCGCCGCATTGTTCGCATTCTGGACGGACTGCTGCAATACCGATATTTCTTGGTTAAGCTTCAAGTTTTTCTGGTGCTGCGCTTGTAGCTCTTGAGACAGAGCTTCGTTCGCCGAATTCTTGGTGTCAATAATGGCCAGCGATTCTCGATTCGAGGTTTCTAAGGATACAATGCGCGCACGTAGCTTGTCGATCTCTGACTGTGATGTAGAGCTGGAAAACTTAATCGCTTGCAACTCATTTTCTAGAGTTTGGCGTGCAGTTTCTGCGCATCGGTGTTAGTAGCTTTACACCTAGAGATAAGGGTATGGAGGGAAAAAGAAATATCCGTACCTTCGTCCTTAAGCTTTTGGCGTAGTTCTTCGACATCTTTAAGCGCCTTTTTAGCAGTCTCATTGCTCGCGTCGCGTTGAGCTTCGGCACTGCGTACGGAAGTCTCAAGCTCGACTTCCAAGTGAATTTTTTGGCCATATAATTCATCGTACTCGTGACCTTTGGCAGCAACAGCAGCCAGAATGGCATTAACAAGGTCGACGGTCGGATCCGTGGTGACGGTTGTAAGGTTCGCCTCAGGCATACCCAGATGGGTAGCTAGGTAGCCAAGGTCTACCTCCGCAGCTGCCATTTCGTCAAGTGTCAAATCGAGATATGGCCATCAGGGAAATAATATTGTCGGTAAATGAAAGACTCGAATTTCGCGTAGGGGTATCAATTCCGATCTTGTTGGGTAAATGTGGTTGAAGAGGTCGGAGATGGGGAATCGCGATCGCGATAGAGATACGTGAAAAATTAGGTATGATAACTAGAGAAAAATAATGAAAGAAAGTAGTTGAAGGAGTGTGTATGATGGTGAAATAAACTGTAATGAATCAATCACGGGATCAATCAATCTACCTGTTCACCCGATGATAGGAAAACAGGTGGGCGAGACCGTTGTGAAAGAAACCGAATGTGAGAAAGAAGTGAAAGTTTGTGAATTTTCCTTTCTTTGAGATGGAACTCAGAGTAACTGTTTTCGGTGGAAGGTGGAAGGCGCGACGAGGCTTAGGAAGGTAGCGCTTGATGTCCCTGTTGCTTCCAATTTGCTTGCGCTCGTCCAGGGTGTACCTACCTGGTACCTGTCGAAAAAGTATCTTTTTTCTGCCTAACCCAAAATGAGGTAAGGAGCTTGGACCACATGCATGTTGTGGCCCACTTTTTATCAGCCCATCCCTGCTCGACCCAAAATACACAACCACGTCATTAAATAAAGTCACCAACGCCAGCAACCCTCAAACAGAATATAACAAAAAATCATACTCAATAAAGGAGAAATACATTCGCAATAAACATTATACCTACAACCTCTATTGAAATATACCGGATGAAATGTGACTCGGGCATACCATTCAATATTATACAAGTAAATTTTATCCTCAATTATCTACCTAAATCTTTTTATGTTCACACATATACTACCCAGGTACCTGGGTAGGTAGTTTTGGGATGGTGCCATCTGAATCACTATGCGTTTATTATTATTGTACCGAATAACTATAGATTATTACCCCCTCCGAATCTCGTCCATTTCATGATACTCAGCTACGGGTCCAGATTGCCAGCCCATGCCTTGAAGCTCTGCTCTAGGTTGGCCGTGTGCTTCATGCACTTGCGGTCCATGATGGCCTGGCGCTTCGTATAATGGTTGACTATATGCCTCGGATGCGCTATACGGATAATGTTGGCCCGCCGTCTGTGGGGAATATGCGCCTTGATTTGGATTCTGAAGCGGAGAATAGGCACTGTTGTCCTGGAGCTCCGATGTGTTTGGCGAACTGGCAGAAATCGGAGATACGTTATCGACCCGTGCTATCGCATGCCCCTTCGATGGACTTAAATTCGAGCCCCCATCAAGCTCTGGCTTCCCACCAAATTCGGCGCCTGCAGAGGAGGGCACAGGTTGGTTGTACCCACGATTGAGTCGCGATCGTCGCCAGAAGAAGAACGCCACAAGACCGAAAATTGCGACGCCCGCTGCGGCGCCTACCGCTGCCCCCACGATCGTGCCTATGTTCGGGCTACTATTGGCCTCTCCAGGCTTTCCTACCCCTTCCGTACCCCCATTTGATCCACTAGAGCTAGATGTCTCGGAGCCACCAGCAACTCCGGTCTCCTTTGGTGAAGATACCCCGCTGTTCCCTGTAGCAGATGTTTGTTGCACTATCACAATTATTAGTAGAGGATAGAGCGGCCATTCTAGGTGGCTTCCCTACCTGATTCAGTGACTCCGCCAACTGTTGTTAGCCCTTTTGCAGCGCTACAGTACGTGTCGAATAGCCGCAAGGCGATACTAACATCTTCTGTCGCAGTCGAATCGCAGGAATATTTCACGTCCGAAGTAATGGCGTTACTTAAGTAATTAGACATGCCGCTCTTAATACAGGCGCAAGAGGCGAGTGCCTGTGGACCGCTAGGACAGAGGTAATTGGTTTGCTTATGGATTCATTAGTACCAGCCATTAAATCTTCACAGGACGATTTTTCGCTCACCGATAATATTTCCCATGATACCGCGTACTGTGCGCAAGAGGCCAATGAGCTGAATTCCGGTAGCGCAGTTATATAATAGGTCACTATTTTCCATTGTCAGCCAAAGTTCCACAAGGCACCCTTCCAGGAACAACTCACTATCTCCAGGCGGGTCTGAAGTTGTTGGGAAAGAAGTAGTTCCATCGACCAATCCACAGTAGGCCGCAAATACGGCCTGTGCCGACTCGATATCCGCCGTATGCGATGAACATGAGGATTTTACTGACGTATTGATGCTCTGACTAGCACGCAGGGAATTTTGGTTTTTGCCGCATACGCATGTCGCGAGAAGACTTGGTTCCGCCGGACACAGGTCGTATGTCTGTCCTTCGATATTAGACTGATGGGGGGCACATCAACATTCAGGCCCAACTTACCATGCTCCTACATCACAGTTAGGCGTTTCATTCAATCAGAAACTCAACCAAAGGAGCAAAACTCACTGAACAATGTAAGATAGACCTCCCGCGGCGCATGGCGCGAGCTCTTGCCATGCTGGGAAATCGGTAATGTATTGTGTGACGGGGCTCGTAGGGGTCGGAAACGGTGTAATGGAGTCTTGGTTACAGTACGCTTCGAACACACTGGACGCACTCGCTTGGTCCTCCGATGCCGTCGAGCCGCAACTATAACTGACAGACTTCGAAATTCCTGACGATATCGAGGCGAAGTTATTATCTTTCGTACAGACGCATGATTGAAGATCCGTGACAGCTTCGGGACAGTGTTCAGCGGTCTGCGACTGGACGTTCTCGGAGATGGCGCTGGCTGCACAAGGTGCCTAACATAATCAGCGTCGTCTTGAAATTTTTATATTTCGCATCCCGAAACCCGAACTCTTCTCATCTTGTAGACCATGCCTTTCTCCAAGCAGGTCATATTGTCTAGTTCAATCCCCAACCTTCTTAACTTTTTCACACTAGGCCGAAGGAGATATACTTCATATTGGAGAGTGAAATTAAAATAGCGCTATCGCATCCGGTAAACTTACTAATACTGTGAATATAGAAAGATCAGTAACATATACTATTTCTGCTGCCCCTACGAGAGATGCGACTAAGCACGCCCAAGCGGGCAATAATCGTACTCGTAACATCATCGCACGTTTCTCATGATGGTGACCAAAAGTACGGAAGGAAATTGGGACTCAAAAATAAGTGCGACAGCGCAGAACAAAATGGAAGGCACTTATTAAACAGACCGATTACGAATCAGGCATTTTAGCCATCACAGCAAGCCATACGCGCATATTTTAGTATTAATTTACAGCACATTCGGGCACACCACGCCCTTGTCGCGAAGCGCTATACCCCTGACAGCTGAAGATTCTCAGGGCCTTGCCAAGGAGCCATGAGAGCGCCATCCTTCCCGGTCAGGAAAAGCTGAAGAATAGATACGGTCGACGTAGCCGCTAGTTACTGGTCGGATGTTAGTGGCGGTTTTGAGGTAAATGAGATTTTTCTATCTATCCACCGGTGCCAGCAGCCGTTCGCTTGCTCTAGTTTCGTGACAGCGACGCTAAGGGGTCGGCCCACTGTTGACATCCCCTTTCTACCTAGGTAGTCTATGACATTCTAACTTCTGTATATCTACCTTGGTATATATAAGCGAGGTAATCGCATTCATATAATCGCGATATCCGGATTGTCATTGTAGATTGGTACTTATTACCGGAACCTATGTGGCGCCCATAGGTTTTTGTATCGCGAAATTACGGAATGAAACATGCCCCAATAATACGGGATGATATCCCGCCGTATTATTATATCATCATAGTTTTCTATGTTCGGTTATAGAGAAGGTTGTTGTTTAAAAGCTAACGTAGAAGATTACTAAATTCGACAAGAGACAAGTTTACTTCTCGTTCCGCATATTTTCACTTGACGCCAATATGTGATCCGCGTAATGAGCTTCCAAGGTATGTTCTAACCTTGGGTAGCACGTGACTCGCTCCGACTCCGCTTCACCTTATCATCATTGAGATATGGAACTCCAATATTTCAACGATATCAACTATGTCTTCATAATCCTATATAAATCATGGCTTGCGCGATACGATACCCCTTCATTGCACCGAATTGTGGCCATCTAGCCCGTTTTATACCAGCTACAAGATGCCGATCTTCCGCGGGCCAACCCTTCCCCGCACTATCACAACCGTTATCGTCGCCAAAGATAAGATATCATTTCAGCACCAGCACTACGCGGGCACAAAATGGAGATTTTAAAGCCTTGAAAGTGCAGCAGAGAAGGTTGATGGATGCATTGCACCATACATGTTCATTCGGGACTGGGAAGAGATGGGGAAGGTGAGCCTTATTCAAGACTCCTACGGCTTTTCGAAGGTATGCTGAGTAACGGATATCACAGCGCACCAACTGAGACGGGAATGGCACGGCTTGCATTGAGCGACTCGGATAAACAAGCGCGAGATTGGTTCGTCGAAACTACTAAAGCTCTGGGGTGTAACGTGACTATTGATGCAATGGGCAACATCTTTGCGGTGCGCCCTGGTTGTCGCGAAGGTCCTGCTACGTTCGCTGGATCCCACCTTGACACGCAACCGACTGGTGGTCGATATGATGGGATCTTGGGAATTCTAGCTGGCATTGAGATGCTGAGCGTGCTACGAGACCACCAAGTGGAGACTGAGTTCCCGGTTGGGATTGTGAATTGGACCAAGTACATATTGTCCCTTTCCCGAGTCGTAGAAAATTGGATTAATAGAGTACAATAGCGAGGAAGGTGCGCGTTTCCCGCTTAGCATGGTATCGTCTGGAGTTTGGGCGGAAGAAATCCCCCTCGACCACGCGCATAACCTCCAAGAAGTTGGCGGAGGGACGGCGACAATGAAATCAGAGTTGGAACGGATCGGATATCTTGGCTCGACACCGGCGAGTTATCGAAGGATACCCATGGCTGCGCATTTCGAACTTCATATCGAACAGGGCCCGATCCTTGAGACGGAGAAACAGAAAGTGGGGGTCGTAAAGGGTGTCCAGGCTTATAAGTGGTTTACTGTTGATGTTCATGGACGAGGTACGATACTTAATATTCGTGTTTTTGGTGTATCCTTGCTAACTTAATGATTTATTAGACGCGCACACAGGAACCACCCCTCTTAGAAGCCGTGCTGACGCGATGCTCCTGGCTGCTCGTTTGATCACACATTCGCATCGTCTAGCAACCGCACATTCCGTTCTTGTTTCCACAGGTATACTGACTCTTAGTCCCGGTAGCACCAACACAATCCCAGGACACGTGCGATTTACGCTAGACATACGTGCTCCCTCCGACGCCACCGTAGACAACCTTGTGGTCGATCTGAAGAAAGACTTTGATCGACTTGCGGAAGGCCACGATATCGACGGTCTACTCGCGCATTCAACCCCTGGCAGGCCGCTCAATGTGGAGTGGAGGAAGGACTTTGAGTCTCCCGCCACCTTATTCCATCCGGACTGCATCGCAGCTGTACGCGCCTCTGCTGAGGCTGTGACCGGAAGCAGTAGTCTGGTTCGAGATATGACGAGTGGAGCAGGGCACGATAGCGTATATGCTAGTCGTCGGTGCCCGACGAGTATGATTTTCGTGCCATCAAAGAATGGGGTTAGTCATAATCCGGAGGAGTACACGAGCCCTGAGGATTGCGCAATAGGAGCGGAGGTTCTCTTGCAGAGTGTGCTAAGGTATGATCGCATGAGGGCCGATGGGTTGGCCAATGCCATATGAGGGGTATGATGGCGGTTATACACGAAAAAATCGCTTGATTTCTTTATGGCATCGACACAGACCTAAGTGTATATATCTAAATTAGTGAAAATGTGAATAAATCCATTTAGATGTAGCGTAATGGTGTTATAAGCCTAGGCTCGGTCCTTCATCTGCCTCACATTGAGGTTGATACGTTTGTTTCGCATCCACCCTTTCCACTCCTTGAACCTGTTTTCTTCAGCAGGCCAATCTGCTATAAAATCCGGACATGTATCCTTCAGAACCTTTGGTACGCCATGCCAAGCGTAGCGAGATTCCTGAGACATGTAGATGGCGTCACCGGATCGGAGCCGTAGAAGAAGGTACGGCTTTCGATATGATTCCTCACCATCGGAGTTTGCGGGTTTTGTATAGTTATTCGGTGCGATCATGAAAAGAGCATCGCATCCAATGCTTAGACTCACAAGTCCCTTGTCCGATTCTTCGCTCACATCCCGATGCATCATCATCGTATCTCCGGGGCTATAGAAATTGACGATGGCCGCTTGGGGAACAGTATCGGGGAAGAGTGTCTGAAGAAAATTGGCAATATCATGGGGGAAATCGGGAGGGAGTTGATCGGGGTACTCTCGGTTTGTCCAATCATATTGTCCCCCAAGAGTTACCCAAGAAAGCCGCCGTTCAAGGACTTGCTTGATGGATAGGGGCTTGTGTATTTTGGGATCCTTTGGGCTGAATTTCGCAGAGGCGTCTTGTGGGTAAGAGAAGAATGACTGGGAAGTGGCATCTTCGTTATCTTTTTCCCTATAGGGGAGATCGTAGTGAGGGTGTAGATTAGTCTGATGAGTGGGGTTGCTTAGGTCTCTATGGATCATACGAGACAGAAGTGCTTTTTGCGTGTTTGACGGAATAAGAGATGGGTATATGAGTAGGCCTATGCTACATTGTGAGATTTTCTTAACTAGAGAATTTGACCCATACTTTCTTACCTGGAAGTAAGGGATGGAAATAGAAGGGGACGTCGTGAACCACTTGTTTCTCATCCCAACTCTCGCCCATAAGTTGCTTGATTGAATTTGAGAGCCTTTCGCTAGGGATGTGTCCTGCTAACTTGAACTCCTTTTGATCCTTGGTAAGATCTAATTCATCAATATCCGGATGATTGACGAAATCTGCATGATCGGTTTTAGAGTATCTCTTCCAAGTAGTCTTGAGTTCATGGCTTGGTTGCTCATGGGCATCTAGGGTGGTAAGATCAAGCGTCATAGTTGGGCGCAGATCTGGATGCTTGCGATGAAATGACTCAGAGATTTAGCATATATGTTATTTGCTTTTAACAAAAGGTGTATCGTATGTGGTTTAGGATGTTATAACAATTTTTCTAATTCTCGTCTCGTCTGGTGAAATGGTATGGATGATGAATATTTTATGTGAAGTGCTGCATATTAGACCGTGAAAATAGTGCACTAGTACCCATTTTCGGTGATAAGATTATGCACCTACAGTACATATAGTGGCATGATATTGGTAGGTGGGGGCACTCTAATACTTGTGGTGAACCAATCAAATTGCTAAGAATGTAGGGAACTCGCTATCCTATCGGCGCCACTGGACGCGATAATCCTTGTTAGCCACAAACTGGCGCGTATTACAGGCCAATTTCAGTGTTTATATTATTGGAAAACAACCACAAACCACCAACTTTCAATCCTTCATTCATCCCATGCACATAGCACTTGTAAACTAGAAATCCCGGCGGTGAACTTTTTTCCAATATTTTGCAGTGCTTGAAATAATTCACGGTCCCAATGGAGTTTTAACCAATTGTGAGATTGCGCAGAAGTAACTCTGTCCGCTCTCTACTTTTTTTTTTCTCCCTCCCTCCAGTCTCTACCCTTGCAGCCAGCCCAGCCCAGCTGTATCCGCTGTTAATTATCACCGTGAAGTTTTCCTCCCTGCCCACCATTGCCCCTCGTTTTTTTCAGGCGTTACCCCCCAACCGCCATCATCTTATAAACGCCGAGTAAATAGCAACCAGCAACCAAGTTCTCTCAGCTTGGCTTGTTGCCAGCGCAGCACCTTTCTAATTCCAAACCAATTTGGAATTTTCGATACTTACACAACAGCTCTTCCAATCCAACATTCCTTTCTTACGTTCCTTCAATTTGATTCAATTCGATACATCAAAAGTAGTAGTTGACCGTGAAAATGGAAAACTACCAGAAGCTCGAGAAGATTGGCGAAGGTGTGTTCAACCTCTTATTTTCTAATTTCTATTCTCTATTCCCCATTGCATTCATCCATCCAACCTGTATATCCCTTTACTTGTATTACAATTACAAGACTCGACACCTCCGCTAACCCAATGCCTCCTTTTTAGGCACGTACGGTGTCGTCTACAAAGCCCGAGATCTGGCCCATGCCGGTCGCATCGTCGCATTGAAGAAGATTCGCCTCGAGTCCGAGGATGAAGGTGTCCCTAGTACTGCCATCCGCGAGATCTCACTCCTCAAGGAGATGCGCGACCCCAATATCGTGCAACTGTTTAACATCGTTCACGCCGAGGGTCATAAGTTGTACCTGGTCTTCGAATTCCTCGACCTCGATTTGAAAAAGTATATGGAGGCACTTCCTGTCAGTGATGGTGGACGTGGTCGAGCCTTACCTGAGGGTTCTGGCCCTGAGCTGGGACGTCTTGGTTTGGGTGCCGGTATGGTCCGACGATTCATGAGTCAACTTTGCGAGGGAATTCGATACTGCCACAGTCACCGAATTCTACACCGAGATCTAAAGCCCCAGAACTTGCTGATCGATCGCGATGGAAACCTCAAGCTTGCTGATTTCGGTCTGGCTCGTGCCTTCGGTGTCCCTCTTCGAACCTACACCCACGAAGTCGTTACTCTCTGGTACCGTGCTCCTGAAATCCTGTTGGGTGGCCGACAATACTCTACCGGTGTAGACATGTGGTCTGTCGGATGTATCTTTGCCGAGATGTGCACGAGAAAGCCGTTGTTTCCTGGAGACTCAGAAATTGACCAGATCTTTAAGACTTTCCGGTATGCTATACCGTTTTTACGTCTATTTATTGAATGGTGATACTAATTCCTCTTTTAGTTTACTTGGAACACCCACCGAGGAAGTATGGCCTGGCGTGACTTCTTACCCCGACTTCAAGCCGTCTTTTCCTAAATGGGTGCGCGATTATTCGCAGACTCTATGCTCGAATCTCAACGACGACGGTCTCGAGCTTTTGGAAGCCCTGCTCGTATATGACCCTGCTGGTCGAATGTCTGCTAAGCAGGCTTGCAACCACCCCTATTTTAATGATCTCCATCGCCCTACCCGCTATGGCAGTAACGGATATTCTTAAGCCACCTTTCCATCCAACTAGTACATGTATGGGATGAAGTCCCCCCCACCGGGTCGGAATATGCTTATTCACATGAAGCATTATTCCCGGCTTTCAGGATAGGGCAACCTAGGCGTTGACCAACGAATATAATTCTACGAAATACCATGATTAATTCGCCTCCAACCGAGAACCCTCGATGTATGCCGCGTATAGAATGGTTCGCTCGCCAGGTGAAACCCTTGGCTTTTTCTCATTTCTCCGATGTTTTCGCAACCTACGCAGCATATGGAACGTGGTTTTACAGGGCGTTGGAAGGGGACCTAGGCATTTGAGAGGAGTCAGGGTGGAAATAGGAACTACGCATGAGAACAATACTCTTTTTATTGCTGAGAGCTGCTGATGCAGCAGTCCGTGATGCAGAAGCTCTTGGACCTTGCATTTGAGAGGCCCTTGTTTCCTTTCCCTTTTCTTTTGTCTGAACTTAGTTACTCAACTTAGAGATGATGCATTTTCTCTTTGCATCTAGGTAGAGCAATTGAGACTTGTTGCATTTTCTAATAAGTGACTTGATTATTTATTTTTCTGCTTGTAATGCTTGTGATACTTGTGACGGTGTCGTGAATTAGTGCATGTACCTAGGTACGTACTTGTATTCTTGCTGATTAAGACGGAGTGCACGGATCGTATTAGTACCGTCTGGTGTTGGAAAGAACGAAGTACCAAAGTGCCCTGGAAGCTGCGTAGGTGGGATTTTAGCAGGGACGACTAGTGCGGATTACGTAAAGCTCTAAATTGAACCTAGACTCGGGCCGCGTCGCGCGCCATGGGAAGGAACATTTCATTTGAACCAACCCTTCAATCAATCCAACTTTCTACAACGCCGCGCGCATTCATATTTTATTTTTTCTAATTGATCTTCAACCCGTCTCGATTCCTATCGATCTCATGACGACATGCGCATTACAACCCCAATCGTCGAGTCATCATGCACATCATTAAGCCATCATGGCTGAGCCATAAAGGTACAATTCTTGTTACCTGCGTCGCTCGATTTCTAGGAAGAAAAAAAAAAGGCTGATTGTGTTTGTAGGCGAGCAGAAGGACTTCGAGGTTTACAGTTGCCATATATCGCCCGACGGAAAGAGACTTGCGACCGCCGGTGGAGGTATGCTTCCAGCAATGATTAATTATTACTACATCCTAGCTGTTTACTCCCGATGCTAATAATGTTTTTCCTCTGCAGATGGCCATGTTCGAGTTTGGTCGACAGAATCAATCTACAATTCCGATGACCCTTCCTACACGAAACCGAGGCAGCTTTGCCATATGAGCCATCATCTCGGTACTATCCACTCCGTACGATTCTCTCCGAACGGTCGCTATCTTGCGTCTGGCGCAGACGACAAGATTATATGTATTTACCAACTCGAGAGTGGTCCCCCGACAATCGCTCCATTCGGAACGAACGAGCCGCCCCCGGTCGAGAATTGGAAAACATCAAAGCGATTAATAGGCCATGATAATGATGTCCAAGATCTGGCGTGGTCTTACGATGGCTCTATACTCGTATCCGTGGGATTGGATTCCAAAGTCGTTATCTGGTCAGGCCATACCTTCGAAAAGCTCAAGGTACTAGGAAATCACCAGAGCCATGTTAAGGGAATCACTTTCGATCCTGCGAACAAGTTCTTTGCTACTGCTAGCGACGATCGATCCATTAAGATTTTCCGTTTCACACCACCGGCACCTAACGCGACTCAACACGATATGGTGAACAACTTCCAGCTGGAAACAACTATTAGCGCTCCCTTCAAGTCGTCGCCCTTAACTACATACTTCAGAAGATGTTCGTGGTCACCGGATGGCAATCACATCGCTGCGGCCAATGCGGTCAACGGACCTGTTAGCTCAGTTGCTATAATAGAGCGATCGAGATGGGACAGCGAGATCAATTTGATCGGCCACGAGGGTCCAACAGAAGTCTGCATGTTTTCTCCTAGGCTGTTTCATACGAAAAAGCCCTTGGAGAATGGCGCGGTTAATGGCCACTCTGGAGGAGCCTTGGTAACAGTGATAGCATCGGCTGGTCAAGACAAAACCTTGAGTGTCTGGAATACGAATACGTCGCGGCCCGTGGTAATCCTACAGGACTTGGCGGCAAAGTCGATATCCGATCTGGCGTGGACCCCCGATGGGCAAATCTTATTCGCGTCGAGCCTTGATGGCGGTATCGTTGCGGTCAAGTTCGAGACTGGAGAATTGGGTTGGGTAGCTAATTTGGAGGAGACCGATAAGGCTCTTTCCAAGTATGGAGCTTCGAGAAAAGCTATGGGTATTGCTGAAGATGTCGATGGACTTCAGCTAGAAAACCACAGCAAAGAAGGGGAGCGGAAAGGTGCTGAATCTAGAATGGGAGCTCTTATGGGTGACTTTCACCCGCTTCCGAAAGATACACCACCGACTACTAATGGAGTCAAAAACGCCGCCACAACCCCAAATGCTCCATCGACTAATGGACAAACAACAGAACCTCAGCCTGATAAGGAAAAGGATGCTCCTGCGGAGGAATCAGCCGATAAAAATATTCAACGGGTGAATGAATTGAAGTCACGTGTAACAATCACTAAGGACGGAAAGAAAAGAGTCGCACCAATGCTCATCTCGTCATCTGGAACCGGCCAATCATCCCTTCCCCAAAGTCAATTGGTTGGTTCTAGCTCTTCGAAAGCTGCACAAAACGATGCGCCTCAAACGATCTTGGACCTTTCGAAACCATACGATGGTCTACCCGAAGGTGGTCTGGCGGCTATGCTACTTGGCAATAAGAGAAAAACAATTGCGACAGAGACCGAGGACGACGAAGAGCATCCGAACAAAAAAGCCGCCAGTGGGCCTAGGGCTATAATGAGAAATGGTGTTGAAGGTGCTGAGCCCGCAGCACTCGAACCTCCGAAAGGGGGCCTAGTACCCACCCCTGAATATTTACGACCAGCAATCCTTAACCCTTCAATCGCAGTCTCCCAAGTTCGTTTAGCGGTGCCCAAAGTAAGATCCCATATACTACGTCCACTAGAGCGCGGTGTTTTGCTAGAAGACAGCAACCCAGACGAAGCATCAAAGGTTCCCGAGAATATCATCTTAGAGGCTAAGAACCCCGTATCAATTCGAGATCCGTCACATATCACGGCTACGAAACGCGGTACTCTGCTCTGGCAGGATTACCTGCCTCGTGCTATCATTCTAGTAACTGGTAGTAAGAGATTCTGGGCTGCAGCATGTGAGGATGGCAGCCTGTATACATGGAGTCCAGCAGGACGCCGACTGATAAACGCCTTGGTCTTGGAGTCTCAACCGGTAATCCTGGAATGCCGCGATTGGTGGTTGCTTTGCATCACAGCGGTTGGCATGTGCCACGTATGGAATATTAACACACTTTCATCACCTCACCCTCCCGTTTCACTTGGCCCTGTTCTGGAAATCGCTACCAGCTCTCTTCAGATGCATAGTGCGATGCCAGGCCCCGGCGTCACTTCAGCACATCTAAACTCCAATGGCCATATTGTTGTTACTCTTACTAACGGCGACGGATATTACTATTCTCCAACCATGTACTCTTGGCAACGACTCTCCGAATCATGGTGGGCTGTGGGCAGCCAATACTGGAACAGTAACGATTCTTCGGTTGGAGCCTTACAGACCACAGCTGTCGGCGCTGTGACCCCCAAGGACAGCCAGAGTGACGGCGCGACTGTTTCGGCTGGCATAATTCCTTTCCTAGAACGACACACGACTAACGAATTCCTTCTAAAGGGAAGAGCATACACATTACAACGCTTGATCAAGACTCTACTTTCGAGAGATGGTTTTGAGACATTCGAGTCTAGCGTCAGTATTGCTCACCTAGAGAACCGTATCGCCGGTGCCTTGCAATTGGGCTCGAAAGAAGAGTTCCGATTATACCTATTTATGTATGCTAAACGAATCGGCGCAGAGGGACATAGAGGAAAGGTGGAAGAACTACTTAATAGTTTGCTTGGCGGTGTATTACAAGACAAAAAGGGAGAGGGCGATATGGTGGGTAAAGGATGGTACAGTAAAGAGGACGACATCTGCGGCTGGGACAGGAAGGAGCTTCTGAAAGGGGTCGTGATGATTCTAGGTAAGTCTAAGTCTTTCGTCGCCATTACCTTATCTCAAAGACTAACAATTCTACAGGGAAGTTTAGGGAACTTCAACGTCTAACTGTACAATACGCACGGGTTCTCGACCTCACGCTTGAGGACGATATTAGCGGCGACACGATGACGGTTGATACATAATGGGTTCGTTCTCACTACGGGCGAGGAGTTGCTGGATACCTTAAGGTGGCGTTTGTTCTTAATTGATATCAGGTGGCAAACGAAAGGCGTAGTAGGTACCAGCCCAACACGATGCCTTTAGTTAACCTGATAGCAAGTTGTACCATAGCTAGGTAGCTTTGAAACCACGATCGCGTCTGGATTCAGCATCTGAATGATGATTAAGTCTACCTAAGTATTTCGGAGTTCAATACGCGTGAATTAAATTGGGATGATAAGGCAACTGGTAGCTGGGCAACAACCTCCTCTTTTAGGGGTTAGTGGGGGGTTCTGGTCCGGTCGCCGGTAGAAACTGTCTAAAGGAAGTCGCGTACGTCCTCCTATTTACAAGGGTTGTTTCCCCGGGTCGGCGTTCTGTAATGAGTAACCAGAGGCTACTGCTGTTTGCTTGTTCCCTGTCCGCCGCCTACCAGGCAATCCACGACTTCCAATCTCAACGTCGAAGCACAAGGTACAAGTAAATCTTCCTACTGAAACAACACTAACCATCCCAATGTCCAAAACGTTTATTTACTGGTCCGATTAAAAAAGATAAAGACCAAACCTTCTCTACTAACGGCGATTATTCTACTCACCATCCCCGCCGACCATCCCACTTCCACCCATCATCACCCACTCTTTCACTCTTTTTATTATTCAGACGCCGCACCTACAGACAAACACCATCGTCTGAGACCAAATACGCACGACAAGTTCAAGCATTTATTGCATATTGTCTCTTATTCAAGCCTTTATTTCGCGATTTTTATCGTCTTTACACTTTCCTACTTGGCGACTCGTCTTTCCTTCTCTAAGACACATCCGACGTGTAACCTCACCCTTTTAAAATACGGTCGCATCGTCTGAAGTCGCCGCTTTTAAGCATCTCGACGTGAAATTGGTATTGTCTGAACCCCTTTATCACCCCTTAACCCTTTTATTGATGCTATTGATGTTGACTTGTCGCCGAAAGACGGATGACAGGATGACGGGCGCCTATTCTCGCCACGCCGGAGGCCGCGGCCCTCGAAGCTCTTCTCAACCGGGCACCTCTCGACACCATTACGGAACTGGCCACGCTAAATCTCGGTCGGGTTCATCAATTGATGACCTGCTTGGTCCTTACGGTCTTGCGCACGTACAAGGTGAAATTGAAGGTACTATTCGAGCAAGTTCTCCTGATGACGTGATTGAACCGACTTGTAACACTGATCAAGGATGTACCTGGAGATTTCTCCCACGCCGAATCAGGTATGTTGTTTGCAACCCATATCCGTGTCCATCCATATGACCAATTTGTTAATACTCCTGTGTTTCATTCAAGACCGATTTCGTTCCGCAAGGTTACTATCCTTTGCCTAGCCTTAGTCTTCATCTGTAGCGCTTGGGTATTCAGTAAGAATCCGGGAAAATCATCCATTACAGAGCCTGTCATCGTTGATGGATACTTGCCTCCTATTCCCCATCTCCCCGCAGGGTACACTGTACCTGAAGAGACTAACCACGCTGTTCAATGGCTACGAGATAACACTATCTTGGACCTGCAAGACATCCCCGCTGATCAGATGCAAACACTTTTCGAGACACGTCCGAAAGCCGCTTTCATCTCCCTTGTGCGAAACGAAGAGCTTGAAGACATGATCTCCAGCATCCTCCAAGTGGAGGCTCGTTTCAACGGAAGAGAAACCCATCAATACGATTGGGTGTTCTTCAATAACGAGGAGTTTACTGACAAATTTAAGGATGCCGTATCCAAAGCGACCAAATCCCAGTGCTACTTCGAACGTATTCCGGAGGAGAATTGGAGTATTCCGCCCTGGATCGACGTCACACGGTTCGATGTCGGCCGCCAATTCATGGGAGGTATTGGTGTAGGCAAAGCGTGGCTACAGAGTTACCATCATATGTGTCGCTGGAACGCGGGTCTCTTTGCGATGGAGCAACGTCTTGCTGACTATGACTGGTTTTGGCGAGTCGAGCCTGCGGTAAGCCAGTTTCTGTTTCGGTAGACATTGGTGGTTTGAGATACTCGTACCTATCCATAATCCCATAGTTTCTTTCATAGAACTAACAAATGCTGTCACAGGTTCAGTTTTACTGCGACATCAACTACGATGTCTTCCGCTTCATGCAAGATAATAACATGGCGTACGGGTTCAACATGGCGATTCTTGACGACGCTCGATCCTTTCCTTCTCTCTGGGAACGAACCCAAGCATTTATCGACCGTAACGGCGAGCTAGTTGATGAAGACGCAGATTTTAACTGGTTGTTGCACACCGCCGAGGATCAAGATGATACGATTCGTCCACAGACCGGTGCCAAAGGGGCCGCGGCTGACGGCGACTATAACAATTGCCAGTTTTACTCCAACTTTGAGATTGGCTCGTTGAAGTTCTTCCGCAGTAATGAACACCAAGCCTATTTCGATCACCTTGACAGAGCAGGCGGGTTCTACTATGAGCGATTCGGTGATGCCCCTGTTCATACGCTCAGCGTTAGTATGTTTTTACCCAAGAGTCGAATTTGGTACTTCCGTGATATCGGCTATGCGCACGGCCTTTGTGAACAATGTCCTCCCCATGAACACCAGTTAGAACTCGACGATCAATCCCACACCCAGTTTCCGCGACAAGTCGGCGAGCAAGGAGACGCCGGTGCCTTTGATGTTGAATCCCTTGTGATGGGCCCTTTTCAAGGTTATGGCAATAACCACCGCCGATGGAATACGATGGCGAAGGATGTTGAGCGCCAGAAAGGAATCCCCGGTCTTTCGTGCGGCTGCACTGTCAGTGCAATTGACAACGACAACGCCAAATTGGTCCCCTATGAATCGAAGCAGCGAAAGCCTTCGGATCCGTGCATACGTAAGTTTCTAGGTGGAAGATGGCTCGCGAGGAAGAACAGGAAGTCTGATTTCAATAGTGTTACAGAGAACATTGCAGATGGCGATGGTGTTGAGTATATTCTGGATGGCCGAGATGGTAATCCCTTCGGGTAGACGCATTTTCCGCAGAGCATTACTCTCCACATCCATTGTCTTTGGCGTTTACTGGGGAATGTATCTGGTCTTTACCGGCCTTAGATCTTCCCCTGCAGTCGATAGCCCCTATAGAATTTACCTCATGGCACCGCTTAACGTGGAGCCAACCGAGACGTGAAGTGATACCCGTCGACAAAGGCCCGGACTAGGAGAATTGGCCATTCTTCTAGCGTATTGTTTTTTTTTTTCGTTTATTTGCCTTCCATCCACAGGAGTCCGGGAATCGGCACTGAGTCACCAAGTCACACGGGACGTTTTGTTCTCACCTTCCCGATAATCCAAAACCAGTGTTTCGAGGTTTTGAGTTTTTGGCAAACTCAGGGTTTATACTGAAACCACGGATGTTTACTGCGACGATGATTTTTAGTTTTTCGATGCGTTACGAGCTCATTTTATCACGCCAGGATTTCGATCTCACTTGAATCTGGAATCTACAATCGGCATTCACGAATTGTTACGCGATTTACGACCAATGATACGATACGAGGCCCAAAAAAATACTAGATGCATACCATACCCAAGGGACTCGCTGTCCTTCTTTACGACATGAAAAGTTTGTACTTTCCCAAATTCGTCTATTCTTTCCATCTAACCGGGGTTCATTCCACTTACGATGCCCTTGGCTATTTCTACGAATTGTTGATGAGAAATTTGTTTCGCGTGCACTTCCTTTTTTTTCTTCACTTCTTTTCACGCCATCTTTGTCCAGCCTTATGGCAGTGACCCCCTTGATCCTACGGAACTTGCGCGCGCCCCGCTTTGTGGTGCCATGTTACGGCTTAGGGTTTTCACTTCTTTTTTCCCCTCTTCGCAGGGAATGCGATGCACTGATTAGGAGAGGGAATTGCGCAGGGTTTATGATTTAAGGTTCTCTTCTTTTTTACGATGGAGTTGTTGTGTAGCTAGTGCAGAGCCGGATCATGCTCTATTCGCCATCTCCGAGACACTCCGATTCTGCGGGGTTAGGCAGGCAGGCAACGAATTCATGCTTTCGATTATACTTTACGTCTTCAGGGATTATGCTATTAAGTACGTGAGAAGGTAGGAATTGTTAGAGTTGCGGTTAATTGTGGGTAAATCTTAAGTGTTGCCTGTAAGGGCAGGTGGGTATGGCATGGGGGTTACGGAGCCGCATGCTTATTCTGACCTCATTTTAGATCCGGTCTAAGTAAGGGATGATGCTATAAGTGAGGGGTTTCAGGACCGGTGACATTTACGTATATTCACAATTGGCCCCCGTTATAATTTGGAATATAATCCTGTAGGCTGAAAATTAGTAAGGGTTTGCGTTATGAAGGTGTATGAGCCTCCGTGGTGTAGTTACTACACCCCACCTGAACCCCCCCTTTTTAGCCTACTTCGTGATAAGTGGCGTGCTGGGTGGGGTTCATCTATGTCTATGCTTCGACTCGGGCGTGGCTCTGCTGTTTTTCGTTACTCTGATGGTCGTTCGCGAGTGCCGAAGTGGAAGTGGGAGAGTCTAGATTCTGCGCGACAATGCCGAATATGTCCGGATAGCAGTGAACAGGTTGATGACCGCGTAGGCGGGCGTAAACATGGCGGGTGGGGTAGTTGTATATACGCACCTAGGTGCCCCATAGTTAGGCACAGAGCCCGAAATCCATAGCTACCTAGGTAGGTACGTCCAAGGTGTGACCACTTAGGTCAATTATAGCTGATGAGCAACTCATACCTTGGTCAGCTCTAGGTTAACTTGTTAGGTACGGAAGGCTAACACCGAAATCCTGATATAAGATGGGGTGGAATCGTGGGGTGGGTTACACCGCATGCCAACAAGGCTTTCCGGTCAGTATTGAATATATTTTAACCCTTAATAGAAATAGAATGAGTCCGTCCTAAAAGAGCCTCAAATAGCGTTGTCCGAGAGCCTGCTTCAATTGACTAACGATCAGCTTTTGACGGGTAATGTCGCGAAAGGTGCAGCGCCTATTAGAGAAGAGGGGACATGTATGTTCTACAATTATTCATTGGAATTCCAGTTTCGGCCATTCCTATCTAACAGTCCGGTTTGCCTTTTCGTGTTCCACATGGGGGTATAGATACCTAGGTACATATGACTACTAACGTAGCCTGGTAGCTGGATCTTATGCACATGGCAACAATATAATTATGACGGTATGTATGACGGTACCTACATAGGTAAGTGCGATTGGCGAGACTCAAAATTCGTTACACAGATCGGCGTTCCCTGGCTCTTATGGACCATTGGGGTGACGCCGGATAGGCGGCGTCTTGGAAAAGGGGGTGTCTGTAACTTGGAGTTCGGTAAAGGGGTAGGCGGGGTACTTCTGCGTCTAGAAATATGTGCTCAGATGCATATATGTTCTTTCCAATAATATGTTATAGTCTTCGGATGAGATGACAATCATAATGGTGGCTCTATACAACAGGGATGTTTCATTGAATATCGTAACCTCTGAGTGGCGTAAGAAAATAGCGCTTTTTTCACTTTAAGGCAGGCTTCGGATAGCCATGGTATGAAAAGATATCTATCACACAAATACAAATATAATGCTACACTTTATAACTGGCATTAATCTACGGGAGCGAGACACAGACCGGTCGAAATCATAAAATTCGTCGTAAAATTGGCTATTAACCATTTAGCCGCAATGCTTACTAAATTTGTGTGTTACACGGAACCAGAAGAAGCAAGTCGGCTTCGCGTTATATTGCCACACAATTTGCCAGCGAGAGGCCGGACAAAATAGGAGGGGCTGTGACTAGACTAGCGCGTTTGCTATATCCTCGAGAGGATCCAGTACTTCCGTCGCGAACTCGACGTCCTTAATTACGTAGTCCCCTTTCAATCCGAGGCACCACGCGACCACCTTTTGATATTTGGAGCCTACTCTCAAACCCAATTGATTGCTAATTTTATGTAGGCTTTCTGGCCAACTCGTAAAGTCATCTTCTAGCTTCATGGTAACTGTGCTGATTGGTTCCCATAATCCAATCTGCAATAGGATAACCCCTAGACTATACATATCATAGTTTTTGATGTATCGTCTGATTTTGTCCGGTTCATCATGTAGTCTATCAGGATGTCGGAAAACCTGTATATTTCTTTTCGTAATGGATTGCTGTTGGAAATCGTTGAGGTTCGCGTTTAATGCCCCCTCTAGTAGAGATATCCCGGTTTCTGAACGAATGATATCGAAGCCCACTAGGTAAGGTTCGCCAATGGTGTAAGGAAAGCATGCAGAAGGCGGCGCATTGGATTGTTGGAGACTTATAACGCTTGAAGTTATCAGGTTCTTGTGGACAAATCCCGCAGTATGCAGAAAGAACAGAGCCTCGGCAAGTTTTTTCGCTAGCGTGAGGCGTTGATTTAGCGGAAGCCATGTCTTCCGTTCATTGACCATGTGTGGGTATGGAGTCCGTTCGATCATTACATCGAGGGTTAGTACCTCATCTACAGGGTGCGGTGGAACCTGGACAAAAAGGAATCGCCCCGTGGCAATCTCGTAGAAAAAGTATTCGACTTTCAACAGGGGCACGTCAGTGGCTGGTTCCAGTACATGTAGTGCTGCAGCTAGCTCGTCTAGGTCGGATGTAAACCTCCGAAACTCCTCAGAACCCGGTCTCACATTGGGCGGGAAAGGTCGGCTGGTAAGAATGAATTCCTGGGCCCCAATTTGGAATACTCTAGTAGTAGGGCTGGGACTTTCTTCAAGCAGGCGTATCAATTCGTCGGGTGGGTCGCGCAGTAATTGGCTGGTTTGTTGTTCCCTGGCCTTGGAGGCTAGACCGGCGAACTTCTTCATTCGCAAATTGGATGCTAGTATGTTTGTAATCGGGGTTCCATCGTCGCCGGCATTTGGTGCGGGGGGGATAATATTCTTTATCTCGGCTGGGAGTCCAAGAAGGTGGATATCAAAACGGTTCGTCCATTCGTTCAGCTCTTGTTCAAGTTCCTTCAAGCCTTTCCGTCGTGTAACCCATAAGCCCTGATTTATCGTTTTCTTTAAAAACCCTGAAGCTTGTATCTTGGTGAAGCTAGCGGACACTCGTCCAATGAGTACAGCTAGGTAATCGGCTGTTTCATTCAATAAAACCTCGTCCTTTGAGAGAGGTTGAATGTCAGAGCCTCGGGATCGTCGCTGCTTGAAAAAGCCGACGATTTCTTTCAAAACCCGAAGATCCCATTTAAATCGGTGGTAAAGCGAAAGGGCTTCTTGAGAGTAGGAAGCACATGCTTCTAAGTAGGTGAGAACGATATCGCCTGCTGTAACAGCCGTCGTAAAGGCATCCATGTAGATTATCGCAATGTAATCAATACATGAGTATTTAGAAGTGCTGATAACCTTTCTAGTTCAGAATATATACGAATACTGAATTACCTTGAGAGAGTTTTTAAGTACATGAGCCCAATTACCCTTTGGGAGCCCAAAGGCTTGTGCTGACGGCGGGAATGTGGCGTTCAATTTAGTGTTACGCCACCGATGAACTGTCCAGTTAGAAACTAGGTACCTAGGTGTAGGTACATGCATGCAGGTAGGTAGATACAGAAAATCCAATCTACGGCCTCTTTTATCGGATACACGAAAGCCATCTAGGTACTTAGGCTTTGAATTCTAGGAGATCCACGAAGCTATCGAGAAGCATGCTAAAACTCACCGCATCTTCGCCAACTAGGTGTATAATAGGTTGAGTATACGAGACGGTCTGGGCATAATTAATAGAAAACAAGAAAACTAGGGTTGTGGAGTCATCTAGCGAAAGTGCTGATTCCGATCGTGATGGTTATTAGTCAAAGGCACAATCTGTGGGTGGGGGTTAGAGCCGCAAAACGGGCGAGCACCCCGCGGATACCGCTATTCTTGTGTACCTAGGTATTTTCAAAACGCGTATAGGGACACGCACTTTTTGTACGTACCCGCATAGGTACTTGACTTGCGGTGGATAGGCTAGAAAGAGTTTTATGTATCATTAAACCGTCGACGTGTGTGAGCCGCAAGGAAAACCCCATATCCCATGGGATTTCTATAGTGTTAGATTGTACACGAGACTGGGAAGGATATCCGATGTGGTATGACTGCATCTAGTCCAGATAGAGAATAGATATACTTACTACGACGATAGATGCCCAATACTCCTACTTACTTCTATCTTCAAAGAGCCGCACGATCTTAGGAGACACCCAACAGTTCCTGCTAGCCTGATTTCGTACCTTGTAATCTCTAGGTATATATAAGCCCCTGAGTTGAAAGTTTATCCAGGTAGACAGACTGCCTCCTCAGCCTTGTTGTGTCGTATAATATATAGAACTACTTCCCCACCTACAAAAATCACCATATATACCTCTTATGTTAACTCTGTTATCTAGTCGGAAGTCGAATCATAACCAGGCCCTATGGATCGAACTATTGCCTTGGGTGACTCTGGAGACGTGGCCCTTATGAGTGACCTACGACCTGATAAGGTCTCACGCGCTAACTTCCACAAGTGCTTGGAATCGAGTAAGCATTACGTACGCGATTTTTACCAAAGTCTAGAATTGCTGCGGTTCGAAAATATACCTGCTCGTCTAATGAGTCGAAAGCCGAAATTCTTAATGAGAGACGAACTTATCGAATTGGATCGATGGGTCCAGTATGTCTCGTATATGCCCCTGAAATGGCCCCGAAGTTTGACCTATGATTATGTGTAGGAAACGCGGCCGCCATCTACAAATTCGCATACACAAACACAACGAAAACCTGATCAAAGGCAATAGTGACGAAGATGTAGAACAGGTTACTAGCAGAGCATATAGACAGTATTCGAATAATGACCCATTCCCCGCCATGAATACTCTTACAAGCCTCAAGGGTGTTGGACTTTCAAGGGCTTGCCTCTTGCTTTCAGTAGCCTATCCCGAAACCGTTCCGTTCATATCCGATGAACTATTCAAATGGATTTTCCCAGATAGGAATAGCGAAAAGAAAAGAAAACGGGACCGAAAGGATTGTCTCCATATGGTCAATTCCATCATATCTAGACTGACCGTCACTGCTGTTGATATCGAGAAAGTGGCCTTTGTGCTTCACTGTGAAGATATGGTAGCTGGTAAGTATGACTTTTTGCTAGACTATGTCTCTCCCAAACGAGAAAAATCTAAAATTTACGTAGGTCTTCGCCGTCCCGGTATCTCCAAGCCTCCTGGAAGACCCATTGGTGAAGGGGCATTTGGGAGAGTATACAAGACCAGAAATGCCATGGAGCCCGGGGACGAAAGAGATATCGCGATTAAGCACACCTTCAAGATACCCTCACTCAAGCGACATAGACTTTTCGCGGAAATCCTAGATTCATCGCTATTGGCAAAGGTACGGACAAAAAGTATGAGCCTCAGACTCGTTTTGTTAATTGTTCCTAGAAATCGCCGGAATACTTCGTCCAATTCATAGGATGGAATGAAGATGATTCGTCTTTCCTACTTGCGATGGAATACATAGAATTCGGGAACCTGAAAGCCAACCTCAAGAACATAGGAGATTCCTGGACACAGCGTGATACCCAAAGCGTTACAAGGCAGACATTAGAGGCCCTGAAGGTTATGCATAGCGCTAATCTGACCCACAGGGACCTGAAACCTGAGGTTGTATTCTCACTCTCGATGTACCGTTTAAGCCCAGTGGCGAATAGAAACTAACGATACCTTCCTTTTAGAATATTCTCGTTGTTTTGAATCAACTTGGTCAGATTCGTATAAAGATCGCGGACTTCGGGATCTCAAAACGCAGGTCTGATAGGGGCACAACATTCCTTCGCACCGCAGCCGGGACATTCGAGTATAGAGCGCCTGAGATTGCAAAAAGCTGGAAAGCAGAGCAAAGCAGCACCTCAAGCTTCTCATACACTGAGAAGGTAGATCTCTGGTCCTTAGGCTGTGTCATATTCGAAATGGATCAAAAGAAGAAACTATTCCCTGATGGTGCCCCTAATACATGGGACGATGGATATGACCAGAAACTGACCGGGGAACTGGATAGTACAGGATTAGGACAGGATGGGATTCAGCTGGTAAAGCAACTTCTTCATTTCAAAGCTCGTAACAGGCCTAGCGCCGAAGCGGCCCTTGGGTCGAAGTGGCTTGCTATCGGAGAATAATAGCTAGTATAATGTACACTTTCGTGACTCTAGTATTTTGTACTGTGAGTCTAATGGGCTTTATTGTTGGAGAGTGACGTGACAATTCGTTACATTGTGGATTCCTTCATGATTGATAGCGATTATAAAGATAAAATGTATAGAATAATGAATAACTTATAAAGATAAGCTTTTCTACCTTGGTTAAATACGTACGTACCTAGCTAGATAATTAAAGAGCACAACATGCAGACCAACATTATTGAAATTGGGGAGTGGATTCGCCGAAAAATCTAGGTAGTCAGGACGACAATGTTGACTAGCCTCTTTGATCTAGGAGTGTGTTTATTTAGACTACGTCGAATATTCGGGCGTGTGGGATATCCGAAATGTAGATAAACCCAATCCAGCAAACGCTACGTAACCCTCCGCATAGAATCAATTAAGCTCGCAATTGAAAGTAACTACTTTTAGGCTTAAATACTACCTAGACCGCCGGAAGTATGAATTGAAACACGCTTCTCGCAATTGAGTACCTGGGGTTGTAATTGGTGTACCTCTCTGTATTTAGGCTAAATATGTATTTTAAGGGGAAGCGGATCCACCGGTGCACCCAACACGGGTCGAGCTGATGGAGATGTCGTCGTACCATAGAGTGTTGGTGTCTCCACCGTAGGATTCCCACCCGAAGTAAATACCAGTAATCTTGGGCTTGCTGCTGCTTCTCTGCCACTGAGCGGCGTTGTTGTTGGTTACGCCAGCCTTAACGGTAAGACCGTCAATAGCTTCGCCGTTCAACCAAGTCTCAACCGTGCCATCCGTACCAAGGTGGTATTCAAAGCATTGCCAATCACCAGTTGGGAGTGCCTTAGAGGCAGCAATTCCTTGAGGTGAGAGATCGGGAAGAGTGGCGTCGTCGGATTCGCGGTTGTACATCAAGATCTTGCTCTGACCACCAATGCGGAGATGCTTGTTGCTACCCTGGGCGGAGTCAGGCATAGTGATGAATGAGACATGAGAGTCAGTAAGGGCCTTGGAAGCCTTGCTAGAACACAATTGACGTTAATATCGCTTTTTAAGCCCCGCTACTGCAGGAACTTACACAAATGCTCTGACGTAGACGTCACCGCTGGGAACCTTGGTCGTGCCGAAGAAAACGTGACCACAGAAACCACCAGCACCATCGACCCTTATGGAGTTCTTGCCACTTTTCGCAGTAGTGCTGTCGAGACTGACTTTACCGCCCTGGTTGCAGTCAGGTGCGTAGACAGGCCACGCGGCATCATCCCAACCGCTTTCAAAGTCATCGGCAGCTTGGCCGACGGCGAAAGGGACGAGGGCAAGAGCCAAAAGAGCGATTCGACCAAACATTATTGTAGATGGATTGCTGCGCGATTGGTGATGGGTAGAGCTGCAAAAGGAACCGAATTCCAAGGAAAGAGTCGAGCTTAAGATATTTATGCCCTCGGATCGTAGCTCAGGCTTTATCCCTCCGGAATTGCCAAATGCGGAAATAACGTCCCGAATTGTAGGGGTGTGCGGGATGATAGTCGCTCATTTTCGGTTAGACGGTATAAACAGCCGCTTAAGTATGGACCCCTTGGCGGAGGGTGACTGTCCTCGGTATATACAATAAAACAAAACATGACTTTTTCAATATCATGCAAGAAAGATTGTCGGAGTTCTCGATATAGATAACGCCTTTTCTAATGATTTATTGAGGCCGACAGTCAACTCGCGCTGCGCACCGTCGTGTCAAGGTTGGCTAGTGCCGGAACTTGTTCAACTGTATTGCAACCCCAGTGGGCCGATATCCCGTTACTATAAGTTATCGTTAGTATGGTTGAAGTATGGCTAGGTTTACCTCTTTTATGGTTGTTTTTTGTTGCTAAAAAACACATGCCAACCTAGAGACTTCAATCAACTCCTTTTCATAGCCCCTTTTAGCCCCTTTTTTAGTGATGATGACTAAGCCAACGGATTACATGTTTAACACATCCACGACTAAACAAAACTGTAATAATACTTATAGTTAATTTATTAGGATTTTATCCTTGGGGACACTAATAGTATCAGTTAATAAGCATGCGATACCTCTTCCAACTTTACTCACTTTGTTAGAGCAACTCTATCGACGATCTTATGTGTTTCATTTGTCATACTGGGTAGACACAATGACCACCAGATCATCGTATTGACTCTTGGGGATATACTTGATACTGGGACGTCGCTCTGTGGAAGTATCCTCGCAGGATCTCTATTTCGGGGCCTTGATAGGCTAACGAGCTCCCATCTACGATAACTCCAGTATAGATATGCGCTGCTAACATGGGCACGCATGTAAGAGAAGCGTTTGCGATACCGGCACTACAGGCTATACATGTTAGTTTCGGTTAACTAAGAGGCCTTAGAAAACGCCATGTGTACCTTTGAGTACCGTTAAGTGCCAGATCTTGTGCAGAGCATGAGTTCCTCCGTTAAATAGACGCACCCCGATAAACAAAGCAATGACCTCCAACAGGAGAATGACTAAGCCCTAGTTGATATCGAGGGAGCTGTAGAGCGTCTTGTAAAACCCCCACCAACCAGACCCATCTAACTTAGTATCTAACCACACACGCAATTTGCATTTGGCGGCGACGCAATCGGCGTGATCACTTCACCAAACGAGATAGATGGCGACGAATCTGACTGCAAGTTGCTAACCATGTGTGACTGCTGCTGTACTAGCGCACTGTTGTGTTGAATGCACCATACCACTGACGCGAGAAATAGTTAGAATTAGGGTCGACGCGTCGAGGTATCAGTTATGGTGAGAGGTCTGATATGGGCTTTGATCTTCGTAAACACTGCTAGATAAGTGCCTTAAATTTCGGCACCCTTCAACCGCAGTTAGTCTACCTAGGTATGTTCAACTTTGATATCTCATCATGCCGTAGTCGATCAATAACTTAGTAATCTGACCTGAATCCTGTCCTTGATGTGTTTAAGAATAATTACGCTGCCAAAAAAGTGGTCCCAACTGTTGTAGGGCTTCCAAACGTCAGTACGAGCGCTTGCCTTAAGTAAAGCGGAGACCACATCCACATATCCCTTATGCACCGCTATCATCAAAGGAGTATGAAAGCTACAGTTGTAATATATTGCGCGACAATTTGGATTAGCGCCCCTTTCCAGTAAAAGCCGGACCATGCTAATGCATTCGGATTCAATCGATTTCGCGCGTTCTCCCACGGCAGCCCATAACGGCGTTTCCGGTTTCCCATCGCCTTCTACGCAGGCGCCCCTATCCAGCAATATTCTGGCAATGGATGTGAACCTTCCTGCTGCGGCTAAAGTCAATGGGTTTGATCCAGAAGCCCCAGGGCCTACGCTGGCACCCTTTTCGAGTAATAGTCGGGTAATATTTTCACGGCCGTTAATCACAGCGCCACATAATGAGTTACTTTCATTGATGTGCGCACCTCTATTAAGTAACAATCTGACAATCGGTTCATTCCCAGTGCATGCCGCGTTATATAGGGGCGACTGGTTTGAAATGTAGCGGTTGACGTCAGCGCCCTTGTCAAGTAAAAGCTCAACAATCGATCGGTCCTCTGCGCATATTGCAGTTTGCAGGTGTGGCGCTTTCTTGGGGTCAATACCCTTAGCAATTAACAGTTTGACTATTGATGCCCTCCTGCGACGTATTGCAGTCTCTAAATAGAGGTCGTTCTTAGGGTCAACACCACTATCAATCAATAATTCGACGATTGGTTCCTTTGAATAGCGTATTGCATCTAGTAAGTATTGTTCTTTCTTGGGATCGGCACCCCTGGCAATTAATAATTTGACGATTGGTTCATGATCATTGCGTATTGCGGCCTCCATCGCTGCAGGGTTCTCGGCCGTGGTTCCGTGTTCGAGGATCAATTCGGCGGCATTTTTATTTCCGGCCTTTGCTGCAGCCGTTAGTAGCTGTCGAAAATCATCAACTGGTCTGAAAACGACTCCATTTGTCTTCTGCAAAATCTCCAGGATTTCAAAATACCCACCCTCTATAATATGGGAAGCGAGGCTGTATTTCCGTTTAAATTTAAATCTGCGTTTAAATCCGTCTACCTTGTCGCCGGATCGCGCACACAGATCACGAAGGTGAGGTTCAGATGGCAGATATTGTACCACTTTCTGCAACAATGCTTGGACTGCTTTGTTGCTTTTGGTGGCAAGCGCAGCAAATAACGGTGTGCCATAGCGACCTTCTTCGATACAAAAGCACGCATCATCGGGAGTGTAGTTTCGAATCAGGTCCGGCAGATTAAGCCCTGCCCATATATATGAGATAGTGGTTTTTGGATTGTATCGACGGATCTTTTTTTCCTCGAACACATTATGCCATTCTATCCATTTTTGAAGTGGGAAGGCCCGTAAAATGTTTTCCTGGTTTACCTCCTCATGTTCGGCTTTGTTGGCGTGGTATAAAATATTCTCAGTAGCATATTCGAGAAAAGGATACGTCTTTTTCACGTTATCCTGAAGTGATTCCGATCCTTCTCTAAGTGGTATGGCCGTGACGTTTAAACTGAGTACAACGTTGCTACCCAGGTAGCTATAGCAGCAGCGTTTGAGTTTTTCATGACTCTGGCCATCCAGGTTGTACTCAAGTTGGGGCCAGATCTTCTGTATTCCATTTTCCTTCAGTAGAAAATCTTGGACCGATTCGTGAATAAATTGAACTGTCGGTACATCAGAAATCGTTGATTCAGCTAGGCCTTTTGAGCTGTCGAGAACATATCTTCGTACGTCGTCGATCGATATCTCTTGTTCGGAGTGATAGCTGGATAGGCTATCTGGTTCGGTCTCTGATATGATTGCAAAATACAATTCAATTGGGATTAGTGGACGACGAGCGAAAAGCACCCACTGGATGCAAAGGAGAAGCCCAGGACAGTTGTCATCATTGCGAGTTAAGATGTCGTGAAATAAATCATGAAGATCGCTAGGGATGTCGCAAAGCTTTTCGCGGAGACAATGTTTACGTCCGCGGTCGAATTCCTTGCTCAAAATATTTGCCACAAGAACTACCCACATGAAAACCCCAGACGCCTTTTCCTGCAGTTCGGAACGGATTTGTTCTGCGAGGCGGTCTTCTCCGATGCGCAACTCCGTAGTTAAGTAATTAGCTATATCCTGGCGGTGATCTTCCCTCCCTTCAATCACTAGGTTGAGACCTTTCGCGATGGTGATATGGGGGTAATGTCTACTCGCAAAGCACACGCGCAGCTTGGTTCCGAACGAGGCGGCTTGCTCACTAGCGTTAAGTAAGAACGATAATATTGCCCGGATCTGATCTTCTTCGCATTCGTCTAATGCGTCGACAAAGCAAACTAGCGAGCTTCTTATATTCTGCAAGACATCCAAGAAGAGGTCTTCTAAAGACCTGGTGTTCCACTCATTATTGGACCCAAAGGAATCCAAGAGGTGTTGGAGATCTGACCGCGCTTTAAATAGTTGCAGTAGAAGTGATCGGTAGAGACCAACGGTAGATTTCTCCAACTCGTCTCCTCTTGCATTGAAGAAGAAGGAGATAACGATATTGCTTTGCTTTTTCTTCGAGCCACTGGCCTGCGAAAAGGAGAACTTCATTAAGGTCGACTTTCCCGCCCCGGGCTTCCCTTTAATCCATAGAAAGCCGCCATGATCGCTGAACTTAGTGCTATCAAGCCAATCACGATATTCCGATGTTTCAAGGAACCATCTACAAGTCTTCGCGTGTGCAACCTTAATATTTTGCCGGCGTGAGTCGATTTGGGTAAATTTAAGCGATTCAAGCACTTTGCGTCGTTGGTTTTTGTCGGCGTCGGGTGTTGGAGTCTGACTGGGTGGGTTACTATTGAAGATGCATTCGTGATAGTGGTTATTCGATGCTTTAATCAAAGGTTAGTTTTGGGATGCGACTTGTAGGGAACATGGCCTCGTACCGTGGAAGTCGCGCTGAATGGCAATTCTTGCATCGTCAGCGGCTTGTATTCCCAATGCCCCTTGCGCCTGCTGAGAAGAGCAATGTTCGTATTTGGGCCTCTTTCTTGGTGGATCCGTCATATGAATATCCGAACTAGATACTTCTGGAGCTTCGTTAGAACTTTTCGGAAGGGTTTGAAGATGGCATAGGTGAGTTGAAATTGTATACCTCGATGGGGCTGAGCGCCCGGTGCCGTAATATATCTAGGTAGTGTGTGCCTTGCGCTGCGGCCGCCCCGACGTACATAATAACGTCGTATAGCGGGCAATGCAGATGCAGCACGTTAGCCACTACGAGGCAGACTGCCTGTGTCCCTAGGGGCGCATATATACCTACCTAATGGTCCAAATTACTATGACATACTTAAGCTTTTCATACATCTTCTCCCATCATCAGTAATGCAGAATCTACGTCCTGAAAACTACTCAATCCTATGGATTGCGCCATTGGAAATCGAGGCACAGGCTGCATTACTCATGCTAGATCACCGTCACGATGGAAAGTTTCCGGTAGACCGTGGTGACGATTACGTTTTCCAAGCCGGGGATATGTGCGGACACAATGTTGTTATCGCAACTCTTCCAGCAGGCCAAGAGTATGGGACCGGATCGGCCGCGGCTATTGCCAGTCAAGCAAAGAAGTTCTTTCCAAGTTTATGGTTTGGTCTTCTAGTGGGTGTGGTAAGCAGCATTCGTTCCTCTAGTCTCCCGTTGGATTGGTAAGGCGGGGTTGGGGCTATATTTTGCAGTTTCAGCAGCTTACAGTGGTTTCTTATAGGCTGCAGGCCTTCCCGACCTTGCCCGGGACCCGCCGCGAGATATTCGCTTAGGTGACGTCCTCGTCGGAATCCCAGATGTGGATAGTTCAGGAACAATCGCGTATGACTTGGGAAGAGATGACGGGGACGACGAACTCGAGCTTCTACGACAAGGTCATATACTGGCTCAAACCGTACCGGTTGTCAGATCTGCTATCGGAAGCATTAAGCTTGATTCACCAGCCGAAGCTGCGGTGTTTCTCAAATACTATGAGAATATGAAGAACGAGCGACGTTCTAATGTCACGTTTCTCGACCCCGGACAAGATCGCGATAAACTTTTTCAACTTGATAATGATGGGACTGAGCATATTGTGCACAGAGAACCGCGCCCTGATACCCAACGTACTCTCGTCTGGTACGGGCCAATAGGGTCGGGCGAGAAGCTGATGAAGAACGCAAAGAGGCGAGATCAATTGAGAGACAAATACGGCATCATCGGTCTTGAGATGGAAGCAGCCGGTGTCATGAATCGCATCCCCGTTGGCGTAGTCAGAGGGGTGTGTGGTTATGCAGATAACCACAAAAATTGGGATTGGCAGCCTTACGCATCTGCGATGGCAGCAGCATACGCTAAAGCAATTTTGTCACAAATCCCTTCAAGCCGTGAGCCCGGTGGATCAGCGGTATCAAGATCTGGTGAGTAAAATGTCAGAGGGTAGTATACTGTTGGTTGCTTTGACAGATAGGCTAACTTTGGTCTTAACTTGACAAGAAACCTCTGCGAATGAAAAATCCAAGAAGCGCGACAGGGGCGATATAACGGACGAGGACGGGGATATAACTACTAGGAAGAAGCGCAAACGTCCCTCCAGAGCTACTAGAACTTCGGCTGGCAGGTCGATCGCAAAATTCAGTGGTCAAGGTAACCAAATTACAGGGTCTGGAAGTATTTCCATTGGTGGAAGCCAAACTTTCAATTGACAGAAGTAGTTGGCCAATGCTTACCCGGACTAGCGGGCGTTTATTAGCTATCTACCTACCTGGGGGCACCCCTCAATAGCGGCTGTTCATCAGCACTGCCAGTGCGGGTGGGCTGTGTTTGTGTCTGGCACTGCCTTAGTGGTTTAGCACCTGCAGCTTCACCTGTCACACGACAGCTGGCGTCTGAGCAAAAGATATCATCGTACGATATAATTCCCTAAGCTGGACTTCAGTGGTTCAAATTTACGAAACCCTACATATGAATCTCTGTCCTTCCCACCTGCCTAGGTGTCCATGTCACTCATAGCCCCGTTGGTAAGACCTCTGATCGTGAAAAACATGCGACCACCCGCATCGTCTCGGTTGAAGACGTATTAACAGGATAGTGACGAAACAAATACGTATTTCGGGTTGCGACACCGATGCTAGTCTAAAGAACGGCAGCCAGCGTCCCCGTCGCACATATATAGGCGGAGATCTTGTAGGTATAAGTAAATATCGTCATTATAGATAACCGTCACACAGGACGCGTGGGGGATGACGGAAATATGTCTAGAACTCTAGGTTAGCTACTTGACAAGGTGGTTACTTGGGCATATTAGTATTGTTTAAGTTTAGGTACATGGGTGAGTGCCGTTATAGAAATAAAATACGAGAGATTATCTTCAATTCAGGGGTAACATTTTGAATTAAGTAAGTGGCATACGTAGACCACTTTAGCACTTGGAAACCTCGTTAGAAGAACCACCACCACGTTATACCATTTCAAACAAGCTTACTTGTTTTTTCCCCGAAATGCCGCGACCTCAAGTAAAATCAGAGAAATCCATGATGAAAGTGGCCGAGCGACCGGTGTCCGGTTCCTATTTCTCGGCGCCACCAAGCACCGACACTCCACCCCCTTACAGAAAGGTACATAGGTACTTAGACACAAACAACTTACAAAAGGCGAAACGTTACGCTCTTCTCAACATCAAATAAAAGTGAAGTTTCAGTTCATATTCAAAATAGTTTCTATCAACATGTCTCTCACAGTCGGAATCGCTGCCATAACCGGCAAATTCGCCCGCGAGCTTACTTCGTTCCTCCTCAAGAACCCTGCCATCACTATCAAGGGATACTGCCGCGACCCTTCTAAAGTTCCAGAGTCATTCTTTTCCAAGGTATCTATCGTGAAGGGCGACGCTTTCGACACATCAGCTATCCGCTCTTTCGTTAGTGGTTGCGATGTCGTGGTTTGCTGCTATCTCGGCGACGCCAAGTTGATGGTCAACGGCCAAACTACCCTCATTGACGCCTGTGCCGCCGAAGGAGTTCCACGATATGTAGCTTCCGATTGGTCTATCGACTACACCAAGCTTGAGCTCGGACAACTATTCCCCAAGGACCCTATGATTCGCGTTAAGGCGTACCTAGATGCCCAGGACAAGGTTAAGGGCGTACATGTCCTGGTGGGCATGTTTATGGATATGGCATTTAGTCAAGCTTTCCAGGTCTATGATCCTGCTTCATCGACCCTCAAGTACTGGGGCACCGGCGATGAGATCTGGGAGGCCACGACTTACCGGAACGCAGCTGAGTTCACGGCCGCTGTTGTTGCTGACAAGGATGCCGTCGGCGTCAAGAAACGTGAGTAATCAGTGCACTAAAGGCGAACATTACGGGCGATGGCTTACGTAAGTGTAGTTGTTGGCGGTCGTGCGACATTCAAGGAGATCTCTGGAGCATTTGAGCGTGCCTATGGGGAGAAGCCTAAGCTTGAACGCCAAGGCTCAGCGGATGATTTGTTCAAGCGCATGCACGAGTTGCGTCAGAGTAACCCGCAAAACATCTTTTCGTACCTTTTCTTGTAAGTATCAAATATCCCTAGGACATTAATAGCGTCTAAAACTGCCTAGATTCTTCCAATACTACATGATTAACGGGCAAACACTGCTAGGCCCCAATCTAGATAATCATAAGTATCCTCAGGTAAAGCCTGTGAGCTGGGAGGATTACCTTAAGAGTACCCCGAAGGATCAATTGCCCGGTGCACCAGGCAGAGCAGGTCAGAATGTCTAAAAGCGAGGAAAAGGTTGATATTGTGAAATAGTCATTAGGTGATTAAGTCCTGTACTGTTATACATTCATTCGGTTTTTGGTACAAAAAGGGGATAGCAGTGGACTAAAATAGAATCGCACTGTACAATTCAACATTACTTTTCCTCCCAATTACCCACTACAAGATCCTAATCGGGGCCCCAAAGCTTACGATCACTTCTTGAACTGGCTTTCCGTCTCGATCCACGTTCCGAAGTCCTTCATGTCGGGGTTTATCTTCTTCAACGATGGGATATCGGCCCCATACCCGACTTCGCGGAACCATCTGAACATGTATCCGAGCTCCTTCACCATCCAGTTGATGATCGTTGCGATGAAGGTGTAAGTAGTAGGTATGTTCTCGCCAGTTTTCTGTTTGAATATCGACGCGAATTCATCGTACGTAAGCTCATCTCCGGCCAAGCTAATCTTCTTATTCTTGTACTCCTCCGGATGCAAGAAAGCCTGTGCTGCAAAGAACCCGATATCACTAGTCGCAATCAACTGCAACTTTTGGTCCTTCCTTAGGTTCGACTGGTAGCTAGTGGTAAAAACCTTGCCGAAGAAACCCGGCACGAGATTTTCGAAGAAAGCAACCGGTCGCAGAACAGTCCAGTCCATCTCCCCGCTCTTCGTCTTCTCGAAAAGGTACTTCTCGATATTGTGCTTACTAATGAAATGTGGGATGTCCGTCGGGTTATCATCCGACTTAGCGGGGCCGCCGCGATCGACAGATGAGTACACCAAGTGCTTCACACCATTCTTGAGCGAGGCATCAATGAGCGCCTTGCCTTGCACTTCTTCAGTCCTGTGACTAGCACCGCCACCAATAGCTGCCTAACGAACATTTAGCATGTCAAAACTCCTGGGAGTATCTCCGTTATATCATACCTGTACGCTGAAAACTCCCCATATCGGTGTCTTCGTAATCTCTCTAGCTTTGGCGAAAATGTTGTCAGTGGCGTCCAAGTTCCCCGCTACTAACTTGATTTTGGGCGATTTCTGCACAAGTCGCTGCGCGGATGCTGATTGGGAATCCCGTGTGAGAGCAAGGATCTCAAAGTCGGCATTTGCCTTGAGCAGTGCATTTACAACTGCGCCCCCCTGCTTGCCTGTGGCACCTGTGATGAGAACTGCGCGAGACATGGTTATATTGGTGTAACCTGGATGAAAGTGAAAATATGGTAGCTTTTAAGACGGTGAAAAACTCGAATTGAGAGTGAAATAGGAGAAAACAATGAGTTAAACAATTAAAAATTCGATCATGAATTGAACATGACTGGAATGGTATTTTATGTAAATCGACGTCAAAGTGATGTTTGTGAATAGCAATTCATGGAATGCTGACCAATGAGAATTGACTCGGAGCTCCAAGACACCGGGAAACTCTTGTTTGCCCGGGACCTGTTGCGACCGACTAAAGACACGCCCTCACCTATTTTCAGCTACTAATGCTACTTTACCCCGCTATAGATTCCGATCTATCGACCCACTATAGATCGATACCCGCCGCCGACGTGAAGATCCCGGAGTCAATTGAGTCCGATGACAAACCAACAAATTTTACATTTCGTTCCTTCTCGTAACTAATGTTTACAAAGGCTTTCATGATGATGATAAATCTTGTTGCCTGGTATTACGATGGGCTTGTTCGCTATTCCGAAGGCTAGAAATAACAACTCTTGGCGTGCCTTACAAACAATTTTAATAATAATAAACGATCATGATGGAAAACCGGATTCTGTAGCATTATATGTGGGGTATTTCTTCATCGTCATACGAAGCCATCGTGATTGTACTATAGGACTTCTAGAAAGTAGCGATTATGTAATTACAACAAAGACCATAGGCCTCCATCACCCTCACCCGTCTGCATCATAAAGTTATCCATATCTCTAATATCACCAAAACCGAATTCGAAATTACCTAAGCCCGTATCGAAGTATCCAGAACTAAAAGTTGGATCCAAGGCGGCATTAGCGACTGTTGCGTCAGCTAATGTTCGAGTCTCTCCAAGAGCCTGTAGACTGGCATCCCAGTCATTCTGTATAATAGGCATTCCAATCGAGACATCCCCTTCAGTCCCAAACCGAGCTTGCTCGTTAGTTTGAATTTGGGCAGGTGTAGGAAAATCCGATACCGTAGCTGGTGGTGAAGCTGGAGGGGTCTGGGTTCCAAGGACATCATGAATAGCCCCGCCACTTCCATCATCGCAACTCCCATTATTACTGTTCAGGCAGACGATTTTCTTCTGTTGGTACCAAGACTTCAATTTCTGGAAGGCGTTTAAGAATGGCCGTGATTGCGGGAAGAACCCATGTTGCGAAAGTCTAGCGAGCTTCTGAATCATTCCTTCGACGAGATCTAGCGGGGAAGGTACGTCGTATATATCGCCATGACTCGTTCGATAACGTGATAGATCATTAGTGAAATGACCAAGTCTAATAAGGCAAACTGCTGTAGCTAGATTCCAGATCAAAAATATATTAGGAAGAGAGCGTGCAAGGGCATCGCCCAACGATAGATAGGTATTAAAGATGCCCGCGCCCGTCTTTAGGCAATGTAAGAGCGCGTCAATATGTGTGACCGTGAGGGCTGGTCGAGTTAGGGTTGTTTTACTTTTCTTCACGCTTTGAAGCCAAGAGACCATCTGGCGGCTGTAGATGCGGATGGCCACCTGGTGTATGTAGAGATCGGCTACTGAAGCTGCGATGCTTTTGAGCTCTTGGGGGTTGCGGATGTCAGCTAGGCTTTGGTGCAACCGCGTTGATGATAATATACTTACGGGGTTCAATGTTCCCTGACGCAGATTGTTTCCAATCAGCTAACCTCTGCCGGAAAATCCCCAGTACGTGCTGAGTCCTAAAATCGTCGAAGGGTTCTTCGGTAGCCTGATATGGGGCGTTCAAAGTTTTCGAAGCCTCGTCGAAGATCTCCTGAAGAGCTACCAGGTTACATAACCATTGATCATCGTTTCGCCTGTCGGAGTCTCGCATTAGGGCTTCCATACAGTCTCGGTGGGATGAGGTGAACAGAAGCGGTTGATGGCGGCGTAGAAGAGTGGTTGAGCTGTTGAATGTTAGCCTTTAGATCATGTATGCCCGGCAATTTTGACTACTGGGCATTAGAAGAGGAATAAGTCGCGGCTACTCACCAAGATGCGCCCAAATAGACTGCTAATAACGTTCGATGGATCTCCTTTGCACTAGCTTTATCCCTCCCATTTAATTTAGGCCCTGTGCTTAATCCAAGATCGTGCGACATCACCACGGCGCTGTATACATGCTGGGGTAGTGCGAAGGATCTGATATGAGGAGGTTGTATATAGTATTGTGAGAAAAGGATCATAGATTGCAATAGGTCAAGTGATTTAGCACCCTGGATGAATACATCCTGAGCTAACGTATTGTTAAGCCGTGTTAGGAGAGGGGGTACGAGAGATGGCCTGATAGAGGCGCTGGCGACCGTCATGATGGTCAAGAAGAGTATAGGCTTCTTCATCCTAATCGCAGATACATCTTCCTCGGATGAAATCTCAATAACAGGCATCAACGGGCGCATATGGAGATTCCAATGATCAAATAGAAGCGAAGCCGTGGAAGCGTCCACCAACCTCTGGTTCACAACATCGCCATACATCGCAACATCCATTCCGACATCGTTAGTCACACGCTCCGGTTGGATCCGCCGTTCGGCATGTGACAGGAAGTCATCTTCTCTACCGTTAGAATCTGGAGTGGTAGACTGTAATGCTTCGCCCCTCGTTTGATTAGGCGAGTGTTGGTTTCGTCGCCTCTCAATTTCCAAGGCGCTCGTCAAAGCATCAATCCTGCTTTCAAGCTCGGAGAACTTTTGAGAGGTCTTCATGCGCGCCTTCGGTGGACCCGGATCTTGGCAAGGCCTTGAGAGTCTTAGACAAGTCTCGCAATCTTTAGATCCAGGGACCGAAACACATTTTATCTTCATGTTGCGACATGTCATACATGCCCTGATTCTCTTCACGCCCGTTTCGGGCTCTCTCGTGAGAGTTCCATTTTCGGGTAAACTGGAAAAGCTATTAGCTGATGCCATTGCTACCGGCATCAATCATGGTGTCTTTCACAACATTACTCGGTCAATTGGTTGAGCAATTGTCCGTTTAATGTGGTTGACAACCACTCGGGGAAAAAATGATGTTAGAAATTAAATGTTGTTGGGTTGAGTGAGTTGATGTTGGTTCATTTCAATAGAAGACTTACGTACCCAGGACCGGGTGCTAAGTTTATTAATCTATAGGTCCCGAGGTATCATTCTAGGCGTATTATCTAATACAAATCTGCGGAATTAGATGCTGAGTAATCGCGGGGTAGTTCTGCGATTTTTTGCTAGCGCCTGAATCTACCATAAGTTTTACGTGGACCTCGCTATACTAACAGAACTCTATATGCTAACTTTAGGGAATTTTGGCGTATTATTCCCTACATTTACAGCGCTTCATTGTCTGCGTTTCCCTAAACATAGCAGTCATAGCACTTACTCGGCAGCTCATTCAAGCACTATATAAGGGAATAGGCTGCCTAACTCGCTGGGTTTCGGTTCCTTTTTTTTTTTTTTTCTTTTAAAAGGCTCATTAAAATTTACTCTATTCTCTGGGCTGACTTAGTCTTTACCATCATGTACGCACCTTACAGGATTAACATTGGCTACCTGTTTGGGGTCAGTATAACTTGGACATAATTACCTAGGTAAACTAGGTATCTTGCTAAAGAAGTGGGTGGTGTTGTGCTTTTCAAGATTAATGTTACGACTGAAATATCTTTAGTCAGCTATATCCCCACAAAGCTCTCTCTCTTAGCGATTCAGTAAGAAGATATAGTGCCTGAACCCAGTATTCTAGCGCAGAAGCCCGCTACAATTTTGGTGGATATCGGGCTCTATCCACTATAACTATAGTGGATGGAACCTGCTTCGGCATAGTCTTAGTCAGCCGAGTAAAACTTTCATTGCATTAGTAAGTAATCATGTAAGCAAGAAGACTCTATCCTGATGACATAAGCATATTTCTGTAAGCAGTTATCTCTTACATAATCCCTTCTCAACCGCCTGTCGCTTTCCCCCAACCCTTTTTTTTTTCACGTAATTTCGTACGAAGATTAACTATTCCATATGATGTACGCAAACATGATACGGCTTATAATATAGAAAAGCGTTTAAACACTCAATCCGTATACTACTCTGTCTAATTCATTCACCTCTTAATTTCAATTCTCACCAAGCCACCACTGCTACTGGTCCACGCGGAAAGATTCTCACTAGTAATTTGCGAATCTCATCCATCATGAGGATTCCCAAGGCGAGTGGTACGGGTATCAGCCAGAATTCAATCGGAACCGATGTAGTACTAAATAGCGTTTGAATACCCGGAACTTCAGTAACGAATATGACAATGATGAGACTAATTACCATACTCAAGATTAGCCATGGATTTCGTCGTTGTTTGGTGAATGGGTCGGCCTGCACGATAGAAAGTCGACGGTTCCTTACAGCTAGGAGATTACCCCACTGTAAGAAAACGAGTGTAACAAAATAGATGCACTGGCCCGTGCTGTTGAACGCCACAAGCTGTTCTTGCGAGTAACCATGAAAACCATCACCGTACCCTCCGAATAGGAAGAAGAGCTCGTGGATCGGGATCCCTGCATACTTCCACATGTATAGGAAGAACATGGCATGCGCAGTACATGTCTCCATGAAGCCGGTAAAGAGGTATGCCTGCCCGTAGATACGGGCTGTAATAAGATGGTCGTGCTTATGATTGCGGGGTCGTAGCGAGAGCACATCGAACTCGGCATTTTCCATGATAAGCGACAGCGACGAGAACAAATCGGTGAAAACACATATAATAATCATAAGGAATGAGCTGAGCGGTAAAGGCACGCCGAAGAACACATTCAGTATGACCGGCCAGATTTCCGACCAACTACCCGCAGATAAGAGGTACGCAATGACTTTCTGCAGGTTCTGGAAAACTAACCGCCCAAGCCGAATAGCCTCGAGGATAGAGTCGAATCGGTCTAGGAGGACTAGGTCGGCTGCCTCAATAGCTACATCGCTCCCGCTCCCAATTGCCACGCCCACGTCTGCAGCACGCAATGCTGGTGCATCATTAACACCATCTCCCGTCACAGCTACAACATTGCCGCGCTCCTGGAACTCATTGACAATACGAAGTTTCTGTTCGGGTGTTGTGCGTGCGAAAACAATCTCCTCATACTCACAGACTATGTCCCAATCTTCCTTAACGAGGCTCGACAGCACAGAACCCTCTAGCAACAGACTGCGCCCAGGTTCCGACTCTTTATCGTCACCTGGTGTGGTGGACGACATTGGTCTGTTACGAACATCTTCAACGTGGTCGACTTTTCCTTGGCTAGTGAAAATGCCTAAGCTGCGTGCTATGGCTGCAGCTGTGAGGCCATAGTCGCCGGTTACCACTAGATCATCAAATATCAGTTGGGTTCGAGATGAAAAGGGTCTTCTGGTATTACTTACTGAAAAAACGCGCACCAGCACGACGGCATTCCGCAATTGTAGTCTGAGCTTCCGGACGAGGTGGATCGAGAATACCGATAATGCCGATTATCGTGAGGTCTCGGACCGCATGCCTCGCAATCTCGTCGCTGAACTCGTTCGTCGCACGTTGGCTGGTTGATTCCATTTTCTTCTCACACAAGACAATAACTCGTTCAGCATTTGTTGATAGCTGGTCCTGGAATGCCTTGAAGGCACTGCGCGCCGCTGCATCTAATGGCTGAACAGAATCTGTCCTACTAGACCAATACTTGGTGCATCCACCGAACAGTACATCCGGGGCGCCCTTGATAAATACTTGATATTGGTTATTTGTCTGGCTGCTCGATTGAGGGTCGTGGTGCATGGTGAGCATCCATTTGTTCTTGGAGTTGAATGGGATTTGGTAAGCTCTAGGATGTTCCGCCTTGAGTTGATCCAATGTCTTGCCACGCGCAAAGAACCTAAGCAGGGCAGCATCGGTCGCATTGCCTTGAATAGTGCGTTCATTCAATCCCAGATGCAATGAGGTCGGATCAAATGAAGCATCATTGCACAAGAGTGCAGCCGAATGCAACCTCCGGACTGATTGACTCACACTTTCCTTCTCTAGTGCTTGAGCTACCTCGTTGGGCGATAACTGTTGGTCGATAGAGCATAACGAGGTTACACGCATTTGGTTTTGTGTCAATGTGCCTGTCTTATCAGAGCATATTACGTTGACACAGCCCAGTGTCTCAACGGTGGAAAGGCCTTTAGGAAGGACGTTGACAGCCTTCATGCGACGAGCAATCATCATCAAAGTGAGAGATACTGCGATCGGCATCCCTTCTGGTATGAATGCTACGACTGTACCCATAACATTATTGAGCATCGCCACTACATTCATGTATCCAGGATGGCCACGTCTTAGCCAACCGACCCACGTGAGCGCGATAAGTAGAGCAAGGCAGATTGTTAGACATACGATGATCCTTACTGTACAACTAAAAGTCAGCATAGATTGTTCTAGTGGAATTCCACACGATGGAACGGCTGCTCTTTCGAAGAGCCCCGATTCGCAAGAAAAACAGAACTGGGAGGCTTGTAACTCATAAATTACGTACCAAATCGCCAAATTTCGCGCTGAATGAGGGTGGGCTTTTCGTGAACACTACTCATGGCGTGGGCAATGCGACCCATAACAGATCGTCCTCCCGTCAATATCACAACACCAGTTCCTGAACCATTGACAACGACACTACCCATCAATGCAATATTACGGCTTTCGAGAATATTAGGGTCCGTACTTCCAATGGTGCCTTCGGTCTCTTCCGATTCGCCAGTTAGCACAGAGCGGTCGAAGCGAATATCTCCTGAGTGGCTCAGCAGTCGAAGGTCAGCCGGAACTCTATTACCCATCTTGAGATGAACAATGTCACCGGCGACGAGCTGGGTTGCAGGAACAAGGATATCCTTTCCCTCTCTCAGAATGGGGGTTTCTGATGGGAGCAAATCAGTGATTGATCGCATCGTGCGTGCTGTTGTCCAATCTTGAACTGCGGAAAAGCCGGCTTGAAACGTAATAACGATGAGCACTAAAATTGCCAATGCAAGATTCGTCGGCGATGGTGGATCACTCAATGGTTTCCAACAAATAAAGAATACGACGACGCCAACCCATAATACGGAACAGAAACCACCAAATACATAGAAAAAGAGCTTCTTGAGATAGTTGGTCTTGGGCTTTGGCAGTGTGTTCGCTCCATCGCGTTCAAGCCGTATCGCTGCCGCATGGTCCGAGAGCCCTTGCGCCGCGTCAACATTAAGTTGCTGGCAGACTTGGGCAGGATCCAATTCATGATATGTAAGGTTCGCGAAATAATCTCTATCGTCCTTGTCGACGTCGACAGCTTTGAGGTCGGGCGGACTAGTGGAGTCGACATTGCGCGATTCGGATACATGAATGGACAGTGTGCGATATTCGATAGGAAGACCGGAGTAGCCAGAGACATGTCTTCTGGAGCTGCGACTCGAGCCACGACTCATTGATCGACCTGCCCCTCTTGAGAGAGAACGCGAGCCATCTTGATCAGGAAGCCTACGGCCACGATCTTGACCTCCGCCCTCATTTAAGTCTTGAATGGTAATATGAAGGTCGTGATTAGTCTCTCGTTGCCGGCTGCTCTCATGCGCCATAGCTGCTGAAGCGACCGAGATTTAATTGATGTGAGTGCCGATGACACCCTCGGTATTGACATAAGCATTGTCGCAACTACCACGCAAATATATACAAAAAAGTCGAACCCCATCCTGCACTTGTTATTATTTACTCCAATTCTCCGTAATTTCTTGATTGCGATGGGGTGGTTGGTCTATTACACGCATCGAATCGACCCGTTGGAATGGCGCAACCGAAAATCGCTCATATTGTGCACAAAATCAACCTTTAGGCGAAAGAGTTTGGTGCAATGACCATTGGTTGATCATTACGTGAAATTTACCTAAATGATTACAAAGTGTGCCCCCAGACCTAGCAACATCACATGTCGCCGCAATTTGGAACGTTGGTAAAGGCTACAAGCCGATAGGAGGGCATCGTTAGCCGTGAAGAAACGTCAAGGTCAATTCCCTGGATCTAACCCTGACCTAGCCGTGGGCTGCCTCCCAAGCACGCCAGGGCCCCAAATACATACCTGGTATAAGGATTATTGTTTGGAGCAACTAAATCGGGAATTCCGAATTAAGTATCTCGTCGGATACGACAACACTGAGCCAGGAAGCAGTTGCCTACCGCTATTATTGACGGTGATGATTTTTTATCTTAGCTAAGTGCATCTGAGATGCATCAAGTCATTTCAGCGCCGCCTATAAGTGTGAAATGCTTTCTGTGCCTGGATGGGTTCGACCTGGTAGGCTCTTTCGTAGTTTTTCTAGATATCCCAAGTTAGTTATGGCTGGTGCGCCACCCGAACCCTCTTCTTCGAAACCATCATCCCAAGGAGCTATAGTCACTGCGCTATGTGTAGCTCTAGCTATTTTGATATTCTTCGCAGCACTTCGTGTGCGACGAGCAGCTGCTCTATCCATGATTCGCGAAACTGGGCCAAGGAAAAGGCTACCAACCAACAGAGTCGACTCAATTCCTCTTATCAAGTACACTGATGCCAGAAAGAGATACCTCAAAAATAATACTACCCATACCCTCTTAACCGCTGAACTACCAGGAATCCCACCAAGAAGCGACCCGACTACGCTTCGTGTTTCCGGCCCAAACGCGTCCAGAACACCGGTAAACCCGACCATACAACAGCGCTGGAAGAAATTCTTCCCAGGGTTATCAAATACTCCCCAACCAACAACTCGAGACATTCAACAATCCTGTCCAACCTGCACCGAAGACTTCCTAAATGATGATAACGTTCGATGGTTACCCTGTGGACATATATTTCATCCACGGTGTATCGATCCATGGTTCAAGGGCTCCGCAGTCACTTGCCCTCTATGGCAGGTGCCCCAGTTGTGTAAGAGAGACATTGTACTGACTCAAGACCTCGTCCCTTCTAGTCGCTTTGATGTCAGCACGGCTCTGGTGGATGACAGCCTACAGAGACCCCCAAGAGCACGAATCTCTACCTTCGGTTCACAGCGAGTATGACATGGGTATCCTCGTCGCCTATGTCGTAGCACTTACTCATGTGGCTTGGGGTTCCTAAAAGTCCCTACCCCGTCTATAATAAGAATGGCTTCGTAAAATTTATTCAACTCATTTATCCAACCGCTCCCTAACACAACAGCCAATGGACATCACAGCTATCTACTACGAGCATATAATATTATATTATATATATATATCAAGTTGATAGTTGAATATCGATGGATATCGCATCAAAGATCATCAAAAGTGATAACGGCGCTAGCGAGCTATGTTGTAGCATAAGCCTAGTATCAGAATAGAACGCCTCCACCCGTGAACTCCAGCAGCAAGAAAATGATAGATCCAAGCCCCCACCATGAGTGAAATACGAACAAGGCCACGTAGAAAGCCTTCACCGATACATCAAGGACTAAGAACCGCGAGGAAATATTTTACCAACCAGCCAGGGACCGGGTCTCCGTAATGATGGCGGCGAAATCAGGATATACGAAGTCGCGCCGCATTGGCTATCTACCAATCAAATCTCGACGGCTAGACGGAGAAATAGTAGTGATCCACTCCCCTGGTTAGCTACGCTAGGTCCCCACATAGTAACCGATATTACCCCTGAGAAATAGCGTGTTAGGGCACTCGTCTGCAATATGACGGAAATGGGAGACGGGAGAGTGTGGGGGTTCCGTGATCTTACCAGTTATAATGTCGACATAAGTCATCAGGCATTCCCATCCTAAGAGCCCACGTTTTCACCTCCCTTAACAACATAATCCCTATCTCTCACACCTAGACATTTTCCTCCTTTAACTCAACATGCGGATAATTATACCCAGTACCAAGACTAGGATCCTACCCCAGGCGTATTAGAAACGAATACAGACAGTATCGCAGCATACGCTGCTGTCACCACCATCATCTCTAAGTTCGAAGCTCTCAGCATCACTGTAACGACGCAGGCAAAGAGTATCACCCAAGCTGCGATTACTGCAAGCTGAGTCTTCCTATTCAACTCCCCGGATAATAGTACTAACGGGATTATCAGGAACATCGCCGTGGTCAATGCTATTACCAATCGGCTGGTAATATTAGCTATCAGGTCTGTGCTCTGGCATGACCATCGATGATTCGCATTTTGAGGCCTCGGATGTTCACAGGCGCTTTTATGGTTACTTTCGCTTCCGCAGTAACTTTCAAGGCCACTCTCATGGCTATTTTTACAGTCGTTTTCGGCTTTATTTTTTAATCGCCGGTAGCGGAAAAAGCGGAGCAGGCGGTGAATCCATCTTTGGAACGGGTCTTTCCGGTCCCGTGGCCCCCGATCGACTCGCAAAAGCCGGGTCTCGTACATTTCGTGGATTGTGAGATCATGACGCTGGCTGCATTGCTCTTCATTGTCAAGTAGCGAAAATGTGTCCATTGACATAATCTTATTAAATGCGATTAAAGCCTCATCTAAATTGCAGCTTCCTCAGCTGGTGTCCCGGCTCTAGCAGAAGTTTACGTACCATATTGTTGTAGAAGTCCGCGCAATTTTAAGATAAGCTCCTGATTAATCTTTTTGTCGAATTCGGGGACTTCCTCATCCTTCCGACAAAATCGGAGTCCTAGCCTATCGTCGGGCGTCGGCGGTATCCCCAACTTCAGCCCCGCTTGGTATATGTCATGGTCTACCTCAGCGATCTCGGTTTCTAGGAAACGAAGGTTGAGCAAGTGTGTTGTTTTAAATCTGCGAAATCCATGCAGTGTTAGGTTATTATCAGCCGTACTGGTTTGCCAGTGGGTGGAAAATTGCCTCTTAAGTTTTGAAGGACTATCTTGAGACATGTCAGGTATTTAACGCTAAACGCAAGCTAGCAGGCAATCCTAGATACTCGAAACAAAAAACAACAATAACAACAACAACATCGCAACCCTGTTTTATATGCATGTAGCTTCAATTGTCCTTCGCCATTTAGGACAATTGAGAAGGCAATGAGAAAAATCCATATGCAACTTAAGGCACTCCTAGAGGTTGATAAGTACAGCCCCGCAATGCCTTCTGCACGTCATATAGGTTATTACGACGCTCGTAGCGGCTTACATATACTTGCTGGACAGCGGAGTATTCATATCTGCCGTCTTAGGTATTTAGATACATATGTCAGACCTATCCGATCCCTCGCTAAGAACGACATTACGGCGGTCTAGTGGGTCTTAAGATGCAAAACGCCGTGCGAACCTTGGAATACCTATATAGTGTAGTGGCGTAATGCATTGTGTCCTTGTAAATACAATGGGGTACATGATGAAGGTCTCTGCGTTTATAGGGGCTATAGCACACATCCCGCTATAGAATTAGTGCCCAACCCCCCTTATAAAGAGCGCATTGTAGTACCTAGGTACCTTACTAAAATGCCCTGTAATAGGTACTGTAGCTATAGAGCCCCGAGCTCCGCAAAACCTACCTAGGTACCTAGGTAAGGTTATAACTACAGCACACTTACAGCGTTTATAGCCCTGTGAATTTAGCCCTGACGATGCGGTCCGCCTTCGAATGTTCATAGCATCATCATTTGGGACGAAAAGAAGGGATCACACTAAAAGCCAGAAGGTGCCCGTCCACCCGACACTTTCTTATCTCATTGAAATTAATAAATAGTAGTTTTCATGGAGACGATTCTATCTTGATACATAAATGAAGTAATTAATGAGAATATTAAGATTAGTCCGTAAGTCCGTCTAAATCGGTTATAGCCGTCTAGCCCCCTTTTTTACTCTTCCCAATATTCACCCCCATCATACACTTCATCGTATCCCTCCCCTATATACTCTTCTGCGTAACTTTCTCCATACTCCTCTTCTTCATATCCCCCTTCATATTCCTCCTCTTGATACACCTCTTCTTGATACGCTGCCTGATATCCCTCTTCTTGGTACTCAACCTGTTCCTGGTATTCTTCTTGATACTCTCCTTCCTCTGGTTCCTCGTATTCCAGGGCCTCATACTCCGGCTCTACATACTCTTCTTCGTACTCTGCCTCACCTTCTTCTCCACCTTCTTCTACCTCTTCTACCTCTTCCTCATAATACTCTCCCTCGTACCCTTGGTTTTCGTCGGCGTTATCTTCGTCGTTACCGCCATCGTCATCCTCCCCTTCCTCAGACTCTCCTTCATTTTCGTAAGAGAATTCATATGCCTCTTGGTCGTCATCAGCCTCTCCATACCCCTGTTCGGCATATTCTCCCTCGTATTCGTTTCCATCACTGTTATCATCGTCATCGTCGTCTACTGCTTCCCCTTCCTCTTCATGTCCGTCTACGTCGCTAGAATTATACGCTTCGTATTCTCCCTGATAGTTGTAGTCAATATCTTCATCGTATGTGTAATCTCCGTTGATATTTCCCTCAGCTTCGTCATCGACATCCTCGTCGGAATTTTCATCCTCATCCTCATCTTCGTCGGCATCTTTATCAGTGTCCCAACCATCCTGGTTTTCATATAATATATTAGCATCGGGTTCCCAAACCCCGTTGTTCGCCTCAGTGTTATCATATCCAAAGTTCGAATATTCTTCCTGGTAGATCTCGCGATCCTCTTGTTCATCTCCAAGGCCTTCGCCTTCGTTGAAGTCCGAGTCGGAGTCATGGTCAGAGTTATCTTCCCAGCTGCTCTCGGAGCTATCGGTGTAGTATTCAGCACCGTTCGGGCTGGGGAGAGTCTCAATCTCCGTATTCTGTAGATAATCGTTACCAATACTTTGGGTGGCTTGATTGTCGTTGTTGTTTTGGTTTAGGATAGATACTCCTATAGCTGCGATAGCCCCGCCAGCTATAATCCCACCTGCCGCATCGGCTGCGGCTTTGCCCCAACCACCCGAGCTGTGGCTTTGATCATTGTTATTCGCTGGCGCACCATAAGGGGCCGGGTCAAAGTGGGTGTTTGGCACTTGCTTTTGCTCGTAGCCGGGATATGGCTCTCCGTATTGGGGTTGAGTTCCATCGAAACCTGGCTGTGGCTGGTTTGGCGGTGCCTGGTTTGATGGTGGTTGATCTTGTGATAGTTGAAATGGCGGTGTCTGACTTGGTGGTGCCTGGCCTGGGTTTACTTGAACATTCACAAACTGCCCCCCTTCATTTCCATGGTAAGATGAAGCCTGTCCCTGGCCATTGGCGTTCCACGACTGGCTCTGCTGGTAATAAGAGGCACTAAGACCTTGACCCTGATGATTGGGTCCTCCTTGAGGACGGTAGGTACTACTGCTACCGAAATCGCGCCTAGACTGCACGTACGGCGGAGAAGGATGCTGGACCGTTCCATTCATCCCCCGAGGATTGGGCGGTTGGTTTGATGGGGGAGTCCAAGCCTTGAATTGCTGGTCCCTTGGAGCTTGAGGAATACTTCGCTGCCCCGGACTGGGCTGGTCCTTCCCACGGAGTGACGAGAAAGCCTTACCAAGAAAACCAAGTGTCGAATGAGGTTTCTGGGACTCAGGCTGTCGAGGTGCACTCACGGGATGCTGAAATTGAGGCCTTGCCGGTGGAGGCAGTGCACGGATAGAGCCTTGCATAGGAGATTTTCCTTGTGACGGCATACCTGCAAAGCTCTGTGGCTGGGGCTTGGACTGCTGCGGCGGTGGCCTCACGGGCTTTCGCATCTGAGGGTTCGTCGGAGCAAAACCTGCTGGCGCCCTCTGCGGAGGTCGGGACTCCATGGCCGTCAGTGAATTGGGGGGAAACCCCACAAGTCCTTGAAGAACGTTTCCTGGCGCTCCCGGAACTAGTCGTCTTTGGAGTGCACTAGGCCCTCCCTTTGTGCCTGTCCCTGGTTGGAGGGATTGGGGCATTGGTCCTGTTCCATTCCTGGGTGCTTGTTGACGAGGAGTTGGCTGCGGGGGGGCGGGCGAAGGCAAGGGTTTGCGGGTTACAGAGTTCTGCTTCGTGGCAACAGGATTAATAGGTCTTGAAGTCGTGACTCCGATAGGTCCAATATTTCTTTGGCTTGAGCCTTGATTGGACTCTGCACGTTTTGCTGAAAGATTCGATGATAGAGGTTGACTGGAAGGATCCTTTGGCATTTCGGGACGAAAGGGGCTGAAAGCCTTCGGCGGCTCCTGGCGTGGCTGTGGTACTGTACCCATGCTTGTCGTTCTGTTAATATTATTTGGGGGCTGACGAGCTTGCTGGATACCTTGTGGAGGGGCACCGTTAGTGGGTTGGTATATCTTCCGCGGGTCCGACATGTTGAGTGTTATTTTAATGTCGTTACGAAGGGCATTTTCTTGTCGGGCAGACATAGTACTTGGAGGAGTAGGTCTGGTGGGTCCTATAGTCCCGACTATGGGCATTGTTGTTGAGCGAATAGACTGACTACTTGAAGGCCTGGCTCCTACTTGTAGCACGCTTGGGATGTTCATTCCGCTAGGGATAGAGTTCTGTTGCCGTGGAATAGGTGGTGGTCTAGACTCGTACGACATTGCCCCACTAGACATAAGGGGTTTCAAGGGTTGCATCGGAGGCAGTCCTTGGGCTAACGGACTTGGGCCCCTTTGAACCAACGATCTGCCTGGCAGCGTCGCGACTGTATTGCTAGTCGGTATATTTGGCTTCGTAATCGTCCCCGGGCGCATTGATTCCGGATGATTTCTGGTAGGCATCGGTCTCGATATCACAGGCGCAACTTTGATCATGCCTTCGACTCTTCTGTTTGGCTGCGGTGGGACTGAACCCTTGTTATTGGCCTGCTGGGCTATGGAAATAGTTAGTAAGGTATAATGTGATTGTACTGGAGTTAATTTACCTTGGAGAATTTGAATGTTTTGCCTGAGTCTTGATGTGTCAGAGTTTTCGGATTGTGCCGGCTGGGTTCGCTGAGGCTTCGGTTTCGAAGGTAGTCTCGCCTTCTTTATAGTACTGATAATAAACACGTAGTTCTCATCCTCTCTGTTGGAGAATGTTGCGATGGAATGATGGTCACAGCCCATCATCTCCTTAGTCTTCTCTCCGCGGATAGCAAGAGTTGCTTGGAACTCGTTCACACACTATTGAGATATTAGTACAATATTAATCCGGGTACGGTATCGACAGTCGACTTACCAATATCGATTGAGTGGGCGTCGGTAATTGCTCAAAGCACGAAAAGATTCTTCTGCCCGATGCACACTTCTTGAATTCGATCGGAATTTTCCGCAGCTCTTCGCCATTTCTGCTTATCCAGGTAGACAGTTGTCGTTCCCAATCCTTGGTGACCCTTATCCCAGAGGTTATCCTGCTTCGCACGAGCTGCTCGAATATCTTCAACCAGGATTCCTCTGGAGATTCGCGTTGGGGTGTTCCAAGGAAGACGATTGCCTTGACGCAATCCTTCAAACCGGAATAATCCGTTTGGGTACCCCAAATCTGATTCATGCTCTAAACACAAGTTAGCCTGATGAACAATGTGTGGTAAGCTAGGGTTAAGGGGCGTCGAGACTTACAGCCTCGATAAGTAGACCGCCAACATCATGACCAATGAGCACGAGCGGCCTAGTAGGGGGGGCTTGGCTGCGAACGGCAACAATCCCATCTAGCAGTCGCTTCACAATACATTTGAAGTTCTCCGTCGAGCCCCCGAAGAGTTCCAAAACGTCATAATTGAACGTAAGTATTCTAACGGACTTGAGATCTTTAGGGATAAGATCCCGCAACCACATAACTCCATCTCGTGTCTTCCATGTGTCGCCACTTCCTCCAAGCCCATGTACGGCAATTATATCTACTGCTTTGGATTCCACATGCCGGGCAGGATTAGGAGGCTTTGTCAAGCAGACTAGGTTAGTCAGTTGGGCGACCCTAGGGGGATTAGTTGGACGTTCCGAACGGGACATGGCGGGGAGTCGGGGTGAAGGTGAAAATGGGCTTGGAGGTCTTTGGGGATACCCCAGGCCTTGACGACCTAGAGAGTGTGCTGGGTTAGCTAAAGATGCCATGGTTCATGGGCCTGGCGTCGTAATGATTCTGCTTAAGATCGAAGAGATGGTAGGATTGAACCGGAAGGTCGTGCTGGGTGTTACAAGGAGATTATATAAAAGATACGAGGATGCTGCACCCACTATACTATGGCTAATGATTTGTAGATATAATTACCACCACCATTTCCGAAGGATTATTTAGTGTGGATAGGAAGTCTCGAATTTTACAGCTTGCTGCGTCGTACCCCTGCGCTTGGAGCGCGTGGAAGCTCATTCCAGAATACATGATAGAAGGCTATTGTGGCATCACCATGCGCATAAGCTATTGATGCTGGTGTGAGATGTTACAGTCCTGGGTTTTGGATGTATCATATTCTTCAGCAAAATATCAAATGACTAGAGCGATCGTTCGCGACGTTGTAGCAGGACACCGGGAAGACGCGCGCATGTAACCTATACCCCTACGTCTGAGCTACTCCGCTAAGGTGGTGTGGTCTAATTATGATCAGTAGTAAATAACCCCAAATATAGCATCCTAATTTTTTTTCCTTCTTGAAGTAGTCTGCCTCAATAGCGGATGTATACCTAATTGGGCGACGATGCGATTGGGGGGACATTGAAAAATGCAGGAAGTCGTTTTGCCAAGGCAGCCTGCTTCTACAGCCGCTAAAATGGAACCAGCCCCGAGACAGACGTTCGCAGAGTTATACCTCGGTCCCGAGGACTTCTGCTGCGCCTGAATGCTACGGTAAGATCCTCCTGCGGCTGAGAAAACTAGAAGCCAGAATATGTACTTTTTTTTTCATTTCTTTCATTAATTTCTGGTTGATCACATCAGTAGTGCGTGAGACGTGCAGTTGTTCCTTGGCTTTCGACCCCATATCTCGGTATGAAGATATAGGTAGGTACAAATATAGAAGGATTCACGCGCATAGCCGCCAGCCTTAAGAATCAGTAATGGTTGATGAAACCTCTCAGGGGTAGCCCATTCTATATGCTGTTTGCAATGACTAATAGTAATGGTAAATTACTAACGACGAATTTCTCACGTTTTGTAGAGACGGCTAGACGGCCGAACACTTGTCAGATTTAAGTCTCACTTATTACCTAAGCAAGTTTCTCCTCTATGATATAAACATTTTAATCATATTGAGCTGATGACTAATATGATTAGGTAAAGCTAAATCCAAATGCTCACGGTCGCGGACAATTCAATTGGTATTCATAAGTTTAGGAAAAACAACATCAATCACCGCAATCCAAAGAAGCATCAAAAAGAAATCTATCTGACTCTTACACCTCTGTTTCTAATGACTATGCGATCTCTAGAATCTCTTCATCCAAAACGCCATCAATATTAGCTTGAATGGCCTCCCCATTCATTAATCCATGGACGTATGATTCACCAACGAAAAACCATTTCGACTTCTGTTCCCTGGTAATGTAGGGGACCCCGCTACCAAACAACACAACCACAGGGTCTGCATCAGACGGTCCTATTCCCACCCCCCCTCCGAAATTATTATAAAAGACATATTGTAGCAGAAATTACGTGCCAGAGATGTGTATTCTTCTGGTTGCCTATCACCTGAGTGATGCGCTTCTAGATCTATCGAACCCCTTACGGTTTCGGGAAGTGCCGATAAAACCCGATTCTGATTGGAACTGAAGAGGCCTCGTAAGTATCGTGGGCCGTCTTTGAGATTTTGGTCCGCTTGGCGTCCTCCAAGTTCGTGTTGCTCGGCAGTTGTGGCCCTAATGAAATGCGTTGTCCAGTCCGTAGCGTCTTCCGCTGTTTCCAATAAACATGTCGTTAATTCGAAGACACGGAATTGGATGATTGGTAAAATTCACCCTTTGACGTAACTTTTTCGTTGAACCGCGAGACCTGGGTGATTTTACTTGCCTTTATGCCACTAACTGTGAGGATGGATTTGTCTGAGGTTTCGTGGAACTTGAGCTTAAGCCCCGTCAATGCCCTGTAGTTCCCGGGAACCCTAGGACTTCTGGTTGGGAGTCGCTAGAGAGGTAGGAGAGGCTTGTCCGGATGGATTTATTAAATTCTTCAAAATCGCTCCAATCAGGGCACCAGGCTTCTATAGTAAAAGCCGACTGACTCCGGTAGCCTTGTTCTACGCCGGCAGCATAGTCCGAGTTAAGGGCTTAAGGGCCGGGGGTATATTCCAAAAGTCTCAACACTAAGCTCATAGTCCAAACAAGCTATAGACGTTGTGCCTGATTTCCAACGCATTCTAGTACGGGCGCTCTTTGGGGATAGCTTTAAAGGTGTAAACTTGCGGCGTTAACTTGCTATCTGGGACCGCTACTTAAAGATGTGTTGATTTGATGTTGGATGGCCTACGCTGGGTTAGGGGTAGGGGTAGGGTAGACGGAGGGGTAAATAGAGGGGTAAGGGGTAGGGTTTTATTTAGCCCCTTTACCCCTATTTCTCTACAATAAGTACCTCTGTACTGCCTGAGATTGATAAAGCAAACTTGTAGTCTATTTTAGAATTGATTCTCCACAAGCTAATGCAAGAAGATCGTGCTTGCTTTCAAGATTTATTAGTAACACTTTTAAAATTTACAGGATAAGGTGCGACTTTAGAAGCCTACGTCATCATCAGATGGCGCTGCCAATTTCTTGCTTACATGTCGCTCCCGCGTACTTTCGAGGAATCTAGACAGTTCATCAACCAAACAGTTTCAAGTTATACGGCTAGCTCGAGAGAACCGAAATCCATGAAATTTTGGATAATCAATCTTATTCGTTTATGAAATTTCAGCAAATGTTGATATTATCACCGCTGAGGACTCAAACAACACTTACACTATGCCTGATTCATTACAAGTCGCGCTGAAGAACAGCAGCGACTCAAGTGAAACATACGCATACATCACCGGGATAGCCCTCCAACATGGCGGACGGCGTTGTTTCCTCAAAGCCGACGGTCAAGGCCTCTACTTTCCAAAGGATCCACCTGCAATCGGCTCCCCACTTACCGAAGACTGCGCCATCCCACTTGGCCCTCCCGAAAACAAAGTCACCGTGACTATCCCCCAGATGGCCGGTGGTCGAGTATACATCTCACGGGGATCCCGCCTTACATTTCTACTCAACCCGGGGCCGGCTCTTGTTGAGCCCAGCGTCTTGAACCCGACTGACGCGAACATTAACATCGACTTCGGCTTCTGCGAGTTCACACTCAATAACGACCAGTTCTACGCCAACATCACGTATGTCGACTTTGTCCCGCGTCTGCCTATCGCGATCTCGTTACATACGACCGAGGAAGTGGGTCAACATGTCCTTGGCATGCAACCAAACGGCGTAGACGAAATCGCAAATGGGCTTCGCCAGCAGACAGCGTTAGATGGAAAGCCCTGGGATAAGCTCATCGTTGAGTGCGAAGGCCAGATTTTGAGAGTTCTGAGTCCCACACACGGAGGCGCGGTAGGGGCTAGCTTTGACGGATTCTTTGAGACGTATGTCGACGATGTGTGGAAGAAATTCCGCAAGACCGGGCAACAGATCAAGATCAACACGCAAGCCGCCGCAGGTGTGCTTACCGGCGAGTTTATCTCCGACCACGAGATAAAAATCGGGGATGAAGTATTTGAGAAGCCGACTACGGCGGATATTTTCGGGTGTAACAGTGGACCCTTCACGACGGGGCCGTCAGAGACGCGCAATACGATTATTCCCCGCCTGGCAGCCGCGTTCGCACGCTCGACGCTGCTGATACAAGGTACGACGGAGCACCCGTCACATCCCCGGACATATTATAAACAAGACCCGAAAAACCATTACGCGCGCCTGGTGCATGAGCACAATGTCGATGGGAAGGGCTATGCATTCGCCTATGACGATGTGCTACCGGATGATTATGCCGTGGAAGATCAATCTGGGAAGGTAAATCATGGGGAACCCCTGGAGTTTGTTGTCAGAGTGGGGGGTAAGGCGGCGCAATAGTGTGTGGATATCCCTGATATCTTTACTGATGACGATTCGTTGGGATGGGGCGCAATATGGCGTTTCAATAGGTCAGCGAATACTAGCTGAAGCATTCACTAGTATAGGTTTTGTATGGGCATTGCTTCATTCTGTTTTGGAAAAACATCTCATCTCCGCTGTGCGAAGCACTAAGCAGATGAATATTTGTTCGTATAGGTCTTCGGGTATTTTATGATTGCTAAGAGCATCTTGAAGTTATCGTACGCCGGTGTGGGGTTCTATGGGGAGTCCATACAACGCTAGGGGAGTTATAAGCGAACTCTTTGAAAGGGCGGCCTTTTATTGTACCCCCAAGCATGTTTTCTCGTGTCGTTAACCACCTAGGTACCTATCAATGCGATGAATTGAAACAATAGTAGTTATGGAGAAATTTCAGCAAATACTGCAAGACGACTTCGTACTCTCACGGCCTCCAGTAGGATAAAAAGTAGGTATATGTTCAGCAAATATCATGTCGATAAAAAACAATTGACAGCTATTATCTTCTAAATTTAACTAGCGTATATTTATAGACTCGTACCAGCCAAATTTTCTAATCGACAATGGCTAACATCGAATAATCAGCACTATGTTAAGTTGGAATAGCAATAGTGTTGCAATGATAAGAGGTTGGACCTTATTTACGCCTAGTCTCCCGGTCCAAAACATTAAAGCGTAGTATTCCCTATGTGTATACTACTGCAAGAACCCGAGCAATGCGCGTAATCAACCATGTGGTAACCCTAAATTGCATTATATAGTCCATAGCCTAACCTTCTAACCTCTATGTCCAAAAAGCCCAACGTCAAGTATTAACACCAAAATCTCCCAAAGCAATGGCCATTATAGGATCTATGTTCTTCAAGTGTCTAGGATAACGAGGTTCGTTCGCAAAGGAAATTACTATTGAGATGTCAGTGATCATTGAAACTGATCCAGTAATAGACGAGAACTTACACAAGATAGATCATAGCTCTGTTGGACAGCGTTCAGGTCGCCGGCAGGGAAGATGCCGAAGTCGGGGGAAGCCTGGCCGTACTGAGACTCCTGGAGGTCGTACCACCAGAGGTTAACACCGCTAGCAATCAAACTGCAAGCAATGTCCTGCCAGTAGATACGCGCGTTCTCGGCACTGGGTACAGCAGCACCGACTGTCTTTCCAGATACAGGCCAACCAGTCTCAGTAACGTATACGGGCTTATCGCCAGCAAGTGCCTTAGTCTTGTTGAAACCGTCGTAGAATCGTTCGGGTGCGTCGCTGATGCTGTTGGGCTTGCTCTGTTCCCAGTAAGGGTAGCCGTCGAAACCTAGCCAATCGATGTTGTCGATGACAGCGCGGTTCGTGCCGTTCAGGAACGAGTCGTACGTATCGACGTGGCCGACGGGGACACCAGCGAGCGGGGTGCCGGAGATCGCGCTGCGCACCTGTGAGATGCAGTCGATGAGCCTCTGGGGACCGACGCCGACTTCGCCGCTACCGTCTCGGTAGAGATCTTCGCTGCCGACAGAGATACCGACAACGAGGTCGGTAAAGGCTGAGCCGTATTGGCTAATGGCGGCCTTGAGGGCGGCGATTTCGTTCGTGATGGCTTGGTCGCTGCCCGATACCCAGAGACCCAATAAAAGGGTTGTTTTGGTTGAAATGGCGGCCGGGATGGCGCTAATAACATCACTAGCGGTTCCCCATTGGACTGTTAAAGTTGTGTTAATGCCCAACGTATTCCCAAGTTGAAGAGACACTGTGGTAAACAAAAGATAAATCAAGGATATAATATCGGATTCAACTTACTCATAGAGTAGAGACGAGCGCTCGTCCATCCAGTAGTACCACTGAGGGTTTTGGCGCGGTTGAATTCATATTCGAAGTCGGCTTGTTGCTTAGCAGCTTGGTTGAGGAAAAAGGCTCCATAGTTGAAGCCTTTGATGCCGGAATTAGCAGCACTAACAGCAGCAGTAGCAGTGCTAGCGGTGGCTGCAAGGCCGACAAGTGCCGAAGAGAAACGCATCTTGATAGTGTATTAAGAGGTTATTAAGCGAGGGAAAGTCGACGACGGTAAGCGAATGACAGCTACAAGGAGCAGCTAAAGGTCGTGAGGATAATAAATAGAAAGAATGTTGTTGAAGAAAATATTAAGTGTATTTTAAGGGTTATAAAGGAGAAGGAAAATGGGAGGAATCAGAAAAAAAGGATCAGCGGTTCTAGAAGTAAAGCAAAGAGCTTATTCGGAAAGGGGATCGAAAATCGGATCACATCAACATCCCTCGTACCGATAGGGCGGGTTCATTGGTACTAGAATAGCCCAAGACTCCACATTCAGTGGATGGCTCTTAGTGTATTGCCGGCGCTACAGCGCTATAAACCCCTGAGCAACCCTCCCATAACCCCTGAACCTTCGTATTGTAGACCCACAATCCGCTCAGCCTCAATTTTCAACTGAGAACAACAAATCAGAGTGGGAATTGGAGGTACTTGTATGCAGCTAGGGTCGGAACACATACGTAGTTGCGTACTAAGCCAGCCATACGTCACTCGTCCTACAGTTCAAATAAGTAAACATCGCGCTCTTTTGTCGTGATTCCTCTGGCCACTAATAAATGCCTAATAGTAAGTTAAGTTTCTCTAAATAAGACTATGCCATTGGTTAGAAATACTATAAACTACTCCTATCAAACCAAGTCTTGTAACTTAACTATCCGTTAAGCTTTGGCCAATAAACAAGCTATGGCCAAAATACTCAAAGCTTGATTGGCCCACTCAAGGCAGCAACTCTGCCAACTTTTACAACCCGCAAGCATGGTAAATGTAAATATGGGCCAAGACCTTGTCTGGTTCCATACGCGTGTATTTCATCCCCTATTTCATACTGAAAGATACTTATTTCAGGACCCCTCGATTCACTCCCCTCTTTCCATTTTATTTGAAATATGGAACGACGTATTTTTATATGAAAATTGTATGATTAAATACATTATTTGGTGGGATGTAGGTGGAGTATTCGACCCGTATTTACATTTACCATGCTTGCGGGTTGTAGATTGTTGTTAATTTAGCAGGGGTACTCGCCTTGGAATATCTTGGAAATCAGGAGTCAAAAGTGGAACTTGCTTAACTTCCATAACTTCTTATATGAAGGGTGATATTTTATGCACTCATCACGACACTGAACAACTTTATCCTTTCAGAGCCAGATCACCTAATACTATTCCTCCTTAAGTAACACAACACTATAGATTACCTAATATCAATGATTACCTAACAGCAACGAAAGGGGTCCGATGTATATTATTTGATTCGCGAGTTCCTGGATAGAAGACCCAACACTTGAGACCTTTTTTCTTCGGAATGGGAACCTTGTTTAGTCTCAAGTTTATTATCTTGTCGTTCAAGCAAACTAAATGCATGGTGGGAAAGGACTTACATAATCCATTATCCCCTCCCTTTCCAAGCTTAGTTCAACAACCACCTCGACTAAAATATTATATATCATAGTAAACAACAAAAGGATCGCCTAATACCTCTCTTAATCGGCTATTATTTAATAATTATGCCCCTGAGTGACTTTGAAAGTTTCAAACCTTCCCAGTCGCCCCCGACTTTCGTCTCACAATCTCCTACTAACAACGGCGACCTAGCCCACTTGAAAATAATCTATTGCTCCCTATGGCAATAACCCCACAATGGTTTAGTGGTCTTCATTTGCAACGTCGTCTGACCTTAAACTTTCTTCGAGCCGGGACTGGCAATTTTCTCAAGTAGCAACTTAAGTATGTTCCCATTCCCGCATTCAGCAGCCCACATCAATGGTGATTTACCTGCATTATCCATCCGTTTGACGTTAGCGCCCTTCTCGAGTAGCAACTAAACGATATCCTCGTATCCCGAGTTGATGGTTCGTATTAACAGCGTTTGACCTTCGTAATCCGGCGACTCTATATCGGCTTCCTTCTCAATAAGGAGCCTAAGGGTAGACTCGTACCCCTGACTAGCGGCATAGAGACACGGCGTCCCACCCTCGTTACCACTTCTTGGGTGGATATTGGCTCCCTTATCGATCAGTAACTCAACTACCTCCTCGGATCCATACTTTGCAGCAAATAACAGCGGCGTCCAACCATAACTGGTCCTTGGGTCTGGATCAATTCCGTCGACAGCTAATAGAAGTGTCACCACTTCCTTATAATGTGTGCGTACCGGAACCCTTTTCAACCCAGTCGGTACCATCTATAGCTAACGACAACGCCGTCTCGTCGTCTCGACTCCGGACGTTGACATCGAACTGACCCGTAGCAAGCCTCTGTGCACGGCGTACATTAGCGGCGTCCAGCCATCTTCAGCATTCCCAGTGTTCCTAGTCACGCGTTTGTCGGCGAGTAGTAGCCTTAGAACTCCCTCTCTTCCCTGGCGAGCGGCCCAATATAGTGGCGTGCATTGGTAGATGTCATCTACTGTATTCACATCCAATCCATCTTTTTTGAGTAGTAATTCGACTATACTTTCATGCCCCCCCATCGCCGCTAGCATGAGAGATGTCCACCCATCCCCACCCCTAGAATTAGGGTCAACGCGATGATCAGCAAGTAGTAACTCTACTACCTCTTCATGTCCCATCTCGGCAGCGATAGCAAGGGGCGTCAGTTTTGCTGTGTTGTCGCGCTCTTCTGGGTCAAGGCCCTCTTCGAGCAACATCCTAACCAATGCCGTGCGACCACTTCCTGAGGCACACCACAATAGCGTAGTACCATGGCACTTATCCTTAAATTTCAAGTTGGCATTGTGCTGGCTCATTAGGATTTTAATTAATGACTCTCTCCCGCTCAAGGTAACGTACCAGAGCGGCGTCGCACCACATCGGTCGGCTTCCGACCTGTCTAACAGCACTCTTGCAGGTGATCCCTGTCCTCCAAGAAGCAACCGACCTTGCGGCGGAAGCATATTAAAGCCCTCGAGGTTCGGATCAACGCTTTCAGTGGCTAGTAACCGTTGCACTACCATATCATGTCCCTCCTGCGCAGCCCATGACAGAGGCGTTCGCCCGTAGGCGTCCCTGACATTTGGATCATGCCCATGGCTTAGCAAAGTCGAAACCAATTCGTCTAGCCCAAAATACGCCACGACATGTAGTCCCATCACTTTGTTAGGCGACCTTGACCCATGGTCGTAAGACATTTCATCACGGTCCATCATCGCCTGGCTAGCAGCGGAAACCTTATTATCACTATCGAGAAACTTAAGTACCAACTGTTCACCTAGAGAGGTGGTATCATGAGCGTGATAACCCCAGTTTTGGGCGGCATAGTTGTAGAATGGATTCGACTTCAAACGGTTTCTGAATTTCCTATGTTTGTGACAGAAACCTGCTTCAAAGATATCAAACGATAGATAGGAAACACAGGTCGCCAGTATTTCTGACTGCGCATTCGGGAACCACTTCTCCTGCGTCTGTTCGAAGTATTCTTGTGTTGTATGATGCACTAGCTCAACGGTCTTGTTTTCCGCGTTAATTACAACTAAACCGAAACACACCGAAATCATTCTTTCGATTTTCTCAAGGTTATCTTCGTCAAGACCAGAGCTACCGATCTCAACAGCAAGGGCGTGTTGCAGTTCTCGAGTTATCAAGGGCCTTCTCGTGTATGTAACCCATGAGAGAACCCCGTTCGCAAGTTTCTTAAAACCTGGTCTCTGTTCATTGATTCTGGCCATTGCGTCGTCGTACGCTTGATCTAAAACATCCGCCTGGTCCTGGCCTGGTTCCGAATGTCGTTTCCGGAACTGTGCCAAGGTATCTTTGGCAGCTCTTGGCGTAGTCTTGTCGTCCAGTGAGTTAAGGTAAATTTGTGCCAAGAGAAACCTGCAAGTCTGTCAGTAAGGGGCTCCCCAAGAGTATTTTACAGTGACATACATCCCATCCACCACACTCGATATGCTAGTCACAATCTCATCCCGTAACTTTTGGTTCCAATCATCAAACGCCGTTAGTTGTTGAATGTTTTCTCCCAAATACATTCTTATGTCCGTATTATTTGCGCGAATCTCTAGGGATGAGCTGCTGTCGAATTTCTTCGCAATATCTGGAATAGACCGTGAGGTAGCAAAGATATTTACTCCACATTCAGCCTGAATGGCGAAGAGCTCATCCAAAAACCTCGATCGGCAGGACGTTTCGCATTCGTCAACCGCATCAACCAGAATGAAGATCTTCGTATACAAACCGGCTGTATATCGGAGAACTTGTAAAACTTCGTCGAATGATGACTTCGTCCGCTCCCGATCGTGCTTTTCGTAAAGTTTTTCTAATCCTTCTGGGAGAAAAGGCTGGCATTGGGTGAGCTGTTTCAATAAACACTTGAAAAGATCCTCGGTCTTCTGCTCATGTGTCCGCCGAAAATTAAAATAAATATACGCAATGCCAACGTTTTGGTCATCCCCGAAGAGAGCTTTGAGTTTATCCACAATAATTGATGTTATGAATGTCTTTCCAGCTCCAGGCATTCCAGGGCAGAATAACGTCTTTCCTTCGCTTTGCAACCACCCCTGGAACTCAGGGGAGTCTAGAAGCCACTGTCCAGTCCCAGCCTGACGCCGCTTAATGAGGTTGCTTTGTTGAGAAGCCTCATCAATCGGAGTAAGCCAATGAAGGATAGAATTTCGTTTTTGATCATCTTGGTACCGATTTAATCGATCTACTCCCTTCTTGGTAGCAAAGGTTGCCTGGCTGGATAGTCCTCCGAGAAAGGTATGGAGCAACGATATGTTCGCAGTAATCCGACCGCGGAGCTCGTCGATTTCTTTTGAATCCCATTTGAATCGCTTCCAGATTCTTCTAACTCGTTTGCTTGTATTTCCATCATTTAAATCAAATTCGCTGTATTTATCCAACGTCTGACGCAGTTTCTCAAGTACGCATTGACAACCGTCAACAATTTCGCGCAGAGAGCTCAGTTGCTGGCTATTGAGCTCGCATTCTGCCACGTTGACATCAACATCCTGGAGAACAATCCCAAGGCTTCTGACCTCATCAGATATGTTCTTGAACTGATCCGGGGCGCCAACAAACTGTTTGCGGATGTCGTTTACCAATTTCAAGACTGTAATGCCGTCACCGATACCTATTCCGAAGCTCATTTCGTCTTTATCTAATTTCCTAACCTTTGGCAAGGTGGGCTACTATGTTTGAATGAATCATGCGCATGGTACGTTAGGACTTTTTAAGGGCGGCTCAGTAAATAGGTCTCCGTGAGACCAGCGAGGCATTTCACACGGCGCTTCGCCCAAGTCGTTTAGGAACTGCACGCACACCAAAGAGCATGGCTTCCTAGAGTTTGTGGTTGGTTGGAGGGATCATAAAATGTTAGCTAAGTCAGTGATACGAAAGTGGCGCATCTAAGAATTGATTTCGTTGCATAATGGTGCTCCCGCTTGTTTTGTATAGTTTTTGTCGTTGGTAAAGCATTTTATTCCTTAACCCAATCCCAATGAAAGATGATGGTGATTCTCATTGTCCCACTTCAGAAGTGTGGGTTGTCATTCAGCCCCACGATTCGAAGTTTAGTTCATCGCCACAGTAGAAAAATAAGGATACCCTGGGGGTATTATCATCATGGTAATGGCGGGTTGGTGGGTGCTTTTCGAATAAACTAGGGTGCCGCCCCTTGCATATCCCTTTGTCACTAGATGCTGCAGGCTAGTACTATCTATGATTTGGCAATTTAACTGTTGGTCAGCAAGGGAGCAGACCACAGTTTATTCAAAGTCGTAGACAGCGCGACTGAGACAAAGAATATTTTGTAGTCAAACCATCACAGTAAAGACAGCCGCTGTGTCCCTACACTTTCCCAAACCCCTCGCCTTCTTACCATGATGAACAACTCTACCTTCCTTCCGCTGGCGTTCCTAGTCAACCCATTTGCCAGCTTCACCTCAGCCTTTGGTCCTAATGGCATCTCCAATCCTGTTAGCAGCCCATCCTCGGGGGGTGGCTCGACCTGTATTTCTGGGGATGTCACGTTATCTATCAATACAACTGGGACTAATCTTCTTTATGAGGCATCCCAAGATCAGACGGCCGTAACAGAGTCATTTGTCGAATTGTTCCAGGTAGGCTCAACCTTCGCCGCCGACGTCACCGCTAAAGAGCCCAGTGCCATTTCGGGTGACTACGGCATCTTCGTCAAGCTCTGCCTACCTAGTGACCCTGAGGTCTTGGCCAAGGTCAAGACGGTGCAGCTGTTGACACATGGAGCCACTCTCGACCACACCTACTGGGATATTGCCCCAGGCTACAGCTACGTCGACGTAGCCTCGGCAGCAGGCTATGCGACGCTCTCCTACGACCAGCTGGGGGTAGGCAAGTCGGACCACCCAGATCCCATCCAGACCGTGCAGGCCACCGCCCAGGTCGCCGTCACACATGCGCTAGCCGGATTACTCCGGAACTCCGAGCTGGGCGGGTATCGCTTCGAGAAAGTCGTGGGTGTCGGGCACAGCGCGGGAAGTACGCTGACCCAGGGCATTACCACGCAGTACCCGCAGGACTTCGACGCCGTGATCTTGTCCGGCACCAGCGCTAGCGCGGACTCAGTCGCACTGACTATGGCAGCCTTCAACCTCATCAATGCAAACACAGACCCTGCACCCCAGTTCCAACATCTACCAGCCGGCTACCTAACGCAGCAGTCGGCCGTTGGTATCCAGTTCGCCTTCTACCGGCACCCCAACTTCGACGAGGATGCATTCCACCAGCAGGTTGCCCACAAGCAGACAAACACACTGGGCGTCCTACTCACGCTGGGCGGCATCGTAGCGCCATCGACAGAATTCACTGGGCCGGTAGACATCGTGAACGGCGAGAATGATCTCGTCTTCTGCGGCGGCAACTGTCTCCACCCGACAGATCAGAGCAGCACAGCCTTATCGATATTCTACCCGGCAGCGTCGAAGGGGAGTCAGACGTATATTGCGGCGGGGGCTGGTCATTCTATTGCAGCCCATAAGAGTGGACCGGATAGCTTCAAGCACATGATCCAGTTTTTACAGGACAACAGCCTGTAATTAGGTACTGACTCCAGAGAGAAGTGGACGCGCAGTGATGGTTAAGGGGGGTTATAAGTTGTATTCACGTGCGGTTTAAAAGAGAGAGAGATGTGAATATGAGGCTTTTTAGGAACCTACTTGTATCAGGTATCTGTACAAAAGTCTTATCTCGGTGGAGAATGGTAGCACAAAATACTCTCATGCACCGGTCTCAAGTGTGAAATTAAGTGGCGTTGTCCAGCCTATTAAGAGCGATGCAGAAATGCAAGCTACCGCCCAGCCACCACGGCTCGAGGGAAGTTCAAATATGAATACCCTAGGGGGTCTGTTCATAAAAAACAACCTCGGGTCGGAGGCCAACACTTGAAGGGCCATACCAATCTGCCACCTAAATAACTATAATCATCACCACTAGGTGGTATCTTTAAACAGAGTTTCCCAAATTAACGAACTAAATGAGCCCTTCGAAAACATAATTATTCCCAGCTTTCGCTATGGAGTAGGCCAGACATCTACCTATAAAAAGGGGTTTGGACCCATCTTTTCCACTGCAACATTGTTTGCCCCCATGCATCGATATCAAGACCTTCTGCCTACCGATAAGATACGATTCGCGACTAGACGTACAGTTTTATGGAACATATATATTCTGCCGATAAGCCGACCGAAATCCTCTCCCTCGGAGTAAACAATGCCAGAACCATCCTCCTCGTTAACGCAGTCAATCGTAAACGATTCGCCCATGTAACGGCCGAACTCGATGTTCTCCCGACTACGAAGGAGCAATAAATCCCAACTGTGACACCAGGAAACAATATCGACCGCCTATACACTGTTTCCGAGGAGGAACACTCCCGAGTCATGCTTCTATATAAATACTCTCGCTTTGAAACAAGGTTACGAGAACGCGTGACGATGATCTGCAACCATGTGTAGTGCGCAAAATAGGCGGAGTCGGCGTTTCCCTCAGGCATGTCGTGGCCTAGCAAAAGAGCGCGGTTTAAAGCGTAAGTGTGAATTTCTAGAGATTCACCCATATGTCTAGGAGATTTGAAGAGTAATTTGAACTGACGAATTATCTTAATAGGACACAACTCGATCAAAATCTTCATAACCACTTAAGGCAGAACTATCAGGTCAACCCGTTAACAATGATTCTCGATGTATCGTCCGTCGACGTCTACCCAATAGGTAGACATATCCATGCTGGCTTCCATGAACGATCGTTCCCTGTAGAGCACGTGCCCCAACTGGGCGGAGGATATCAGCCGTGCATTTGTGTTACTACAATATGGTCATCGGGGGTTAATGAATAACAAAGGAGCGTTCTAGTTTTAGGGTTACTATGACCGTTACGAATGATTCCACGTGTGCCGTGACTTGTTTCTCGAGTGTTTCCCGAGTTGTTTCGTGATCGGATGAAAGGGAAATCTGAGCTATCGCGGCGCTTAGAAACTCAAGTACCATGGATAAGGCGAATTGTCACCACTCTATTATTCGGAATCCGAGTAATGAGTAACCGGTCGGTATGCGGTTAATCCTCATCAGGACAGTTTTTCTAACCACCTAAGGCTGACAAGAAGTCTTTCGAGACACCGCAATGGCATTTCCATAGGTTTGCGAATTTATATAAACACAAGCATTTTAATCGATCTGAAAACTTCTTCAAATCTCTCCTCGCATTCATAACGTCAAGAACTACCTCTTCATACAAACATCTTCTTAATACATACCACCACAAAAAGCAACATCGACGAGCTCTTGGTGCACAATGTGCCAATATTCTTTACTTATCATCGACTGCCCGGATTGCAGAAAAGAACAATCCAGAACCCAAGTCCGCTGGGTATACTGTCATCGTCGCCCCGGGTGTAGCAAAAGGCCTCGCGAGACTATAAAGAACTTAGAGCTATGCAAGGCTTGCAAAAAGAAGAATCACCGAAAACATTCTGCGTTACATGGTTAAGCGGTCTTCCTGAGGGATAATGCATCACGAGTGATGGCGGAAGACAAGGGTCTCAACAATGTACTCTAGTGTTTCTATAGAAAGGGGCTACAGCCGCCATTAGAATTAATGATACTGAAAATTTTGACCGGATAAACAGCTGTATTTCAACAACGTGATGGCTCTATCCGAGTTAGTGTATGTAGTCTGGAGTTACTTGTCACGGAGCACTCACCTAGGTAGTCATAGGTGCTACACACGTCAAGGCCCTGTATGCCGAGCTGCTCATGTGCGAAAATATATATTAACGCCATTACCAAACCATGCCAATACCTTTCTGCCTTTCAAAGATCTTCTTCAAGATACCACATAAACCGCCACCATACCTACACTTACTATTTACCTCGGAATATTCCCCTGTCTATTATCCACCGGCACCCATCGTTGCCACCAAGCGAGGAAATCCGAAGTGAACACACGAGGATACGGGAACGCAAATTAACTCGATTTACTGTTCCATCAGGCGCATCCCTAGACATAGGCAGAGATCGGTCACAGACTAGATCGTTTGTGGGAAACACGTGCGATTTGAGAATCAATAAACTACTTCAACTCTACCGGGAGAACGGAACTATTACCTCGATTCCTAGGTAGGTAGTCTCGCCCTTCTTATAACACACACTAACGAAAAACTATATCTAGGTACCTGAGTACATTTGTATTCATACCAGCTTTATACCAGGTATCGACCCGCTACGGTCAACCGACGCAGGCAGAGAGGGGAGTAGGAACATACAAGGACGTGTTGGACGACTTTCAAAACGCCCACAATGTGCACCTACAAGTGGATCATAGTGGTATGCAGCGAGTGTGGTAACGAGGTCTACAGAAAGATGATTTGGACGTATCATTGTTCCCGCCCTGATCGATGTATACAAACCTGCGATGGCGAAGTAAACCATGAAGGCGTCTGCGCAGGGTGTGAATAAAAATATCAATGAAATCGGCGGAAAAAATTAGAGGTGAAATTGGCAATTGCACTTTCGGTACCCCTATTTAGATGGAGCCACTCGAGGCTTAACCTCATATCTCGTATCTCGGAATGATATTTTGATTTTAGCAATCTATCCTCTATTAACTCCTTAACCCTAAAATAAGTCTATACCGATATTCTATACCATATTTGACCATTGACAACACATATAAAGCACTCTCTAAGCCTTCGCCTCAAGCTCCCTCGCCTGAATCAACTGCTTATACGTATCCACAACCGTATCCCTCAACTCGCGATACTGCACACCCAACACCCTCGTAACCTCGCTACCATCAATATGATACGAATCCACCCACTCACCCTTCTTCCCCACCGGTAACCTATTCCCAAACTCCTTCGGCAAATCCCCCTTTTCCACCGCCTCATGCGCCAAATCAACCACAATCTGATACCTATAATCCCTGCCAACAATAAACCTCCTCCCCGCCGCACCCGGGACCTCCAGCGCCCTAACATGCGCACTAGCAACCTCGCGGGAATCCGCATACCCACCGAAATCGAATGGCGGGACATTCTCCGCATCAATGATGTTATTAAGCAACTGCACCGACTCACTCAAACTCTTCGTCGATTCCAATTTCCCAGCATACGGACCAAACACCCAAGGGGGACATATCGTAGTGAGTCCGAAACCGACATCCCTATGACTCTCCATCCAATCCCACATACCGCGTTCCGCTAATTTCTTACTCGCGCAGTATGCTGTCACGCCGTCGGCGGTCGCGGCTTGTTCCCATGTCACGGGGTTCCAGTCCTTTTCGGTGTATGTGTAGCCCACGCGCATCCCTTCGCTGATATTGATTACTGAGGCGAATGAGCTAGTCGCGACTACATGCTTTACTTTCCCGTTGCCGTATCGTAGTGCGGCTTCTAGCACCACTGTAGCGCCCTTGATCGCTGGGTTTAGAAGATCGCGTACGTTATCCTCGGGCGTGAGGACGAATGGTGAAGCTGCGTGGACGATGTGCGTGATGGCGCCGTCGGCGAAAGCGGGTTCGTACGCCTCCACTGATTGGATATCCGGCACGATGGCACTAGATAGGACGGAGGGGTAGGATGGGAAATGCGAAATGGTGCGTTGAGCCGAGGGAGCGGATCGTGCGGTGATGCGAACGGAGTATCCAGATTCAAGGGCCTCGCGGAGGATTTGCCCACCGACGAATCCACCTCCGCCGGTTAGGAGGATGGTTCCTTTAGTTTGGAGAGTAGTCATCTTGATGGATTTGAATAAGTATGAAGAATGCTTGTGAGTAGTAAGGCTTTTATCTTAGAAATTTCGTAGTATGCTGTCCTGGTATCGAGTTCCCACGAAACGAGTTTGAAAGCCGTTGAGATATCTGAGTCTTATATCGGTAGCTGTCTTGTCTTATTCTCTCTCCATCCAAACCTCTCCCCAACCTCCCGACTCGCCTCGCTATATATACCCTCATTCTCCCAACCCAGTCTACGGCGAGAAAAACATAACGCCGAATCGACCCACGAACAGTCTATGATCTAACGGCGATGGATACATGCCTCCACCGAGTGCGACTGTAATCCATAAGCTACTCCCTAGGCAGACCTTAGTCTACCTGGAGGCTCCGCAACTGGTGTTGCTATAGTGGGACCGCCATCACGACTTTTCGCCGTAAACTTATCGGACAGCGGGAGTTGTGGCTAGCAACCTGGCCCCGAAAAAAAGCGCGTTACATTTTCGGCGTTTAGCTTGGTTTGGCTAGCTTCCATACTGCCGTGCTGTTAGAACAGTACAGCTTACGCTCGACGGGGAACGCGAATCAAGCACTTGCTGATCGGACTTTAGCAAGCGCCTACACATCAATAAATAAAAATCGAAATATAGAAAATTACCTATCTAAGTTCAATAAAACGCAGTCAGTAACCACGGGCTAAAATGTAACCGCATATATAATACGTAATTGGTGCTGGAGTTGCGGACTCTTCGGCGATTCGGACTTACACCGCAAATTCCCTCCTTATTAAGGATATCCTCTATCAGCGAAAATGACCTCGGGACCCTCTGTTTCCGGTCCCTGTCTCCGATATCTAGGGGTCCATTGCCTATCGTAGATAGCTTCTTATGCACCTGATTCCACAGATCTCCGGATCTCCAGCTAAACTAAGCACATATACATGACATTCACATGTTCGACGTATGTAAGAATCAAAATTTCTTAAAATGTATTCCATTCCGCTATTCCACCAAGTTTGACGTCAACTTTGACATCAATGATTCCCACCAAGTTAATATGCAGCTCTTGTACACGCTTGTGCCTGATACATATAATAACCAAAATTACAGGTCCATTTTATGTACCTAATGTGCCCTGTGTCAAAGTCAGCGAACACAGCCTCTCATGTTAAAAAACAGCGCATCGCGGAATATCAACTTACCTGCAAAAAACAGCATTAACGCCGAGTCCTCCAATCGGCCCCAAAGGCATGCGCATGCCATCATAACCCCTATTCCCAATTAATTGAATTCAATTGCTTAACACCAAACACATATTCTAATCAATCAACCTCGCCGTTCCGGAAATCCGAGCTCTTGCACCTCCACCATATCTCATTTCTATGAGCTTGCTCTTTTGTCGTGCACGAAGGCCCTCCAGGTAAACACCCACATCTTCAAGTCCCTTTATTTGCTCTTCGAGTGTAAGTGTGCTGCTGTTGACGCTTCGTACTAACGGCGAAACGAGTTTGCGTCGAAGAATCTCAAGGCTAGCCTTCAAGCTGAGCAGCTTACTATTATGCTCCACCAGGATGCCCTTGTTACTAACTGTCTTCTCGCGCACATTCTGAAGTAATTGGTGATTTCGCTGGTATTTCATTACTTCGCTTGCCTTGGGACCCAGGATGCGCGACCATAGCGAAGAGAGGAAGTCGGCATGTTCCTCATCCTGTAGTGATGACTCGCGTACCACAACGCGCGCTAGGTTCAAGAATTGCCTGTCGAGAGTTTCGAAAAGACTAAATAGAGCTAGCGAATACTGTAATTCGTTCTCTATGGCTTCCTCAAGAACAGATAGAAATTCAGTGAACGTGCGCTGCAGCGCATAACGGGTTCGCTGCGGATGCGGCATACCGAATATGCTTGTCGTCACAGCTCCCAATTGCGTCGGCATACCCGTGTTCGGATTTTCCAAAATGCCAGCAACACATAGTATATTGTGAATGTTGTTAAAAGCCGTGGAGAGCGGCGGGCTTCGTACCGTCTGTAGCTGCGCCAATTCGCGTCGTGCCCAATCCATTACTATTAAAATGCTGTCAATGTCACCATCGACGCTGGCGAAAAATTTGGTCAGCTCAATAGCGAGAGTTTTGAGGTTCTCCGATAATTCGTCAAGAGCTTTAACAATTATCGGCGCCGACGTCATATTGCTGGATCGCACACTTTCTCCGAGATCCCATACAGCAATCCCAGTAGAGTGGAGATCCTCAATTTGAGTGACGCCATGCTCCGAGTAATAAATTAACGGTTCGAAGGACCGCGCAATGCCAGCAACCTTGATAAGATCGGGCGACGGCCGCGGTGGCGCAGGTTGGAAAAGCGACTTAATTGCGGTCATGGATAAAATGGCGATGAGTATCGAAACAATAATATTCCCCCATGATTTAGTGACCATACTCGTATATCGCCGTACAAAATTCACAGCAGCGTCAATTGGCTCCGTTCGTTGTTGAATATCGGCACGTAATGCTAGTCGAATGTCTGAGCAAGTCCAAATTAGTATCTCCCGCGACCACAAATACTTAAGTACATAACATTGAAATACTTACAGTTGTCCCTGGAAATATCAGGTGACATTGAAGCCAGCATACTATCCTTTAATTGTTTCTCAGTTGGCGACTCGCTCTTTGTTTTGACAAGCGTATCATCCTCGGTTTGTACCTCAGGTTCAGGAGTGGCTCCTTTTTCAGGACTTAGACTTCCCGTAGGCAAACGCGTCTTACGGGCTGCCTCGAAGATGTCACTCTGAAAAATGTTATTGCTTCTGGGATTTCCGTTGAAGACCGTTCGCTTCGGTTGGTCCATTCCTCCAAAAATATCCCTCGTTTCACGCCAATTCCCATACCATCGATCGCCATTCTCCAGTCTTCTCCAGGCGGGAGGACTATAATTACCGTTCGACAGAGACACATCGTCGAGATTGTCGTCGCTCTCGTCGTGGAGATCGGGTTCCTCGTCCGAGAAGCCATAGCCTGAGTGGGTTGTTGGAGGGAACTCGAACGGATTCTGCAACGCTGGCGACATCGTGGCTGCGAGGTTTCTGTCGTCTATGCTGGCCTCGGAGTACCTGGATGTCATGCTCTTTGATAAGCTGAGTGGACGGGCTCTCAGCTCTGATTATACTTGAGTTAGGGTTTGGACTCGGAGCCGGAAGCGCTTGTCTAGCGCGAAAGGAGAAGAACGAGCGTAAGGTCTGAGCGGACTGTGGAGAGTGGCTGAGAGGTTGCTGTGGCAGCCTGACAAGAGCACTGCTTTGGCCCAATTCTGATCCTGTCTCCGGCGGTGGTAAAGCGGGTAACGCCTTATGTCGCTTTGGTGTGGGTTCAAGCAGTCGCGATACGGTCGGCGACGTCGTTCCGATGGTCAGACGAGGAAAGCGAGTAGGTATTATCTTTCTAAGAGGTATGTGGCCTATTGAGATCAAGTAGGCGTATAGGAAGACGAAGGTGAAGGTTAGCGCAGCAATGAAAGTGCTAGGCGCAATTGAGATGCTAAAGAGTGATACGTGATTGTGAGTCTCGATAGATACTAGAGGTCGCATCGAGCTCGGAAACGACCTGACCAGGTGAACTCTGGAGGCCGTCTCGAGTTTGACTATATGTTCTAGTCCCGGTTGCTGTAGGGTCGAGGGTGTTTGCGAAGTATGCGACCAAAAAGATTGGGTCGGGATGCGGAATAGAGGGGTCAAGTTGATAACTCCGTTAAGGTTGAAGGTAACCCGCCTCCACCGTAGTATAATAAGAATATAATTTGTGAACAGTTGGCGTAGGTGAAGTCTCTTTGCTTATGACATCGGCTCGATCGAGTATAGTAGTAAGCTATAGAGTGTTTGAATTCAATTAGTTGCTATAAGTCGGAATCGCCTGTATCAATCGCAACTTGTCGCAAAGCACAAACGAGCTATGTAAGCGAGTTAAACGTGAACAAGGACCCCGTAAGCGAATAATTCTCCTCAAAGCGACGAAGCGAATAAGAACAGAATCGTTTGCGCTGACAAAATGCGAAACGCGCAATGAGATCAATACTCCAGTGGATATGTATGTAGGTAAAGTGGTTTGGTGAGAAATGGTGAAAGTAGAGGAACAGTTGGATGTACAGACAAAATTGAGAGGCTGGGAAACTTTGCGCCGTCTGAACTTACTCTGACTACTGCTACGGAGTACTGTTCCTTCCACTTAGATCGCACGCTTTTATGCCCCCCACCTTCGGGATGTTGCAGAACTGTCGATGACAACCAATAGAGTTGCTCGATTTGGGTCACTGTATGACAGACCCGATGCAAGGGTTAATAGTTTAAATCTTCGAAATAGCCTGTTCTAGTAACAAATGTATAAAAGTGAGAAGGTGAAAAGGGGTATGCGGTAACAGTTCTTGCCTTGGGGAACAATGTGTTTAATTATCGTCTCACTCGAAAAACTCTGTATGTATGTTTTATCTACTGAAATAGTTGAATGGTGACTCGATGATTCACATAGACCCCCCTTTCCTATACAGTACATCCCTTCCTCTCTTATTCCTCGTTCTCTCAATCACCCCCTAGTCAGTGTAGTTTCGGGAGGAATACGGCAATGGCTGTTTAACCAATCATGCCAAGGTAAGTTATGCGTTGTCCTGAGCTAAAGAGCTTGCATCCAACGAATCAAAATTCATCATCTTCACCAATCACAACTTACTCCGACTCGAGCTGCAAGCACTTTACGCGTTTGAAAACAAAAAACACCACAGTCAGATACGATATCGTAAACAAACATTGGATGTAAAAATAGGGTTTTATCATTGGAAGAAATGGAGAATCTGTACCTGCTGACCATGAATCTTACTTAGAAACACTCGATAGGTTATCCCAATTCAGATGTTTTTATACTCTATCGTTACCCCGCATGATGATTGAATCTTATCGTGCTTGTCACACCATCTGCTTATCACCCCGCAATTGGCCAGTAGTTTTGATACTTCCAACTACGGAATAACTCTGCACAACATGCACAATATACATAAAAGTACGAAAGTATCCATGCGCATGTCCGTGTACTACCAATTCATTATGACGTTAGGATAACCCCTGTTGTTATCGGAAGTCCAATACCACCCACTATCAATCATAATATCGCACTACATTAAACAGGTAACAACTCAGGGGGAAAAGAATGGGATTGATTTACTCCTATCGCTACCTAACCTAACCTATTCGATGAACTCGCTCCAAAAACCAACTTAAAATAAGTAATTCATAACCTCGTAAAACCCCTCGACCATCTTGGTACATGTCCTCACTCATCAGCCTGCTATATACGTAGATCGGCACCAATTCTATCGGTGTACCGCTCACTTACGTGGAGTAAGCTTGATGATGAACTTTTGCCCTGCCTTGGCTCTGCCACTGAATACCGGCGGTTGCGGCGGCACTAGGGCTCCTGCTATAGACGGCAGTGGCCGGGATGGCTGTGTTAGTTGTTGTCGAGGCGACATCTAATCGACTCTTGCCATCTCTAAACTTCGTGCTGATGGATTGGCCAGATTGTTGACCTGCTTCACAGGTGGTGGCTGATACTTGCTTTTCTTGCGCAAGCGTTTGCGTGCGACCATGACGGGAACCGAGCTCTTAGTTACCAAGTAATTCGAGAAAGATCCTAGGAGCGTACTATAATGTCGTATTAGTATCAAAAACCACATCTCATAGATATATATAGAGAGCATTGATAAATCAACTTACCCTTTCAGAGCACTTCTACCACGGCTTCCCAGAATAACCAAAGTCGGATTCACGATATCGATAACCTCGGTGATAAGGTGTTTCGGGTTCTTGCAATGGATCACCTCCACAATTACCCGCACTTGCAACTGCGTCTTTCGTAAGAGCTTCGAGACCCGTTCCGTAATATCCTGTACGGCGCGGTCCCTCTCTTCTTGTAACCTGCTTTTCCCGCGCGAACTAGGCGCAGGAGAAGGGTTGTTACTGTTGTTGCCATCAAGCACTCTAACATGTGGCGACATCGATGACCCTTGCATCTTAAACGGACCGGGACTAGCGGTGCGTAATGGGGTTTTACCCGACATCCCTTTCGAAATAGCACTGATAGCAACCGCTTGCTCCTTCATCGCCTTGGGCTCGTCAGGCACCATATTACCGGCGTCGACCGAACCACTGGCCTCTTCGTCCATACAGTACATGGCTATGAGCGTATCGCCATCGCGAAGGACTGTTCCAATAGCCCATTCCAAGGCGTGTGTTGATTCATCACTCAAATCCGTCGCTACTAAATATTTGCGGAGACGTCGGTGATCATCCTCTGCTTCTCGCTGTATTCTGGTAAATTCACCGCGGTAAAGGATACGTAAGGAGCGATGTACTTCCGGCGTGGACAAAATCGCAGTGGAAGACAGCTGTAAGCTCTGCGCAGCTCTGATCGCATCAACATCCGCATCCAATTCCGGGTCTAGAGGCGTCTGAGTTCCGGACATAGGATCCTGATCAAAACTGGTCGATGGTTGAACCACTGGTTTCCCACCCCTGGGTCTCGATTTCTCCCCTGACGGACCTGTAAGTGTGATATCAGGTTCATCGAAAAGTGACCTGTACCCGGGCTGAGAGGCATTAACAGTTTTTCCTTTAAACATTGTTAGCTATATCATATATAATTGCAGCAATTACTAAACCTACGTTCATGTTCGATCGCTGCGAGCAAACTCTTGGCCGTTTTGCTCCCGTCATCGAGGGGTTCTTGATCCTCCGATTCGGCACGTGTAGTAAGTTTTCTGCCCCTATGCAGCTCTTCATCAGAAGAGTTTGCGACGTCGTCGTCGCTTTCATCCGGTAATAATTCTCCGTATGGGCTCAAGTTATCCTTTTCTATTCTACCATGTCCTTCGCCGTCTTGCTTTTTACGGGCTAATGAGGCTAAATTCGAACCACCGTAAAGTAAATTGGCATCCGATAATTTTCTGTAAGCATTGTTCATATCTAGTACTTGGCCGTTATTCATCATGATGTCTTGTGTTTGACTGCGTCCAGCGGGCGCTCCAAAGGGCGAATTAGATCGGAGATTAAAACGATTGTTAGGCGATTTGGACTTGTTCTTTCTAGAAAATCGACCATGCTCACCAGGAAGCACTAGATTAGATAGGTCAGGCCCACGGAGCGCCTCGCCTATAGAACTTGATCGCATCGCAGCTGTTGGGCCGCGCCTAATAGGCAAAGCTTGCCCAACATTGGTTGGCAAGATATCATGGAACTTGTAAGCAGACGTTGGGTCATTGCTTCTCGAGCTTGATGGACTTAGGATTGGTGGAGACCGAGGACCTAGGTCTGGAAGAGGATGCGCCGTAGCATCTGACATGCTTCTATTACGGGATGAATTATCTGAAGCTGGTGTCTTAAAAGATAGTGTTGGAGAGGTTTGTGCGCTCGCCGGTACACTAGCAGACGGCCCGCTAATGTCTAACATGCTCCTCGGCTGTTGAACGGGACGAGTATCAATATCGAGCATGCTACGGACTGGAGGTTGTGGTTGAGGACTCCGAGGCGCATTGCCGATATCCAACATACTTCGCATAGGTGACCTCGGGACTGTAAATGGGGAGGGAGATCGGTGGCCGGTCGACGGAGGTCTTCTCGACTGCATTGCCATCAGGCTCTCAACCTCTTTCCTCTCCTCCTCGAGCGCCGCCTCGAGAGACATTGTCTTCTTGTTCGCCATGATGAATGTGGTATCAAACGTAGACGGTCGCGTTGATGAGGTATGTGCGGGGCTTAGTCTTCGTTTAAGATCCAGATAAGTATCGAGCTAACTCCGCCACAAACGTCGGATCGGCTATCTCGATATGCTTCTATTTTAGATGTAACTCATTTGCTCGCTTCTTGAGCAAGCTTTACGTGGAGTCGCGTCGGTAAAAACGGTATTTCGTATTCTATTAGGTTTGTAGGATTATAGTATGGAGAACGCTGTTAGATCGAAGAACGCCGGAGGGATGCTATCGTGGAATAATAGTCGGGCGTCTTTGATGTAGACGGAGGAAGAGCATTGTGTGTTGTAAAAAAATCCTTGTTGTGTCTATGTTCGTTTCGCAACCTGAAAAAAAACCCGAGCTTCGCCCTCAGCTCATGGCTACAGGCCAAATTATAAAAATTGGGCTTTTTTTTAAGATTTAGGTAGGAACTGGGGACCTAGTGTAGGTGTAAGTAGGTAGGCAGGCAGGTAGAAGTTGGAACCGATTGTGGGTGGTCGAGGAAAGGGATGACGGCGCAAAACTCAAAAGTTGCCCAGGTTTGAGAGGAGGTGTGGGGTCTTAGCGCAGGTACCTAGCATGTTCCAGGCAAGAGATTTCCAAACAAACCACCCTAGAAGCCCGCCGTAGGTACCTAGATACACCACCTGGAAAGGGTAGGTACAGCAACTACGGCAAGTACTGTACTGTAGAATTGATTGTGCAGGTGGAGGTACGGTATAGTAAGTACATACATAGGTAGGTATGTACATACAATTACCACATCCGATAGGTACTTACAACAATACAATTGTATATGCCCAATGGTGCTCAAGAAGTTTAAGCGAACACGGAACTGAGGAGGCCTCACTATTTTGCTTGCCAAGGCCGTTAGGGTGAAAGAAAAGAGGTGAAGGTCAAAGGTACAGGATGATGGTGACGGCCGTGATGGGGAAAGAGAAAAAAAAAGAACCAGAAGAGGAGGGGTGGTCCAGAAGGATTGATATGCGATATGAAAGCTCAGGGCTTGGTTACAAGGTGGAACTCGAACCATAAATATATTGTTAGTTTTTCTTCAATTTACTTGCTTTTTTTCCTTAGATTGGTTTAGCGATCCGATTTTTTATTAATAAAAAAATTTAATATTCGCTTGCGTCGTAATAATCAGTGCTTGTGATGCTGTGCGAACCCTTCTGCTTGGGCATTACGCCTAGTATACAACGGATTTAAGAACAAAGTTGGCGGCGTACATGCACTAGGATTAGAACATGGAATCTACCTAACTCGCTGTACCTAATGTTGTACCATTCGGATAGATTAGGGAATCCGCTACCATATGATGCAAGTATCTCGCTACTTCTCCCCGAACAGTTCATTCCTGATAGTCCACACCCATGTGAAAAGTATCGGGTACCTTATGATTCATGTGACATTCGATCTTAGTATACAGATCACCCTATCAGACCACTTCTCTACCCATAGAACCTAGTAGCTACGACCCCTGATTTTTGCCAGCCACATATATTTTCTCTATAAGCCCTGTAAGTACATGCGTCAGAGGCTTTCCAGAAGAGCCTAAGCTTATGTACAAACTTTCACTTATCTACCGTATTGTAACCACCGTCTTACCGCCTTTATTCCATTGGTTATAATTCCATGGCGTTCGATTACGCTGCATTTTCATAGGCAAGATACAATGTAAAATGCATAATACAGCAAATCTTATGTGACATGTTATAAGTTAAAGTGGCTAACTTTTAATGGATAGTATGACTTACATAAAAACCTTTCTATTAATAAGTGTCCTATTATACTACTATATCAACGGTGTATAGTCGGAAGGGAAGAATAATCAACAGCATTGAGCATAAGCAAATTTCTCGTTTTCTTTTTCTTGTATACAACATCCCGTCTCACTTCGGGCGTTTCCGGTCGATCGTCTCAAAACTAGACGCACGTAATTATGGGATTCGGTTTGTAAGTATTTCGTAATTACCTACGTGGCGCATTTCATTGTCGGCATTGACTGAAAATGAGGTCCGCGGAACAAGAGCATAAGCCTGGATATAGCTTCAACAATCGAAGAAAAAATGTGTATTTGTTATTAAAAGATTCCACACCGAACCGCCCAATACATATACGTAGGACTATATGCACCCGGGTACATGTACGGGCAGCAAATATGTATAGTCCTTGTGTTGTCCTACGTACATATCTAGGTATATGTATGTACATGAGTAAGACTAAGGAAGGGTCCGAAAGGAAAAGAGAGAAAAAGATAGCGACAAGAACCCTCATTCTTTCAGGTAACAGAAAACTTGGTGGTTGGTCCGAGAACGATTCCAGCTAAAGATAATCTCCTTGGCATATATAATAACTCCCTCGTTCCCAACACCAAACTGGCGATCTCTCACCAATGTCAGCAGGTGGTGGTCCCTTGTTTATTCTACTCTTGGCTTTTTTATTTCTTTTTTTTTTTCCTCCGCCCGTCTCACCCCCCTCCTCCCCCTCTCCTCGATGAAACAATATCAGGCTGGAGAAGCACAGATGTACATTGTGTACAAAATGCTATCATCTAGGTAACCATTCGGAACATCTAATTACAGTAATTGCCCGGCTATCTACGCCCATGCAATGCCGCGTGGTCCTTTTGTGACTATATCCAGCCTGGGATAGAGTACCACTGCAGCAGCCACGTCGTGAAATCACATACCAAACCCGGAGGGAAGCACACAATCTCGTAATTTCAGCCTCCACATCCGCTTATGGTCGGGGCTTCCCGGCATCGATATTCCGTGCAGCGTAGCGGCAGCTGTTCTTAACTCGCTTCCGTCGAGCAACCCAACCCTGCATGTGTGGTGTGATGGCTACGTAAATTAGTAAATCGCAAATAGCAGGGCATCTTTACTCACCAATTTTACCTGTTTACAAGTTGAGTCAAACGATCTCTAATGCTCCAATACACTCTCAAAATCATACTACGTTACAAGGTGCTTTAGATTATAATTGCATATTAGTCCACGGGTTTACTTGTTCAAAGAGCAATTTTGTTCATTATCAGAAGTTCCTATTTAGAATAACCTCTGCTTCATTCTGAGATGTCCCATTCGGCAACCTTGGGGGGTATTTTGTCAGAATCATTGGTGCCGCCTGATTTCCGTTCGGTGCCCGGTAACAAGTACCATGGGGTTCACCGACTGTGACCACGAAACGCCTGATGACCGAAACCCTGGCATCCGGCCAGTGCTCCGAGTGGGGAGCAAAGTCTATCAATACATGCAAATAGTATGAGAAGGGCATCCCTAATGCCGAACCCTAGATGATGCGATGGCATCCAGACGGCGAAAAAAGATCCATTCCGACGTAGAGGACGTGAGGGTCGTAGAGGGCATAAAGGGACGAGATACGAAAAGAAATGCAGAAATCAATACCGAATTCGCCCGTGCCTGGGCGCAGAACCACCAACGTCATAACTTTTCCGAAACCTATCGTGAGAAATTGACGCTCCCATATCGTCAGTATCGTCAAAGGGGGCTAAGAACCAACGTCGAGAAGATCAACGGTATGTCAAAGCCGCCCCAAATGGCCAAGATATAAGCGTTGTTGCTTACGCCTTGTCCTCGGCTTTGTCCTCCTTTCCGGAGTCGCCATCAGTGCCTTGAGTCTTAATGTACTCATCGTAGACGGCCATGGCTTCATCCACCTTAGCTCGGAGAGCGCTATCGTCCTCAATGCTGCGAAACATTAGCGTCATAACATACACACAAGGTAATCTTTTGTAACTTACAGGTTGACCAGCTCCGCGTTATCCATCTCTAGAAGCATACCAGTAATTTTGCCTGCCAAGTTGGGCTGAATGGCCTGGATCTTGGGGAAGATAAGCTCACCGAGCATCTGCTTCTGTTGCTGTGGGTTGGACTGAGATTGAAGCTGCGAGTGAAGTAATGAAGTCGGGGTTAGATCTTGCTGGGGACCAGGTGTGGCACCAATCTGTTGGTTAGGGACGCCGCGGCCACCCTGAGGAGGGAATTGTCCACCCTGACCACCTCGTTGCGGGCCACCACGACCCGCGGGACCACCTTGTCGCGAGTTAGGCGGGTAGCCAGGCATGCCACCCGGACCACCAGGCAAACCCACATTGCCAGGAATTCCCTGAATCGGTCCACGACCGGCTGGGACTCCACGGCCACCACCGAGGGTAGCCTGCTGCACCTGAGCCATAGCAGCCATGAACTGCGGGGTGCCAGGTTGACCGTACGGCGCACCAGGCGGGAACTGTCCAGGTAGGTACATGTTAGGAGGAATCTGCGGGATAGGGCCACCACGACCGCCCTGAGGACCTCCATATGCATTAGGGTTGAATTGACCAGGACGACCACCCTGAGCACCAGGCATACCCATTCCAGGGAAAGGCATACCGCGACCACCCTGGGGAGGGAAGCCCGGTTGTTGACCCGGAGGGTAAAAGACCGGGGGTTGCATGTACTGCTGGGGCATACCCGCCGCCGCCGCTGCTTGCTGCATTCGGAGTTGGTTGCGAGCTTGGATACTCGCCTCAAGCTGGCTCTTTCGAACGTCCTTTCGCTGGGCTAGTGCGACATAAAGAGGCTTGTTGTTAAACATGCGCTGGTTCATGTCACCTACAGCCTTAGTGGCATCATCAGGGTTCGCAAAGCACACGAATCCGAAACCCTTGCTCTTTCCAAGTTTCTTGTCAGACTTCTTCTCCTTCTTTTCGCCCTCTTCCTTATCCTCGTCACTAGAATCCTTCTGGTTCTCCTTGTCCTTACCCTCCTTTTCTTCCTCGCCCTCGCTAGCATTATCACGCATAACCTTGGCGGAGGTGATAGGGCCGAATTCCGAGAACATCTGGCGCAACTTGTCATCATCAACATCATCATCCAGGTTCTTGATGTACAAGTTAACACCCTGGTACTTGTTGGCCTTCTCTTGGCGAGCGGCTTCGTACGACTTTCGTAGCTCTTCCTCGCGCTCATGTTTCTTCTGAGCGCGACCAACATAGAGGTCCTGCCCATGGAAATCCTTGTTGTTCAGATCGTCAACCGCTTTAGCAGCGCTCTCGTGGGTAGTAAAGTTGACAAAACCGAAACCACGGGACTTGCCCTCGCCGTCACGAGCTAGAGAGGAAGAGGTAACATCTCCGAACTTCTCGAACAGCTCGCGGAACTCATCATCAGTAACGTCGGTCTGGATGTTCTTGACATAAACATTGGTGAAGTTTGCCTTCATCTCCTCGAACTTGCTCTGGCGGTCCTTCTTGGGGATGTGGTGGCCTACATAAACCTTCTTCTCGTTAAGCAACATGCCGTTAACGTGCTTGATAGCCTGGGAGGCAGCCTCGTCGGTCTCATAGTGTACAAAACCATAGCCCTTCGAGTTGCCGTTCTCGTCCTGAGCGACCTTGCAGCTCAAAATATTGCCGAAGGCAGCGAAAGTGTCGTGAAGGGCCTTGTTGTCAATTGCGGCATCAAGGTTCTTGATGAAGATGTTGCCTTGTCCGCTCTTGCGCAAGTTGGGGTCACGTTGAGACCACATAATGCGGCACGGACGACCCTTGATCTGGGTGTAATTTAGCTCCTCGAGAGCACGTTCGCCATCTGCAGTGGTATTGTAGTTGACGTAAGCATAGCCGAGAGAGCGGCGAGTGACGGCGTCACGGCAAACACGAATCGAGGCGACAGAGCCTATCTGCGAGAAAAGCTCGAAAAGCATAGCCTCAGTGACGGAGGGGTCGAGTTCGCCGACGTAGAGGGAAGCGGATGCGGCAGGGTGAGGGGTCTGGGCAGAGCTGGGAGTAGCGCCAGCAGCATCGCCCTCGTCGCCGTGGGCATCGGGTCCGACGTTAGTGTTGATGGAGGTAGGTCGAGCATCACCGCCGTTTAGGGAGGTGTTGCCAAGATCAGCGGCAAGCTGGTCAACAGCGCCGGGGGCAGCAGTAGCAGCAGACATTGCGAAAAAAAATTAATTGACTATAAATTGCAGAACTAATATTAGTACGATTGAATGAAAATAAAGATTCGGCTTGCCGATGAAACGTAGGAAAATGATATGAAAAGTATAGTAATTAAGACAGCGCTTGGCTGGGATGGGGGTGTGCTTAGGGGTAAAGGCTTAGAAGTTGGAAACGAGGGGAAGTATAAATGCGCACCAGGCAATTAGAGCAAGCTGCAGAAATGTTATATTCTCGTGATCGAAGGAATAACAATCGCGAGAGAATGAAGACCGGCGAGACAAAGGTTGTCGTCGAGGCTTCAAAGAAGGTAGATGTTGAAGGATAGTCCTAGAGGCTTAAGCGTACTCGAGCTTCAAAGGACACCGCACTTGATTTTACCGTAAGGGCAGAAGAGAATGAATAGGCCTAAGTGATTGACAATGGAACCTATTCTAAAGCAGGAAGAAAGAATGCGCCTCGACGGTTAGATGAAGTGAGGATGAGGTCGGGTTGGCTAAGTAGTAGGCGATAGTGGTGGAATTTTTTATGGTTTTCCGAATTTTTTTGGTGTTTTGTTCTGAATGAAATTTGGCGAGAACAGAAACAAAGTACGAACAGCGAGGATCGTACTTAATAACTGAATCTCTTTTTTTTTATTTTTTGGGGGGGTTCTTGGGTGACGAGCTGGCGGATAAAGTTGTCAAGTCGTTGGGAAAAAGGAAGAAGGAAGAAGAGAGGGTCCAGTCCTCTTTTGAGAGATCTTGAAGATTTTTTGTGCCTCTGGTTGCGATCAACCACACAAAAAATTTCAACTAAGAAAAGCGGGTCAAGACCAGGCTAAGGTTGGTACACCGTGACTTTTGAACTCTGTACCTATCTAGTCGCAGTACTTTGACCCCGCCACAAATTTAGTCCTAAAACAATGTAACTCAGATACCTAAGTACAAGGCAGAATACTTGGGACCAATCAGATTTAAACGAGATACGTACTAGTCAGTATCACAAAAGTTTAGGAAGGAGAAATCAATGTGAACAGTGAAACTCGCAGGCGGACTGAAGGTAAAATTGAACGAGCCCATGGGTCCTGCCTTACTTTCTATATATTGATATGTGATACCTAACGTTTGGAAATGACTACCTCAAATTCATGAGTGTTGCACAAATACATACATATGTACCCGTATAGTCAGGTACATTACACATAATACAGGTAGGTTTGGGAAAGAAGGTCGCAAACTTTCAATGTTCTTACCTGACAATTTCCAAGGTTCTATCATCTTTGACTCGAATTTGGAAGCTTTACCCGACGCGTCTGTTCTGATGTTCTACATACATGTATGTTTATGTATGCGCATAGGTAGATCTTAGGCGTGTGCTTAGGCGGGTAAACATATAAATAAATGCCTGCCACTTCAGAGCATAGACGTGATATGCTATGTAGGTAAGATATCAATTGGAGGTTAAGTACTTACTTACCTTTATTACACATAAGTATTTATTTTGCTTTTTTATATGAATATAGACATCTGCAAATACTGCCACTTGCCGCATAACAACTATTTCTAGCTTAATATCACTTCGAGAAATAGCAGTCAAACAGCCATAATGAGGAAAGAAGTTGTGGTCTAGGCTGTCCAATCTAGCTTATCTTATCGGTCCAAACCTATCTATTGGGTGGTTAGATGGATTTAAGCTTCTATGGAGCACCCCGCCTACCTAAACCGACGGGGTACTTACCTACACATGCTAAAAGTTGGTGCTAAGAGGGGAATGGAATAGCCTTGTGACGTGCGTTTGTTGGTGCTTACCTCAGGAGGTATCTAAGTAGATAGGTAGATAGTGGCACCCAAGCTCAATTAACATTTAACCTACGTTTAACGTTTGGAAGGCAACAGAAATTCTATGCATCATAAAAAATAGCTGACTGAGCAAACGGCGGCGATTACCCAAAAGTTATATGAAGTAGGTACAGTACGTGCACATATCAAACTATGTGGGTACCTAGAAGATACCTAGAAGGTACCTGTAGCTGCTACACTACCTTTTAACCTCACCTAACACAGAGGCTGCTTGTTACCTAAACCAGACCTTCAATTCATTACTTTCACCCTCTAGCGTTTTAACGATTCTCGCCGATATTCCCACACGATGATCAACGCAAATGCGCATAACTGATTCCGCGCAAAATCGATCGCTGAAACCAACTTCATAGCTTCTGTTAATAATCATATTCATTACTTCCTATAATCCTTCCCACGCTGTCCATATTGTCTTCGTCGACTTTTCCGTAGTTCTCTTTTCGGATCCTGGGCATTACGTCAAAGCACGACAACCTAACCTATACATTACCGATTTCATTCACCTCCGAACTTCGAAGCCACCACAGTATCATGCCGACACTTGCCACTTGGTAGAGTGAGCACTATCTGCCACTTTTATCTACCTTACCCAACGTCTTTGACAAATATCCGAACAAACGAGGCTATTGATTGGCACGCCGAGACCGTGCTCCTATATCCGACATGTTTCCGACATTTACTGGCACTTCGAGGCGGCCTCGAAACGTAAACCTAAGCGGTCAGCGAAATACAAATCCTTGGGCAACCTCGAACTGGTCCGCATCCGGTTCTGGTGCCTCCAAGACGGTTGCACAAGCTCAGGCCGAGCGAGAAAGGAGACAGAAAGAACGTGACGAGTTAAATGCCGCCAAGAAGCTTCAAAGAGTATGGAGGGGTCATAGGGAACGGCAGAGCTTGAAACAGAGACGTCGAAGAGAGTTTGATACCTTATATACCCAGCCTGCATGTCACGACCTGTCTCGGCGATTGAAGAGTGCTCTCCCTCTTCTACTTATACTATTTGACCCTAGGCAAACGGACGACCAACAACGTTTAGACCTCTTCGTTCAAGATTTGGCCAGCTTAGGGTCACAGCCCTCAAACTTCGATATCTTCAGTCCGAATTCTTGGGATCGGCTAGCAGGACTCATAGTGGGGGCTTTAGAGAAGTACGTATATATCCGGTTGTGCTATATTATATTACTCGCTTACACTATGTTACAATAGGCGCCTAGCTAGCTCGTCTCACGCCCTCCTAGGCGTCTTGGTTGATATTATCAGGAGAAGGCCTCTAGCTACTGCTTCTTCATTAAAACGTTATTACAAAGTTTTATCTAGATACTTCGAGCAGAGTATCCAGGCAGAAGAACAAGGCATCCTTACCGCGGCCGTTACAACTCCCTTGGCGTCGTCTTCTAGAGGAGGTACGTATTTAAACGACCCGGGAGCTACTGTGAACCTACTGTGTAGGACGTAATATCGGCTAACAGCGTCTAGCATCATCCGTCTCGCGAGCATATCATGCTTTTACTTTCTCCTTTCTCACTTCCTCGAGCTTAGCGTTCTTACAACGAGATCCCGGGCGAATTGCGGACGTCCTCGATGTTGAAACCTTATCTCAGACTGTGATTGATACCTATTCTAAGAGAGATACGGTCACTACTTTATCCAAGAATAATTCACTATGGCTCTTGGCTCACTTTATCGCCTTGAACAGAGCAATCCCTACCTCCCGCGGAACCAAATATCTTGAGGCGCTCTATGTTCAACTATCTATCCTCGTAGACAACGTTCGAATACGGTATAGTCGACATGGAGCCCTCGTTGATACGCATGATAATGATGGCGCTTCCGAACCTGACGATGACGGTGCTGAAGATTCTGTTCAACTCTCTCCCTGGGTTATAAGCCAATTAGACTCCCTAGTCGATGAGGATGGCATATCAGAATTATTAAAGAGATTCACTTCGTTAGTCTCCAAAATTGAACTTATCCTAAGTTGTATACTAACTGTCAATCCTACAGGACTGCACTGTCTTCCGACCAACTCTCCGAAGACGCCAGTCTCCTTGCTGGCTATACTCTCGTACTACTGAGATGTTTTCCAAGTCATAACGACGATATCAAAATGCGTCTTTTTCAGGGAGACGTCTCTATGATTAATTCAGCGGGGTCCACATCAACTCCGTCCGTCAAGTATTTCTGGACAGCCGCTTCGAATACTAGCATATTTCAAAGCATTGTTCATCCCAGAAGCTCGCAACAGACCCCAAACATCGTCACACTTCTACAATCGGATCCCACGCGTGATCGAGAATGGCGCACAATATTATTATTCTTAGAATTATACAACTTCCTTCTAAGAGTTACTGATGACGAAGACTTTCTACCGGCGGAAAGTCAAATCTTATCACAGCAAAGCGCAGCAACCTCTCGAATACGTTCAAGTGGTCTCAGTCTAAACGAACTCAAACAGCTAATCAACTTCTTGAAGAGCCTCTCATTTCCATTATACTATCATTTATCAGACATCATGCCATCTACCGCAAGGCCAGCTCGGCTTAATAGTCTCATAGGCGTCAGTTTCGGGAAACCAAGTACACATGAGGAGGATACAAAGACGGCTCATCCATCATTCGCTGGCATTATCGGTATGGATGTTCTTGGTTTAAGAAGTGCGTCAACGGCTACAATGCGTTCATTATATGAACGAGATTCTCGTCGACGTTTTCTTCCTGCAGATTTCTGGTTGATGACTTCTAAATTCGATATGGACGGTTTTATCTCAGCTGTCGTGTTAGAAGAGCAACAGAAAGACCAAATGGACGACGATGACGATTCGAGTGACTCAGACACGCCAGATACTTTCTATACATCAACCGGACAACGCCTCTCACGTGCAGCACAGATTGAAAGGCGTCGCAGGTTACGAAAAGTCCAAAGAGAGCAGCTACTAGCTCAAGTTGGACCCAAGCTCGAAGTCCTTCGTAATATGCCATTTGCTATCCCATTTGAGGTTAGAGTTCAGATATTCCGACAATTTGTGTACCTTGACAAAATGAAACGCCGTGGTGGCCAAGTCGACCCTGACCAGTGGCGTATGTCGATACAAGGAGATGGCTTTTTAAATGGGCCTACTGCTAGAGGCAGAGACGCACTCGGACGCCACACCGCTAGAGTTAAACGAGGTCACGTATTCGACGATGGGTATGAACAGTTCTACTCACTCGGCGAAGGACTTAAAGAACCGATCCAAATAACATTTGTGGACCAATTCGACCAGGCTGAAGCCGGCATTGATGGCGGCGGCGTTACGAAAGAGTTCCTGACCAGCATCACTGACGAAGCCTTCACACCCGGCCCGGATGGCCACAACCTCTTTGTCACCAATAGTCAGAACCTACTATACCCGAACCCGACCGCATTTGACGACCTTGCAGAATTCCTCCGCCACGCCAAATTTAAAGAAGGTGGTCCTGAATGGAAGGAGAGTATGATGGACCTTGCCAAACGTTACGAGTTTCTTGGCCGGGTATTGGGGAAATGCATGTATGAAGGCATCCTTATTGACAAGGCGTTTGCCGGGTTCTTTCTGCTCAAGTGGTCGGCGTCGGGGCAAGGTTCATTGAATGATTATCGTGCAAATCTAAACGATCTGCGAGATCTAGACTCAGAGCTATATCAAGGCCTCATCAATCTTAAGAACTATCCCGGCAAGGTTGTCGACCTTTCGCTAGACTTTACCATCACGGATCAAGTCACGAAACACAATGGAGAAGTGAGCACAATAACTCGCCCACTCTGCAAAAATGGTGAGGATATTCCTGTAACCAACACCAACCGTCCTCTTTACATCTCCTACGTTACAAATCATCGTTTGGTGGCGCAACCCTACCGCCAGACCAGAGCTTTCCTCAAGGGTCTTGGATCCATCATCAACCCCTCGTGGTTATCCATGTTCAATCAATCAGAACTTCAGCGCCTTGTAGGTGGTGATAGCTCAGAGATTGACGTCGAAGACCTGCGACGTAATACTCAATACTCAGGGTTATACGCCGTCGGTGACGATGGGATGGAACACCCCACTGTTCAGATGTTCTGGCAAGTTATGCGCGAATTCCAAGATTCAGAACGAAGGGACGTACTCAAATATGTGACGTCCACGCCAAGAGCACCGCTACTGGGTTTCTCGCAGTTGAGTCCTCATTTCAGCATTAGGGACGGTGGTACCGACGAAAAACGACTACCAAGTACAAGCACATGTGTCAATCTCCTGAAGCTTCCTCGTTATTCTTCAAAGGAGACGCTAAGGAGCAAGCTTCTGTACGCCATAAAATCCGGGGCCGGCTTTGATCTAAGCTAAGTCAATCGCAATATTGGCAAGGCCTGCCGTATCAAAAAGGTGTAGACGGTTTTGTAGGTGGTACATTGGTAGGATGGGTGTCATAACGGTTGATGAGATAGGTGCATATGTCAGTTACAGAATGAATGAAATTAATGAGCTTCATGGCTAGATTATGACTTTTTTTACCTGCTATTAAAGTTCATGGGCACTCTTGCACTCGTTAAGACGAAGTTACTATCGCGTACGATATCCTCTTGCCCAGCCTTCTCATCTCTATACAATGCAACCCGCTGGCACGCCTAGCACAATCAATCATCATAGCCACGTGCGAATCAGTAAGAATAGCCCACATATATCAGCAGACCCATATTAAGTCGAATCAGCCATATCTGAATATCTAGGCAAGGGAGGCAGTTTGCCCAATAGACAGCTTCTCCATATGCAAGTGATGAGTAGCTCTATCGCGAACCCCGCTTTCGGTCGCTGATAACTTCCATTTCGTGAAAAGGGATATGTCTCCGTTTGTATGTATTGAATGTGACGACAGCTCCAAATCTTGGAAATGGCCGCAATGGAGGGTTTAAGTAGCCGACATCGCTATGGATTTCTGTTCTATGATTATTTAACGTAGGTACTCCCCTCAGTTTTTAAAGGAATATCTTGAATACAAAGGATATTGGAAGATAAATTATGGCAGATTCATCATACCTGATAATCGGCGCAGGTTGCTTTGGCGCCTCGACCGCGCGCGCTCTTAAAGATGCATACCCCACTGCGGATGTGGTGTTGTTAGATCAACAGCCGTTTCCGGCTCCCGCGGCTGCAGCGCATGATTTTAATAAGATCATCCGCGCCGAGTACGAGGACCCGGTGTACATGGCTCTTGCACTCGAAGCGCGCGAGGCGTGGGCGGAGAAAGATCCTGTTGTAGAGCCGTTTTTTCATCAGACGGGTGTTATATGGCCTGTTACACAGACGCGCGCGAAGAAGTTGAGGGAGGGGTACGATGGATTGATAGGGGAGGGAAAGGCGCCGTTACAAGAGTTAAGCTTTGAGGAGGCGAAGACGAAGTTTCCAGTTCTAGGGGGGTGTGGGTTGGATGGTGATGGCGAGGCGGAGTTGTGTGTTTTTAATCCGCTGGCTGGGTGGGCGGAGGCGGCGGGCGCGTTGGAGGCGGTTGTTAGGGATACGTTGGGTAAGGGGGTTAAGTATGAGGTTGCTACTGCGAAGAGACTGATTTTTGATAATGAAGGTGTGTGTACGGGGGTGTTGGCAGAAGATGGTAGAACGTTCACGGCGGAAAATGTGATTTTGAGCGCTGGAGCGTATATTCCCTGGTTACTGGCGGAAAGCGCCCCGGAGAAGCCGGAGGTGCAGGCTGGGGATAGGATGGTGGCGGCTTCAGCGTTGATGGGGCTGTTCAAAGTACCACCAGGAGAGAAGGGGCTGGATAAGTTTACAAACGCACCGATTATCGTGCATTCTTTTGGGGAGTATCCAGGTATGACATATTTAGGGGACGAAGAAGTACTAGAAGATATACCCCTAAGCTTGGATATACTCATGCTAACTACAATTACTCAGCTGAGTGTATACCTCCCGGTAGTCCAGGCGCATTGGATTTAGCGAAGTGCACTCACGAGCTCCCATATACTCGGAAGGTATACCATGAGCCGACGAAACAAGATATATCGGTGCCGCCCCTATCACAAGCCGAGCGCATGAAATGGACGACGGACTTACCTGATGCGTTGAAAGCGAACTCTGCAGGAGCCCGAAACAAGCTTTTTGGAGATCACATAACGGGTATGGCGCCTGAAATATATCGACTCTGCTGGTATGGCATCTCCCCTTTACATGTGAGAAATTCAAATTTTCTTGCTAACCACATAAACGTAGGGATGTCTCTACGCCGGATGAAAACTGGATTATTTCACCTCATCCAGCAGTGAAGAACCTCTATATCACAACAGGAGGCTCATTCCACGCGTTCAAGTTTCTACCCAACATTGGCAAATACGTGGTACAAATGCTTCAAGGTAAATTATCGGAGGAACATACACGAAAATGGGCTTGGAATCGAGAAAGTGAGTTTATCTTGGGATTTATTATCGCCCCCTTTACATTACTGATGCGAAGCAAATAGTAACCCCTATCGTGTCTCCGTATACGCCTCGTGCGGATCTGCGGAATGTTCCTGGATACCATGATTGAAGTCACTACCAAAGTTGTCATTACGATAGGTCTCAATTGCTAGAAACCTCGATTCATTATGAAAGTTGTAACATCCGCTCATACACATTTTGTATATGCCACTACCCTAATATCTAACATCGAGCAAACAGCTCCTATAGTCTAGAGGTTAGGACGTCGGATTCTGATTCCGAAAACACTGGTTCGAACCCAGTTAGGAGCTTCACAATTACCTTTTTATCAAACTCGCTCGTAAATGCTAAACTTATTGTTTATTTTTGCATCGTTTTAATGAGGGGATCGTGGTCTAAGTAGAGTAGACTAATGTTAGCCCTGAGTTGTGGAGCTTTAACAGCCTACTAGCAGAAGAATATTTTCAATAGATTGTCAACTTTGGAATAATTTTTCCCCGATTGAATCTTTGGGAAAAAGTTAATAGAGTCGAAGTGTATCGTCCCTAATCAGGCCATGACCTGGTCTCGCTAACCAATTCCTTTTACTCTTGGGGTGGAACAATATACCCGCTACTATGATCTAAATCACTTCTTGATATATCGTCAGTAGCTTGAACAAGATATTTTGAATCATATTCGCTGTACTCTAGATAGTATATCTAAATTCAGTGAGACGGTCATCGATAATCTTCTTCCCTTCATCCGCCCGTTTGTTTTCCCATCTGAGCAGGACTATCGAAATACAAGCGGCGACAACAGCAGCTATACAAATAGCCATCACAGCTATTATACCCGGGACGTAGTCGGGTGCATCCTATCCATGGTTAGCATATCATGAAATGTTGGTTGTGAGATCTTTCACATACCTGTTGGCGGAAGACTAGTGACGAATAGATACCACCAAGACCACTAATAGCAATCATGACAGCAGTAGCACAAGCACGCCTTGCGTCACCGCGTAGATTATTTGCTTGCCAAGCCAGAGTAGTAACCACGAGTCCGTTTACACCAGCTTCACCGAGGAAAGTACCGATATATCTTGGAACAGGTTGGTCGACGAAACCCGTCATACATAACCCTATAATAGCCACAAGGCCTTGGACGATAACAAAGAGTCCGCGCAAGTGCATTTTATCGGCAAGCCATGAAATGAACATACCCTCAACGACTGAGAATAATGCTGGCGGTGCTGAGAGTACAAACGCGAGCTCCTGCGAGTATCCCATACCATTACGCAGAATGAGGGGCAGGAAGAATAAGAAAGCGTAGACTCCCACAGCACCGGCTGAGTACATCAATGCGAAAGACCAGACCTTCCAATCGGTGATGGTCTCGACGAAAATGGCCCACGTAACCTTTTCACGCTCTTCAGATCCACGATCCTGTGCCAACCGTGCCTTAACGAAAGCGGCTTCTTCCGCCGTGAGAAACTTGTTGCGGTGCGAATCGGGAAAGTCGACGATGACAAACCAAGCAATAACAGCCGCAACACAGGTCATAACACCTTCAATGATATAAATCCATCTCCAACCCTTATAATTCGTCCCAGGCGCCTTCGCAATCTGAATAAGCGCAAGCGCGAAGATATTCGCAAAAGCCGATAACGCGGACCCGGTCATAAAGAATGTAGCCAATCTCTTCTGTACCTCATATCTCTTATACCAAGACGAGATCAAGTAAACACATCCCGGGTAAAAACCCGCCTCAAAAACACCCAAGAATGATCTTAGTACCGCGAGCGCGACCCAATTATTCAAGAACCCAATCCCCATCGACACCAACCCCCACGCAAAAACAATCAACGCGAGCCAATTCGCAGCTCCAACGCGATGAATAACCATATTACTCGGCAACTCAAACAGCATATACCCGATAAAAAACACAAGCAGCGCAACAGAGGCCCGGTCACCTTTCGCTAGACCCACATCTTCATCGAGTCCGGAAATACGGGCTACGGATATGTTACTTCGGTCTACCATTGCGATTGTGTAGAGGGCGCCGAGGATGGGGAGGAGGCGGATGTCGATTTTGCGCAGGACGCGCTTTTCGAATTTTAAGTCTTGGGATAGGACGGCGGCATCTTGGGATGGGGAGGGAGGGGTGGAGGGTTCGTTGCCGTCGAGTTTTTCGTGGAGGGATATGGAAGTGCCTTTTTCTGCCATTGTGAAGAGAATTGGTCCGGACTTGCTGACTGACTGACTGACTGATTGTCCTTCACGACGGTAAGGAGGACAAGAAAGCAGCCGAGCCCCAAGCAAGAAGAACTTCAGAGGGAAATGCACAGCAATAAGAGAGGCCCGCAAGCTACGAGGGCCGACATTTATTGCCGGTTTTCGGCCCTCGCTATAGCTTGGTCGGATACCCGAAAGGAATGTGGAGGAGGCATAGTTGTGGGGTAAAAAAACACCCTAAAAAGCTGGGGTATGGGGGATTATAAGATGATTCTTGGTCGTGATCATCCTGGTTGTGTCTGTTCTAGGTATACCGCGTGCCGAGCTAGCAGTCCGCAATACCTAAGCTAGCTGCTAACTCCGCAGCTAGGGGGCGTGGTAGAGTATAGTATAGCACTAATGTTCATGTTTTGGGGTGGTATTTTGGGGGCATTACCATGTTCATGGGTACGGCTTCAGTTAATAGCAAGTCTAGGCGGGAAATGGGGGATTTATAGAACCATGCTGTTGGGACTAGGATATGCGGAGTTGAAGGAACGGGGGTAATTGGGGTGGAGGACTAATGCGCTATAGAATCATTTCTAGTGTTGAAATTTTCATTAAATTGTGCTCTAGCTCGCTTATTAGGTGGCGTCTCTCAGCCCTGGTCTAGAAATCGTAAGCGTTCGGTTTCGATCGACTCCGATCGCTGTCGATCATTATACACACGGACAGCCTCAGTAAACCTTCAGGGGCTGTACTTAACCGTCATTACTCACGACGTTAAGAAATGATCTATTTGGTGCCTTATACGCCAATAGATATTTTGAAGAATCTAGTGTAGTTATCAGAATGGTGTAGGAGCTGTTGGGTCTTTTTTACTAACGCCTTATCGCCATGTTGGCCCAATTTGGCTATAGGCTTTTGAAAAGCCCTTCACAAGATTTAGGTATTCATGCTTACATAGCCCAAAATCGCCTAATTAAACGTGGCTGATGGCGGCCTCATGGAAATCAGTATGTCTATGACGAGTAGAGTATTGTATTATGTCAATGACATTAGTTTTACCGAAGTACTCGTATAATAACGGTACGAGAGGTAAGAAAGTTGACTAGAATCGTTGAACGGCTTTAGTGAACGCTCAACATGGCGTCTTGAGCGTTATGCTGCGTACTGATATATTAGATGTGAAGAAGTTGGTGGAATAATTAAATTTAACGAAATCTATCTGAAGAGAAGTGATTTGCACCAGATTGGTTATCTGGGAAAATAGCACGTCCTCGAAATAGCGTCACAATTGATCCGTCTATAGCAAAACTTCATCTTCTGTGGATGCTCGCACCTTACAGCTAGCCTGCTAATATGACGCCCTAATTACTGAAACTTCCTCCGATCGTAGATTCCGCATGCATTGCGCGCTTAACCGTAGACAAGCTTAAAGATGTCGTTGTGAACGTAGTACTGAAGCTGCCCGTTGATATTCTCAGGTACGAGGTAGAAGGACTGGGTGTATCGCATGGGTTGTTGCTCCTCATCGACCTAATAATGTGTTAATTTATTTACCAGATATCTGGGAAGGGAATTTTGGTGGACGAACTAGAAGCTGACCGGTCACGAGGACCATGATGTGGGAAGGATCAACACCAGGCTGGGAGTCCATAGTGTCAACCTGGTGCTTGATCTGCTGGAAAGGAAGACCCTAGTAGTATTTGTTAACTCTTACTCGGATAGTCTCCGTGTTGGGAGTAGTTGCCCTACCTGGAGCTTCTCGATGATGGAAACGGTGCCTTGGAAAGAGTTGGACTCGAAGGTCAACATAGAGCCATCCCGCTACAATATTGTTAGTCGGCGTTCAATCTGTACAAAATAGTAGATGTTTTAGGGGGCGCATACGTAGAGAGGAGCGAGGGCTGCTCGGTTCTGGTCGAACTGGTTGTAGTAGAACTCCACGAAGGATTCTATGCATTTGTTAGTTTGGGCGCTGACAGATCGAAGGCGCGCGCAAGGCGAATTTCGGTGGGAAATACATACTCGAGATCGATACGAAATCTATTTATTACAGTTAGCATATGATGTTCCATTCTGTGATCTATATAGTAGTAGATCATTGGGCAGGAATATGCGACGCGTAACACGGGGGAGGGAGGAGATTCACCTGTCATTTTGGAGGGGTTGTTGCTAGTAGATAGCTGTAGAAGGAGATATGTTTGTTGAGGTTGTATTGACGATTCAATACTGTATTTATTATGCGCAGGTTTCAACTTCGGAACAACTAGAATGTTGTTATAAAGGAAGAATGAAGAGGAATTTGTAATTGTTGTTGTTGTTGTTTTGGAATGGGAAGGAAAGAAGTGAGGCCATTCGGGCTGGTCACTTTTGGAGGGGCATTTTTCGAGGCGGTGACCCACTTATATATCTAAGCTAAATCGGTTTTGGATACAGACGCTGGCGGGGTAATTTTATTTTTTTTATTACCACACTGACCACACTGTTTAGATCGCCGGGCAATTATCGATACCGTATCGGATTATGTAAGATATCATTTGTTTAGTTAGTTTAGCGTCTGTTACACAATCAGATATACCTAGGTACCTAGATACATGTGCATATTAAATATGGGTCACCGTGCAGTGTGACGTCGAATACATCTTGTTTTCTCTTCACGAAATGGAAGGAGCAGCATAGACTAATCGTCTAGGTGCGTTTGATAAACTCCTCATAAACTTGTTTGTGATCAATCATTTTAACCTTCCTTTTTTACAACTTTTTCTTTCTTTACAGTGATAATATGTGATTTACTCTCAAACGGAAGTTAATCAGCGGGATTACACATCATCAATGGGATATCATCGCTGTTACAGCAAACTGATATCCTTATTGAAACCATGACTCTTCGTTGTCAATTGTCTAAGCCTAATGCCCCATTAATAACTAATTAATTCGATCTAAGAGAAAATATCGCCCAATTTCGTACATAAAAAAGAGTTGGGAGGTTTGATTTATTTATATGAATTTACAATGGCATTGAACGAAACGAAAACTGACGATGCTATTCCTACTGATAATGCGCAGAATGGTACTTCCGCCGAGACGGGGCTCTCTCGAATTCTTCGTCATCGCAGTCCAGGGACAAAACACCATACTCGCGACCCCTCGATGGACTCACTAGATAGGATCTTTGATACTCGTACCGAGTCGCAACCTCGTCTCCCCGTCGCCCAGAGAACTATGACCTCGGAAGACAAGCATTATGCAAACAATTCTTATGGAATAACCGAGTTACGAGATGGCTTCTTTGATGCAATTTTTCTCCCACCCGAGGAAGTGAACACGCAAGATCTCATGAAGCAAGCTGAGTTGACTCTTCCATACGCATTTCGGAAGAGGAATCCCCTTTCTATACGCAATTTTTTACCTAAACAATGGCACGAAATCAAGGGGGTTGCTCGTCGGGTTACTACCACAAGAGCTGGTATTCGGCTTCTTAAGTCGTTTCTTGCCTTTTTTATAGCGTATATTCTCTGTCTTATTCCTCCTGTCCAAGCTAGACTTGGACGTTATAGTTATATCATGGTCATTTCGACGATTCTTAATCATTCCGGTAGAACGTTAGGCGCTCAAGTCGATGGTACTATTCTAACAATAGTTGGCACCGCTACTGGGTTAGGATGGGGCGCCTTCGGTCTTTGGGTGTCTACCGCCACGGCAACAGCACGTATCGGATACGGTGGAATTCTTGCTGTTTTCCTTTTCTTATACATTTTTGCCATTGCTTGTGTTCGTTCCTACTATATCCGGACATATCAAGCTGTTATCTGCGCTGGAATTGCTATCTCATATACTTGTCTTGCGGAAGTGTCAGGAACTGAAGTCTCTTGGTCTAAACTTCTCGCATATGGAATTCCCTGGGTCTTAGGACAAGCCATCTCCCTTTTTATATGTTGTATTGTGGTTCCTGATGCTGGTGCACGCCCGCTTGCCGTGGCTCTACACCAGGCATTCGCTGTCATGCTGGTAATTCTACCCCTACCCTCTTAGGTTTTTCAATAACTAATTATTTCCAAGGATGGTATCGGCTTGACTCGGCTAGAAAGCATAAGAACACGTCGAAGACTGACTCAGACTTTCGTCAGTATGTCACAGGCCTACAGAGATCTAGTCATCGACTTCTCTATAACGCTCTTCGACCCCAAAGACGTGTTGGCACTACGTAATCTCATTCAAGGTGTCATTCGTGCACTACTTAGCTTGAATAGTGAAACAAGGATCCTGGATCAGTCGGATGATGCCCCATGGGATAGGTCGAGTCGTGGCCGATCCGTCCTAGACGAATTCATTGTTGATATGGACGAGAAGTCCCCCGGGCCGGAAAATGAGGAGCAAAGAAGGCTGGTGAAGTTCGTGGCGAGTAACTTGGCCGAGCCGACGGAGAAACTCCTTTTATCTATGGAAACTGCATTGAATAGCTGCGATGCCGTTTTGATGGAGATGTGTGGACATCGCCAATACCTCGGTCCCCCGAAAAATGTTTCGAATGATGTTCCCGGATCTCTGGTGAAGTTACGCAGGCGTATTATTGCATTCAGCGAGTGCCAAGACAGCGTATTGGCGAGTGAAAGTTTACCTCCGACATATGCGGAATCTCCTGAAGTTGTCAAACTCTTCGCATACTGCCGGCCAGTTCATCAAGCAGCAACGGCAATCGAGGCACTTTTAGTAAAAGTTAACGAAATGCAACAAAGGAAACCAATGCGACCGATGTTTCATCCGCCTTCCTACCCATTTTGGAAGGCGATGCATCGTACCAATGCTCAAGTCAGACATGATCGGGGTGGTGTAACTGCAGGCTCTTATTTCAAAAGCTTCAGTGATATAGCGGCGATTATTCAGAAAATAAAGTCGCGAGATTTCCAGCCATTGCCTAGGGAAGATGAAAACACCAATAAAGATCATGATACTTCCTATGCGACAATGACAGCTGATGAGCTAGAGGACAATCGGAACACAAAAAATGACCATACGCGACGCAAAATTTGGGGATTTCTTCATCGTTTACAGGGTTTCGAGACACGGTTTGGCCTCAAAACCGCTGCTATTACCTCCATCCTATCCATTCCCGCTTGGCTTTCTAACGATCACGGATGGTGGGACGGCTATGAAGTCTGGTGGGGCGTCGTGATGGCATGGCTCATAATGGGTCCTCGGTGAGTCGTTTTCTAATATCCCGCCTAATTTAATGAAACAATAATTTACCTATTCATATAGTACCGGTGGAAATATCCAAGACCTATTTACACGTGCTTTGTGCGCTGTCCTTGGGGCTCTATGGGCCGGTTTGTCATATGCGGCTGGGGATGGCAATCCTTACGCCATTGCGGTGTTTGCAGTCATCTTCATGCTCCCTATGATCTATAGGTACACACAGAGCACTCATCCGGTAAGGCACCCTACAATAACCATGGCACTGAAAAATTCTAACGAACATTAGAGGTCTGGTCTCGTAGGATGTATCTCGTTTACAGTGGTTTCTCTAGCAGAAGTTGCTGCTCGAGGCGAACCGTCGCCAGCTACCCTCGCTGCGACACACGGAGCCGCTATGGTCGTTGGGGTTGTTGGGTCGATTATTGTCAATTGGGCACTATGGCCATTCGTTGCTCGCCATGACCTCCGAAAAGCGGTAGCCGCGATGATGTTTTATTCCAGTATTGTGTACAGGAGTGAGTCTAGCCTGAATCATGAATATCTCCTTTTTACTAAGCAAGTCATAGGTATCGTGTCCAGATATGTATATTACGAAGAGGGGAATGAGCCTACTAAAGATGATATTCGCGCATCTGAAATACTTGAAGGACGCTTGCGAGAAGGGTTCGTGAGGCTTAGGCAACTATTGGTGAGATCATATGGTATCTTCTCAGCTTGAGAAGTCAGCTAATTGGTGCTAGGGCCTCACACGCCATGAGATACGCCTCCGAGCTCCATTTGATCCTTTACCATACTCAGCGCTCATTGACTCATGCGAGCGTTTTTTCGAGTATATTGTCACGGCCCGCCAAGCGTCTCTATTTTACCACCCACATTTTATTAGAGACAACACCGAATTCGCAGCGGACCTATTAGGTCACAGGAGAGACGCAATTGCGACCATCCTGACAAATCTGTACGTGCTTTCTGGCGCACTCCGAGCCGACAGAAAAGTACCGGTAAGTCCGCGTTCAACCCACCAACTAGAAACTCCGCTAAAGTTCAATGCGCAGAAATACCTGCCCAATGCTGCAGCTACGCGAAAGCAGCTACTTGATCAAATGGCTGTACTAGAAGCTAAACTGACTACGAGCGGAAAATTAAGCCCCGATGAGAAATCTGAAGGGAGGAAATGGGCACAGATATATAGTTACTCCTATAACGAGAGTCTGACGGGTTGCGTCGAGCAGCTTGAGGAACTCGAGAAATATACGAAGGCTATCGTCGGTGAGCAAGGGTAAGTCGGGTTTATTCCGAACGGAACTATTACCGAGGGAGAAAGGCTAATGGAAATATCTTAGATTCGATTGCCCTTACACCGATGAGGATTTACAGATGGGATAATACTCTTTTCCATCTATCACAAGAAGCCGCACGGCGAGTGAAATGCAATGTGATATGGTTTGGAAATGAGTATGAGGTATGATATTACGATTAAGCTAACTATAATAGAAATACATGACCGAAATCAAATGAACTACGAAGGGCTCAAATTCCTCTTTCTATATACTTGAATTACTCTAGACAGGATGTCCACGTTGCGGAACGATTGGTCAATTCCAATCTACGAAATGATCTCCACCAGGATTGCGTATTCGATCTGATTATAATCTCCCCACACGAGATTATCACAACATTTGATCTCAGCCTTTTAGCACGTGAAATCTAACAATTTTATGCCCAAGAGAATCAAGAAAGTGAATTTTCAAATATAGCTGCATTCCACGTGTATATCTAGCTGAACATTGAGATCCGATCTATTGGGCTCGTCAGAACTTGGCGCCTAGATTATTGTAGGTCATCATGCATTAATCATATAAATGCAGAGCATCGCCCTGGTAAGGTAGTATTATTGGATCGTCAGCATCGATCTAGCGTCATTTTCGTATTCTAGTATTTAGATTTTTTTTTATTTAATATTGGAAATATCTAGGTAGTCAATGTGAAGTTTTTTTCTCATTGTCACGCCTTTTTCGCGATGTTGGCTACTTCTATTCTCACTATCTTTTTCCTAAGCTCGGGTTGCCTCGGTTGGGAATGGGGAAGGAGTGGGAAATGGGATCATAAACAGAGGACGAACTGCCACGGCGGAGAGTCGACGATTAACTACACCACGATTACGGGATTTTTCCAGCAAGATGATCCTGCTACCGATTCTAAAACATTCGATTATGTGTGTTTTAACTATCGCAAGTCTACATCATCGCCTTCAGTCATTAACCAGTACTAGACTACAACGAATTATGGACTCCTCAATCGGTCATACCTAACCGGCGACGAGCTCGATCCTCATGGGGCATGGACACAATGGGAGCGCTTCACGCATTTTGTCGATACTCTAAACCGGGATGCCGATAAGAATACGCAGTATAAAGTCCTATTCATGGGTCGTCATGGTGAGGGGTATCATAATGCAGCCGAGAGTTTTTATGGCACGCCGGCGTGGAACGTATGTTCTTCACTCACCTAATTCATACCCAAACAATTATTATATATGTACAAGCGTACTTACATGTATCATCGGGAGTTCAACACTAATTCCGAATGCATAGTGCTACTGGGGCCTCCTCGACGGGAACACCACAACAACATGGCGCGACGCCCTACTAACCCCCGCCGGCATCGCGCAATGCACCAAAGCGCACGCATTCTGGTCCACCTCCCTTTCCACCTCCAAAATCCCCGCTCCACAGTCCTACTACAGCAGTCCCCTCCTCCGCTCCGCCACCACCGCGAATCTAACCTTCGCCGGACTTACCCTCCCTGCGGACCGGCCATTCGCGCCTGTAGTCAAGGAACTCCTGCGCGAGGGTATTAGTATAAGGGCTTGTGATGAGCGGTCTAACCGTACACATTTACGGAATGTGTTGCCGCCGGAATTTATATTTGAAGAGGGGTTTACGGAAAATGATGAGTTATGGCGTGGAGATGAAGGGGAGGGGGAGACGAGTGAGGCGCAAGTTAAGCGATCGAAGGTTGTGCTTGATGATATATTTAGTAATGATGATGCGACATGGGTTAGTATTACGAGCCACTCTGGTGAGATCGCGGCGATTTTGAAGGTATTGGGCCACAGGACATTTAGTTTAAATACCGGACAGGCGATTCCGGTGCTTGTGAAGGCTGTGAATTTAAAAAGGGGGGCGGCGACGACAACGGTGCAGTCATGGTCCACAGAGGCGACGTGTAGTACGCCGCCGGTTACGAGTATTACAGGCCAGGGATGCGTGTGCTCGTCTTCTGCATCGTTAGCATCGGTGATAGCGACAACTACGGCCACGGCCACATCGGTATAAGTTATGCGGAGAGTGACATATTTCTATTTGCTGTACAAAAAAATTTGCTAGGAGAATGGAGCAGAAATCGTGGTCACCTAGTGCATTGTTAATAAGATATGTTTCAAAGGTTACATCTCCATATTCCTACCTGCTTATATATCTGGTATAATCCAAGGTGTCACAAAATGTAACAGCCCGGCATTGTGGGGGCCCTACCTATAGTGCTCGTATTTCATCCGGATGCAACGTTCGGACGCAAGGAATCTGTTGCTCCAAAGCCTGACACATGGTTTCCTTCTTCCCCACGAGGTCTGCTGAATGTCTAGGTAGCATTTCTTACACGCGCGAATTCCTGGAAAAGGAGGCTCGAGGGCGTAATTAGCCAAGCCCAGACGTTACTGCAAGCCAATGCATACCACACCCACGGTGCCCCGGCTACGACCCTGATCTTGGCTGACTCTTGTCGGGGGCTACTCCTTCGCCGCATTATCTTCTAGTGCGAAGTCTGTAATGGATTACTTACGATGCTATAAGGTCAAGTCCGGAGACGACGGAAGCCCTCGTGCGAATAAGAGGCAAGCCGATGTGCTTGGTGATGTGCCGTCTTCGCCCGATGACTACCCACCCGCTTCTTTTCAATCCTTTACGCTAATATTATTACCTAGTAATTAATATGCATGCGAATCCACATCAATCACGTCTTATGTCGGCTCTGGTGGATGCTTCAGCCGAACCACACTAATTTGCCCTTTGCAAGTCGACGTATGATATTTTGAATCCTACCTTTATGGTCGTGAGAAGTTTTCCTGCAACCGTCGGTATTTGCCGCTTGTTTCTGACGGCCAAAGCGGCTCTTTTCTAGATTACTCAAATCTCAGCACGAGGCATGCGGTTGCATGAGTGAAGCCATCCAGAACGTTCCCTTTCAACTGCCAGAGGTATAGGCTGAAACGTGCCGTGTTATCATGGCGGTATGTTCTTTTTCTCACCAGTTTTTCGACCTGATCAAATCCTTCGCCCTGGTCCGCCCTCGGTCGTTGATATCAGGCTTCCACACTCACACCCTCATTGTCGTTTCGCACACGGGAACTGTCCCACATCTGCAGGAACGAGCACGACAAACTTGATGAGTGAGCACTTAGCCACGAGCTCGGTTAAAGGCCCAATTTCTGTAAGGTGTCCTGAGTGGACCTACCCGAATGGAATGCAGGATCACAACCAATACACCAGGAGAGAGGCCTATAGATAAGTAGGTAAGAGAAGTATGGCTCTCTCCTTGTTTAGGCTTGGTAGTTTGCGCGAACTGGTTATTGTCGCCACCCACCAGAAAATATGCGCTCCCTTCTCGTCTCAACGCTCCTCGCGCTCTTCGTAAGCGTCAAGGGCGCCAATTTTGCCTTCGAGGACGACCAGCTTACTGAGGCCGACATTGGTGACTTCTCGGACATAGCTTTTGGGGATGCGACTGCTGTAGCCAGAGCTCCTCGTGACGATGACGAGCCTGACTGTAGGGAGTACCCGGGGTCTGATGACTGGCCTCTTGATGAAGACTGGTCTAGACTAAATCGCACGTTGGGAGGTGCCTTGATTAGGGGCGTTCCGCCTGCCGTGGTCTGTTATGAGGGTCCAGCAAAAGACGAAGCAGCCTGCACCTATCTTCTGCGGAATACGTCCTCCAATCGTTTTTACATAGACGACCCGGTCACAATGTTCTCCGAGTGGCCCGAGGGCGACACTTGCCATGCAACGCTACAGCCCCAAGATGGTGAGAATTGTACGCAGGGTGCCTTTCCTGCTTATGTCGTCAATGCTACGACAGTGAAGCAGATCCAGATCGCCGTCAACTTCGCCAGAAACCGGAACCTTCGTCTGGTCATCAAGTGAGTCCTAGAACCAATGCATCTAGCTACTAGGTATAGACTCAACCCGTGAAGGTAATCTAACTAACGCGTTTCTTGGATAATAGGAACACCGGACATGACTTCGTCGGACGATCGGCCGGTTTCGGAAGCCTCAGCGTCTGGACACACTATCTGAAGGACTTCCAATACCTACCCCGATATAGGGTCGGGGAATATAGGGGTAGAGCAGCTAGAGTTGGTGCTGGTGTCGAGAGTTGGGAGATGTTTGCGTATATGAACCGCTGGAACATAACGACGTTGGTTGCAGGGGGCTATACTGTCGGAGCATTCGGCGGCTGGATGGCAGGCGGTGGACATTCAGCTTTGGCTTCCAAGTATGGCCTTGGTGCTGATCAACCCCTTTCAATCCAGGTTGTCACGGCTGACGGCAGATTCGTCACCGCGGATCCTACCCAAAATACCGACTTATTCTATGCATTGCGTGGCGGTGGAGGAAGTAAGCAGTCCTATGCGTTCTTCTTACATTCGGTAGTTTGATGTTGATCCTAGACAATATGCTGACAACAGGCATACAGGTACGTACGGTATCGTAACTTCGGCCATCATCAAGGCTCACCCGCCAACGAATATTCTTGCTACTTCCCTAATGTTTATGGTAGGCAGCTTTAATATTTCTAGGCCTAGGTCTGCAAGTAGTGATGTCGAGAAATTCTGGAAGGGGTTCGACCTATACCACGACTTCGGTAGGAAGATAGTCGACAATGAAGGAACAGCATGGTATGTATGGAGATAGGCTCCCCCTATTATCGAATTTATCTAGAATTTTGTCAGTAAATGCTAACGATTCCACAGTATGTCACGTTATATTTTAAATATTCCTGCCTGGAAAATTAACACATTTGTTTGCAGACAGTTACGTATCGCGCATGTTCACCAACGACAGTTTCAGTTTCATGACGGATATCGAGCTCCCTAATGTGTCCGAGGAATATCTGGCAAAGTTTGTACAGCCGTTGGTGGATGACCTGAAAGCGGTCGGGCTTAACGTGACCGTCCGACCACCATACCCGGCATCAAACTGGGCTGCCCTTAGGCCAGGTATAGGTGATAGACCAGGTAGCTCGCGATTCGGGAGTCGTTTACTACCGCGAGAAAATTTTGATGACCCGGACCTATTTAACGCCACACAACTTGCAATTCGGGAGTCGATTGAAGCTGGATATACTTTCCACGGAATTCATTTGGCGCCGACAGAAGAAGTAGCAGGATATCCAGGCAACAACGCGGCAAACCCAGCATTCCGCAAGGCTATTATGCACGCGGATTTGTTCGACTACTCCGAATTGCGAGGCCTATCGCCGACAGATTTTAAGGCAGCACACTCCCGGCTTGCATCGGCTTTAGACAAATGGAGAGAAGTATCGCCTGGAGCCGGCGCCTATATCAATGAATGCGACGTGGAAGAGCCAAACTGGCAGCAAGCTTTCTTCGGTAGCAATTATCCACGACTATTGCGTATCAAGCAACGCCGTGACCCTTGGGGACTGTTTTACGCACCGACCACAGTAGGTAGCGAAGACTGGGTGGTGCTCACTGAAGATGAATTACCAACGCAGAATGGACCGCTCTGTAGGGCTAATTCGGAAGAGGCTCGAAAATGGGGAGCTAGAAAGTTGAAGTGGACAGGAGAAGAAGTGAGTTAGTAGGACGATATTCTAAGGCTCTGAAGATTCAACCATGATGAGCTGCTGTGTATATAAAAACGATATCAACGAGAATGGTGAAAAAGAAAAGACAATTGCGTCGAATAATTCTATTCAGTCTTGTTTCATAATTCTTATCGTGCACGCGATTCATTGTCGTTAGGGGTTGATACCCTTATACTACCCAAATGTTCTTAGAATCTCGACTATTTGTTGGCATGTATGGTTGACGATGGTCCGTGGAGACAAAAATTTAAATAATTGACTAGAAAGAGAAATATTTTAAGTTTGTGAGGGACAATGAGCTGTGATAATGCTGTCAGATAATAAGCAAACCAGCTTATCATCCACGTGATTGCGTGGAAAGGTTGCACAGATGCTCTTTCCTGAGGGGCTGTTTGCTTAGATAAGGCAGCATACAAAATTTCTAACGAATGTACACCTTTGCAAGGCTTTCAAGTTTCAATCCCCAATCCTATTGGTCACTTTCTATCATAGTGGGTCGCTATTCCCCACCATCAGCCCCATTAGGTTCAAGTGCAACAGTGCAGACAGCAAGATCACAAACCGTAATGTGGTCCGAGCTTTGCGGCGCCAGAAGGAGGGTTGTCTTTTCTAACTTGGACTCTCTACTCAGTCCTTCATCCACCAAAAATCAACACCCCCATCCACTACCCGCATCCAAATACGTCTAGGTACACAAGACAAAACATACATCATCTTCAACCACCCCCCGGCCTTCTTTCTTACAAAATTATTTTAGATTGCCATTTTTCTTTTCAGAAGCGTGTTTCTTTCTAGTACAGAGACAGAGACGCCGACGAAGAAAGACACCATTATTTTATTGTATATTACCCACTACCCATTCATCATCCTTCATCTAGTACCAAAAATCCGTTAGACACACTGACCACCAAGCTTGGTCCTTGCTTTGGTTCTGCTAGCCTTTCCCCATCGACCAGGTCATTCTAGTAACCGTAGCACCCTCTTTACAATCTACCACAACCACATCCACCACAAATTCAATCGACGACCACGATATACGAAACCACGGCCTTGTCACGACGCATTTTCAATACCTCCTAGGCTCATGAACTCGATGCCAAAAGTTTCCGTAAAATTGCGCCTACCGTCGCCTGCCGTCCACAGCCTCCTAAGCCCATATCCGTCGCCCTTGACAGGCAACATTGCGTGATTCGTCGATTTCGTGGTTCTACGAGGGGCTCCAGGGGAATCGCACATCACCTTCTCTCTTCTTCCCTCCTCCCTTTCCCCTTCCCGACCGCGAGACCACCACCCTCATGGTCCCCCCACCGCCGTCTCACTCGCGATCTGGAACTTTCTCCCCTGTCCCTGCTCAGAGTTTGCAGACAGGACTGACACATTCTCCCCATCCGTCACAGGCCGGTCCTCTGAGTGCTGGCGCAAGCCCCAGTACCAGCAGCCCGACCACGGGGACCAGCTCTCTTACCAAGATTGTCGTCGCACAGGTCTACCTTCTTCTGAGTACCATCAAGGACGACAAAGATCGCGCCAAGTGGGAGTTACAAGTGGATCAACTAAACAAGGTATGTCGATGCGATTCATTTTACACTAACCCTAACTTCAATCCGATCCTGTGCTAACATACCATTCCTTCTCTTTCCACAGCTCCTCGATGACCACGGCATGGAGGTCTTTCCTAAATACTTCACCCGGCTGGTAGCCGGCAATGCCCCTCAGATATTTCCCGGCATCAACCGGTCTGTCGCCAACCCTGGAAACTATTCACTCCTAGTTGGCGAGATGGCTAAGATTTCGCATGACCTCGAGCAAGCCTCTCGAATAGCCGAGTCGATCGAAATGGCCAACGAAGACATATTCCGTGACTTCGACTTGTCTACATTCATGGAACACTTCAAACTTGATGCCCTAGAGAAGACTATTCTAGCTCTGGCGTTCAAGTTTGGATCTCGTCAGGATCTGAAGACTAAAGGTAGGTCATTGCCGGTGTTTTCTTCGGAGGGAAGCACGTGTAAGCTAACAAAGTGGAACGCTAAAGCCGATGCCATTCTCTCCACCAACTTTCCTACCTTCGTGAATATACTCTCCCGCGCAGATTATGGCGACCACTCAGATCTTACCCCATCCTTCATCGCAACTATTGTCGATCGATATATCCAGGGTCATCCTCCCAACTTCAACTCCGCCGCTAAGCACGAGCTCAGTCACAAGGTTCAGTCACGCTGGTTACAGAACGACCAAGCACCTCCGATGGAGGTATTGGCTGCTTTGGACCTTATCAGAGTGTTAGCCGAGAAACTACCTAACGCACTAGCGCTCTATATTCAAAGAACCGGCACCGACTTTACTCGCGACGAGGATTCCTGCGCCGCCTTCCTGGCAAATCGACCGATCAATATTCAACTAAGCGAAGAGCAAGTCTCGGCAGCTTTAACTTACACCACCGTCAGCATCACATTCCGTCATAATCCTTCCGTACTTGTCGCAGCTCTCCGCCGTACACTCCCACCGTCTTTCCGCTGGCACGATGTCGTCGCGTATTTTGACCAACGCGACGTTCGCGTGTCTTCCGCACAGTTTCTTCGACTGTACGAAGCACTTCTACCAGTTACACAAGCCCAGGATGAACAGTCGCCGCTGTTTAGCATTCAAAGTTTGTGGGGGGGATCTCATTGGGAGAACCCAGAAACACAACTTTCGTTCATATGTGCATTTGCGTCCTTGAGTCCGAATGAACTTGACGCGAGCACTATTCCCGGTCTTCAGCCAACATTCACTCTTGACGAATACGCACACTCACCCCCTGAAGTCCGCGAACGAGCAGCGGTTGCCGTAAAACATCCTCTTGTCTCTGGTTTAGCCCTATCAGCAATCTTCCAGGTTGCACTACACTCACTACATGCATCGCAGAGTACCGAAGCGAAACGACTATTCCAAGAAGTGGTGGTACCGAATCTTGACATCTTCATAGTTTCGGCATTTGGCATCCCCAAACCTTGGCCCCCTATGGCTGTTGAAACACTGGCGTCCTTGTTCGAGAATTTCTTACACCGACACTCCGAGTATCATGACTTTGTTCTAGACAGCCTGTGGAGAAAGGATAGGGCTTGGGTCACGCAAAGACTAGTCGAGGCCCATGCCGCGAAGCCGATGGACCTGACTCTCATATTTGAGCATGTCATCAAGCATGGCTGGCTCGACGAGCTCGTCTATATGCCTAACGGATTCGGCTACGATCTGGCTGCTCTCGCACATGCCGAAGGTCATCTTGACCTCGCTCAATGGGCTCATAACAACGCCGAGCGAAGTCCCGCGATTTCTCAATCTCTTCTGCAATTCCTGATGATCAAGGCAAATATGGAGTTGCAATCCCAGAAAACCGGAGAAGGACAGACAGCACCAAAGACAACTACCCCGCTTCACGTCAAAACGGTGCTCGCAATGCTTCAGATTCTCGAAGACTTTCTGCCGCGCAACCCCCTCCCAGAACTGATCATTGTTCAACGCGTATGTATCACAGCATACCCCAGACTTATCAACTATGGGGAGGGTTATGATGATATCATTGATGCCAACGGCAAAGATGGTAACGGACTTCCACCTGCGGCTGTCGCCAAGATGGAAGAACACTACAAAAAGATGTATGGCAAGGAGTCAGAGGTAAAATTTGTTGTCCAGAAACTTGAGGAGTACAAACAATCACGAGATCCTTTGGAACAGGATATCTTTGCATGCATGATCCATGGACTTTTTGATGAGTATTCTCATTTCATTGACTATCCTTTGGAGGCGTTGGCCACAACTGCGGTTTTGTTTGGTGGTATAATATCCCACAAACTCATTTCTGAACTGCCACTCAAAATCGGACTTGGCATGATCCTTGAAGCTGTGAGAGATCATGGCATTGACAGTTCGATGTACAAGTTCGGTCTGCAGGCCCTCATACAGATATTCCCCCGATTCAGAGAGTGGCCGGGACTCTGTAAACAACTTTTACAGATCCCCGATTTGCGTGGTACCGATGCTTACAGGAAGGCCGAAGAAGTTGTCGTAGAAGACGAAGAGGACCGGGCACGGACCCATAACGGCACAGCAACTCCTAGTCATATAGGGACCGAGTCGCTCATGAATGGCAATACGGACGGACCGGAAACACATGCAGCTCCTTTTGCAGCGATTAAAATTGACCCGCCGCCTTCAGATATTGCGTTTGAGGAGCCCATCGTGGACATTCAAGACAGAGTTCAATTCGGACTCAACAATTTGACTAATACCTCACTCCAGTCCACCTACAGGGAGATTCATGACATTTTGGACGAGAGACATCAGCAATGGTTTGCCAGCCACCTCGTCGAAGAGCGTGCAAAGATGCAGCCAAACTACCACCAGGTGTATCTCGATCTTGTTAAGCTTTTCCAAAACTCCGATTTATGGTCTGAAGTTTTGAGACAAACCTATATCAGTGTGGCCCGAATGTTAAACTCGGAGAGCACATTGCAAAACTCTACGGATAGAACTCACTTGAAATATCTAGGAGCCTGGCTTGGTCTTCTAACCATTGCGCGAGATCAACCAATCAGGCACAAGAACATCGCATTCAAGCAACTGCTCATTGAGGCCCATGATACAAAGAGGCTAGTCGTTGTTGTGCCTTTCGTCTGTAAAGTGCTCATCCAGGCGGCGAAATCAACTATTTTTCGGCCTCCTAATCCATGGTTGATGGATATTATCCATCTCCTCATCGAACTCTACCACCACGCCGAACTGAAACTTAACCAAAAGTTCGAAATCGAGGTTCTCTGCAAAGACCTAAATCTAGACCACAAGAGTATAGAGCCATCTAGCGAACTTCAAGATCGCGTGCCGGTTGAGGAGGCCCTTGATATTGGTATTCAAGACCCTCTGGAGCACTTTGATAACTTGTCTCTAAACGGCATGGCTGGCGCTGTTCCGTCTGGTCTTGCGCCGCATCCAATTCCCGTCTCAATCCCGGACATCAGCGCTCTCCTTTCGATTCCACCCACGAATGAGATGGTGGTTAACAGCGCCCGTCTTCATGAGATCGTCCGTAGCGCTGTAACGAAGGCTTTACATGATATTATCCAACCTGTTGTCGATAGATCCGTCACTATTGCTGCGATAAGTACTCAACAGATGATCCATAAAGACTTCGCAACCGAGCCGGATGAGAACAAGCTGCGAACGTCCGCAATCAACATGGTAAAGGCCACTGCAGGAAGCCTTGCTCAGGTTACTTCAAAGGAGCCTCTCAGGGCAAATATCACCAATCACATGCGAAACTCTGCCGCCGAACTGCCTCATTCACTACCCGAAGGCACAATCATTATGTGCGTCAACTCTAACCTGGACCTCGCATGTAGCATCATTGAGAAGCAAGCCGAGGAACGTGCGGTGCCGGAAATCGAAGAGATGATCGAAGGCGAGATCGAGGCTCGTCGTCGTCATCGTCTGCAACGACCTAATGAGCCCTACGTCGACCCAAGCCTTAGTCGATGGGCCATGACCATTCCGCATCCCTATAAGCTGTCGCCTAGTATGGCCGGTCTGAACGCCGAGCAAATGGCCATCTATGATGACTTTGCTAGGACGCCAAGAGGTGCCACCCAAACCAGCGCAGCTCATGCTTCATCGGCTTCAGATGCTACTAGAAATATCGCAAACGAAGTTCTCCAGGACCAGTACAGCTCCGTTCCGACCCTTGCCACCCCAGGCGAAACACCATCTCTTCCCCACCTAAACACACAACTCCCCTACAACCATGTACACGCGGGCATGGCTAACGGTCGCCCTTCAGCCCACCCTATGGATGGAAGAGGATTGATGGAGAAGGTGGAGAGGCTCTTATCTGAACTTAAGCGCACCACTACGTCAACAGAAGAGGAGCACTTCGCCGACTTGCCCAGGTCCCACCCAGTTCTCGAGGTTGTGGACGTATTCACTCAACTCATAATTAATACGTCACAAAACTCGGACGAGTTTGCTTTCTACGCCGCCGAGAAAATTTGCCAGCTACTCTTCAGCGGAGTGGAGAATACTCTTTTCCTAGAAAGCCTCGTTCACATCCTTGAGCAGTTGTTGAAGATAGCGGCTAGTTCCGGTACCGCCTTGCATGATCGTGTCCAGATTAGTTTCTACCAGCAGCCACCTCAGAACATCCTGAACATCTCTCTGATCACGGCTCTCCTCCCGACGGACTTCCTCGACCTGCACAGCATCGACCAAATGATGGCCAAAATACTGGTTCAGAGAGAAGAAGGGTATCTAGAGTTTTTCGATAAACTGCTAGATCTTACGCTGTTCAACGATCGTCCTGTTGCTCTCTTAGCAGACTATGTGCGCAGTCTGGAAGTTGCTTGGGACTGGATCAACGAGGATCCTACCCTTGAGATCGGCCAGCGTTTGAAATCGAAGTTTATCGATTCCGGACTAATCAAACCACAGAATCAGGATATCCAGGACAGCGCCGAACGTGTGGACCAACTTGAGTACATCTTCGACGAATGGGTTCGATTGTATAACAATTACAACACCCCGGAGAAGGCTCAAGTAGCCTTCGTGAAGCAAATCCGTAGCAGGAACATTATCGTGAACAAAGACGATTTTTTAGTCTTCGTACGAAAGGCCATCGACCTCGCAGTGAACTACTATGAGCAGATTTTACATGCTGGAGGTGGCGGTAACGAAGCGTTCACGGCAATAGACGCACTCGCGAAGATAGTCATGATATTCGCTAAGGAGAGTGCTGATGAACTTGAAGACCCCAGGGCCGGATTTCTTCCCATTCTAGAAGCTGTTATGTCTCTTGTTACAGTTGTGCTCAACCATCACCACGTTACACGAGGCGAGCACTTCAACCAGAGAGCCTTCATTCGCTTCTTCTCCATGTTCATACACGGAGCCGATGTAGTCTTTGCGGAAAGCCCAGCCCTTGAATCGTGTCGACCAGAGTTCTTACTCCGACTTTCCGACACGTTCCTACAGCTCAACCCAAGTCGCTTCCCGGGAATGTCCTTCGGATGGCTCTCTCTTATATCCCATCGACGTTTCGTTCCCGACCTACTTCTACTCGAGTCGAAGCGTGGTTGGCCCTCATACACTAAACTCCTAACCTCTCTTCTTGGATTTGTTTCGGAGCACATGAAGGCAATCGATGTGACTGACGTCGTTAAGGAATTTTACCGTGCAGTTATCAAGCTCTTGGTGCTTCTCGCCCATGATTTTTCGGAGTACATATCGACCAACGCTACCGAACTATGCTTAAGCATCTCACCCCACTGCACCCAGCTCCGAAACATCGTCCTCAACTGTAGCCCAAGGGCGGACGCCAACGATGCGGTCCCACAAGACCCCCAAGTAGATGCAGTCCCTGCTCTATCCTATTTGAAGGAGGTTGGCATGCTAGAGATCCTTGAGCAGCTTATGCAAGCTCCTCCATCTGAAGATGCTATCGCGCACCTCACGCATGCCATTAACAAGAGTAACGCGAATGAGACGACGTATGGCAACGTTCCCCTAGGCGTCGACCAGAAATTGGTTGATGGGATTGTCACATTCATTGGCAGCCAGGCTATCATAAGAGCTCGTCAAGACAGACCACTATTCGTTCATGGCTCTCCAGATGTTGCGACGCTATCGTTGTTGGTACACGAGTTACAACCCCAGGCACGATACTTCCTGTTGAGCAGCATCATCGACCGCCTACGTCACTACAGTCCTATTACGGAGTACTTCAGTTACCTAATTTTTGACATCTTCGGACAAGATCTAAACGACCCTGAGGAAGTTGATATTCGCCAGCAAATTGTCCGTGTCTTGTTGGAGCGAATTGCAGGCTTTTGGCCTCAACCATGGGGCCTCATGATGGTAATCATGGAATTAGTCACGAAAGAGAAGTACCACTTCTTTGATCAACCATTCATCAAGGCGGATCGTGATGTAAGTGAAGACTTTCTATACTACCTTGGAGGATTCTAAACCAACTTTCAATAGATTGCGGACCAATTCATGGCCATCGCCAGACAGCAGCACCCTCAGTAAATACAGATCACCATACCCAAAATGGAGAACATATAGTCTAGTCTCGTTGCGTCAAGAAAGGAATGATTTAGTCACGGAGTTCTTGAGCGATCAAGACACATTAGATAGTGGAACAACCTGGGCCTCGGAAGCACATGTGTAGCGGAAAAAGGGGATTCTTGGCGAAGTGATACCACAATAGGGCGCAAAAAAACAAAATTAGGTGGATGGCCGTTTGATGAATGGGCATTTCAGGCGTTTTCGGGTGAATTCACGAAAGCTTTGTATGATTCCTGTATTTTTGCGCAGGGTGAAGCGCGCGATACGATGACCACGGTGCTGCGAGGGCGTGCTTTTGATCTTTTCTCCCGTGGAATACCGCGGACATGTGTATTAATATATAGAGGTAGACACGCCAGACTCATGTCTATCTCACGGTGATAGTGTCTTCACAGCTTTTACCTTATGGTGACCGAATGATTCAATATCTCGTGCACTTTAGTACGTACAGGTTAGGCAGAGTGGAATCATCACGTGAATAGATATCTTGGCCCTTATCTCGATGACGATCATATTTATACCTCCTTTTCTACATTGTTAACCCTTAATAATAGATAGTTCAAAGTTAAATTCTATTTACCCCTTTTTTACTAAGTTCCTACTAATTCATCATGATACTTCTACAAAGCGATAATAAAACACTCACATAGCACGCTTATACTATTATAGACCCACCGCACCTTATCTATCCTTATCTCAAGACCGCCAGCCACCTACATCATCATCACCAATAACAAGCTATGCCCTCCCTACCCTACGAGGAAACCCCGCTCATCCAGCTCCTCTCCATCTCCTCCTTCCTCCTCGCTCTTAACATCACCAATACCATCCTCGACCGCGCGCTGTACTGCGGGTTGGTTGGGCAGGTGTTTATCGGTGTGGCGTGGGGCACGCCTGGAGCCGGGACTAAGTTGCTATCAGCGGAATTACAAGAAAATGTGGTCCAACTTGGGTACCTAGGACTAATACTCATGGTTTTCGAAGGGGGTGCAGCGACGAGGGTTGATGGTGTGAGGAGGGATTTATGGATGAGTGCCCTAGTTGCAGTGACCGGTGTGGCGGCGCCACTGGGATTGGGGTGGGGTGGGCTGACCGCTATGTTAGGCGGGGAAGGAGGGGGGGTAAGTAATGTGCAGTGCTTTGCGGCGGGCGCTGCACTCGCGTCGACGAGTTTGGGGACTACGTTTGCGGTGCTGAGTGCGAGTGGACTTGTGAAGACTAGGTTGGGGAGTGTGCTTGGGACTGCGGCTATGATGGATGATGTGGTTGGGTTGGTTATGGTGCAGATTGTGGCTAGTTTTGGGGGAGGGGAGGTAGAGATTGATATAGGGCAGGCGGTGATTAGGCCGGTGCTTGTTTCGCTGGGTTTTGCGGTTTTGGTGCCGGTTGCTTGTCGGTTTGTGGCGAGGCCGTTTTTGAGGAGCGAGGTGATGACGAAGAAGGGAGAGTGGTGGTCGAGTATTCGAGATGCGAAGGAGACTGCGTTTGTGGCCCAGACGGCGCTTTTGATTGCGCTTGTGGTGAGTGCAAATTATGCGGGCGCTTCGGTGCTGCTTGCTGCGTATCTTGCTGGGATTGTAGTTAGTTGGTGGGGAGACGCGAGACATACAGATATTGATAATGCCAGAGGACAAAACGAGGATGCGGATAGGTCCGAAGCAATGGAATTGACCGGAGTCCGGGCTTCGGAGAACAACCGAACGGATGCCGAAACCCAAAATGTCTCCGCAAATACAGCTCATTCAGTACAGCAGCACCAGCAGCATGAAACGGAGCATACCGGTACGGCTATATACGACTTGTACTACTCACAACCAGTTGCCCGGGTTCTTAAGCCATTCTTCTTCGCATCAATCGGTTTCTCTATTCCGATCTCCGATATGTTCTCCAGGGAAGTAATATGGCGCGGCATTATTTACAGTATTCTTATGGCCATTGGCAAGATGATATGTGGTTTATGGCTGGTCCGGTTCTCCATCTCTGCGAGCGATATTGTCGGGAATTTTGCCTCATTCGCATCGTCCCGATACCAGAAATTTGGCAATATGTTCCGACGACCGCGGAGATCGAACCCGCCGGCGACGGAGAATGCGACCGGTATAGGAGGACAATCAGAACCACACCCCGCCGTCTCTTCTACAGACCTACATGAGAACAGCACGCCACAAGGACACTCAGCATCTTCATCTTCATCTAGTAGCGATAGGACTACGGCAACCACCCCGCCGGCGAAACCACTCTCTCTTTATCCAGCGGCGATCGTATCATCCGCGATGGTAGCACGAGGCGAAATCGGATTCTTAATTTCGGCCGTGGCAGAAAGCAACAGGGTATTCAGACGGCCATCCGATGGTGCGGGTGCATCGGCCCTCTTTCTAATCGTTACTTGGGCTATCGTTTTGTGCACCATCATTGGGCCCATAAGTGTCGGTTTGTTGGTTAGAAGGGTTAAGAAGCTTGAGGGGAAAGCCGCCGCCGCCGGGAGGGGAACAAAGGATGTTTTAGGCGTTTGGGGCGTGCAATGATGACGACTATTGAGAGCTTTGCTATGACTCTTATAAAACGTATGCGCCAACTACTAGACTTCACACCAAGTGAACTTATATAGGTTCTACTTGCGGATAGTGCAAGATGATATCTCGACGACTTTCTATTATATACTGGTGGCCTAGGAAGAAGGTATTTACACAAAGGCTACCCTTCACCCCCATACGTCTTCACTTCGAAATGACCACGATTGTCAAATTGTCCAGGTAATCTCGTTGGGGCGCGCGGCAACACTTTAGCAAGTGAAGAGAGCAGGTCCTGAGGTGATGAATTAGTTCCAGCTCTTATATAACATGGACAGTTTATTGTTTACATACCGGGGATCTTGTAGGGGTTGCTAGTTCCTGGGGGCTTGCTGTAAATGTCGATGAGTAGGCCAGGGTCGCTGGACTATAAACGTGTTAGCCAGCCTAAAATAGAATAGGGAGATTCTCATCCAGTTGCGAATTTTCGCGCCAGAGATTCAGTGTATAATTACCTTGTAGATACCAGGGATGCTAGAAGTGGATGGCTTCTTAGTCGCCTTGCCGCCGGTCACGTTGATCTGGGCACATTCCATCTACTCCGTGTTAGAAATGTTTCCTCGCCGAGGAAGCCCCTCTCTGAAAAGTATTAAGGCGCAAGACGACCAACTTACGTATAGCTGGGCACCATTGACGGATCGCGCACCGTGCAGGGCGACCATCTCGGCTCTAAGGAGGTATTGGCCATCCTCGATACATTCGGGGATCCTGATCTGCTGGTTTCCGCCGTTGTTGATAACGGTATCGGTTCCCCATTTTCCATTGCTGTAGCCTTCCTCTTGAATCTTGAACCAGCCGTTGCCGACACCGCTATCCTTGGTCGCATCCGAGACTTTCTTGAGGTAAGCCATTACGGGACCCTTGTGTCCGGGATCCATCACATCGTTGGCTCCAGCTGTTTAGGAAAGAAGTCGTTAGTATGGCATGATACGGAAGTTTCTCGCCGATCCTTACATTCTAGGGTGTGGCGCCAGATAGCGCCTACAGTTTCACCGGCCTTCACGTCGATGATCTTGCTAGAGGGCGTAGTTGGGTTCGGCGGTCCGTTGCAAGCCATGTTATTTCCGTTTACATCCGTTTGTGGCTATGTATTCCATGACATTAGCTATTCCTGGGTTTTTTACTGAAGTGCATAATTGTACATACCCCATCGTAAGAGGGAGTGCGGATCGCATGCGAAACGGCTAAAAAGCATCAGCATCATACTCTTTCGACATTCAGATACTATAATAAGTATTAAACATACGGTAAGTTTGCGCGCTTGTTTTGAGCTGGCAGAAGATGGTGTGACCCGAGGCAACGGACGCCAGGATGGCGGTAGCCCCAACACTAGAAAACTTCATGATGTCTATAAGGGATAGCTAACAACCATGTAAGGAGCACTTAAGATGACGAAGTTTAGAAACTCCGCGAGCCCAGCGAGACGTCTACATGACATATATATCATAACCGCTCCCGGAGCCTCCTTTTCTCCAGATCATCCCCATGTGTATACTGCATAGCGCATGCATACGCTCTCCACCACTTACAGCGCTCGAAATAGGTAATTCAGAAGCACGAGGTCCATTTTTACACGCTTCTGTCGCGGTAGCTAACGAATGAGATCGCGGAGTATGATAAGCGAGCGCGGCGGAAAGGCTTCCGGAACGAATGCGGTAACCAGTACATAGTATAGCCGCTTGCTATTAATATATTGCCAGCAGCCTCAAATGAAATATTCGGTTTCCCCGGACTTATATATCTTCGAACCATGGGGAAATACTCTACTCCGCAAAAGAGTGATAAGGTGCTACAGGATCGCCAAAGCTCAGGTAGGTGAAGCAAATGTGAGGTAGAATATCAAGGAGAGCGACGACTATAAATATTGGAAAGATTGCTCTAAATTACAGGAACAAAAAATCGACCAATACTAACCCCCCCGGAGATCTAACATTCAGATAATTGGTATATCTAATCTATATGGACTCATACGGAGTGAGATGGTCTCTTGAACGATCCAAGCCCCCTTCGCCAGAAATCATCTAGTTACGAGTGTTTTTTAGGAACGAAAATGCTTATATACTTTTACAGCGTCCTTAATTTCGTTCGTATTAATTACTTGAAGAGTAAATATATCTTTCGTACATATCCTTCCTGTCAGTAGTTGAGTTGTATGAAGCGATACATCTTGGGAAGTATCGGTAGAGCCCCTTATCGCCGATACAAGGACAAAGGAGCTCATGGAACAAAGAAGCTACTTATATACCTAGGTACGTATACGATAGTTCCCGTAACAGATACCTGCGATCTCTTCGCGCAATAACAGAGTCGTTAACCCCCCATATGGTTGGTCTCATGACAGTTCCCTTCTTTTCGACATATAATATTCCTATGTGTATCATCTAGCTCGCCTTTCGGATACGATCGGTGATACTATATTAATTATTTACAAAGGAATTACATAGGTAGAAGGCAACTTAGACTGTCCCATCCATGTGCTATGTTCCCTGTACTAATTATTTCTCAATGAACTATAAATAACCCTCTTGAATTACACTAATAAAGGCGATCTGAGGAGCCTAATATAGTAGATATTAGTAGATCGTAACGTTGAGTGAGTTATATACTTGGAAAGAGCTAATCGGCAAACTAAAATTGCTTAGCTATCGACCATGAAGACAAACAAGTCGATGCGAGAAAGTAATTCATTTGGTCACTGGGAGATATATACATGTATCTATTCTTCGAGTCTTATTTTAAGGCAATATATCGCTACTACGCCACGCTTGTACACGATATCTTAGCCTAGGATTACCATGATAATTCAATATTTTTCTCCTATCGTATAAAGATCTTGGTTACCAAGGACTAGCCATCACGGCGCTGGCTGGCGCTGATTTTCGGGTTCCTGGGAGTGCTAACTATGGACGGACGCTTCCACAATATCTAGATCTATCGCAGTCTATCACATGAGGGAAGGCGAAGCTCTTTTCAGGCTGCATCTAGACCTAAATGTGGGCTGTAGCTATAGTTAATCAAGCGACCACACTAACCTATGGGAATATAACTTGGCTGCTTAAGCACCGAGAAACGTACACGAGATCTATCTTGTGCGATGGCTTCGGCAACTAAATAGGATAAAACCTTTAGTACTATGAACAAGCTCACGGTTGTTGAAAGCTAGTCTAGTTTAAGTCCGATACTATAGTAGCGTGAATTGAGCTCTAGAACTATTTGATACGACTCCAAGTGCTCCCCATCAGCTCAAATATTCCTATCCTACGATATGATAAGCCCCACCGGTCGGTGAGGCTGCTATAAGATAGTCAATAAACGCAAAATAATTCATCCTCATGCGGGGTTAGCTCAGCTGGGAGAGCGTCAGACTGAAGTCCACTTCAATCATCGAGGTAATCGGTATCTGAAGGCCGTGCGTTCGATCCGCACACACCGCAACAAATTCATTTTTGAAAGTTTTTTTCCCCCGTTGTCACGCGGAATTCTAGGTTGCCTTTGGTTATTCTAGACATCTTTGCGCAATAGATGCATAGTATCACTATGCAGCCGCACAGGCGTAAGCAATTTCATCACATAGAATTTCTCAGTATAATAACAGACATGCGCAATTACAACTCACAATTCTATGTAAAAATGAGGCTCACTAGAGCGGAGTTGTCTCCGTCAAAACATGTTGCAACGTTCTCCGAAACAATTGAGAACGCCCCTATTTTTAGGTTCTACTTTGCGGCGGAAGGGCGGGTTTAAATACTACGGACTATCGGTCACAGTACTATGGCCGTGGTCGCCGGCGAGGTTACTTTCGGCGTCCTGTGCTCACGTGGTATTGATAATGCATGCAATCAAGTCGTACTCACTACTTATAGAGTGGTATGGGGTAGTGAACCATAGACTGCAGAAAGTTGGATTGTTATAGGCAAATTTGGACTTTTATATGTTGCCGCCTCTGAAATTTTGTATGAAGAATGGCGAGGGGGGATGTCTTGGGTGGATGAGGCGGTTAAGTAATATCCTAATGTGTATAACGAAAACTGCTAAAATGGCCTAGAATTGTAGCATTGTTCTATTTACCTACGTAGATATGTCGCCGCTTTATTTGTAATTGGTTCTCTCGGTCTCTATATCCATAGATATGTCCGGGCCGATTCGGCAGATTAGATGGCAATTTCGGTACAAGCTGAGCTTCAGCTTCAGCGCAGATTCATCTCGTCGTAATACGAAGGCGCAGTAGGGCTTGAGCTGATATGCAGACCAGAGATGCGTCTCGCCACAAACTATTACTATTACTGTGGATGTGATTTGTAGAAGCCGAGGCTGCGTAAAGGACGAGTTCTTATTAGTGAAGCGGACCGGCTAGTACCTGCTGGGTTAATGCGCCGGCAGTCCGGTAGGCCCGGGATGCTTGGGTGCGGTAGTAAAGTTCAATAGGCAGGTACTGTGCGGCAGTCGGACACGTGGAATTGGTCGTGGCTTCGTACTGTATGAGCTCTCTTTTGGTAGGCAGTTACAGTATTCAAAAGGATTGCTCTTACTGTGATTTTCACCGAGGTGGAGTTTATGACTTAAGACAGTTTCAAGGGTCTTAACGCACGGTCTGGAACACCGTATACCCAGGTACATATCAGCATCTCAGCATCTCAGCTCAATCGCCCCACTTACTGAAAAGGGTAGTACGAAGTTGAGATCCCGTCCTCTTGCAGACGATTTCCGAATGGGGGAGGCTAGACACGATTTGGTTGGTTGACTGGACGACTGAGTGGAATTTTTGACACGCAAGAAACCGCACATGAAATAAAATTATAGGAAAAAATTTGGGTGGTCAGATGGACTCTCACGAGACACACGCAATCATTGTTATTACATATTGTAATCTGCAGGCAGCCGTTCGCTTAGTTTGTTATGTAGGAATTAGGTTGAGATGGATGGTGATGATATATATATGATTTTGATGGTTTAGGCAGACGCGAGTCAGATTTTATTTCTGATGAGTCTTTCGTTTATGATGTACTAAGGTAGTTGGTGTGTGACCAATTTGAGGGAAGCCTGGCTGATCTGGCTGGCTACCTGGGATATTAATCCTAGGGTATCTAGATCATGAGGAGAATGAAACCGAGGGGTTGGTATTTAATATACTCAATTTCTACTGTAGTAGAGAAGGAGAACAAAAGCCGCAATGATCATTTTCTATTCTGGTAGGTTAGGTGTTGCTCGTTTGCAAAAATGAACAGGGCGATGCGCTTGTTACCTTGGTAGGATCCAATCAGAAGCTATGCATTTGGGGAAGTTTCTCGCGTGAGTGGAAACGTACGACTCGAACTCGAACTTTTCTAACTAGGTACTTATTACTTAACGTCATGCAGCTCCGCAGGTTTCAGATTGGTCGGGTCCCCATCCGCATAAAAGAGGCCAGGCGCGGGTACTTGGAGATACTTTTGTATATACTTCTGTACGTATGTACGTACTAGGGGGCATTTACTGGGTCTACTAGGTTAGCATTGGGCGTGGTTCGCGGCAATCTTCCGGTAATCGACCAATTCAGAAAGTGAAGACTCATATGATTGGTTAATTATTACCTAGACCTGATTTACCTGGGTTTTACCAGTCATGCAGGTCAGCAACCCGCAACCCGTTCTTTTTCTGACTGCGCACATAATATGTATAAAATGTAAGAGAGAGGGATGGAACAGTTCGCGGCATTTGGTTAGCTAGAAAATAAGTGGTTAAGTTTTCGGACGGGATTATGGATTGATGAGGGGAAGAGAGTAAGCACTTTCCGTCATGGATGAATCATGGATTGATGAATTAAGAATAACGTGGAGAGATAATACGTGCGCAATGTCGATGTCGTTAAATATCGGCGACATTTAAGAATATATAATTGGGTATCGATGAGGTATCGGTCAAGCAGTCAAGTTGGAAATAAACCATTGGATGTACATACCATAAATGTGCAGGTATTATCCCTGCTAGTAGAGTAGTTTTCTTGTCCGTTTTGCTCCGCAAGTACCAACTCTATTTTTTTCTTCTCTTTTTTCCATCATGTTTTTTCTCCTTCTTTTCCTTTTTCTCTTAAATTTTTCTTCTCGGCTAGCCTTGTACGACAACCAAGTATCCACCTCTGACATTCATAATGGGAACTCTCTATCCCCTAAAAAGAAATCGGGAAGGGCTAGATCGTTGTAATCCAGTGTTATTTAGTGGAGTGGTGAACAGCAAGTAACAACGAGTTTAAACTTAACAAATTCTCAACCCCCGTCTATTCCGTATTCCAGATGAATGCGTATACCAGGTCAGGACATTCAACATTTACACTTACATGCGAGGTACAAATGTACTATGTATGTATGTACTTGGGGTCGCCCAACTGTAGTGCTGCACAATGCATTGCCTGCATATATACATGTATACATGTTCTTTACCGCCTTTTTTTAACCCCATGTTGTGGTCATGAAAGTAAACAGGTCATGCTAATCTGCCACCGCTATTCGACCGACCACAATGCAGTTGTCAAGATGGCAACGTCGGGTAATAATAAATAATATGTCCTATGTAAGGACATGCCTCCCTTCCTGGGGTATGCAAGTATCTGCTCCTCACGTGGCGAATTTTTGCGTAATAATGGATATAATAGTCATGATACCTAGGTACTAAGTGGTAATGAAAGACAACTTCGGAAGCACGGGCAAAGACCCTTAAAATTCGAAAAGGAAAAAAAAATATTTCAGGTTGGATTTTTTTTCTCAATGGTAACATCCAGACAAAATTTGGTCCAGCCGTTGAAGCCAAGGTTGACGTTGATTGGTTCGACTTTTCCAAACGGGGCAATAGATGCACAAGGGATGATCCTTGAATACTACGCTGGGGCCAAGAGGTACTTCCTGTACTTTCTGTAGTATCTGCAATAACAGCTCTTTCCTTCAATTGTTATATGGGATTCGTAGCAAAATCGAGTTCCAGTGCAGCTTCTAACGCATGTCACTACCCAGATTGCTCCAATTTTTTCCCTTCTACCTCTCCACTCCCTGGAATATCCTGGCTTATCCTGGTCCCTGCTCTACCTGAAGTGGGCAAAGGTGGGTAACAAGATGTACTTCCATGTCAAGATTTAGTGTATTGTTTGTACCTTGACCCCTGTCTATCCCCGAAATGCTCGTCCTATCACCCCCCGGGAGAGGAGCATTCCTCAGCTCTTTTTTTTTTTTTTTTTTTTGGTCCCATCCCATCACACGGCACGATACAATACGTATTGGATTGTATGTACTTACAAGGGCATCTCTCATCTTTTTCCCTCTCTCAAGCCTTCTCGCCGCCGCCTCCTCTAAAAGTCCCTTAGCTTTTTTACTTACCTACCTAACTGAGAGCTTGACCCTTTGCTTTTCCCTTCTTACGATTCGTCGGTTTTTACATCGCCGTCGCGATCCACGCTTTACTTTCCCACCGCCTTTCCCTCCTCTTCCCTCTCTTGTCTCGTATAAGCTACCTGGGTATTCCTCAACCGCCTCATACATTATTATCATTATCATTATCATTATCGTTATCCCCCCTCCCCCCCTAAGCTTCCTTATTCCTACTCCCACTTCCACTCCCCCGTCTTACTCTACATCATCACTCTTGTTGCTGGAGCTCTTTCTGTAAGGTAGAATTACGACTGCTTCATACCGCTTCATGCAACAGTCGATTTAGAAAACTTGAATACTCCTTGCGCCTCCTTAATTATTCTCACCGTGTTTGCCCATCATGCCGTACAACACGCGACGGAAATCATTGTCTTTACCGTCACTCGGAATCCACATCCCAGTAAATCGTTCCTCACCTAACACAGCGAGCTCAAGATCGTCTTCCGAGAGCTCATCGCATCCAAACAAAAAGGTTAAACGGTCTCACAACGACTCTGCGCCTGCTTCTGCCAACTCTGTACCTATTTTCAAACAAATACCGGCCTCTGCGAAGTATGATCATACTCCGCCGCCCTCGCCGGGCCTCCAATCCTCTATCGAAATGGACGAATCAGAGCCTGTTGAACTTGGAGACATTAAGAGGGTCGATTTAGAAGGGATTAATGACGAGATCGTCGAAGCCGTTATTGTGCGATTGGAGCAAACCCGCAATCGACCGCATCTTGTGAAAGAATTGGCCGCTACGCTCATAGACCAAGTCAAGATCGTTCAACAGTAAGTTTAGTCTAAAATTACCCGTTTTAACGTCTTATTTGTTAACTTTATTTATTTAGATCCGCGAATCCTTGCGCTATCATTTCTTCTCGATTGTCTACATATCTGAAGCGATCGTGTTGGTCGGCTGTGGCCCCGTGCCCGTTGGCCAAAGAGTTGGAGACTGTCCACCCGCGACGCACGTACTTTTACCTAACTACTTGCCCCCATTTGCCACTTCCCGACCCCTCCACTGCTCAACGCTCTATTATTACTCCTTCGCTGTCGAGCTCGGCTTCTACATCTGAGGATACCGATTGCGACCGAAGAAGAGAACTTAGTATGTCGCCAGAAGTTGATCTTTCGTCGCCCGAGTTTGAGGATATGGATGAAGATATACCGATGCCTGGTACCCCAATGGGCTCAGTATCGGGTACGCACCGACGATTAAGTGTGCCGCGTAACCAACGGGGAGAAGAGCCCCCACTAGAAAAAGACGAAAAGGAATTTACACAAACGGCGGACGGATTACAAAAACGAAAAGCTAGCGGCCATTTGCTTCGAGTTGATCCTGTTGACCAAGAAAGGATTGATGACGGCATGCAAAATGAGCAGCTTTTCGGCGAGCCCCCAAGGACCCTTGCACCGAGTCTGCTGCCTCACATGGCTTACATGACCAGCCCCGCGATGCGACCCAGCTTGATGTTACCAGTGAAGAGAGATATCGAGGCTGAGAGTTGGACTAAGCTGGATGCAGCCCTTGAGTGGGACAGAAGCCCCGAGACCATCGAGTTAGATGAGCTTGATGGTTTATTAGACGACTTTTAATTGTCTTAATGAACAAAATACCCAACCCCATTATCCCTGTTACTACCCAATCCAATCGCCCGGAAGGCTATCCGTGCAGCCGGCACGTGATGAGTCTATGTATGATGTTGATGATAGAAGAAGAGACGGCTGCTTAGATGAAACAAAAAGGAGTTTGGGGCGGAATGGCGCTGATTTGATGCATTCTTTTGGTTTTTTTTTCGTGCGCTAGCTGTTCCTCATATTTTTGCATTTATTCCTCTCCGTTCATCATTATCTTGCCATTTATTTTCTTTTTTAGATGGTCGTTAGCCTGTCGCTCACATAGTTGATTTGCCAGCCGAAGGGGGGTGGGTGTACGATTATCATTTGGGAGGCGCTTAGATTTGAATGCGGCAAGGGATGGCGGGCTGCATGATGACGATGGAGGGCACCTTTTTTCTGAAACGAAAATTTGCTGCTTCCCCGACGGTTCGGCAATGGGAAGGGAAGGGAGTGCATAGGCGCGCTATTTTGCCGCTTGGTTTCCAAAATTGGGAATCGATCTGTACAAGTAGAAATACCGACGACCAAAACCAAAAGAGAAGGCTGGCTGGGGCTAGACTTGAAGAAGCCGGCTTACTGGACTGGACTTAGAGGTCTTAGATACAATCTTATTTCTCATTTGGGTGGGCGACAGAGCCGGCTGGAAAATTAAAAAGGATAGGAACGGCGCCCAAAATACGAAAGAAATCCCCGATCAAATTTTATGAGTTTTGCATGAGTGATTCGTAGTATTGAATTGTTTGTCTCTAATTGAGATTGATTGCGAAATCCGAGGCGGATAGATATCGTGTAAATTACAGAGTGGTGTTGCAATTATTGGATTATATACAATGAATATGTACCCTCTTACTACAAATCTTCTAGGATTGAATCTCGCCATTGTAAATGCAACATATGGCTGGCAACTCCAAACAGATACGTCCATTCATTTTTCATCATTTTTTGGCTCGTCATTCTTCTTGCTAACAGACAACCAAGATGACCACCAACTTGCCGAATTCTGCCCCTCCTCACTGTCCTCCCTAGCCTTACTGTTGTCCTTAGCAGCCACATCCCCTCTAACCCGCATCTCAACCAGGACATGCGTACCGAAGGTCTGAAACCCGGGCCTCTCGAAGCTTACTACCTCGAGCCCAGGAACAGCGCGCTCAGCAGCGCGCACAATGAGCTCCATATCACGGTTCCACCAGCACCCGAAGCGTTCAAAATGTTTTCTGGCACTGCGGTCTAGCATACCGTTGATAAACTCCCACCAACTAGTACGGCCGTGCTCAAAGAGAATAATGCGTCCCGTATCCGGCTTCACGGACGCGGCTAAATTGGATAAGAGGAGGACAGGATCGCGCACACTGCAGAGACCGAAGGTTTGTAGGATCGTGTCGTATTTTTGGGGTGCGAAGGGTGGGGGTGGGGGGATGGGAGATTGTGCGTCTGCTTTGATGATGCGGATTCTGTTGTTGGCTAGGGAGACGCTGTCTTCGCTGTCTGCGAGTTGCGTGAAGGTGGGTTTCTTGGGGATTTGATCGGTCATGTGTGGGACTACTTGTCGGATCCGTGTCAGTGCTAGGTCTAGCACGGAGGGGGAGACGTCGATGCCGGTGAAGCTGAGTACGGCGTTTTGGTATTTGGCTCTTGCAGCGGCTTCTAGTTGGGGTGATAGTTGTCTTGGTGTTGTCGCTGGCCCCTTTTCTTCCTTCGTATTTACTTTTGCTTCACCCTTCTCTTTTTCGACAGTTTTCTTCTCATCTCCCTTTTCCTTCTCGGCGTCCTTACTCGACCAACTAAACCAACTCTTCTTCTCCTCCTTCGCAGGCTCCAGCCCCGCCGTCAAAATATCCCAATTATAATAATCAAAATTGCGACCAGTCCCCACAGCAACCTCAAGCACATGTCCCCGTGCCATCTCAGACGCGATCCGTCGCCGGACTTTGGTGACGCCGAACCGCCACTCTGATTTATCCAGATGCTGGTCGAACTCACGGGGTGATTGGATTGACGAGCGGCCTGTGGGAGTTTCGGGCTCCTCACCTGGTGTCCAATTCTCCGGTGGCTGTGTTCGCCAGTAGTGTATTGCGGAAATCATGAAGTATCCTACGCATCCGGCGGCCAGGCCGATGCCGAGGAGGGGGAACCATCGGTGTGGTAGGAGTTCGGAGAGAGGCTGTGCTTTGTCTTCATGGCCTTTTGAGGATGATGAGGATGATGAAGGAGTTGCCTTGGGCTTAGGCGTGGTAGGTTTGGTAGGCTGGAAGGGGAGTGGCTTTGGGACTGCCCGACTTGGTTTTGGTGGTTGTGATTGCTTGGTGGCATATCGTCTGCAATCTTGTGCGACCCATCTGAGGCCATTCCCACCCCTCCTACACCTACGTATTGCGGCCCTCGTCGCGACGGCGTGCGCGCACATCGGCTGCATCATGAGCTGCCTGACTAGCCCCTCGTTGAACAGGTCTTAGTTCTGCCCCTGTTTAGATGTAGATGTATGGAGGTACACCTAAGTACCCTCGGTACATATGTTGTACACTCAAGAGGATGAGGTAATAAGCAGCAAAAGAAGGTGATAGGCTACCGATCCATCGTACGAAAGCTCGATGCGCGGAAAAAGACCCTATCTCTTAGACCAGCCACTTGGGTGTGGTTCCGAGTTAGGTTCCTGGATCCAGGTACGGGGTAATTGGTATACCAATGGTAATGATGTTCGTCTGAGATGGAGACGGTGACGCCAGGATGGGGTGTAGATCTGGTGGTACTTGGTTCTTGTCTTGGTCAAGTGATCTCATCTAGTTGAGGATGGAATTTTGGTGATGGTCGATCCGACGGTTTTTGGAGAAATCGGATAGTGCACCTACGTAATTGATACAGTATTTTAGATCCTTTTTGTACGGTACGGAGCGGAGCTAACCGTCCTGCCGTCCCTGTCGTTGCAGGGATTCTCCAGTAAAATTGCGGGGTTCAAAGCATGTACCTTACGATCGAAGCTTCGAAAGACCATCGCATCCGGAAGCTAAGCTATGACTCTGGATTAGTAAAGTTAATTGAGATAGAGCTTAACGCGCTTTCTATCAATCTGGGACGCGTATGCACAACACCTCTTAATCTCAAACTTCTTTTTCTACTTTAAGACTATCGAGATATCCTGTTCTAGCTGGACTAGACCTCAATTACCACCATGGCGTCTCAACAAGACCTTCAGGAGCTCATTCGCCTCATGACCATTGGCATGAAGGTTCCAATGAAAGATGCTCTAGGTCGAATTAAAGGATTACAGGCGAAGAATCTCCGCAGGTGTGTACTACTTATCTCAATTCCAGGGTTATATATGTTATACATTGGATCACTCGTGAATAACTAGTGTAGCATTCAACAGATAGCCGAGAGTTCTCTCCCCGATGTTACTGCTGCAATCAAAGACGCCAAAGCGGCACGATCTCTCCACAACGCTTGCAAAGCCCGACTCAAGAATCCAGCGGCGTCGACCAAGCGACCTGGATCTGCCCTCGAAAATGCTTCGAAAAGGTCGAAACAGTCGAACGATGCGGATTTATTTGGTGGCTCAGAACCGGTTGCTCCGCGGGAGTACGAAGCGTCGCTTGATCTGCCTGTCGAAACGGACGAGAAGATAATTGCCGACACCGTACTCCTGACCAATCGCGCCCCATTAGTTCTTGCTTTCGCTGTCGAAATACTACGTTATACGATGCCCGAACAACCCCCTTCGAGTCGGCTCAGTTTAGCGCAAGCTGTCGTGAGTGCTAATTCAAGAAGCAAGGCTGTCTCGCTGGGCATAGAAAAGGGACCAAGCGCCGATGAAGAAGGGTGGGGTCATGGTCAACCGAGAGTAAGAGTGATGGGTCGCGAAGTGACCATACTGAAAAGAAGTGGCTATGAATGGAAAGGGGAAGAAGAGGCGGATGAACATCATAAATCTGGGAATGATGTTGCTGGCAGCACAAGTCTTCCGTCAAGCACTACAGAAACCGGTGTGAGTCAAAATGCGACGTCTCAAACCTCGGCTGCAAAACCGTGGTCCACTAGTCAGCCCGTCACATTGAAGGGGTCTACTTTCATAGTTCGATCAACGCAGATTACGGAGCCTTCTCAGCGTCAATCAATTATGCAATCACTATTTACGGAGATACCATCGTTGCAAGACGCAACCCATAATGCTTGGGCTTATCGCGTTCGAGTGCCAACTAATCTGTTTAACGCAACCACTATTAGGGAAGAGTCTTTTGATGACGGGGAAACTGGTTGCGGCGATTTTCTACTGAAGAATATGCGAGAAATAAATGCTGTCGATACGCTGGTGGTAATGACTCGTTGGTATGGCGGTATAATGCTTGGACCCGACCGATGGAGGATAATGCGGGACTGTCTTAAGGATGCCTTGGCTGAACGTCTCCGCGTTACGGGAGAACATGCTGCATTAGGTGGGGAAGCTGTATGGGGCTTGGACCTCGAAGCCATGAAGAATAAATCTGGATCTACAGGCACGGCATCCAGTAGGTCATATGAGGCGGGCGTCGTAGGAATGCCCATACATCGACCGGAAGCAGCGAGAGCATATCTTTTGAAGAGTTTTGCTACGCGAGTAGATAATTCTAGCGATATCTCTAGCGAGACGGCCGCGCCGGAAGATAGTGTCCCGACAAGCAAAACGACAACGAAGAAAAAGACAGCAAAAGAATTACTAATTGAAAAAGAAGAGAATGTCGCAAGGTTACTCGGCGCCATAAGACTTCTCTATGGCAGCTGGGCTAATCATCTCGGTACTACTGAACTCGACCGACGAGCCTGGGGCTGGTATGTGGCGGTTCGGCCCGATATAGAGAACGGCCCATCTGGTTGGGGAGCAAAGGGGCATCTAAAGCTAGCTGATATTCTCTCCTTACGGCGAAAAGAAGGATAGATATCTAATGACGCCCAACAATATGTCGCAAAAATACTTCGGCGATGCACGGAGTATACCTTACGATCTTCTAACATGACGCAGCATGATGAAAATCAGACTATCCCTCACGCGCCCCCATTTCGATCGCAAGTAGGATTGGGATAATCGGTATCTCCGATTGGGGCTGTATAACCGAGACGCCCCTTTGATCAACCCAGGAATCGGGGTCGATCTAGGTGCGTGGTTCCCTTTCCCTGTAAATGTTACATCTTAGAGGCCAGCATATTTATATTAATTCTTTTAAGGCCGTAATTCATACATGCGTAATTACATTCATCGGGCGATCTTCCTGGTTCCTCTCAGCCCGCCTCTTGTCTTGCTCTCATCCTAGTACAAGTCGTAGGTTGGCCTCTATATATTTGACCAACCCACCCCAAACTATAAATTCTAAGACTATATACACGAAGCTAAAAAAATGGATAGGGAGACTACCCATGTGAACGATCAACCAGCTACAAAATCGTGTTTCAACTTGGGCTGGAATGCGCCGTTGTGCTCGAGCTTGTCCTACTGCTTGAGCTTCTTATACTCTTCATTGTCATAGTGCTCGTTCTCCTTGAAGCGCTACTCTCCAGCATGAGCCTAATCTCTTTACTGGCTAGCCCGTCGACGGCATCGAAGGCCGTCTTACCCGCTGCATCTGTTTTCCGCGGATCGGCACCATACTTCATCAATAATTTTACAATGGAGATCTTCTGCGCAGACCGGGCCGCCACGTCGATCGCTAAAATAAGTGGTGTCACCTGTCCCGGTCCTGGAATATTCGGATCCGCGCCCGCCGATAGCAAAGCTTCTACCATTTTCTGATTCCCCTTTTCGCATGCCAAATAAAGCGCTGTCTTCCCATAATATTCGGGACGGTTTATAAGTTGGGGGCATGATTTGAGAAGTAGTTCTGCTACTCCCAAGCCTCCGGACCTCGTTTGACATCTATGCAGCGGAGTCCTTCCGCTGTCGTCAACTACATCAGGATTCGCCAAATGCTTATCAAGTAACAAGGCACACAAATTTCGGTTTCGCGTCGAGGCCGCTTCGTGCAGCAGTGTTGATCCTTGCTTGTCGCGTTGCTCCTTGTCGACTAAGTGTAACATGTGTTGTACTACTTCAATATTTTCCGCCTGGATCGCACGGTGTAACGGCGTCGTCCCCGTTTCCGGGTCACAAGTATTAAAGTGGAAGGTTGCGCTATCCACATCCACTGTTTGCAAGAAGTTAGCACTTAGATGGTCAAAGTTGTGATGCTCGGCTTTGGGTTATGGGAAGTGTTATACGAATTCGAGCAGCGACATATTTCCTTGATCAATGGGAATAAACCAACCAACGTCCGGGTTATACTCACTTCGTTGCTCCTTACACCATTGGTACGCATACGTCAAATCTATTCTGAAGCTGTTTCCGGTCTGGTCGTGCATTGTCTGCAACGAAGTTGAAGTTGAAGAGGAGAGGGAATCCGGTTGCAACTCTCGTTTAATCCACTCGCTGAGTCCGCTAGCTCTATCGAATGCCTGTTCTTGTCGATAGACTTCGACTAATAGTTCCGCCGATTCCTTGACGAGCTCGTGTGGCATTGGATTTATCTGCTTCCGATCGTCGAGGGCGCGACCCAGAAATGGACGTGCCCGATCGAGGTTCTTTTCTCCGAGGTAGAGCTGGCCAAGCTTGTGGTATAGCCTGCCCCGTCGATGATAATCGATGTAGCCTGTCTCCCTCTCCTTTTTTACTTCCTCGTCCAGTAGTTTCAGCAATTCACTCTTGGCTTCGGGGCGGCTGCACTCGGATAATACTAGAATGTCTGCTAATTCCTCTCTCATAGTAGCGAGTTGGTCGTATAAGGGATCGTCTAGTAAGATAGGGATCCCCGACAGCTCTTTTAAGAGCTCGATGCCCTGTCGCTGATATCTTGACGCCTCGATAACTAAGCCGCATTGCATTAATTCGTGTACCATCTCCTTATTATGATTGAGTTGAAATTCAAGAATTTCACTCTGTCGGTCTAAGCGAGAAGGCTCTGGGTCGTACGTATCGTCATATAATGTCAAGGTCTCGACGCTCGCGTCCAGGTCTAGGGCAACGGAGCTCCCACCGCAAGACGACTCATGGTCTAAAGACACGGCCGACTTCAAGTCATGTGCTGTCCTGCCCCAATCAGAAATCTCCTTTTCTAATGTGTTTTCCTCTGAATATTCCGATTCTACTTCGGACTCGACGCTACGTGTACGCTCTAGCAGAGTATTTCCATAATTTATATGACCGAAGAGCTGCGAACTTTGGAAGAGGATGCTCAGCTTCCGTACTTCGGCTTCGATTTTCTTCTGGGACCGCTCTGTCTCCATCAAATGGCCGAACGAGAGCGTCTCTAAGCTCATCTGCAGTAGACTTCTATATGAAGTAATGCGACGAAGCAGATGTTGAACTTTGTCTTCCTTAAGGCATTGTACTATGGCGTGCTGTATACGTTTGATTGGTGTCTGGCTTCCGTCATGAAGTGGGGGAAGTTCTTGATGCAGCGACCTTAGCGAGGCCTCACACGACTGGATGATTTGGCGGATGTTTGCATGATGCTCACGTTCGAATGGCAGTTGTCGGGTGCGTTTACGGATTGTATTTCGTATTCTTTCAAGTGCTTCGTATAAGTGTAGGATTTCGTCGTGTAGGTCTTGGATGGACTTGTCGATATTCTTGGTCTTTTCGATGAAAGAGCTCAACCCTTTCACGAAATTACCGGCGAAAGAGATGAGCTGCAATGCCCCTATGGAGATTGAAAATGGATCCATAACGATAAGTATCTAACCGAGCCTTTACGATGGGACCCGGCGGGCAGGGACATTCTCAGAACCGGACCGAGTGAGCTCTCGCAATTGCTAAGATCGAGCTCCACAATTTAGTTGTCGCTTTTTACGACCTCAACGTTCCAATATCGAGACTTGGGTCGCTTCTAGACGATCGGAGAATAGTCGAAGAAAAGCAGACAAACCGTGGGAGCTAAAACGGATAGTAACCGAGAGAAGTACGTCACGGCGGCATGTAAGATTTGGGGTCGATCAATAGAGGGCGCGCCACATTTATCATCTGCCTATTAACAGGGGCAGGATATGCAGGATGGATGATACCGTTTAGTCATATGACAAAGTACTACTCGACTCACGCCGACCGGGCAGCTGGAATGTACTGGGTTTTGGGATTTGAGCTACGTATTGTTCCCGGCCTGCTTGGGGCTCAGCACTTGTCTTTAAGCACGCCTGCCACATTTCCACTTTGCTCAGCTGAGGAGAGACAACTTATTCCAATAGGCCCTTGGCAGCCTTTAGAGACGAGAAAAGATCAACACCAAGGGATCGAGACGACAATATTAATCCTATTCAGCGTAAGGTATGAGATGACCTTTTGAGGCCAGATAGGACTCTCGGATTTTAATTCCCCTCTCGAACAAGAACTTAACATTAGCGGGAAAAGAGTGCGAAACTCGCAAGGCTGTCTTCTGTTCTTTGAATACGGGGCAGCTACCTAGGTTAGGCTGACTCCGCTTGATCAGCGCAGGGAGTGCCAAATATGGGCTAATGTGCAGAGAGGAGCACCCTAGTCGGATTGTTCGAGGCTTTCACCCCACGATCAAACCCCGATCCTTCCTGCGGTGAGATATGATAGTGAAGCAACTATTAAAGCCCGCAACTGAGAAGAAGAGGGCTGAGTCTAAGCCACCTTCCCCTCCACCTCCCCCTTCATACCTATCTAGGCATCTACTTTAGTATGTACCTTAGTACGTCGCTTTGTATACCAAATCGATCATGGTATTGCTTTTTGAATCCTTCGACGCTCGGTATGGCTAGGATTGATTTCGGGGCTGCAGACTCGGTAGGCTAAAGATGCTTCTTGCTTTGTATAAGCCACATATTTACAGCTTGTCCTACATGAACCGCGGTTATTTCTAGCGAACTTGTATACTCCTACGCATCAGTTATGTCATTTTAATTAGGAAACGTGACAAATCCTTACCGACGTCTGATTTCTCTAGGACAAACCTGTTTGTGTCGCGAGGCTCTGAGCGACTCAGGCCTGCTGCTGACCGAGGATGGCCTGGAAAAGCGCTTGTTTCATTAAGCCACCTTTTTGTCTAACCCTGTTTTAATTGCTTCCCAATGGCCTCTTTCGAAATTCATTATCTAGTAACCCTCTATAGAAGTGAGTACTAGGGGATCCAATACTATGACGGAACGGCGCGGATCCCATCTGAGCTATTCGTTCTCTGTCCCAATGCCTCCAGTCCCGCCTAGATCCGACGGTCACATCGAACCGATCGAGAGGGCTGCCACTTCTGCAACGGTCCATAAGAATCACCGAGATCAAGTGAACCGGAGACGCCATAATAGTCAACGAATCATCGAGAATCCCCTAAGTATGATCCTCACACATCAGGGTAGCTTTAGTAGTGCTCATTAACATGCCTTAGCTCACCTTACTGAGGAGGAACTCCAAAGAGATGTCTTCGTATTTGCTGAGGATTGCCTACCGGAAGTTGACCGGAACAAGCTCCTACGCGCAGCCAGAGTAGCCCAGAATGACCGCTTTTACTACGAAATTGCTCGATCTGAGGAACCAGAAGACCACCATCCCGCTCTAGTTACTCTAACTCCAGAGGAGAAAACCGCTCTAAGGGCAGAAAAAGACGTCCTTTTTTCTGGACGGAAAATGATAATCGTCATCCTCACGGTCTCTCTCGCGGCCTTTTTACAGGGTTTTGTGCAGTCATCGATCAACGGAGCCTCGTTGTATGCTTCGGAGTACGGACTCCCGGATGTGACCTCGTCGGGATTCGATTCCGATGCGGATAACGCAAATCCCCACCCGGACGATTGGAAACTCGGAGCGACTAACGCGTCGCCATTTATCTTCGCAGGACTAATCGGTTGTTGGTTAGCGCTGCCTATTAACGATCTAGTTGGTCGTCGAGGTGCGATGGCTGTGGCGGCTTGTTTAGTCTTCGTAAGTTCGTTAGGTGCGGTTTGGTGTACTAGCTGGTATTCACTACTTGGCGTGCGGGTAGTGAATGGCGTAGGTAAGCTTAACGTATATTATGTCGCATCACCTTGACCACACCATGGATCCGGACGTGGCGAATAGCAATACCAGATTAACATTCTTTACCAAATAGGCATGGGCGTGAAAGCCGTTAGTACGCCTATTCTAGCATCCGAGACAGCGGTGGGGTCGTGGAGAGGCAGTTCTATACTCGCCTGGCAGCTATGGTAGGTCCAAAGTCATCGGCACGGTCCGAAATTTTAATGGCTAACCCGCGCCAAGGGTCTCCTTTGGAATCATGATGGGCTTTGCCTTCAACCTCATCTTCTACACCGCACACAACGACCCGCTAATCGTGAAACTGATCCTGGGAGCGCCACTGGTCCCGAGTATTTTCCTTATGATAGGGCTTTGGTTCTGCCCTGAAAGTCCTCGTTACTACATGCGACGAAGGACTTCTAGCTACGACCCCGCGAAGGCATACGACGTCTTGCTGAGACTTCGTCAAACAGAGGTGTGTATCAATTCACATCTGGAAACACAGCACGGATGATTAATAATTATTCCTCCTCTAGCTTCAAGCCCTTAGGGATATCTACTTGATTTACAAGTCTGTTCAACTTGAAGAATACTCTGGTAATGTAGACGAAGAGGATCAAGATGATGATGTTCCTCGAGGATGTTTCGCCTACATCAAGAAATATGCGGCTCAGTATAAGCAGCTTTTCACTCAACGGCGGTTGAGGAATGCTCTGATTAGCAGTTCGATAGTCGCGTTGGCTCAGCAATTATGTGGGAGTAAGTACACTACACAGAATCCTTGAGCCCGCGAACATATACGTGCGATTGAAATAGATTCATATCACTGACAATTTTGGATAGTCAATCTCTTGGCGTTTTACTCAGGTAATTAACATACATCTCTCTAGACGAGGTTTCCGCGATCGACTAATCATTATAGGCTCATTGTTCAGCGGGATTATAGGCGATTCCAATCGTTCCGATCATTTAAAACCGATGCTTTACAGTTTAGGATATGGTATGTCCGACAATAACTTACTATAATGGTCTTTGGCTTAATCTAATTCCATTTTACAGGAGCCGTGAATTTCTTTTTCAGCCTTCCAGCGATCCGAACTATTGATACCCTCGGTCGCCGCAAGTGGCTCGTACTTACATTGCCTGCGATGTGCCTGGCTATGCTGGCTGCTTCTCTGTCGAGCATGATTTCTGACGCCCACACTAAGGTTGGGGTTGTCACTTTCTTCGTGTTTTGTAAGGACTTGCGCGGCACTCTGAAGGAATTCGACTACTAACTAAGGGGATTATATAGTATTCGCAGCTATCTACTCACCGGGGATGGGTAGGTCCCCTCTAGTCTAGACGTTTAAATGGCGCTAATACTCTTCTAGGTCCTATTCCATTCACTCTTGCATCCGAAAGGTTGGTGTTATAGATCTATTACTATGGGTTACATACTGATAAGGCTATAGTTTCCCGCTTTCCCATCGTGAAGCTGTGAGTAGCGCGAATACCCGGGTGTCAATGATTCTTTACCATTAACTTCACGCGTAGGGTTGCGCATTCGCAATTGCAATAAACCTCCTATTCGCCGGACTTATACAGATGTTCTTCCCAAGGTACGCCCCCCTTTCCCTACTGGCCCAAATACATTTACTAATAGATATTCCCGGACAGCATCTACGCAGGTCTCAAAAATGCCGGCTCGCTAGGCCTTTTCGCAGCGCTCAACTTCCTCGCCTTCGTCCTCGTATTCTTATTCGTCGAAGAAACCAAACGTCGATCACTCGAAGATCTGTCTCTTATTTTCGCCGTCCGCAAACGAGACTTTGTCATGCACCAGATTACTCAATACATCCCGTGGTTCATCCGCTACTACTTGCTTGGCCACCACGAAAAAGAAAAGCCGTCGCTTTATGTAGACATGATATGGGGCGGCCCGAGGTCGATGACTTGGCTTGAAGGGGGCGATGGAGTGAATGGGGAAGGGGTAGATGATGGTTGGAATGGATTCGGTGGAGGGGAAATTGATGGCAATGGTAGAGGCCGTACTTTCAGTGATGATCATGGTGTCCCTCCATCTGTTATCCGCCGGCCCTCGGCATTCATGATGTCGGATCTTGGTGGGTCGAGGGACTCGGAAGATTCGAATGATTCGGCTCATAGGTGAGATCCCAGGTGCTGCTTTTTGGTGGATGCCTGTTCTGTTCCGGGGGTTCGGCGTAGTCCTCGGGGTATGGATCTTGGTAGGGGGATATGTAGGTGCGCGGCATCTTGGCTAAGATGTTTTACGGTATTTTTGGGTTGGCGGCGTTTAAAGGGTAAAAATTTGTCGGAATACCCCTTCGGATGTTGTTGGTGGTGATGAGGTTGTATGTGATATGAGATCGGGAACTTTTACTTCATTTACTGTACATATAACGGTGTACTTTAGATCGCGCAGCATGACGGCGATGTTCCTGTCCCTACCTACCAGTATAATAAAGATAAAGTCAAGAATTAGAAGTACCTATCTTTTACACATTCACTCATTTATACATCCACTCTTCATTATCACAACACTTTAAGTGTTTATATAATATCAATTCAAAGCATCGCCTTATTCGCTTGCCCAATGCGTAGCGCCTAACATATAGTAATTTAATCTAAGCATGAATCAAGCCCTTAAACCAGGTGCTCAATGCTATCCATAGCCCATGCTTCAATCTCAAAATGCTGTAGAAACGCCCAAGCCCCAATGCGTATGCAGTGTATGCAGTGTATGCAGCCAACACGCCGATTCTAAAAAGCCAAAGACATGACGAAGCCTTGATCCGTGGAGGAATGTATATACACATTGCATTAAGCTCCCCCCTTCTCAAAACCGGCCGTCCGTAATCTCGTTGAAAATATCTCTCGTGATCATGTTTCCTCTGAGCATCGCCCTATCTGTGATTTTGCCTCTCTTGGGTCCATTTTGCGCTTGCCCCTTCATCGGAGGACGTTGGTATTGGTTTTCCTTGCCATCTGAAATCTTTGTTGAGGCCCGAGCGCTGATGAGGCCGTTTCTTGGCACTTTCTTTTTCGGCGGAGATCGTGGTTGTGGTTGATGCTGTTGCTGACTCGGAACAATTGTGCTCGCAGCCTGCGTCCCCGCGCCGTTCTCGTCGTAAATATGATTATATAGCGCATCCTCAGGGACGTTGTACACCCAATCGCGTTCCTCCATCAATTTTATAAACCGGCTTAACATCTCCTGTTCACCAGCGCCCTTAAGTGTGTTCCGACTTCCCACCACTAATAACTTGGTACGGGCTCGCGTGAAGGCGACGTTGATACGTCTCCAATCCTTTAATAAATCCCCGATACTACACGCTTCATTGCTACGCACCAAACTCAAAATCACGACCTCCTTGTCACGTCCCTGGAACCGATCCGCGGTGTGCAGCTCAATGCTGTTACCATGAGCGCGCAATCCGTGTTTAAGTAGAGAAAGCTGAGATCGATAATGTGTCATGACACCAATCTCAGCAGCCGGGACGCCAGTGGCAAGGAAAGCATCAACAAGCTGTGAGACGATGCGCGCTTCTGTTGGATTAACGATGCGATTCCCCTTAGCTTCTTCTCGGGCCTCTGGGAGAGGATCGGTGTTGACAAAACGAACACGTACATCGGGATGCAGAAGCTCGTACAACCAACAACCCGGCTTCGCCCAGCCGGTGCAGGAAGACTTCGGAGACCCCATTTGTTTCATAATATTGTCAACAGTGAAATGCTTGCTGAGTAAGTTATCCATATCAGGAATCTCAAGTTTGCGATGGCGGAGAGCTTCCGTACCACATTTAAGTCGGCCATCATAAATAAGAGTATTGCTGAGCATCATTACATCTTCGCACATGCGGTATTGATGTTCGAGATTGACGACGGAATCCGGGTGCGTGTCTGAAAGTAGTTTGAATAAACTGATATCCAGACCACCCACGCGTGCTTCTTCGTTTTGCACTAAAGGGGGTAATTGATTGTGGTCTCCGACTAAAACGAATGTGCGCGCCATGCGGATTGGTCCTAAACAGATAGGTAATGTGATTTGCGACGCCTCATCAACAATGCAATAATCGAAAGTCCGTTCGTTAAAAATGGGGTGACTGACTCCTAAACAGGTAGTGGCTACGATTGGCGTTTCGTGCCAAGCGCTTCGTATCTCCTCAAAACTGTTCATCGGTTGTCCTGCGAGAATTGCGAAGTCCTGCACGTCGGGATGAACTTTTGCCGGTGCACCAAGTCGCAAAATGGGCATCTGGTCATTTTTTAATTTTAATAAAATGTTGTCAACGGCGGAATGCGTATATGATGTCAATAAGACACTTTTTCCTTGACTAACAAGCGCACGGATAATGTGGGCAATTGTGGTCGTCTTGCCAGTGCCAGGCATGCCCAGAACGAGCGCATAATCATTAGCGCTCATAACCTTCTCAATTGCCTTCTTTTGGTCAATATTCAGGCTTTCTTGGTCGGCGACCGTGTATTGCGTTGTAATCGCTTTGAACGTTGGTGGCACGAGGTCGACCACCAGGCGACGAATTTCCCTTGAACCAAACACACCATCCGCCATGACTTGGACTAAGTTATTTCGGACAGTTGCCATGCCACTGCTAAACTCATCTTTATCAAGTCGAAATCTGAGAGGCGCTTCTTTTACCTTGCCCTGAGATTGAGTAGGTGTCGCACCTTCGGGTGCTACCTCCATAATGCTGGCGAAAACCTGATTATTTATTTCATCGAACCCTCGCTGACGAATCCGAGCATTATGAAGTCGACGATCAACTGCAACGCTGATTTTCTGTTTTCGTACCGATGTGACATATCCAATCGCAAGAGCGAAGTGGCCTTTCTCGTCTGACACGACCACCGGCTCTCCCACTGCGAGTTGGGAATCAAGGAATGAAAAGTTAGCCGTCGGGTTCTCCTTGACGAAGGTATATCGGAATCGATTGATTTTCGGGTTATTCGTATCCTCGGTCGCGGAGCCTTCCTCGATGATAACATTGGCGAAGCATCGTCCGACCTTTTCCCTTTCCGTACTCATCATGGTCCAGAGTTCTCGGCGCAATTTCTGGCTTTCCTTTTCTTCTTTTGTCAATAAGTTTTCCCATTTCAGGAAGAATTCCTGATGGGTTGGAGTCAAGTGCCGGACAACTTCATCAAACTTGGCTTTCATGCCGCTTGTCTCGTGGTCGCCATTGTCCGCAAGTTTGTGATATATGAAGCAAGACACTTTCGCATAACACTTTGCACAAGTGTTGGTGCTTCGTTTCATAGGTGGAAGTTGAACGCTACGCTCTCGAACATAGCAGGCAAGTTGGTTGCGCTGCATGATCATGTGACGAAGCTCGCTACGAATCGTCGGGATTCGAATTGTTTGCGATGTCTCCATATAATATAGGATACCGTAGGCGATTTCGACGTCGTATCGATCCGATAAAAGGAGATTGTATAGCGATGTTTGTGCTTGATGGTTACTTGTGGCATTGTGGCCTGTCTTCACTTCGAAGGGTACAGTTAATGTACGTCGTCGAGCCCCATCTTTCATGGTTACCTGTACTGTCGCATCAATGTTACCCTTGAGTCCATACATCGGAGACCAAACATGTTCTTCGACGTCGAGTAATTTCGTAACGGACATATTCGCCTTGTCGCCGTTCCGGCCTTGTACGACAGCATCGGGCTAGTGAATATTAGCAAACAATCCTCTATATATCGGGAGTTTTAACATACCCTAGGAAAAGGAGTGACAAATGCAGTTGCCCATCCTCTAAGTTCCGGCAATTTCGTCCGAAGATGTTCGCGGGCGTCATTGACAGACACCTTGATCGTATATAAATCTTCCACATGTTTTTGGGTAATATCACATATAACGTGATCCAAAAATTCCGGGCTCCATTTATTAGACATGAGCGCTTCCTGGAATATTTCATGTAGTAGAGTTCCGTACACGAGGGGTGGGGTCTTGTCGCTGGTGGCCTTGACGCGATCCTGGAGGACAGCTCGGCGCATGCACGTAAAACTGTCTGCAACAACCGTGGCTGATATCAACTGATCCGGATGTAGAATGAGTATGTTCTGCGAATTGTCTATGATGCATTGCCCAGTCGATTCGAATTCGCCGATGATATGAACATAAGCTTTCGGGTTTGCTGGAGTTTCGACCCAATCTCCTCGGAGGTGAACAGTTTTCATGATCTTACTTCGGTCAACTTCAACGAATAGAATCTAGATCCATCAGTTTTTAATCATTTAATCTGAGCGCGCGAAGAACTTACCTTCTCTATCGAGTTTCTTCCACGGTCATCAACATATTCGCTTTGAAGAACTTTAGTCACTTGATACCTCTGAATCGTATTTGGCTTATTGCCTACCTACAAATCGTCTTAGTAACTGATGCTTGGGTAATTCGTTTTATTGCCATCTACGTACAGGAGGCAATGGTCCGTTCGTTTGTTTAACAGAAGCAGATTGTGTAGCGGCTATTTCAGCAGCGTCGAAATCAAAGTCACCGCCAAAATCATCCCCGAATACATCATCAACAAGATCATCGGCTATAACAACCGAATCCTTCGGAGCAGTAATCGCAGGTTGGTCCGGCATGTGCACCTTATTCCCAGTGGAATGACTTGAGTCTATTTGTGTTATCAAGTCCTCGGCGGCGGTAAGTAAGTCGTCATCCATATCCACAAAATCGTCGTCGTCAAACGATGCGGGTTCTCGTTTGGCCGGTTGGTCTGTAATTTGTTCCGTCTCTGCTTGCGGGGCCGACAAATTCTCTTCCACGTGTCCGTCCAGCGATTGACCTAGACTAGCATCTAACTCCATAAGCGTATCGTCATCGAAATCGTCATCTCCGTAATCCGATGAGACATCTATCGGTCTCGTCTTGTCTGCTGTCGGTGCACTCTCCCCAGCGACCAGCGGAGAGGGCTTCGATGGAGATTTTCGTCGGGTGGGCGAATGGGGAAGATGCGATGCTGCGCAAGAACGTTTCTTAGGTGAGGGGGACTTCAAAGCATCTTGACGGGCCTGAATAGCCTTGGATTTGTTAATTTCTCCCGTTACACTCCGCAGCAAGGCGTTCACCATAGACGACTTTGAAGTACCACTCGGACTCTCTTCGGCGATTTCCCTCTGTTTCATAGCTTCGGCTCGATCTACTCTTCGCCTCTTGGGCCAATTCTCGCCACAACTGACTGCTCTTCGAAGACTATCCGTCCTAGATGGTCGGGGCGAAGACGAAACCATGATCTTAGCCAAGGCGGAGTTCATAGCTCCCAGAGGAGTGACGGAAGTAGCCCCGCTGTGAGAGAAACGATCCCATAATTCCAATGCAGGGTCGGCGTGCGGTGATTTGAGTGCTCGCGATAACTTCTCGACATTGATGGTGTGAGTTTTAGAATTAGAAGCGGGCGACGATACGGGCGAGGAACTCCGTGCTCTCTTCTTCCCCCTCTTGGCCGGCATCAATGGCGATAACCTCAACTTTTGCTGTGGATCTTCCGTCTTATCCCAACCGATCTTCTCATTAGGAGTAGTCTCCTCCTCTTGCTCTTGAGCCTCATCCACTCCAACGAGATCTTGCCATGCCAATCGGCTCATAGGCGTGGTCATGCTCCCTGGGGTTCGCTTATTACTTCGACTCTTAGTCTCCGTGCTAGTGACATCGTCGTTCGGCGGTGTTTCGAGACCTGTAACCGAGGTCAAAGTGTCTTTACCGTTGCCGTTAGTCTTAGGTACATTGGAACATTTGAAAGCATTGAGCTTATTCTTTGTGACTTCGGAAATAGGTTGAAGGGGTTTGGCAACAGGATTTCGAGTCGTACTTGTCGATTGATTTACAGCTGAATGACTTCGGGATTTGTTCCAGTATTGGCGAGTCTATATTTTGTAGTCAGTTTCGTTATCACGGAATTGTGATCAATTGATAATTAATTAATAATAAATAACATTATAGGAATAAGACTTACTCTTGAAGAGCCATTGTTTTGCTCCGAGAAAGACTTCTGGAGAGGCATGGCTATGACTTTATCATAATTGTGGGATTTGACAAGAAATTCCGAATTGTTGTAGACGAACGACGAATGGATGGGAGGAAGATGGAGGATTGAGGATTGAAAGTATTAGATGAATTGCATGTCAAAAGAGTATGTCAATTGATAATTGATATTGGTGAATTGAATTGTAAGATCTTAGCTTCCAAGTCTACTAGGATCCCTGCTCAAGCAAGTTTAGAGGGGAATAATAGCAAAGCAAATGGGCAGATTGATTGAATTGATTGAATGAATAAGACGCGACAGAACGCCGAAAACGCGTCGCAGTTGGTGGAAATTTATCCCTGCACGAAAGTCAATAAAACACGACTAGCCACAGCTGCTGATTAATGCTGTGGCTTTGGTGCTTGAATCTATCAGGTTGTACAGAGGTGGTGTAGAGTAGATGGCCCAAGCTTCTGAGCTTATGCCCCCATCCATGTATTATTACCTAATACTAAAATATCCTAGCTTCCGAGGTAGTACCCCCACTTTAAAACATAGCTTCGTCTCTCATCCTTCATTCACTTTCGTCACTGTCGTCATCGCGTGAATCCCGATGACAAGGAAACTCATCTCAATAAAGTCTCATAATAACCAATTGCCTGCCTTTATAACCAGGTAGGCGGTATGTCGTCTAATAATGGGGAAGATCCATCATTCAAAGACTCCTTCGACGATAACACATATAGAACCACCTACCCGCCTTGGCCCGGCGTTGAACCCGCCAAGCAAGCCCAAATCGAAAGGAATTTCTTCGAAGATGGTGTAACTATTCACTTTGAAAGGATCCCACAAAGGAAATCATGGAACCCTTTCCTCCTCGGAAGGGGTTCTTTAACCTCAGACTACGTCATTTTCAAGACCGTCCAGGCCTCCAAGTTCGCAAAGCGACGGCTAAGTGCTAGTGAGGTTGATGGTACGAGCGAGGCTGCTGCCATTTCAGCATATTTCTTCACTTGGATTAACCCCGTCTCTCTTTGTGTGACAATCCCCTTTACGTGGATGAACAGGGAAAAATTCCGATTTCCTTTCTATACGCCGGGGCCAAGATTCAATCCACAAGTCTTCCCCTTCGCATCGCTGCCCATTGTCAAGGGCGCCAAAGCTACTTACTTATGGCATGCGCTTCGATACTGCGCTTTCTATGTCCCAGCCATGTTCGCATCAACAGTCTTCTTTGGTTCTATGGCAGAGAATATGTATGAAGTAAGAATATCGAGAGATCCGCGACTTCAGCGTTTAGTTCAAGATTTCAGAAAGAGGGTCGAAGACGCCCGAGCACGGGCAATGGGATCCGGACAACAGCAAACCCTCCCACAACGCCCAGCTCAAAATGCCTCACAGTCTTCTCCTGATCAATATCCATCAGAACCTGAAAGCCAAACATTCCAGGGGTATGAACGTGATGCTTATGCAGGACAATCTTCTACACCACAATCCAGCTGGTCTCAAAATACTCAACCACAACCACAAACACAAACCCCAAGTCCCCAAGTCGCGAGATATCCAGAGCCAACTTCGCGAAATACAGATGACGTCTCAGATCTACTTGACGATGACGATGACGCTTCACCCGTCTCAGCCGCATCAAGGAGAGCAGAGGCCCAGCTAGCTCGCGATGCGCAAAGCGGTTCTTCTTGGGATCGCATTAGGAAGCAATCACAGTCCCCGGCCCCCCAATGGACTCAAGGCGATTCTTCCGACCAGGAGCGGGGATGGTCTCAATTGCGACAAGACAAAACACAGAACTCTAGAGAGAACCAACCAAAATCTGAGGGCTTCGCGTATACGAAGCAGGATGAAGAGAAGGAGAAGAGGAATTACGAAAGGGAACAGGCCCAAAAGGAATTCGACGCCTTACTGGAATCTGAACGACGTGGTGGTTCGGGTAGGCGCTAGGGTCGCTGATATAGGTAGATAGTGACGTTCGGCGTGGACATCGACAACTATATGTGGTTTTAGAAATGGCCAGGACACCAAAATTAACGTTTATGTAGGACGTGTAACAATACGGATGGAAAATAACAAGTGAGTCCCAATCCGCCTACTTTTTCAATCGGTGCATAAATCAAGCAAGGTTTGTGAGTTTGAAATTATCATTGATATGTTGGAAGTCAACGCGTAAAGGAACAACGATCACACTAAGGTATCTCTTAACTCCTTCCTCCCTGTACTCCTTCAATAACCTCGCGAAAAAGACAATGCTCCCCAAAAATGTCGGCTGTGAAATCAACGCTCAAAACTCATCAAGTTCCGTGAGGGAACAATCTAAGGCCATGGACACGTCTAGCATGGGTGACTAGAGCATGTAGGTTTTTGGCGTTCTGGTCGCCCCGTGGCAGATTGGCCACTCCCAGGATGTGCGATCCTCCGCAAACCGACTCCTTTGGTAGGCCGAGTCGTTCTTGCCCCTTCCTTGTACTTCATTTATCATGTCTCATGCCGTTGCTAGTCATTTCTCATCTTCATTTTCTCGTGTCTCGTTTCCCATACTTTCGTCGGATTCCTCTAACTCCCCATGGATCTTATCCACATCCATCAGGTCCTCCATGCTCCATCCCGGAACAGAGATCGACTCGTCAAGTTTTCCCGCGGCCTCCTCCTAGTCGAGGTCCGGGAAGAATGACTCCGGGACAGGCAGCTCCACCCCCTTAGCCTCGAGTATTTGTGTTTCGTCCTGGGGCTCTCCCACCCCGTCAGCGGACATAGAACGGATTGTGCTCTTCCACTCGGTGGCTTCTTCCAATATGCCGAGCCCGAGCGGGTCGACTTCGTGGTTCTCGGCAAGTTCGGCGGAGCCTAAAGGGTTGAAAAGCCCCTCGTCTCCCACTGCGCTTGAGGCTGGCCGGAGAACCCCCAAGCCGAGCTCCTTGCTCGCGTCCGCTAGGTCCGGGGTGGTAACCGACACCTCGGGGATGTAGTAACCCCATCCCCGCAAGGCGCCGGCCACGTCTAAGACAGTACCCTCTTCTATGTACTCCGAGATTAGGAGGTACTGGACAAGCTTTTGGTCCGACCAGCGGACGTTGGTAAGGGATCGGAGATACCTCCCCGCGCACAAGAATGCGGCGTGGGCGGTCGGATCTACGCGCGTCAAACATATTAGTCAATCATCTAACATCTCAATTTCGAGAAGGGGGAAACAAATAAAAATATTTAACACAGAGAAGGAAGAAAAAACAGGAGAAAAAGACAAAAAGACAATACAATAGATCCACACATACCTAACGAGACCCCAAATCCAATAGCGCGAGCCCATTGCGCGCTCATGAACTCTCTTGCTTCACACTCATCGCAAGCGCCGTCCCCAATTTGCCAAGGACGAACCTCAGGCATCCGGTGAAAGAACACCGGGCAAGCGTCTTCCTTGTCAGGTTCCCAGAGGGGACAGCGCTCGACAGCCATGTCGCCGGTGACGTGCCCGCAGGCCATCATCTTGAGTTCCCATTGATTGCACATCTTGTTGGAGGTTTTGGTAGCGGCGAATGGGAGGATTGGTACTGGATGAGGTGGTAGGCAATGGGAGAAAAGGTCGGCGACGAAGCGATTATTGGCTGTGAAGGTGGATTGCGTCCTATCTGTGGTGCAATATGATAGCGGGGTGATAGAAGATGATGGATATTGTGCGCCGAACTTGGGGCGGACACAGGCAATGGGGGGAATATGTGGAATGGATGGGTATTATTACTACTAGATATTAAGGACAAGCGGGTACCTATTGTTGTTCGATTTGGTTGTGATAAGTTATTGTTGAATAAGTGAATGTAGAAAAGAAGGAAGAGAGTGAAACCTGGTTAGATTTGGTGAAAATGAAGGACTTGGATGATGTATGAAAGTGAATGAAAGTGAAGACGACGGCGAAGAAGAAAATCGACGAGTGGGAGAGAGTCACAGGATATTCCACACCCTTAAATATGTGAGGGAAAAAACTTTATTGTGGCCAGATAACCCTCATTCTCTGCAATTCTGAGGAAGTCACATCCGATATTATCCATACGACGCGTTTAGTCGAGTATGATTCGCAGTTGCCCATGTCCATCCGATGTGAAAATTTTGCTGAGCTAGACGCAGGCATAAACGTTGGCAAGAACGACTATTGTACCTCATGTACTTCGTTACTGCTACTTTCTTAATGAAGTAACCGTTTATTGGCTAAGCCAGGGGGGTAATTGGTGGTACGGCGGAGATTCAGGGGCTAGGAGGATATTTTAAGTTGACCACTATCTACGATTTTTGAGAATTAGGGTATTGGAGGGAATATGAGTCCACAACAAACTTGAGTCTAACAACATGAGAATTGTATTCGAAGTTGCTCTCCATGGAGCCATACGTGTAAGATGTTTGCAGCTGCTAAGTCATGAATTTATGAATATGTGTTACCAGAGGCCCGGAGTAGTCGACATATACGATTCTTTACTAACTTACTTTAGTTCTTCTTTTAGGACCCGATTCATATTTTCTTATAATTATGTCCCTTTACACGAACGTGCCATTACGTGGTATGTTTTTGCATGAGAACAGCTTCTATAAAGTTACGTTATGTTAGAGTTGCACCAATTGGACCAAGGATTAGGGGCTAATTTATCTGAAGTCTAAGTGACCAATCAGAAACAACCAAACCTTAAATAGAGCTATGGTACGCAACATCTGATTGGTCATCACTGAATTGTTAGTGCTATGACTAAGGTGCTACGCGATGGTTTGTGCACCTTCCTAGGCGCAACTTCCTTGCGTGGTTTCTTTATTGTCCTGAATCTCATGTTTTTATGTATTCATGGGCTTCATCCGAACTATATTAACTTAACTTTTAAGCACCTAGATAAGCAGTAATCATTGACGTGTTACTTCGACTTGGATACGTTGTTTCCCATTCGTCGTTCTAGTTGTGCAACATGTCCAAACAGGGTGGACGGGATTCACCATCTCAACATGAATTAGCTGACAAAGCGGAAGTCCAATCTCTTGCTTCCTTCGTCCTTAGTATTTTCACGGTACTCATTTTGCTCCTGTATATTTTGTCAGTGCTATGACCACATCAGTGGTAATCGGTTACTGTAGTCAGAACTTACGTCTAGACTCTTTGCATTCCATATTTTATCTCTACGCTTGTTTTCATATACATAGTAGAGCTTTACAGCTATATATACAACAATGTTTAGACAATTGATTCCAATTAGTACGCGATTGCCTCGGCGGTCTGTAAGTGCGGCATGTTAGTGTACTGCGCCAAGTTCAGGGGTCAGAATACGTACAAAGTGGTTTGTCATCGTTGCGGTAAATGTTTGAGCTGATAATTGATTGAATTTGCACACAAATGCTTTTAAAAGGTCAGTGATGCTCTCAATAAGGATGATATGAACCTACTTGTATGCGGCAGCAGAGACTGTTCTGGTGCGGACGGTGTTGGAATTGCGACTACTCCAGCCAACCTGCATAGGATGCGCTTCGGGAAATTTTAGCAATGCATACGTTGTAATCTGACTGGGGTTCCTTACGTGTTGGATAAGATAGCAAAACCGTTATGAGGGCATATGTTCCCCAGTGAGGCGTGTTCTCTGGTAGCATGGCTAGAGCTATTACGCAAGGGAGAAACCAAAATTGGGTGAATAGGCCCAACAGTGCTCGCTGATTTATAATTTCGGATATGTAAGTCATAATTAACATCTGGAATTATTAGTTCAAACCCGATGGATATTATGGTAGAGAGAAGCCTACATTGATGGTTGTCGCGACTTGAGCTGGGATACTCAAAAGGTTAGAGTTGAAAGTGTCAAACCCGAGGGCCCGCAGGGTCAACGTCAAGTAACGGTCGGGAGGCCCGGCAGGAATACCGAATGTCAGTCCGATGATGTAGATAGGCCAGATATTATAATCTGCCAATGATTTCCACAACATTTTTATAGTAATACCTTGCCGATTGTGCATGTCCCCCTTTGACGGATCATCCCGCAAGATTCGGTTCACGAGAATTTTCTCCTCATGCTCGGTGAACCAACCCTTAGGGCGATACCAGGATTTAGTCTGAGTCGGAGATGGAGCCATCATAAACCAAGACCATAAACCGATGGAAAATGTTATGATAGCTTCAATGAGGAATCTACCCGGCGTGTTAGCAATCTATACCCACACGCTAGAGTTAAAGAGTATTACAGCCACCGCCAACCTTCATAGCCATGATATCCCCTAAGGCGTAGAAGACCATATGCGAGTAAGGGGGCAACTACATCGGTTAGGCGGTTCGCCATCCAGAACAGGGCTAGTCGAAAGGGCAACTCGGTCCCTTTGTAGAAATACGACTGAATCAACTGTGTCAATGATTTGCGCACTTCAGAAAGGAATCTTAGGGGCTTACTAAGTAGAGAATTAGATCAGGTATGAACCCGCCTTGAAGAAGGCCTAGAAGTGCCCGGCAAGCTAAGAAAGATGGGCGGCCCTGAAGCCAAAACTGAGAACCGGCTACGATACTCCACAGGATCATTTGCGTGGGAATCTAAGAAGAGTTAGATCACAGACATATCTCATGAGAGGATGCCATACCCAACGGTCAGGACCTATATATGACTGAATCAGATTACTACTCGGAGATATGTCTCGATGGGAAACTTACCGATTTTTTTGCTAACTAACTGCGAAGGCAGTTCTGCTAGTAAAAAGGATACAAGGAACACCGTGTTTCCATAGTTGTAATCTTCAAATCGAATTGTTAGTTTTCGAGTGATGAGCGAGGTATCGACGTATCGTTCTTACCATTCGTAGTGAGACCCAAGTCTTCCAAGAAGTTATCTGTATTTGCCTTTTGATAATTTTAGTCGCGGCTTCGACTGGTGTGGTTGGTGTTTTGTATTACCTGGCTGAGATTGCTCCTATCTAGGTCCAATCCGAAGAAAGCTATACAAGCCCAGGCGGTCACTTTCCAATCAATCCTCTTAACCAGTCTCTGAACCTTATGTTTAGTATTATTTTCTTTGTATCTCTAGAAGGGCCAATATACCTCTTCTTCCCCCCACGTCCATCTAAAAGATGGGTCGAATCGATGCAAATTTTCATACTTGGGGCTCGGTTTGAATTGTTCGGCCTTAAGGGGGTCGTCGTAAACCGAAGGTTGAGTAGCAATGTCATCGGGTCTATGCTTTTCCTTCCGTTTGAAAAGACTAAGTAAGGGATGAGAGGAGGGAGCTTGTTCTATGATCGTAGCTTCAGCAATCCCTTTGGTAGGCTGTTTTTCCTGGTCCGTGTTATTGACTCCGTCGCTTGAAGAACTTGCCGTATTCGGAACAGCATTGATAGTAATACTATCATTCTTGGACGACATACTTGCGTCTCTAGCTTAATTAAATTGAGGCGATGCACTTTCCACCCTTTCTCATCTGTAGCCAAACAGCTCTCTTATCTATCGCCGACCTTGATACTATCACCGTCAATCGCCATTTTGGTGGCACTTGCATGATCGCGCTATTATGACCCGCGTTCGCTTCGTATACTCCAGTCTCCTGGGAAACGGGTCCCATCAATGGTAACATCTCCGCGGCGTGTGACGACATAAAGCGACGGTACACGGATCGAACTGAGCAACCAGGTTTAAGCTATTTCAAAGAAGTTAGTGGAGGGTAGCACGTTGGTCTTGGCTGAGTCTGGCGTGCTTGCTTTAGTTGGAGATGCATCCCTATAGCTAGTATCGCACCATATGGAGAAGGTATGAGGAATGTGCGGGGGTCCGATATAGCATCAAAATCATTGTCGTCGACACTATAGTCAAGGGTAGATAAATAATGGACATTTCGACCATGTTATGAAGGGATTATACTGCCAAGTCAATTGAACTAGGTTTTTTCACAATGGCGCCCTCAGTCGCAGAAGTATTACCAAGCACCTCCGAGCTGAAGGAGAAGGCAGAGCAAAAGCTCAGTCGAGCTTACGACTCGGCTCAACACGCAGCAGTAAGAAATTCAATAAAATTGAATGAATGATGCATATACTAAACCATTAAAAAGTACAAGTACACCAATTATTTGCCAGTGTACGATGAGACTACAACGTTTCCACCAACTGAACCCTTCGAGTTCGTCGACAAGGGGACCCTGGCCGACAAGGCCAAGCCCCATCTTCTTGGGCTGAAGGACCCTAACGTGGTTGTTACGAAGCTCACTCCTCGCGTCGGCACGGAAATTACCGGTCTTCAGCTCTCCCAATTGACAGATGAGCAGAAGAACGAGCTAGCTCTGCTGATTGCCGAGAGAGGTGTCGTTGTCTTCCGAAACCAGGACTTCAAGGATATTGGTGTCGAAAAACAGAAAGAATTTGGCCAGTACTTTGGCCGCCTTCATGTTCACGTAAGTAAAAAGCGCATGCGCATTGTCGTTGGCCATTGCTGATTGATTACAAGCCCGTCGGAGCTCACGTCGAGGGCGCCATCGAATTCCACAATATTTACCTAGGTCCGGACAACTTGTACCGGGCGCAACGACGCTCCGAGAAATTGACTACTACCGGATATCATTCCGACGTCTCTTATGAACATCAGCCTCCTGGAATCACACTTCTCACTCTACTGGCGGTACCATCCACCGGTGGCGACACGGCCTGGACGTCTCAAGTCGCGGCGTATGAAAGACTTTCGGAGCCAATCAAGACGCTCCTAGAAGGATTGCGTGCCGAACACAGCGGTTATCCCCAAGCGGAAAATGCCCGCCGAGATGGCAAATTCGTGAGGCGCGAGCCCGTATTATCCCAACACCCAATTGTGAGGGTGCACCCAGTAAGCCCAGAATACGCAGGTCCTCATTTGTGTTCACCATTTAACTCGTCATAGGCGACTGGCCAGAAGGCGCTCTTCGTTAACCCCGGCTTCACGAAGAAGATCGTGGGGCTAAAATCGGAGGAGTCCGATGCGATCCTTCAGCTACTCTTCAAGGTTCGTACCGACGAGTATCTATATCCCGACGTTAGCTAATGGCGTCTCTTAAATAGCACATCTCCAACAGCGCGGATGTCCAAGTTCGTGTGAAGTGGGATGACCGAACCGTCTCACTTTGGGATAACAGAGTTACGGCGCACACTGCTATATCCGACTATGACGTCCATAACGAGGAAGAAGGTCTGCGCCACGGATTCCGTATCACCACCCTCGGCGAACGCCCGGTGGGAGTAAACGGCCTTGAAACGGTGTGGTAAAGTTGATGATCAGCTTAATTTACTATTAGTAATCTAAATTGAGTAATTTGAATTGAAATTTGCAAGAGATATAACAGCGATATCCTCGGTCGGGAATTGCCTCTGCATTTTCAACCCTGATCGAACGATTGGATCTTAGCGCCCGAGAGTGCACTATTAACTTTACTGTGGACATTCAGTTCAAACTTCGCAGCTATCATGGAATTAAAGTTGCTAAGTTGAATTGAAAGTAATTTAAATAAGAATCGGGATGGATGCACTGAACTTACTCACATATGCCGTGAGGCTTATGTATCCCATCTTCTCACCAATCTCTCATCACTCACTCTCCCCCTTTTCACCCAACCACGCCATCACCTGGGTAGAAGCACCGTTCACATCATTCCGTACCCATATCCTAAAATCGACAATTCCCTCTCTCATCTTATCCGGTTCCATGGTTTCAAAATTGTGTTCAGTATACCCTTCAAACATCTCCCTAGTGCGGGGGAAAGCTGCGTCGTAGGGGAACAGAACATCCCTACCATCAACATTGGCAAGCAATTCCCTGACCCGCCCACGATAATAATACGCATAGAAGGACCAGGAAAACGTACTGATCATCATTCATCACAGTCCCACCCTCATTCCCCACAATCAACGCCGGTCTCGCCAAATCCGCCATAAGCTGGCGAACCAGACAACTCGGATAACAAAACAAAACCGCAGACTCATCATCCACCATCGCAGACCTGCCTGCGCCATGGTCTCTAACAGTCGTAATACCATTATTCTTCAACACATCGCGACTCTCCATCGTATACGTCGGATCCTGCGCCAAAACCGGCACATCCTTACCTAGCGTCTCCGCAATCGTGAGCGCAAGGGCGTGTTGATTCATACTAGACCTCTGGTACTTGAAACGATCTCTCTCGTATTTCGAACTCGAGCCGCGCGAGTCGAGTTGGGATCTGGGTTCCATCGTCCCTAGGCCAAAGCATATTAACTTCGTAACCTTTCTACCGCCCTGTAAGATTGCGAGTTTGCGCTTGAGCCAATTGCAGGTCTGGCTACTCTCCCATTTCTTCCTCGCATCTTCAAATTTGGCCTCAAGAGTCGTGTCCTCACCAGCGACAAACTCGATGAATGCTTGGTTCTCCCAGGTGATGTAGTACGAGTAATACGGAAAGCTCTGGGGGATAGCGGAGCGTATAGATGATGTACGCGCGTAGCTTGTCCCGACCATGTACCAGTAGTGTTGGAACGTGATAAATGGTTTCCTGATTAGTTAGCTCATATGGAAATGAATCTTCGGGGCATATACCATAACAGATTTTCCACCCCGAACATGGAATTCTTCACAGAATCCATCGTCCCGTCGATGCGGCGAACGTTAAACGTTGGGGTGGTCTTGAAATTAGCTAGCTCGTGTTCGATCCTTTCGAGATCGCTCTTGGTCCATAGTTTCGCGCCTGAACGATATAAGTCTATCACTCTTTGGGTATTTTCGACTACTGAACCGGATACGGTAAGTGACAAATTTGTGGTGCCATCGCCACTCTCCTGTGTTTTCTCTGTTAGAAGGGAATATTCAGATAGACTTGCTGTTCCGTATGTGGTCATGACTATTATTATTATCGAGGATTAACGCCTAGCTTGTGTTGTTGAGAATGATGCTAGCGGTGATAAGTACAATATGAAACTCTGCTAGGTGAGCGGATAGTGGGTAAGTCAGCGTTACTCTCAGTACACAAAGTAGTCAGGATGAAGTCCAACACGTAGTATAAATAGTGTGAAAGTATGGCTGTGCATAAACGTTTCTTTGATTCAATTGTGAGTCACCACTGTTGGATATATAGCCGACGCTTGATATGTACTAAGTGGCATAAACACGGCCTCGATGATACCACAAGGCTCCCGAAGCCTGCTATGATCCGGTCCTACCACGTCGCTGGGCCGAATGTCTCACCTTCCGGTACCGTCTTGAGCCATGCTGTGTACGAGGCATCCTGTTTGATGTTATTAGCAGTCCCGAGAGCGTGAAATGCCTTAGAACTCTTTTCGAGCTGGTATCACTTACCGCCGTATTGAAAACATCTACATTTCCCCACCACTGCGGTATGGTGACCCCAGGGAGCGTAATCGCGAAGAAGATGACGATGGTCGATAAGATAAGTCCTGCGTCAAGCGCCGCAGCGGTAATGTAATTGTACGTCTTCCACCACCCGCTAAATTTCTTTCGTATCCAGTAGTTAAATATCAAACCGAAGATCGCCCATGATGAGAAACTAATTGGAGTGGCTGGAGGTAACCAGCTCATAGCGCCAAACATGATGGGTGCGTTGAGGTGACGTGTGAAACCGATCTTCAACTTGCGGCTGAGGAACCATAGCACAACCGGAAATCCAGCTCCGATAAGCCAGAACCAGCTGAAGTTGGCATACATCGAACCCGGACCAAACATTCGCTCGGGACCAAGGACACCCCATACAATCGATGCCGAGAAAAATGCTCGTCCATTGGGACAAGTGAAGTGGCTAGGTTGTGTACTGCAAACACGTCAGTTTGTTGCACACAAGTTACGACGGAACAGCAGAGCGTACTTGGAGCAAACATCCGGAATAGCCCCCAATGTCCAGTTCATCACAGCAATCTGTACGAAGACAGCCCATATGCTTGCTATCACTTGGCACCAAAACGTGACTTTGGGCGGGATTTTCATGTAATGTGCCATCTTAAGATCAGAACACTACATTATGTCAGCAATTTGCGCCAAACTCAGCCAGCGATGTTGCTTGTTAATCGCAAAGCGTCAAAAAGGCCGCTAGATTTCAAATAACGGGGGTAAGTGTAAAGCTGAGATGGGGCATGTCACGTACTACAACCTATTAGCTTCTTGTCACAGCGTGTTTAGAATATTTCCACGTACCATAAGTTTGGGCCTGTCCTAATGTAATCGTACTAAAGACCTTGAAAATCATCACACCGATCGGGCGACCTGGAAATATAAATCCCGCTATGAACGGCGAGATCACGTTTAAAGATAGCTGTATGTTTGATATCGCTAATATCATGCATGTCGGGATCACGAAAACCATCGCCAGAATGATGGATATGAAAAAACCCCACCATGGTAATTGCGAGTCGTAGCCGAGGACCGTTGCAAGACCCATTGCGAGGGAGAGTGCAAGAAGCGATATGTACCACCATTCAGGGGCGTCGGCATACTTTTTCATTAGCTTGAGGTGTATGTCTGGTTCCTGATTACGAGCCGTCTTGAATCGGTACCAAATTTCTTTTCCGTGGAAAAGGCCAATGTGGACGAGGGATGCTGTCAAGGCAGCAAAGGAAAGGCCGTAATTCAAAGCTAGTGTGGGGGACAAGAATAGTGGCGAATACTGGCGATACTTGTTCAGATCGAGAGTGAAGTTCTCTCCTAGGATCTTCTGCACGCTGTAAGCGTTTTGCGTATTGTCGTATGTCTGCGATGTTACGAGCGGAAGATACTCGGAATACCTACGGAAAAGTTAGAAGCTACATACCAAAACGCAGTAGAGATAATATGGCTTACAGAGCACCAGTGTAGGTGATACCAATCGTCGCTATGATGACAAAAAAGATCAGACCTAACAGCGTATTAACGTGAGACGCGGTGGGTGCTAAGAGAGGATCGTATAGGTACGCAGAAACGTAGGTCCAGTCGACGGTAATTGGAATGAGACTGAGCCCTGTGTATCCACCGAATAATTGATTGAGTACGATATTATCTGGCTTAATCCAAGTTATGAAAGCGAAGACTGAAAGACCCTGCCACAGCACAGCTGGTATCCAATAATAGCAAAACATAGCTCCCGTTACAATGAAGAAATACCGATAACGGCTGATGGTCCATCCATTGGAAGTGGTACCGTCGCTTTTACTTTTATCGTGAAGAGCGTAGAAAAGTGAAGTATATGAGAACTGATTGGGCCACAACATCGCTGCGGGCCAAATGAGAAAGCGCCTGAACATTCCGGATAACGCGATGCCAATTAGCTGCGAGCTGAGGGTGAATATTATAGCGAAGCCCCAACCCAAGTTGATGTTATAGAACGGTTTCCCTTGAAGCGCAAGCAGCGCGTCTGTGGAATAGGCGTACGATATTGAGACGTTCGACATGATGGTGACGACGGCATGTTCCTTGATAGTGAAAGGCCCGGGGTTCAAAGTCCATTGCAGACCAAACGTATTGAACACTCTCGTCGGCATGACCTTTGCCCAGAGAGACCCGACAGGATAAACCACTAGCACAACAACCAAGGCCGGGAAATTAACCTGTGGATTTCGCATACTCAATAACATGTTTAAACCACTACCGATGGTGACGAAGATCATCCCAAGTATCCACGCCCTCACGGTACAAGCAACCTCTCCACCATCGGTATTGCGCACGGCAGCGCGCACTTCCTCATAGGGCGAATTCTCCGTAAACGATGAGTCGTCTTCGGTAATCTCCTTGATATCGCCTTGCTCAATTATCGATTTAACGATATCGGGTTTTTCTTGGGTGGAATCGGAATCCAATTGATGGGAGTGATGAATCTTGTCAAGACTCGCCGTGGTGGTGGACACATCGACATGGGGGAGCTTCTCATCAGACGATTTAGGTGTAACATCGTCGATTGGACTGGATGTGATCTCGGACGTAGCAGAAACAGAAGCATCTGTTCCTTTGAACGGAAACCCCATGGTTAACGACCCGTATTCGCTATGAATCTAGCTTGGGATGTGGAAAAATTGGAATTTTACCATATTTGTAAATAAAGAGCACATGCACACGGACAAAGAGAAAGTCTTATCTTTTCTAGATGCGATTGATCGAGATATTCTTCAGTCGGCGCATCTCCGAGAACCACCTATCAGGACGTGTACTAGCCGATGTATTGGAGATTGCCAGTATACCGGGATCCTATACCCTGGACACCCCGCGCCATTAATCGCCTAGTTTCCAGTCCATATTTTCGACCTTCCAAAAAGAACAAGCCTTGTTGACGCGTGGCCAAAACCGGGAAGTACTACGCCGCTGAATGTAAGTTATACCCGAAGTAGGCCAAGCTGACCTATGATGTTAGAGAAGCATTGGTGGCTTTTGCGATAGTATCGGTAGCTTGGAAGCCGATGGTGACCGCCGAGGGTAGAAGAACTGAGACCTCAAGATAGAGGCGAATAGGCTAGAACAAAGGGATGTCTAGGATATGGTGTGCCATTCCCGAGGTCCTTATCATCGAGGGATTATCCACCCCTCCACTTCCTCCAAATGGTTCCCCAAATCTGGAATGGTGGAGTCTTTCGGCTAGTATAACCACTTTATAGATAACATATCCGCGACAGGGGATTATTCCGCCCGTAGACACGAGGTTTTGTTAGTGTTGGTAGTATGTTGGTAGTGCGTTGGGACGACACCAACCGACATGTCTTAGAACAAAACTAGGTGAGTTTCCCACGAGTAAGCAGGCTCGTCTGCTTGCGGTAAGACATCCTGGGTTAGGTACCTAGTTAGGTGTTTAGGTGCTGCAACTAGATATTATCTGTGGTGGCGGCATGATACGATGTAGCTATTAGAATGATAACTAGGAGCTAAATTTTAGTGTAATCTAAGTGTAAATGTGAATGATAATGTCATTATGTTTGATATTATTAGAGAGCTTAGCCAAGAAAAAGGAGAGGATATTGAAATAGATACCTGGTATCGACGTAGCTCAAAGTGTATAAATCTGACGGGAAGAACACTGCTTGGGTGGCTGAATATCAGACACACTAAATCAAATATTAGGGGTGGGGGTCGCCTAGCTATAGGCGTTTTCGAGTTGTGGCGCATTGAAAGTAACCTATTGGTTAGGTAAAGCCTAAGGCTTATTCATACCTAGGTAGGCAGCCTCCGATCCGTTGAGAACTATATCCTAGGTAATCGTTATAGTTGGAGCCTTGTTTGATAATATTTGATGGTATTTCATCTTGAACATGTTTTACCAGACTAAAGAAACCTTGAACATGCCCGAAAATCAAGTAATACTAGCTCCATCAAGGGAGGATCACCGCGGAATCATATCCGTGTTCCTAGCTGGTACTACCACTAAGACGGAAGACCGTGACTGGCGCGAGGTACTGACTGAATCTCTCGCGGACCGGTCTCTTACCATCATCAACCCATTTAGACCAGACTGGGACTCAACCTGGCGGGAAGAAGTCACATGCGCACCGTTTCGCGAACAAGTAGAATGGGAACTCGACATGCAAGAGAAAGCCGATATAGTAGTGGTATACTTCCACCCAACGACCGAGGCGCCTATTAGCCTACTAGAGCTTGGGCTTTGTGCTAGGGCCAAGAAAGCTATCGTTGTCTGTCCTAAGGGGTATAAAAAGAGAGGAAACGTGCAGATTGTGTGTCAAAGATATGGAATCGAAGAAGTTGAGAGCATTGAAGCCTTGAAGCAAGCTATTGTCAAGAGGCTGCCGAAAGACTCTTTGTGAGTTTGAATCCAGTTGTTACTTCGTGTTTGGGAGAGAAGGTTAGGTCGGATGATGTACTGGAGATCGAATGATTTGGATGAGCTAATATTAAAGCTGGCTAGATAGCGACTTCTTGCAAGCTCTAACTTTGAGAAGATATTAAAGTTTGATAAGGTGGTTAAGGATGAAAGTTTGATGATCTTAGGAATAAGATTTCATTCTGAGGCAATAATCAGTGTCTCGAATTGAAGGTACTATCCGAAGGTACTTAGGTACTTACACCGGGCTATCTGGGGAAAAGCGGACCGGGATTACTCCGCCTAAACTTTGCAGGCGGAATACACTATTAAATCGAGGACAAATCTGGACTAGCGCCCCGCTCGCTCCCAACCTTGTTACCTAGCAAACACCAAGTGGCGGGGCTTAACTTTTTATCCCTTCACTATTTTGACCTATCGTGAATTGATCGCCAAAGAACAGAGTTTGATGGTAATTTCCTTCTAAAAAGTCTAACTTAGGATAAATTTTGGAAGATTTCGCAGCATAAATTCTTCCTGACAGCCTAAGTTTTTCTTTTTATCTTTTTCCGGTGATCATCTGCTCAGTTCCGTTCTTCACCATCACCCCTCATTTCTTGAGTACCTAACATTTCGCACCTCGACTCGACCTATCATGGACGACCAATTCAACGGGCGAACAGATGACGATCTGTTTGCCGACGACTTTGAACCCGTTGAATCCCAAGAACAGGCGCCTAAGGCAGTTCAGAAAAATGCACCTATTGTAACCGAGAGCCGTGAGAGTCGTCAGCCTCCTGCAAGTACTCAGGAACCCATTCCTGCGACCCAGCCTACCTCTAAGCCGCCTGTGCACCGATCTCTAGCACAATCGCGACACGCGAATCCGAAACCCGCGCCATCTTCGTCGTCGCACCACAACCCGCGACCACGCAAGAACTCGCCGAAGCCCGCAACGATTAAGCCCGTTGTCACCCCTACCCCTACTACTACTGTCGCCAACCCGCAAAAGCACGATGTCCCGGAAACATCACCTATCGCGGTATCAAAGGGTAGCAGTGACACGGCCTCGGTAACTAGCAGCAGCGGTGGGAGCAGTAGCAGCAAAAAGGCTCGTGCTAACAATAATGGCACCAAGAAATCGCACGCTGCAAAGCCGGGCCAGAACACCGCGCTAGCAGACCGGCTAGCCTCGGGAGCGAACCCGCGCACCAAGCTCACGGAATCCGAGCTTGCGGCCAAGATGGAGCAGATGCGCATCCTTAATGCGGAGAAGACGCGACGCTTCGAACAGGCCGAGCGCGACAGCCGCTCGCATGCCATTGCGTACGAGAAGGGCATGGAAGAGGCGAGACGTCGGCGGGCGGAGGAGGCGGAGCGCCGCCGCAAGGGTGACGAGGAACGCCGTCGCATGGATGAGGAACGTGCGGCGAATCGTGAGCGCAAATTACGCGCTATGGGTGGCGGCGCTAACTGGGACGAGGGCAGGGAGAAGGAGGAAGAGAGCGCGCGAAGAGCTGGATTCCGAGGTGCGAACGGTGGTGTGCGGGGCGCGAAGAGTGGTATGGCAGGGAGCCGGTTTGCGGAGAGGGATGGTGATGTTACCCCGAGAGAATTCAGCCCTGATGATTTCCGGGGACGTGGAAGGGGTGGTCGCGGAAGAGGAGGTTCTTCAAGAGGAGGCGGCCGAGGACGAGGTGGATCTAACCACGATGGGGAGAGAGGAGGCAACAGAGGGGGCGCAGCTGCGGCGACACAAAATGGCAACAAGGCTCAACCGCAAAAAGCGCCCCAAGTCCCACCTACTGCCGATGACTTCCCGGCGTTGCCAACGCCTAAGAGAACTGATACATCGAAGAAAGCAGCAGAACCTGTTGCCTTTCCCAGTCTCTCCCCTGGCGCTAATTCCCCTCCCATTGGAAAATGGGATGATGAGATGGCTGCACTGGATGATAAAGCTAAGGCCGGACTTTAGTATGCGGATCTTGCTGCCAGTGCGGTCTTGGCCTCTAAAGATTAGGACATGCAATGGGGAGTTCGGTTGTGTTTGAGTTGAGTTGCTTTTGTTTGTTAGAGTATATCGGAAGGCGTCAGAATAATCCACCCACAAACAGAGATGGATATCACGATTACAGGTTTTCATGACGTCTGCTAAGACATGGAGAACGAGCACTAGAGATACCATAGGCGTCAACCAAAAAGAGATCGTTGCATTATTTTACCAAAAAAAGAGAACCAAATCAGCATTAAAATTTTGTGTTCGCGTGTCCAGAGTGATATCATGTCTAGTTTTGACCAGGTAAGCCTTAAAACGCCAGGAACTCCTTCGCATGCGTTACATGTAGTATCGCCGTTGCATTACCATCCACGGAAACCACGTCCACTTCTTCCACCATAGCCACCACGTCTGGGTCCTCTGGGCCCACCCTTCCAGCCACCATCACCGTAACCACCGTCGTCGCGGGGTCCGTCATCTTGTAACGGCGCCCTGGGGCGACCCCTTACGTCCTTAGGTAGATTGTCGTACGTCTTGCGCATCTGCGCGTAACCCAGATGCATTTTCCCATAGAAATGATCCGCAAGTCGACGATCATTATCGAGTCTAGACAAATACGCACCGCACACATCGCAGACTTGGAGTTTCTGGTGACCGGACGGACCACTTGTATCAGCGAGAGTCTTGAGTTCACGCTCTCGTTCCAGTTTGGCCTGTGCCGCTTGTCGCACTTTGAAGAACTCGTCGTATGCGCGACTGACTTCGCCTAAGTCACCTAGGATTTGTACTTCGTGTAATCCGCAGTTTATGGTGGAGCTTAGGTCGGAGATGGCTTTGAGCAGGACGTTTGTCTGCCGGATCTCGTCGGGAGTCTTTTCGAGGCGGCGCTGCGCGGCATCTATCCGGCGGTTACATTCCTCGATGTACTTCTGGAGATCACGCGCGTAGTCGAGTTCGAAACCGTATTTCTGCCGCGCGGGCTCGGGGAGGCCTTCGTACTCGGATTTGAGTGATTCAGCATGGATTTTGGGGCAGGGACCTAGGTCTTGCTTTGTGTTGGTGAAGAGGTCGTGCGGGCAGGTCCCGACGATGTAGGATCGGCATACTTTTGGGTCGGTTAGGGATACTTGGGATGCGCGTGAGGTTTGGGGACCGCCCATGAGCTGCTCTGTGGTGGGTTAGTTGGGTGGTTGATGAAGGGAGGGAGGTTGAGGGTGTACGTACCGAGCAGCTTTCTTTGCTCCGCCGCCATGTTGGATCCTTAAAATGAACCACTTATATAAAGCGAGCCGTGTCGCAGCTATGGTAATAATGTATTTGTATACGATGTGCGACCTCGGTAAGGACTAGCTCGTTGTCGTGTGAATCGCGTTATAGAAAAAAAAGTTGAAGTTGACAAGGCTGAATCGAAATCAATTGACTAGAAGATTGGTACCAAAATCGAATAATTGCGGGGACCAATCAGGTACATCTTAGCGGTGTAGTTGCATTCGTTAGTGGGTTCTGCAGGGGCACCTGGGGAAGAAACAGGGGGTCCCAACCGACTTCCGCCACTAGGACCTCCCTGAAATTATTATTCCACGCCGCTGCAGGAAGTGCACTAAGAAGCTCGTATCTAATCGCCCGTATCACAACCGTGTCCCCCAGTCAGCTTCACTTAACTTTCTACAACTACCAAATAAAAAAAATAAAGAAGGTCGTCCTGATGGACTATCGACGACCACGATGCGTCGTTTCTTTTCTTACTACTTGATACCCCTTTCGATTCTATTTTGGAATGTTGCTGTTGCTGTTGCTGCTACCTCAGATTATTACGAACAATTAATTCTAAAGCCTTTACCACAATCGAACCTCCTTGCAAGCTTCAATTTTAGATCCAATACGAGCCTGTCGCAATTCGAAGCGCACAACTTTCGATACTTCCCTCGATCATTGGGGCAGATATTACAACATGTCGGAACGAGAGAGCTACATTTGAGGTTCAGCCTAGGAAGATGGGACGCAGAGAGCTGGGGAGCGAGGCCGTGGGATGGCACCAAAGAAGGCGGAACTGGTGTTGAATTATGGGCATGGTTGGAGGCGGAGACCGATGAAGAGTATGTTTATTGTTATGAACTAGCTCCCAATGCTTTATACTAATACTCTGTCATTAGGGCTAGCCACAAATGGTTGACTCTCACGAATGCCCTATCCGGTCTCTTTTGCGCGTCTCTAAACTTCATCGACGAAACCAGGACTACTCGACCTGTCATGTCCTTCCAACCCGAAGGAAACCACCCGGACTCTACACTTGCGAACATGCAACTATTACACGGTGTACTACCGAGAGAAGTAGTCTGTACGGAAAACTTGACGCCGTTTTTGAAGTTATTGCCATGCAAGGGGAAAGCAGGTATCTCAAGTCTGCTTGATGGTCATAAACTCTTCGATGCATCATGGCAGAGTATGGCAATTGATATTCGACCCATACGTCCAGATGGTGAGGAATGTGTTCTACAGATTGAGCAGACAATTGATATGGTCTTGGACATCGAAAGGTCAAAACGACCAAGGGGTATGCAACAACTATCCATTTGATCATTGCCTTGATGACTAACATAAAATAGAAAACCCCATTCCTCGACCACCACCAGGCCATGATCTAAAGTGCAATTCTTCGAAGCCCTACCATTCTGGCGACATATGCTTCCCTACAGATTATGCCGAGGCCCAAGAATGGGCTCTAGATCAAGTCTTCGGGAAGTCAATTAAGGGAGCATGTCCATTAACTGACCCAAATGTTCCTCCCGTTTGTGTTCAGGCTCCGAGTAGTAGGCCTCTTTACACGACGGCTGGTGCAATCGAGATTAAGGAACCGAATGGATTCTCGCGATGTTACCAAGTTCCGTCAGACGCCGATTTCTCCATGATTCTCCCCCGAGAGGCACAGGAGGGTGAGCATATAAGGCCAGAAGCCGACGAGATCTTAAAACCAGAAACTCCATTGTTATATGCGGAGCGTACATTCACAGGCCATGGATATGAGCGAGGCGGAGTGAGGACCATTCTTACCAACCCAAGCCCAGATACTGAGGTTGAATTCGTATATATGGAGAGTTTACCATGGTTTATGCGAATTTACCTTCATACACTGAAGACTCAAATTGACGGAGTGCCGGGGTTGAAAAATAACCTAATTGAAGAGGTTTATTACCGACCGGCCTTGGACCGTGTTCGTGGAACACAACTAGAATTACGGATGCGCATCCCACCCGCCAGCACCGTTTTTCTTACATACGATTTTGAAAAATCCATTCTGCGTTACACAGAGTACCCACCAGATGCGAACCGCGGCTTTGATATCGCAGCAGCTGTTATCACTATCTTACCCTCCGAATCCCCCAACGCACCATTAGCACGACAAAAGACATCTAACCTACGAACCACAACCCTGCTTCTTAGCTTGCCGACTCCTGATTTCAGTATGCCGTATAACGTGATCATATTCACCAGTACAGTCATCGCACTCGCGTTTGGAGGCCTGTACAATATTCTGATTCGGCGATTCGTCGGAGCTGACGAGGGCCCCGAGGTTATCGGCGGCTTAAAGGGAAGAATTATCGCAGGCGTTGCGAAATTAGTAGGGAAGATAAAAGGGGCCAAGGGAAAGGGAAAGGTAGATTAGGTGCTGGGCGCGCAAATATAGAAATAGAATCTCCGAATTACGTCCATTTCCCTATTGTTTATTTTATTTTTGCCTCGCGAGCGATTTCCGTTATTCACAAAATACGGTACTCATTAATCATCACACTTCGGTAAGTCACGGACATTTCCAACCTAAACCTGTTGAAAAGCTAACAATTTCTTCGTTTATTACAATATCTAAAATCGAAAGTAAAGTCAGATCCTTCGAAGGATGCTATGTATGTACCCATACGCCTTGCATGTTGTTTTTGTACGCTGGTCTCCCTATGTCCTATATACGGTTTATACCAATTTCCTCCCCTTCCCCCCTCTCCCTATATGAACCCCTGTGGTTGTAACGCAGCTCCTAGCGTATACGTCGAAGAGCGGAAGTAATCCTGCATCCGCCCCATTCTCACGGGATTTATCTGTTGCTCCCAGTGCTGTTGTATCGGTTGCCAGTCTTCTTCACCTCCCTTTTCGCCCCATTCGATGGGGTCAGGTTGCGTGGTCACGGTTTCAAAACTCGATCGCTTGCTGCTGGGGTACGAGGATCGGTATGAGTCGGCTGTGCTGGTGACTGATAAAGTGGATTCACGCCGCTCGTGATGTTGTCTCCGCCGGCGATGGTAGTGGTATTCATCTATGCTGTCTTCGGGGTCGGGGTCTGGGCTCGGATCTGTTTGGACGCTTGCGTCTGCGTAGCCTGATCTGGCTTTTGCATGTACATTCGACCTGAATTTTAGGATTCCTGCGGCGGTATCGTGGTGATGACCGCATGTACAACTCTGACCGGAGGCTTTCGTGGGTATTGATGTGGGAACCGGCACCGGCGCTAGAGCTGGACTTGGAGGTTTCGCTGCGACCCTGGTCACTGCTGGTGCTGGTGTCACTGGAGTATCGCTTTTCCGCGGGCTGGGCTGTTCCTTCACCACGCCGAGATCCTCGTGCCCATGTACTAAGCTCCGCGGTCGCGTCGCCCATGACCGTCTCTGCTGGTGAAATGCTAGAGGTACCAAAGCAATCCGTCGCAATTTATCGGCTGACGATGACCTACTATGGCTAGCCGGCGGCGGTTTCAAATTCAAGTGCGGGCCCGGGAGATGATCCACCGTCGTTGTCGTCGGTGATATACTTGATGGAAGCGTACTAGAACGGGGCCGTTCCGAATCCCCGATTACTTCGGAAAGCTCCCGCGCCCTACTCATCCTTCGCTTGTTGATCACGGCGGCTGGCGTCTCTCCGGAAATGGTCAAAGCCCGTCGCAATCGCTGTTGCGTGCCTGAGGGCTCACTGCGCATTTCGCCATTTCGGTCCGACGCCCAAAATGTATCTTCGCCTGAGAGGATTACCTGTAGAGTCTCGAAGTCGCGCGTGCTGCTGTCGGCTGGGAAGAGCCAGTCTTGTAGAGCTTTGGGAAGGCCGTGGGACCCTGCATTGCAGCGGTGATAAGTAAATAGATAGCGACTAAGCGCAAAGCTATGGACTTACGTTGTCTGTATTCGCCGGAATGAGTCTTCCAGCAGATATAATGCTGCCCATTAGAACCGAGAGCCGTCACAACCAGTTGCGCTACACCGTCCGAGTCATTGGAGTCATTCGCCAGGGAGTGTAATATTTCCGCCAACATCGTTTCCGAAAATTCGTTTATCTTTTCACCAACACCGAATTATTACATGGTATCTTAACCATATCTATTTTTTTCAATCTCGTTTTAATTGTGGCCAGCCGCTTTTAGAAATCGATGTAAATCAACGAAAGTACGAAGCGAAGATCATAACATCATAGTATACAGATTAGATTTTGTTCAACTCGAGATTCCGAAATCCTCGTGGCAAGCTGCCAGCAGCTGGCTTCATGATCAGCAACGAGAGGGAACGAATCTATCGAAAGCTCTGGTGTTGGGAAAGAGTGGTAAACGCATGATTATGGATGTACGGAGGCGAGATGAGACATGGAGGTCCTGAAAAACAGCTGATATGGGGCCAGCGACGCCCAGCTCCCCAGACAGAGTCGCATCTGAAACGGCGACAGGATCCGCAAAAGCCCGCCCCATCATGATATGCTGGGGTAAGGCGTAAGCTAGCCTCATCCAAATATTCAAATTGGCTCGTATTTTCGATGGATTGAATATTCATGAGGAATACCGAGATTAAATCATCCAATTTAGATGACGACGACGATTTTGATGACGGTTCAATCGAACCTAGGTTCACCCCTTAGCCCTGTGAGAAGCAGGGTATGAAGCGAAATGCCAAGAATCCAACCAGCAACGACACGACTGCAAATTCCATCTGCACATAACAGTTATGAAAGCCAAAGGTTTTGTGATAGCTTCAATTATACACTTATGAAGAGCGGTCTATCTTGTGAAGCGGGTCTCATTTTGGCAGTCGAATGTTGCCAAGAGGTCCTACCACCCAACTCTCGCTGATCAGCTCTATCGCTCTATATACAAGTCTACCTATTATACCTAATTATTTACATCATCTCCCGTTCTCTCAGAGATTGGTTCGTCTTCAACATATGGCCTTTTATACCCAAGTTGCCCCGGTCCATCAGCTACCTCATCAAGGGTGTCGAGTCTATCGATAACGGAACTAGCCGCTGTGACGGACGCGGTATCACTAAGACCATCTGCCTTTCTCGCTGCTGACCAGAATGAAACATTATCGGTTGCCACACTAGGCGAGTGAGGAGCTAGACCTGATGACTGCCCTGCAGCAGATGCGGGATCAAGATGTAGTTTTCCCAAGTCAAAAGGGACACTGCTAGTTTGTGTAGTACCCTCTGCTTCATGATCTGCTGTTTTCGCGCGATTTTGTTGCGATTCTTGCGTACTTCGCTCCTCCGCATCAGCTTGTTGCTGTTGTTGGCGCATCATTTCTTGCTTTTCTTCCTCTTCCCTCTGTGTCTGCTCCTTGTGCTGCTTCATCTTCTCGTCTAAAGTCTGTGCCGCGTTCGGGTCTGGCTTGCGCTCCTTCTTTTCCCGTCGCGTCAATTCAACTTCCAGGACTCTAGTTCCCATTGGGACTTTTGTGACTAGCCCATCGTCATCGCGATCGAAGTATAACGCCCATATACCGGGGAATTCTTCAACTGCTGCGAAACCCTCCCAGCCTTCTAAGGTCATGCGCCGGTCCTGCCGTGTGCAATCGAAGGGTCCTGTAAGGTGTGCTTGTGCATCGGCACGGACTCCGTACTTGACTTCGTATGTGTCCTTGTCGACATATATCCAGTTCAACATTGGAGGGTCGTCGCTGATGGTGCTGACGAGACCTTCATATGATTTGTCGGGGTATGGCAAGTAGTATCCCGCGAATGGGTGTCCACTGTCCGGTGTGGATGATTGTCCATCTTCAGCGGATGAAGCACCGGTAGTTATGTAAAGCTGTAATACTCTTATGAGCGGTGTGGTCTATTAAAGCTGGCGGAGACGGCTTACCTTATTATCTTTAAGAACAACCAGCTTTCCGTTTATGTCCCGACTTCGGATCGATTGCTTGACACAAGATACCACAAGATTACAGCGACGAGCGCGGTGCTCTTCCCGTTTATTTTTGGATTGACTTTGCCGAATTGCTTCTTGTGTTCCCAACAAAGCCGGGGCAATTGTAAGAGCTAGTATCATAGGCACAGCCATGGCGACTTCTTCCAGTGCTTCTTGAAGGGTCTTCCCTTGAAATGTGAAAGTTTGAGATGTATGAATATTAGACGACATGAGTCCTTGTGCTCTGACACTTTTGCCTGAAAAGTTCGGTGTAAGAAGAAAGTGGGAAAAATTGATGTTTCGCAGAAACTTCGATGTCTAGCTGAAGATAGGCGAGATGTTTCTCGCAAAACAAGATAGAATTTGGTAAATTGCCACGAGAGCTCTAGACCAATTCCGATGTCAGGGTCCTTGTAATAGAAGAATAACCTATGCCGCCAAACACTTCATATTTCCCGACCAGTCATGCCATTCTCAGATCAGATCTGAGCGCTATCATGCGAGGCAGGGGTAATGCGGGACCCTTCATGTTTGAGGCTCAACGCTTTGATGTAGGGGTCCACCGCATCCCGGCTCCCGGCAAGCAATAAGAGTACAACGAAGTTTTCATTGTAACTCTCACAAGGGTTAATTGGACGACTTCTATCGTGCCATATCGGACGAGGCTGTTACATCGGTGTGCTTGGGAATGGGATCTGCGTCGCAGTGAACCCAACACCGCTCAACGTTTCGAACTCAAGGAATCCGGTCCCCGGTAAAGCGCCCAGAAGTTTGCGACGGTCTATAGTGAGTGATAATAGATATAAATGTAGTTCTCGACTCAACATGGTAAATTTGATCTACAGCATCCAGCATCAACTCATCAACTTCACTTCTTTACTTCAGCCGGCCTGACCTTGTAACGCGATCATCCTTTCGTCGTTCAATTTTCAAAACTCATCTTTCACTTTTTGAGATCTCTAGATCAATCCGATAATCCCTAATTCAAAATGGCCACTCCTAGCACGTGAGTTGTCTCAACCCTCGTCTCTTCAATGGAGTATTATATCTGACCTTTTTTTAGCACCTCTGCCATCCCCATGAAGAACAACGTCGCTTACAACAGCGACTCAGAGTCTGATGGCCAGGCCCGTGGCGGTCGTCGCCCCCAGAACCAGCTTTCGCAAACTCTTCCCCAGTTGCCTACCTCGGCCGGATTGGCGCAACCCGCAGGTAAGATATAGAACCCAGATTCTAATTCGGCAGCAGCTGATTCATCATCCAGGTTCGCTCCTGAAGGGTGCCACCGACGACAACGGCAACCAAAAGGCCGCTGCTCTCCTAGTCGGTATCAAGCTCGACTTGGAAGCGGAAGTACACCTGACTGCCAGAGTGCGTGGTGACATCTGCGTCGGTCTCTACTAAGGAATATTTGCATTGGGTAGCGAGATATTGGGTTTCATGGAATAGCGAGCATAGCAAGGGTGATGACAGCAAAGCTGGAAATGGAGCACACAAGATACCCCCATTTTGCATGGATTGTTTATAAGTCTTATCTGCCGAAGCCGTCACAACTTCGGCGTCTCTGGTATAATGTTCTGCGGGCTGGCCGGCCGCCGTAGAGCAGAGTAGATGCATCATGGTAATACCAGGACTTTGAGATCTCATTACGAATCTGTGCCGCAAATTATGTGCCTTTTGCTATGAGCTGACGTCATGACAAGTATCATGTTGTCGTATCGGCTTAGGACCGGGTCGTTTTACAGGTTGGAAGTACGAAGGAGTAATCGATATGGAAATCCGTTGGCCCCCGTGGCAGTTACTTGCGCGCTCATTTCGCAACGGCATAAATTGGCCGCCTTTATGGTTGGCCGCGTCAGTTTGTAGGTTGACTGGAAGTCAACCTCGAAAAAAAGCCGTAGCGGAATTGAATCCTACATTCGTGTTGGATTTCGGTGAAATAATATCATATGTTTGATAAGACCTCTACACCGCAAATCCTAACATTGTGGGGCGCTGTGATTGTTAAATCCATTCCAATCCCATGCTTAGAGGCTGTGTCCTGGGTAACTCACAAATATGCACTATTTTGAAAGGGTGCAGTCTATGAAGTAGGACAAGAGGGGCCTCTATTTCTTAGCGAAAGAGCGATAGGGGATTAATATTGCGTGGCTTAAGAGTAGTCTACTGTGCCGTTTCCCGTCATATACCTAGTAGGACCTTTACTCTATCATTTTCCTCTCCTCGCATTTTCTAAGTCTGTAACATCTGCTGATTACCTAGGTATACGACCCATCCCACACTTTAAGCTGTTAGACGTTCATCTATTTGTTATAATCGTTATCAACATGGCGGAAACTCTGGGTGCCGCAGCAGGCATTGTAATGATGATGGAGGTTGTCGCGAAAGCGACGAGGGTGATAGCGCGGCTAAAAGGGATATATGATGAGGTCCCCGATACCATCCAAGATTTGATATTGCAAACAGAAAGTCTTGATCTACTGATTTGGGACTTAGAGAACGTGGATACAACCAACCCTATCCTGTTTAATAACGTTGCGATACAGAGGAGTATGAACTATTGCCGTACGTCTCTTAACGCATTGACGGCGACTGTCGACGACTTATATGCCCAGATCGACGCGCGGAAAAAGTTGAAGAGGTGTGTGGCTAAAGTTAAGGTATCACTGAAGACGAATGTACTAGCCGGGATTGAGCGTCGCCTTGAAGGTGCTATCAGAATGCTAGTTCTTGCGCAGAATAGCTATATGATGTATTTTTTTCAGAGACTGACTAAAAAAAGTACATTCGCTGATGTTGTTGTCTTCTAGGGCGAAGATTGAACTACAACCTGATATACTCCTAGGACAATGGGCAAGAATGGAGGGCATTCGACAGTCCCAAGGGGATATAGAAGGATACGAACAAGGAGAGACGTCCTCTGTAAAACAATATGAGACGAAAATTCCAAACATAGAGACACATCGTGGAGTATCGCTCCCTTGGTATAAACAGCCCATCATTGGGAGTTTTACAACACGTTCGAGGAGCACTAGCTTTAATTTAGGTGGTATTACGGAATCCTGTAAGTCTAGTAAAATACTCTAAGACGGAAAAGTACTAATGCTTGGATTCCGAGACTACGATGTGCGAATCCAGCCTCCCTACTGGCTATGCGGCCGGGCTTGGGATATTCAGTTCAAACGAGCGATTTCCGGATGGAAAGTAAAGCTCAGAGCTTGGCGTGTAGCTCCAGATTCTCCGGCTATTGAAGCTATAAAGAATGGCGATATCCAAAGTTTGATACACTCACTACAAACCGGTCATGCTAGCCTCTATGATAAAGATGCCTCCGGTTGTTCTATCTTACATGTGAGTGGCCTTCCATAGGGTTGGTATATGTCGGGTTATTAAGTGTTGACAAACCTTAGCACTCACTTATGTATGGGAACTCATCTACCGATATCTTGCAGCTATTACTAGCTTCTGGGCTGGATATTACCGAGAGAACTGATGGAAATGTGACCCCATTGGCTATATTTTTATATCCCAAAGGATATATGCGTTCTAATGTCGTGTCACAACCCAACAACTTATGGTCACATCCTTCTAACCAGGTGGGGCATCAGGCATCCAATCACGGAGAAACTACGGCAAGTAGTCTGTTCTGTCAGCTAATAGAGCATAATGCTCTGTCTTGCTCTAGAACAGAACAAAGCAAAAGAGGTGCTATTCTGGTTGGCTCCAAAATAGAAAAGAATAAGGCAAGATGGAAAAAAAGATATTAAATTATATAATCATTAATATTTCCTTTATATTTAATTATTTTTTTTATAAATTCTTTAATTATTAATTTAAGATTATTTTTTTAAATATAATAAGAAAATTCTAAGCTTTTTTAATAAATATGTTATAAACCATATAGGCCTATAGGGGTATAAGACCCTAGAGGAAACCTTTTTCCTTACCAAAGTGGGGTAATGATAACAGGAATGTATAACATATGATATAAATGAATGTAAATAAGGGTATCCAGTCTTATCCAATGAATATAATATGGATAAATATAAATAAATATATTTAATCTTATCTAATAAGAATAATATAAGAATAAATATAAATAAGGAGATCTAATCTTATCTATAAAGAAAATAATAATAAGAAATATCTATATAATTATTATAATTTTCTTATATATCTAGTTATTTCTTTTATGGCTTTTTAATTATTAATCTAAGATTATTCTTTTAAATATAATAAGAAAATTTTAAACCTTTTTAATAAATAAGAACCAACTTAATTACTTAATCTATTATTAATATTATTATTTTTAAATTAAGAAATTTTAAATTAATTAATTTAATAATGATTATATTTTTTTAAGGAATAGGTTTATTATATTTTAATAATTCTTTGATCAGTATTAATACTAGGTTAAAAAATGATATAAACTATTTATAGGATATTCTTTTATTATTATTAATCAAACCTTCTTTTATTTTACTAATTTTCAAAAATAAAATAAAAAATCTTTATGCTTTTTAAAAGTTATTTTTTGAGTAATATCATGATTGGATGTAGGATAAATTAGTAGATCCTAATCTGGAAAGTAAAGAAAAGTTAAATAAAGAAGAATTCTAAAGTAAGGATCTAGGCAATTTATAACAGCCCAATTTATTACTATCCAAAATACCCATATCTATTCATAACATTTAGGACTTGTCATTAATAAAAAAAATATTCCAATTCATTAATAAAATAATACCTCCTAAGATATACTTATAGATCCTAGAATTAAAAATATAGGAAGAAATCAATGTCAGGATGGGAGAAGATAACCAAGAAAAAGAAGAGACCTTTAATTAATAAACTAAAATAATAATTATCTTTAAAAAAATTAAAAAATTTAAAAAAGAATTGACTTTAAAGAAAGCCAGATTTAGGAAGGCCTTTAAGAGATCCCTATTAAGAACCTCTTAATAATCGGCATCTTCCTAATCTTTAGCACCTCCTAGACCTTTAGATAATGATGATGATAACAAAGATAAGAAGGAAAAGGAAGGTAGAGATCCTTAACCAAAAAAGGAAAAAATAATGATCCTTTTTTTACTTGTTAAAGGATATAAATTAATAGATCTATTAATCTATAATGGAATTTTAGATGTTAAAGATTGGTTTATATATATAAAACTTTATTTATCCTTTTATAAGGAAAATTTATTATAAGAGGAATAATAGATATTTATTATTATTTAATTTTTAAATAAAATTATCTTTATATGGTTTTAATTTATTTTAAAAAACTATTTTAATATTATCGAAAAGGAATTAAAGGAATCTTAATATATTTTCAAATTATATAAACATTTTAAAAATAAAATATAAATAATATTTAGCAAGTTATTTAAGAAAGAAGAAATATAAAAGGTTATCTATCATCTTAAATAAAAAAGGTAAGTTATATTTTATATGGCAGAATTTAAGTAATTTATGGCTATAAGGTAATTACTTAAAGATATATAATTTAATTATTTTTATAAGGGAATAGTTATCTAGATAAAGGATAAATTCTTTAAGGAAGAATAATTTGTTATCATTAATGAATATATGATTAAGATAATTCTTTATAATAATAAATTATATAAAAGATATAATAAAAAAAAGAGAGGCTTTAAAGTAATAAAGAATTAGGGAAAAAAGGAACCAGCCAAGATTTAAAGTTTAAATATAATCAGTAATAATAAAAAACCCAAAAAGGATTTAAATAAAATTAAGTATTATAATTATCAAGAAATGGGATATTATAAAAGCTAATATAAGAGATCCAAAAAATAATCATAAATCCCAAAAGGAAGATTAGTTAATGCAATAATAACAATATTGAGATCCTTAACCTTAGGAATATTTGATATTATTGAAAAAGAAGAAGAACAGAAAAACCCATTACCGGATTATGACTGTTGGTAGGTATGTACGTAAATGAAGCAAAGCAAAAGTAAGGAAAAGAACAAAATAGTAGGGGTGAGATAATATGTATTAAGTTGTTTAAGGAAGAAAAGTCTATCTATATAAGTAGGTAAGTAAGGTAATTTATTTAAATGTAGAGATGTTGACTAAGTAGGTCACATGTTTTTTATTATGTAACCATTATTTATTTTATTTTCTTTTTTATAATTTAATTGATTGTAAATTTATTATTTATTTTTATATTTTACCTATCCTTTTAGTTATAAATTAATTTAATTATCTTTTATTAGTCTTTTTATAGTTTTATTTAGGGATGTCTTTGTTATGGTATTTATGGGGTTATAATTATTATAAATCTAATAGATGTTATTTATTTCTTAATTCTTATATAATTATTTTAAAATTATTAAATCGATTATTAATCTCTTTTTATTAATATTATCTATCTATACTAAATA